TCATCCTTAGAAACATTAGGAAACGGATCTGATTTGGAGAACTTCATTTACCAGAAATGCACACATGTTGGCTAGGTACACGGACACGATATGCCGTCATGGGGCTTGCTAACATTGAACGTAGTCTAGTGAATGTGGGTTTTGCACCTCTGGGAAGGATTCATGTCTCATTGCCAGAAGAGTCGTATACCTCTGTCCAGGTTTGGACTTTAACCGCATGTTGGACATGCTTTGTGCCTCATGAAAACCTCAACGTTACATATACATCATGTGTCCAGATGTTATGACTTTTCACTGCTAGTCAAGGTATAAACACGCACTCTTAAATTTATGAATGTTACTATTCTGACCATTTCAGGGACCTAAAGTTAGTCCTTTGGGCTGCTACTTACTGGGCACACAATCATCAGGGATGATGGAACCTCAAAGCTTTGCCGATTGATTCGGCCCTAAATCGGATTAGGATGCAGCCGCAATACCTTTCAAGGTAGCTTAATTTCTCTTTCTTCGCAAACCATTCGGAAGAGAATTCTTATGTAATCGGGATCACATCGTGCACTGACAGCTGAGATTTGCTGCATTGTTTCTTTTTTCTGACGTCGGTCTGGTTGCGTCCGTGTTCTCGTTCACGCTTCAAACCCGCTGTATTTGGAGTTACATTTACTGACGTCCATCACATAGTTCAAGAATGCCTATGGAAGGCCTTCTGTTTACACGTTCCGTCCTGGCGTATGCTCAACTGAGATAACTCCAGCATTTGGCTGCGTCACATGATACCTTTTCTCTTTTCCGTATTCATTGCAGCTTGCCTCGGATATCCGTCAAGTCCTGAGCGAAACTGCTTGCATTTGTATTCAAGACTAATGCCATTGGGTTGGGTATCACTTAGTTGGGTTTCTCGGATGTTCTTAGACACAGAATGCATCTTTTTATCCTAGAGAATTCAATTCAAAAGATGTAAGCTCCCAATGAAGGATCGATGTCGATGTATCTTGAAAACCGACTCCTGGGATCTTTAAGTTCCAGCAAGCTCGCTTCTTTTTAGATTTTGTCACTATTGTTGAGCACCAACTATTCTTTTGTCCACCACGAATGGTTAGATCGACTCGATGTGAAAAGAACAATCGTCTGAAACTCTTAAGTTCGGCTGAATTCACTGCAGGCGGATGGGAGGTAGTTAGTTGACTGAGTTCACAGTCAGAACCAGTGTTCGTCCACTGCCGTGAAGACATTAAAGCAGATCTTGGCTGGATGTTGAATCAAATTCTTCGGCTAAAGCAGCCCCATAGCCCATGATATAGCGGAAGTATAACTGTTAAACTAAAACTACATATGCTGGCCTACATTATTGAATGTCAAAATAGTCAGGTCCAAGAAGATTGGTTTCTTCATCGATACAGCTCAGAAAGTAATCGGAAAATGTTTCTTGTGCCCTCTCATTCTGTTTCTTCCAGTCTTGAGGTTGCTGATCGGGTTGCACCATCGGGAGTGACTGTCCAGGCAACGCCGGCATTCTACCAATATGCTCATTTACAATCGTCGTGGGAAGCTGTAGATTGAGTGGTATCGCAGATCCATTACTGACACTCGAGAGGCTTCGTGAGGTCCTTCCGCTTGATAGCAACAAGGGCGCCGGCGAACTTTCTCTCGATTTTGGGTGTGGCTCGTCTTCACCAGCTTGAGCTTCATTCTCAGAAACGTTGACCATATTTGCTTTGCTGATGCTCTCAAGTTCCTCGAGCAGCGTGTTCATTATGCGAGCAACTTCCTCCTCGTTGTCTTCGGAGTAACCCTCAGCCTTCAATTGCGGGATTTGGACGCTTCCTTTTGAAAGAACATTTGAGACAATTGTAGATTTGCTCTTGGTCCAGAACCCGCGCACCGTAAGAACGACCTCTTCGAGCTCATTTCCAAGATATGGCGATTCAGGTTGCGGTTCTCCAGGAAACAAGATATCCCACACTTTGAACCATTGGTTTTCTTCTCCTGAACCACCTGAGGTTGGTCTTTGCGCAAGTTGGCTCTTCTGATCACCGGAAACACCCTCGAATATAGGAGCTTTTCTCTTGCTGCAAGTTGTCTCCGCAGTGACGTGGTCGTCACGTTGACCCGCCGTACTGAAAGTGACCCAACAGCGTGGACAATAGAACGATGGTTGAGGATGCTTCCGGTACAGATGTTGCTTGACATCCTTTACTCTTTTTAACTGAAATCGACGAAAGCAGTTGAGGTGTTTCACGCGATCCCGCTTGAAGTAGGGGCAGGCGAGATACTTCTGTCCCGGCTTTGGTTCGGCATCATGTAATCGCGAGCCCCTTCTCTTCCCAATTGTGTCGTCAGACTCATAGTCCTCATCTTCCAGCTCTTCTCTTAACCTCTTCCTGCTTGGGAAGTCCTGCAATGAAGCCAACGATGCTGTTCCCTTACTCCCAAGCTCTAATTTATCCAGCTTAGGTTCTCTGTGATTGATTTGCGCCCCATGATGATCTTTATCTTCTACATAAATTTCGGGAATGATGAATCCCTGGGGCTTGTTAAGAGCTCCTTGAGATAAATGTTGCAGGTTTTCCTGAAGCTCCGTCGTAGATGGGACCTTTGATGCAGCTTTCAAAGAAGGTATGAACGCATACTGCTGATCATGCAGACCATTGAAATCAAACATGCTCGGATCGATTCCAATTTCCGGCGACGGTCCAAGTCCATGCTCGTTGAAATGTGGCCAGGAAGTAGTCCCTTGCTCTGCTCCACACAGCATTTCTGGCCAACTTCTCGATGTTGTGATCGCCACAGATTTTGGCTCTTCAGTTTGGCCCACAAGATCTAAAGTTTGAATTAGATTAGCGCACAGTACTTCATAGTTTTAGAAAGCAGAATGAGAAATCAAACAGAGGTAGATACTGCTATACTATGCGTTCAAAGCCCGATGCCAACCTACATCATGCATATTCATATTTGCAGTTTGACATCAGAGCATCATAGTATGAGAGAGAAGAAAAGTTCTACTTACCAAGCCCTTGCAGAAAGAAGTCCCTGTTATCATAAACCTTTGAGCTTGGGAACGAATATTCTGATTCAGTGTCGGCGAAGATATCTCTAGTTGCTTGTTCGCCAGAGCAAACAATATTTTTCTCACTTGTGTTGTTGTGATTCGCCTGAATATTCTCATCTATTACTGGGATGATGGGCCCCATGCTTAGAATGGATGCAAAGGCGGTATTCTCTGAGTCTGGCTGGATGTCTCCTAAGAAGTGAGGACCTGTGCTTGGTTTCGATTTGATCGCCCGGCAGAACCGTTTCGTGGTTGTAGAACGTTCTATTCCATGAGCCGGGGCAGATACACCCATCATCTGCGGCGCCGCAGCAAGATTTCCATGTGATTCCATTGTTGTTGGTCGATGTGGGATCTTTGCATCACTCATCGTAGCTGTGAGTCGGGTCAGGGATGCTTCAGTTGTTTTTGCAGGATCCTTACTTAGGGTACTCTTAGCACAGTGTCGAGCCGTTCTCCGGCAGTCCAGTTCTGTATCTTCTCCATCAAACACGCGTTGGTGATGCTTGTGATCACATGGCTCTTGCAACCCTGAAATGGAGGAAGCTGGCACCGTTGGCTTCGGAATCTGGAAAGTAGCAGAATCGCAACGCCGTGCAGGCTGCGGAAGAAGATTCCTGTCGGTCATCACAGAATGGTAGGCACAAAATCGAGGTCAGATACTGTAGATGTTGCTGGGAAGATGCTGCGGTTGCCTTGTTGTGACAAGCGACGTGGATAGGCTGACTCTGTTCTACGGTGAGTTGATATTGGCACGCCCTGTTTTGAGCGGCACATAAACCATACGCCACCGACCAGTTAGACGACTGCATGCTGACCATCTTGTAGGTTGGTGCCTAACACATTTTACAATTCAGACCTTGCATTACGCCCAATTCTGCACTTTCACGAGAAAAATGCCCAAAGAAGTAGAAAAGTTGTCCAGTAGGGGCGTGCAAGGCGCCCGACTGATCTGTTAGCACATACAGGAAGTTCTGAGGGACAGAATTACAACGATATATCCGCTTCGAGAGCCTTTGTGAGGCTCTGCAAACTCGAAGTACTCGTTAGGATGGAAATAGAATTTGATATATCTACATTGAGTCTGCCAAAAGTGTGTACTATCAGTATGGCTATAATAGCTTCCATTGAAGCCCAAAGATGTTCAGATGTGCTAGACCAGTCCTGATTGAACTTCGAGATGGCGAATTCCACTGAGCTGGTATGTTTGAGTTGATCTACTTGCTACTCGATTCACGACGAGCAGTGGCTTCGCTAGCCATCTGGCGAGACACACAGCTCGGCTCAAATATTGATCGGTATTGATGCTATCAATTATCATAATCGTGCACTGAGAAAGACATTAATCACACTTAGTTCAGAATCGCTTACTTTTCACGGTCATTAACGGTCTGAGAAGCTTTAGCTGGGACACTCGCAGGCATCCTTTGCGTCGTCATTTGGTCAGGTCTTCCGATACACGTCGATAGAGGTTGATGATAACTACAACAACCTTTGAGACGAATAAAGATCTACGCGCCACATTTATGTGTATTCTAATGTCAATACACAGTTTCCCAGTTTTGAAACCACAATTTACAAGACTTTTTATGCAAAGTTGCGGACTCTGTTATGACAACTTCACGATTCGCGCAGCTGGCTATTAGTGAGTGAGTGGGCACTAACAAGGTCGTGTTGGAGGGGCGTGTGTTTTAGCGAAGACGGTGTCAACGCATTGCGGTCGTTCGTCCTCCACAGATGTGCGTTCAGAGACCGCGACTCTTGCGTCGAGCCTTACCATGGTTCTCTCTCCTTTTGTTGAGTTCGTCACCTCTTTTTTCTGAAACCAGAAACAACCCACAGCTTCATCGTGCGCTGCACGATATCGTCTTCCATATACGCGAATTGCGTTTCATCAAAACATTGGATTTGGATAAAGCGCTGGCCAGCAAGCTAAACGTTTGTTACCAACATGTCCCACGTACCCCGCACCATGGACAGAGCACAAGCTGTTAACCGTCCTGATTCCAACATTCTTGCCCCAACCAACTTCTATTCTCCTCATCCATTACGTTTCAATGCTTTGGCCTCTTCTTTCCATGGCGAAAAGCCCATCGAACCTGTTCAGGGCCAAACATCCAACACGTCCAACGACATACTCGAGTGGAACGGGGAATATGGCCCCCCAGCCGGCGAGTATGGCCTGTCGAGCCCCACGAATACGGCGCCCTCCACCAAGGGAGATAACGTCAACGAACGTCCGCCCGACGCGAACCGAATGAAAAAGGGACAGAACAATCATGAGTGGAGGTTCGGATTGGATGGTGACCTCCTTGCCGGCATAGGTCACATGCACCAGACACTAGACTTGGACACGGTCAGCATCATCGAGCCTGAGGATGCTGAATCGGACCTCTATCTGATTCGGCCTGTCGAGGTAGTCAAAGGTGGTTTTCGTCAAGAGTGTGACCGCGTGCTACCACAACTCTACGGTCGCGGGAAAGACCAGGAGGACGAGCTCCATAGGATTCGCCATCTCGGTCTCACTGAAGCAGCAAACTGTTCGGAATCACTACCCACGTTGACCGACGAGGCCTCAACCATTTGTTCGGAACTCTCAGACGAGTCGACTTATCTCCACGGACCATGTACGCTAAATGCACCTCCAATAGACAGCGCTCGTCGGCGCCTACGAAACAGTCCCCCGAAAGACGCAACTTTTACGACACACGATGAATCTATTCCACCGAGAGATGCAGTCGCATTCAAGGATGGGCCAAAGCAACGACTTAGCAAGATTCCGCCTGATCCACAAGTTTGCAAGACCGACCATGAAACGGATATGCAAACTGTGAACGCGACTGCGGCGTCACGAAAGTCCTCCGGTGGTCTGGCATCCGGGCTCAGGCACAGGCCGAAAGGAAAACAAAGAGCCAAACGCCGCCGTAGCGAAGACAATTCTGACGACGAAGAAAAGCACGGCGAAGATCCTATGCCGAAGAAACCAAAAAACGACATCGCGAGGATCTTGGCTTGTCCGTACTTTAGGTATGACCCGGTCAAACACGTCGACTGCCTCTTCAAGTACACCTTGACAACAACAAGCTACGTCAAGCAGCATCTCCATCGTTATCATGCCTGCCCGGACTTCTACTGCCCAACTTGTGGGGCCGCATTTGAGACTCAACTCGAGGGCGATAGTCACATCCGGGCCCGATTATGCCTGGAAAATGGATTCCGGGGCTTCCCAGATTGCCTTTCGGCAGACCAGGTCGTTCAACTGCAAAGCAAAGACGGCCGACGACTTCCTGAAGCCGAGCGGTGGCACAATATCTGGAAGATATGCTTTCCCCAAGAGAGCGCAAATCGTCCGTCACCGTACATTGACGACCTGCGGATCGTTGAACTCTACAACTCTGTTCAGGCCGTCTTACCTGCTGAATTCTGGCGACCTAGGGCCATTACCCGAATGCGGCAGACTGGTTTGGTTCTCAATGAAGAGCACTTCGATCAAGTGGTCGACATCTTCCAAGAGGAGCGTCTTGCGGCGCTGATCGCCTTTGCCAATCGTCTCAATGATGTTGCCGAAGCTTCCATGCAGAACACAAACCCCGCCGGGAACCGAGCCATGGCCGCTGATGACTCCGGAGGAGAAAGAGTATTGCATGACCACTCTGGTCTCGTAGCTCCTATTCCACTTGTCCCGACTATGATCATTTCTCAACCTAAGCCGGACTGGAGTATGGATTTTTCTGGGACGGATCACCCCCATGTTGCATCTGCATCAAATGACAGCGTTTCTCTCTTCACCTTATCTGTTTCGTCGGGATCGGGCTCGTATGTTGACGTTTCTTCTATTGACGAGTCGAGTCATTTTGATGATTCCTTCCCGCCGCATGCACCTAGTGGCTATGATGACGCCGGGAACTCCTGTCAGGAATTCGGATCGCTGCCTAGCCATGGTGACTGCGGCGCGGCATGATGGAGGCAAGTTGGATTACGGGAGATCGCCCTGGACCTTCAGCATTTAGGCGACATGGAGCAGACCGGAACCAGCATCACAAGGAGAATCTGGCCTTTTCTAATTGAATCATTTCCTACAGTGTTTCTACAGTAAGTCATTCGATGGTTCCAAGGGATATCTGGTTTTGTGGTGTTGGGAAGCGCGGAGCTCGGGTGGTTCTTTGGGCACAAGCATACGGATACGGGTGCTCAGTATCTTCACAACCGGCATGGAGGCGATTCCTGAAGGCAGCATTGCGAGAGAAGGCCCATCATTGTAGAGAAGTTGGTTCTGTCCTTCCCACCCGTCGTCTTATATCACATCATTATGCCAGCACGTATTTCGACGAGCATTGAAAAAATCATGATGCGTTCTGTCTAGCAGATTGGGCTCCTCATGATGACCCCTCCGGCTGACCGAATCTTCTGGATTGACTGGTGGATACTGGAATGGGACTGATCCAATTGTCTCGAATCAGATCAGGGGTCACAGCATCAAGACCGCGCAAATGCGCAGACTTGCCTCGTGTGACGTGTGCGGCACTGGCACAAATGTGCCTGCGCCTGATCCTTTTCGGTCAAGCTCAGTTGAGTCTGCCACTGGCTGCACGCCAACATTCCAGGTCTTGGTCACTAGCTTGCTAGACATGCAGCAGCCCCCGGCTAATGAAGCGCAGCCCTGTACTCCGCTTGATAGCGGTTTGTTCCATTGGTTCACTGATTGTTTCACTCATCTGAGCCCTCATGTTGGTGATAGCTTGGTCACCGTCGCTTTATTTGACTGTCCTGGCATCCAACATGCCCAGGCCTGTGATCGCTCAATCTGAGACAGTCGAGACACTCGAGCATTTTAGCTCATGCAGGTGTGCCCTGAAAACCATGCTAGACCGTTGAATACATATAGCACTGGGAAGGGCTCTTTGGAGGATAGATATGTTTCTCATCTACATCTCTGTTCGTAGTAAAGCCCTCGCGAATGCATCCATGTACATTACAGTGAATGTGAACTATGATTGAGGGCGAAACTCTGACTCAACTGTGCTCATCTCTTCAATGTCATGAGAACAGATGCTTGTCCTATCTTTTACTTATTTTTAGCCTCGGTGTTGTTCAAGGCATCATTGCTGACAAGCAATTGAGGCTTCTTGCGCAACATTATGAGTATTGAGTCGCCTGGTCTGGTCATCGCCTGTCCCGGCCCACCTCCCACTGAGAATGACTTAAACAATCCGCTTCAGTTCATTATTGGAGCTGCAAGAGTTTCTCCCGTTGCACGATTAAAGCCAATAGGAATGTCAAAGGATCAGCCTTATCCAGCCGGCCTGAGATTAGTTTGCATCCTGAATGCAGCATAAGTAGGGCATCGGTGGCCTTGTATGGTAAGCCTGGGCGCAGTAAGCACAACCGTGGCTGGCCACAGCTGCAGCGAAAAGTTTGAATATATAAACAGAGTCAAGTATTTCCTTCCAACAACCGCCATCCCTGCTCACGTCGATCGCTCGCTGTCCTCATGTCGCGGCTTTCGTTCTCTGGCAGACGATACTTCAACGATCATTAAACATGAAACTTCTGAATCTCGTTAACGGAAAGCTTCAAGTATTCAACTATCCGCCACCGGTGTCCTACGCCATTCTATCCCACACCTGGTCATCGCCGGCCGAAAACGAATGGTCCAGGTATAACGGAACAGCCAAGCCTGAAGCTGCTGGGACATCGGTTTTTCAAGGCATTCTTACAAAGTTCTTCAAGATCGCGCGGGAGCAGCGATATGAATATGTCTGGATTGATGCTCTCTGCGTTGACAAGAACGCCAGTGCCGACATCTCGGAAACCATCAACTTATTGTCAAGACTTTATCAAGGGGCTGACATTTGTCTTGTGTTCCTGGCAGACCTCCCTTGCGGATCAGCTTTGCCGTGTAAGGATACCTGGGCTCAATGTCGATTCTGGAACCGGGCTTGGACTCTCCTGGAGCTGGTCTTGCCGGCTAACATCCAGTTCTATGATGCCCAGTGGCACCCTCGCGGGAACAGGTTAACCCAGCCACTGCCTTCACTGATCTCTTGCATCACCGGCATTGACGAAGACATCTTGACCCGCGAGCGGACCTTGCGCGACACTTCCATTGCTTCCAAGATGTCGTGGGCAGCACATCGGGAAGGGACCAGATCCGAGGACATCGCATACTCCCTTCTGGGGCTCTTCGACGTTTGCATGCCTATTATATATGGAGAGGGAGGCCAGCGAGCATTTCAGCGTCTCCAAGAAGAAATCCTCAAGAACACCAACGACATGTCCTTGTTTGCCTGGACAAGTAACGAGAACCAGGTTAGCCGCGGTCTTTTCGCGTACTCTCCAATTGAGTTCGTCTCCTATGGCGGATCAGTCGCAGGGCGTCTTCCTTGCAACTTTGACGGATTCGCAGCGTTGACAAGCAGGGGAGTACTGGTGGAAGGGCAATTTTCGACACATGGGCTCGACCTCTTACTGGATTTAGGAGTCCAGGCAAACGATGAACGCCATACAGATCGTTTTGGCATTCTGCTCCGGAAGGGAGTTGATGGAATCTTCGAGCGCATCACACCCGGCGTTCTTCAGCAGCTGCCCGCAGACATGGAATTCTCAACCATGAGGGTCATGGTAGCCAAGGGCTCTGGCGAGACCGCCAAACAGACCCCTGAAAACATAAACCGACAATGTTCACTCTCTTCTTGGCCGTGTGAGACGCTTCAGCCTACTCCAAGTCTCAAGTACTCACTTCCAATCTCCCTCAAACGACCAAGCACGCCTACATCTTCTCAGCAGACAAGTGGCTCCTCAGAGTCAAGCACAACTCCAACTGGATCTGCGTTCAATCTCTCATCTGGTTCTGGATCAGACGGAACGGAATGGGTTGACCTTCACCATGAGACATGCGACGAAGTCGACTCCGACGACTACGAAAACATGGACGGATACGGTTCAATGGAAACTTCACAGCATACCGAGATTGAACAAGGATGGGACTCGGCCCAGTCAGATATTTCCGAAGCGACTACCATGGCATCACCCCCTCAGCCTCATATCGAAGATCAGTGGGATATCTGCAGCCGCATCCAAGCCGAAGAAGATCGTTCCAAGACAGCTGTTGCGCAGCTGTCTCAGGACACACTCGACCACTTCTTGAGGTCACAGGAGACTGAGTGCCACGCCACCGAGAAACGCATGAGGCGAGAGAGGAGGTCTAAGGGCAACGTCCGCCAACCCGCAAGACAGAAACGACAAGGGCTCGAGATTTCGGAGCTCGCATGCCCTTTTTATAAGCAGGACCCCAGAGAATATATTTCCTGCCTCATGAATCACGAGCTGAGAAGTATGGAAGACGTCGAAGACCACATTCATTCTCGGCATCGACGACCTTTCTACTGCCCAATCTGCAAAGCCGACTTCAACTTAGCCCTTGAACGAGATCGACATATCAATCAGCGCATTTGCGATCTTCGAGAAGATCTTCCTCTCAAGGGGGTTTCGGAGGATATGAGAAGACTCATCTCAAGGACTCGGGGTCACGGGAGTGAGACGGCGAGATGGTTCGAAGTATGGAACATACTGTTCCCTGATTCCGGATCCAAGCAGCCCTCTTCCCCACACCTCCGCAGCGGCCTAGGACTGAAGGTGTCAAACTTTCGGGCGTTCTGGCGCCGGCATGGACAGTCAAATACTTTGGACCGTCTCGCTACGCGACTTCCCTTGGAGGACGACGCGAACATTGAGGAACTTTCTTCGGAAGTCTTCTCAACTACGTTGAGAGCTCTGGCTTCAGAGTTCACCCGACAGGATTCCGCATTCTGATATACGTTTTGCCGCTTACACTCATCTCCCCGAAATTGGCAAATTTCAGGGAAGGTGGGAAAGAGGTGGCAGCATGTCGTCTCCGAGGCTTCATGTTCACTTACTACACGTGCGCCACGCGTGATACCAGATTGTTTTCTCGTGGTGTTTTTCTCTGTTCGGACGGTTCCGATTATTCTGTCACGTGTCACGACTTGTCGGCGTTCCGGGAGCTCAGGACTGGAGTGGGAGGATTGGCGTTCCGGGGCGTTATTCTTTTCTTCCATGACTATGTCGTAATCCGAGATGTCCGTCTTATATGTATAGGAGTTTTGCATCACAATAACTTGAATTCTTCTGTGGTTTTGCTTCAAAGCGGGCCGGAAGTTCGTTCTTCGCTGGGGGACAGGCAATGGTACATCTACATCTCTCCGGTCATCAGCCACAACGTCTAGTGACCCAACCAAGTGGTGCAAGTGAATTATTGATTACCTTTCAGTGATACGCAGATTATGTTATCCTCGTGCTCGACAGGTTTTCGAAAAGCCCCGTGTCGGTCACCTGACCTCTTGGCATGTCCAAAAGGACCAAGAACCAATTCTCCTCCATCATCACATGAATGTGGAAAGTGTCTGGTGGTGTTTACAACATGGAAGTATGTGGCAAAGGACAAATACCCAAATATCTATATATCCTACGCGTGTACAAAGTTAACTCAAAGGACTCCAGTCTGCCCTGACATTTGCGCCTAACATTATGTTCCATGTTGATCACCAGCTTGCTATCATGACGTTCCCACGACTTTAAACTGAAGTTGAATGTGTTCCAGCATCCGGACTCAATTTCACAGGTGAAAACACCGTGGCGTGATTTGTCGCTTCTTTCTCTTAAGACCATCATTGTGTTTTCTCAGGCTGAGATGGCAACATTAAGCCACTTCAGGTTCTTCTCTTTTCCCCCTCTTTTTTTCTCTTTTCTTATCGTTTTCCTTCTTTTTTTCTGTTTTCTTTTTAAAAGCTAATGGCAACTCAGATTCCAGTATGTCATCTTTGAGGGTTTTCCTGTAGTCTTACGAAAGGCCATGGTTGCGAGACAGTTATCTGTCATATCAAAGCTTTCACATAATGGGGCGAATGACATGAGTTGCTCCTGTCAAATGTCAATCACCGACACCATTTGACTCCCAATCCCCCCCAGATAACAGAGGATTGGCCCGATCTTACTATGTTATGTTATAAATTCCTCCCCTGGGGTGGTGTTCTTCAAACTCTGGTCTTCTCAGAAAGGCCAGAAGTTCAGATCCTCTGGGCCAATGAACACACTTCCCCATTCTGACTGCGCTTCAAAATTTGTATCGAAGGGTGAAAAGTCTTCTGATCCTTGAAACCCAAACATGCTTTGCGCTACATCACCTGAGTACAACTGCGATATTATTGGCAACGTCTCAGCTGATGCTGGATAGAAGTTTTCGGGTTCAGAGGTGGTTGACTCAGGCTGTCCAGGAGCCCACATATCAAACTGGGCGGGCAGATCTATGTCGTCGTACTGAGTAGAGTCTGTTTTCACCATGGCGCCGTCGTCCGCCGAAGCTCGTAGTTGCTGATCTAAGGTTTCTGCGCTCGAAGACGCGGGATCTTGGTTGGTAACGGGCTCTGGTACGCTGACCCTCGCAAGCTCCTCGAAAACTGACTGAACAAAATCGGTGGTCTGTTCCAAATGGTTCCCAGGCGGTACGGTTTGAGTTGTGTCGTTGGACTCTATGGCATGATTCAGATCTCCGACACCAAGTCTAACCGTGGAGTTCAAGCCCGTGAAGACTCTTGAGCTATTTCTCGTGAATATTTCCTGGGCCGTCAAGACAGTTTCCTCAACCTCGGTCTTTAGATAGGGAGAACTAGGTGGATTCACGTCGGGGAACAAGATCGACCACACGGTGAACCACTGTTCGGGCTCGGTCCGACCATTACTTGTCCTCGATGTAAGCTGCTGCCTCTGAGTCTCTGAAATGGTTTCCTTCCTGACATCTTCGCGCGGGCCAGGTTCGGTGTCGCACGTCATGTTTTCCGCATGTTCCTCGTACTTCTGACAGTCTGGGAATATCTTGTAACATGTCGAACAGTGGAAAGGGTGTTTCCGAAAGATGTGTTGCTTGACGTCTTTGACCCGCCTCAACTGGAAATGCAGGCACTTGAGATGTTTCACCCGGTCCAACTTAAAGTACGGACACGCAAAGCGTGCTTCTTCTTCTGTGCACGGAAGGCCTCGGCAAGCCTTTCGACCGGAGTCGGGTCCATTGCCACTTGGATCGGTAGCTCGACGCTTAGCCGGCTTCTTTTCCACTCTTCCTCTACCACTAGCCCCTAATGGTGCGGTATTGGATCTCGCTGTCTTCCTTTGACTTCCTGCATTCGCAGTGGTTCCGTGAGAAACGAAGTCGTCTATTGAGTGGAAGATCTCGTTTGCGTGTCCGTTTTCGACGTGGGCTGGAATAGGTGTGCGCTGATGGAGTAGCTCGATCTGAAGTGCATGAAGCTTCTCTGAGAACTCATTTTCTGCAGCTACGACCTTGTTAGTTCTTCCTGAGCTTTAGAGGGAGCGGCTGAACGGACGATTTGTTGTCTGGAGATGTCTCTGAAGGCAGTTGTGAGGCTTTTCTTTCGAAACCAGAGCTTCAGGCCAACCGCTGGCCTCCACAAAGATGAAGTCATCGACCTCATTTTCCTCGAGCTTGTATGAGTAACTATCGTGTTCGGCTGTCGACATGATAGGTTGTTTGAGTTCAATGACATCTATCAGAGGTTCATCATAGGATGGGCTGCCGTGAACCTGGAGTACCATATGTGTCTCCGCTTTCATATCGTCAGCGCAAATCCTCAGCGACGGGTTATCGAAGCACTTACAGGCTGTCTTTCCATGTACAACTTTCTCCCACGGTCGAGACATTGCCGCCGATATCAGACGCCCCACGAGGCCTCTTGATGCCGCACTCAACCGGTTGGTCGCTTCAGCGAACTGCCTAGACCGACTCTGCATTTCCTTTGATTTTCGTTTGGGTGTTCTCCGTCGCACGAGTAGACCTGGTCCGAGAATTGGGAATTCCATCATCCCTCTCTTCGGTCTGGCTGTCAAAGCTTCGATTTTGCCCAAATCTCATGATACGGCTGATGGCACCGGATTCTATCGGGCAGCAATCCACTCTCATTGCAAACAGGGTAGCAGAGAAGGAACCCGGCTGAGAAAGAGCGAGGAATCAGTCACAGATTACCTAGAGTCTCTTTGCACATGCGGTTAAGCTTGCCTGCCTGGCCGCGGTGCGCCCACCTCCGGTTGAGACGGTGGTGTTCGCCATGACTGACACCGCCTCACTCAACTCCACACCACCCTGGCTTCTCGGAGGTGGTGCGCAGAGCACCCTGTACAAGATGTAGGCGACTGGTTCGCACAACCATTTGTGTTGCGTCATGTCTCCCGGAAAGAATTCACAGACACCACTAGTAAGTAAATCATCATTATTCATTATTGTTCTCGAGCTCCGAGTCCTACTGTCAAGCCCGCTAGCCGCTCTGTCGTTGTCCGGTCCAGCCGGATGGGTGCCGCAATGACATGCCAAGTAACTTCCCAGCGTACAGCATTTCGATCACCTTCGTGTAGTCTGCTGCCACCTTTTATCAAATTCACCAATAGCGTGTCGCATGGATGACTTTCTGTCCTTATTCTTGGCCTCAAGTAACAACCGGCCTTGAATCGAATGTGGTTCGCCTATCCAAGCCTCATGTCGAGCATTTCTGGCGGCATGCGCACCGGGGCTAGATCTGCAGGGGGGTGGTTAGAACCTGGCGGCGATGAATCGTGGGGCTGCAACTTACACGACACCGTCTGTCCGGATGGAGCTATCCGATTTTGTAGGCATTTTGTGTGCTGCTCTTGTTTTGCTTTTAGATTCGTGAAACTGTGGACCAGGCTCGTTCAACGTCGCGTAGTCTGATGTGATTCAAAGTATGTCTTTGTTTGACTTTGATGGATGATTTCAAGTCACTATGTTTGAAGATTTCAGCAGTATTATATGAGCTCTAAAGCCCCGAGTCTAGCGAGCACAATACCCAAAATTGCGTCCCCTATGTCTTTCTGCGCAGATATCGACTTCACCAGCTGCAAATTTGCGCGTTACTCATGTTGAGAGACTGGGCGACCCCGACGATCCCAAGTTTCCTACCACGAAATTGAGCACAACACAACCTCTGTGGTAACAGGTAAATGGGCGGACTCCAGGGGCGTGTGGCCTCATCTGGTCATGGGAACTGATCCCCGCAGAGCGAGCATTTGCGCAGTGGCTTACCTGCGCAAATGCTCAGCTTACGACTGCTCAATCCAATGATACGTCCAGATTCCAGGCGAACCAGTTCGTCTCGGGACACACCAGCAGGTGAATAAGGCAATCGGATGTCTTGACTTTGGGGCCGGTGCCTGTTGAATCCTGGCTTCGACCGTCAAACGTAGGTATTTCTCGCATTAGGCACTGCACCGGGCATACTTTATGGGCATCCCTTGGGGGGCTAAGCAGCTATCCGCTGTTCAACATGCACTGCTTCTGCTTAACGCAGGTCGAAGCGAAGCTCTCCGGTGAGTCTGATGATGCAATTATGGTGCCCCTGCTCCCTGATCAAGAGACAACAAGGTCAAAAATGAGTGCTTCTGCCCCTCAATCTGGCTCGGGGGTTTGGCTGGTCGGTCCTCGTTCATTCGTGTGTCGGTGTTGCGCCTTGCGTAGTTCTCTCTTGCGTTCGAAAGAGTGCCTACTGAGGCGAAGCTGACCGTCTAACCAATTGGTTGACAACTGGACACCGAACAACCCTCTCTCGGCAGAGGAGAAAATTAAGAGCCTCAATCGGGGGAGAGGGCGGGAGGAAAGTGGAAATACTGAGGAACAAGGCGACCAAACCACACCCATTGCAGTAAGCGGGAGGCAAAAGACCAGCAAGACTGCGCTGCACCGCAACATGTTGAAGGCACGATTGTGCGCCAAATGAACTTCTTGAATGATTGGGAAGCCATAGAATGCCCGTGATCCCACCACGCCTTGCTTTCCTTGACTTGTCGATTCTAACCAACTCCCCTCCCTTCGTCTTCCTCTTCACCTCCTCTCCATTGTCGGCTGTACCTTGCCCTACCGCCTTTCTTTATCAACCCAGGGTATCCTTTTATTTTTTCGCCTTGAGGTCAAGTTGGTTGGTTGGAGAAACGGCCGCCACAGCCTTCCCCCGTAACCTTCCATCCCAATGAGTGGCACCCAAGGCCAGAAGCCGGCCAGTCCAAAAACAACGGATTATTTCGACATGAGCTTTGGGAAGTACCTTCATCAAAACACCAATAAACATTGTAGGACATCCCACGTCAAAGAGAAGCTCTTCGCTAACATTGGGTGAGGCTGCGAATATTCAGACACAATCAGCGATTCGACCACTGAAAATGGGGATCTCGAGAACGGACGGGACGAACAGTGGGATGACCCTTGCAGCCCCCTCGGAAGCCCTGCAACTACAGTCGATGGGGAAGACAGCACATCGAAACGACGGCAAGCCGAGCTGCCAGCACCGCTGGCTCGAGATTCCAATGCCATCAGGTCCCTCTTGAGCTCCTACGAAGCCGGCCTCGAATCAGATTCACAACACTTCTTCAATAACATTAATGCCGTACACCAACTCTTTGTACTGCTTGTCTTGTTGTACAATATCGGCAATGACCAGTCGGAAACAGTCCAGGCATCCGTTACATCCGTCACAAACACTATCGTCGTCATATTTAAGTTCCATCAAGCTTCGGCCGTTAAACCACCATCCTGGGTTCTAATCCTACTGGACAACCAGAAGGTCTGGCAGCCAGGCCGATGGATCGGCGAGTTCTCACGAGACTGGATTGACACCACCTGGCGGACAGCGCACAGCGTGTTACATGTCGGAGCGGTCTCGGCCCTGGCCACTCTCCCCTGGTTGAATCTTGCTCGTCTCCAAGCTCTGTGGGCAGCATCTCGAAGAAGAAGTCTACCAACTTCTCGGGGCGCTCAGACTCCCGTGCTGCCGTCCGAACTTAATACGGCCCTTCCCGTCCGGACGCACCCAGCCGGTAAACGACCCGCTAGAGGTGCTAAAGCCAATCCCGACCAAAGCTCGAGTAACAATCAACAAAAGCAAGACAAAGGAAAGGAGCCGGCCAGACGCCCAAATGGAAACGATGAGGAGAATTACGACTCGGCGGCGGAAGAAAACCCCCCCAAACGTCCAACGCGCACAAAGCAGGAGAAGAAGAATAAGATGCCTTTTGCATGCCATTTCTTTAAGCGCTGGCCCCTCAAACACTTGGAATGTCTCTTTCATCCTCAGCAGACTTGTCGCCATTTGAAGACTCATTATGCGAGGAGACATCTGCTGCCACCCTTTTGCCCAACATGTTGGGATATCTTCGGCACTCGCGCAGCTTGCAATGCGCATATCAGACTGCGAGCATGTTTTCAGACGATGCCGTATCCACACGGAGACGGCGTCACGGAGGATCAGCAGAATGATCTTGACCACCTGCCACCTGGTGATGGTGAGGAGAAATGGTATAACATGTGGCGCGTTTTGTTCCCTGGCGTTCCGGAACCGACATCGCCATACATAGACATCGAGCACTACGAAGACTACGCTGTAGATGCCGTGTACCAGGCAAGGGGTCCCGTGTTTACCGGTGGACTTATTGAGCTGCAGAGCAACCAGACTCTGAACGGAGACCAAGGGGAGCAAGTGATGAATCGCTTCTCGCAGGCTTTCGAGACGAGTTGGACGAATCCCAATGTGAACCCAGTCAATCCTGTGGACGCGCCGCAAATGATCCAGCAGCAACAGCAGCAACAGCAGCAACAGCATTACTCTCATGCAGAAAGCAGTTCTCAGGCCGCAGCTCGAGCCCCGGCGCAGAACCTAGGCCCAGGTATCCAACCACAATGCCAGAGCCATGCTGGAGGAAGCCATTCCCAGGGATTGTTCCCATCGGCCCAGCTTTTCATGCCGACATGGACTCAACCAGAGGACTTGCGTCAGCCAAACCAGCAACCTGCAAGCTACACTGCAGATGTGAATAGCCAATGGAACCAGGACGTGTCATCTCATCCCCAGCCTGGCCACCATCACCGTCAGAATGGAAACGGAGCGCATCATTCCTCTCAAAGTCAACATCCGCAATGGAGGCCTGCCAATAACATGCGTCGAACTCAGCCAATCCGATCAACTCCTCATGTGAATCACAGGTTCAATCCATACGGTGTTCCTCACCCTGCACAACCATCCTGTCCGTCGTCTCCGCCGCCAGAGGGCTTCGACGCAGCGTTCTTCAACAGCGAGTTCTTCCAGAGGATGATGAGCGAACTTATGGCACAGTCACAGCACGACACGCACCCTGACCAGACCTCGGCTGATTGTTTTTCGGGGATTCATCATCAACCCATCCCACCAGCGGCTGCTGCTACGCACGACATGCTGCAGCAACACGGCGTCGTACATCAACCACAAACGATGGTATCAGATCAAGTCTTACATGACATTGACCCTGACTTGCTGGGCCACAACTTCAGCGTACCTGCGCAGAACACACAACCCGCTGAGAATGCGGGCATCAATTCGGCGCCGCAGGCATCATCATCGCAAGTCGGTCCGGATCCCGCCACGGCAGATGAGCAAGAGGAAGACGCCGATGCCTCACCAGACGATCCCACGGACTTGTCGGACGTTGGCTCGGATTATTTCAACGTTCGAGGGGCGCCTTGATCCAACGCTCATTTCACCTCCCTTCCTCCTACCCCTAAATACCCCATTTTTCAATGTTGAAATGTTGTAATGATAAAACTTATCAAAAATACCCCGCGCGGCGTCTTGTGTATTTTCTTCTTATTGTTTGTATACCCCTTCATATACCCTTTCCCATTGCCCAAACACCACGCTGCACATGTGTACGACTTTCTAAGATTTATCCTTTTTTACTGCGTATTTCTCTTGCTCGGGAAATGATGACGACGCCATGGAATGGCGGGGAATGGGGAACGCATTACGATATCGAGGCTACGATGCCCAATGTGGGTTGTATCATTTGGAGTTATGGGTGTAGATAAAACTGTGAATAGGTTGGCTGGCGTTCATGCATAGTGGCAAGGGGATTTCATCTCCGCAGTGGCAGCTTTTTTATCCAGCGGATGGTACCCGCTGGGGAAAATGTTATCGATTTATCATCGGCTTGAGCACGAACATAGACAGATGAGCCATCGCATGGCTCAGGCTTCAGGTCCTCAGGGGACAATGAAGGCTCATCTAAATCAAGGCAAAAAACTGCATCAATTTAAACGCGATATCTTCCAAAGAAGCTCGAGTTTTCATTCAACTTGACATCATCTCATTGATTCATTCGCATCGCCTCAATCACGTAGGCTTTGGGCCCTTGGGTGGTCTGACATACACTACTCCCCGGTGATTATTCCTGGTCGATTTGCGTGCCAAAGTCTTAGTCAAATCTTCAATCTACCTTAACTCATCTCGTACTAAACATTCATCAGCTACCAACCACTCCAAAGCTCCTAGCTAAGCTCACCGTATTTTTCCCTGAAAAGGGACGGGCAGTTTGCTTGGCTCGGTTACGAAATGTACAAAACAGCATATCACCGCAGCGGAATAGCGCTCAAGAGCAAACTACTTCGGAGTCTTCAGGGCGTACATAACAATCACGTCAAGTTCGGAAACAAAGCTCGTATCTAGAGACGATTCAAGCCCGTGTGAAATAAACCAAACACAGTCAGACGAATGAAAGCCATCATCACTGGTGAATCTCACTTCTCATTCAAAACCGTTTTCTCTCAAACAGCCCCTCCCCCGCGATCCGCTAAACAGAAAACATTCAGCTGCAGAAATGCTCCTGACTAATCGCCCCAGCCCCTCAAATTCACGCGGGAACCGTTAGTGTTTCGGCATGTCACCCAAAACTCCGCGCAAAGGGACCCCTGGACATGGACAATCGCCACAGCTCCGGGGCGCAAAGATGCCGACTCGGTCCCCCCAATGCGACGCGCGGGACACACGGATCGTAGTTTAACCATTTCACCTTGAGCTCAGCTTACCTACTTGCCTAGCTCACCGTGGGTGGTGGCATCACGTCCCCCGACGGCTCAATTGGTCCCTCCGAAGCTGAACTCTAACAAAAACTCACCTCACAACCGCGTCTTCCGTACATCGTGTCAAGATCGCGAACCGCCGACAATCCTCGACCCTACTCACGAAACGAAACCGAAAGAAACAACAGCAACAATGGTCTCAACACGCTCCACCTCCCGCGCCCTCCCCAACGGCATCGACTCCCCCCCTCGAACCTCCCCTCCCCGCGCCGTCGCCGCCGCCGCCGCGACCCTGGCCCCGAAAGACAACAAATCCACCGCCCGCGGCTGGTCCCACGCCCCGACGCCCGTAACCCTCTTCTGGCTCCTGGTCTCGCTGCCGCTGGTCGCCTGGGACACGGGCTACGTGCTGCTCCGGCCGTGGACGATGCCCGGCGGCCACCTCCACTGGCCGCTCTGGGCGCCCTACGCGCTCTACGGCGAGGTCGACCACGTCTACGGCTGGAAGGCCTTCAACGCGCGCAACGGCTTCACCTCGGCGCAGGGCGCGCTGAACTTCGTCGAGACCGTCATGTATCTCGTCTACGTCTGGGTGTACTTCTCGCGCGGGCGGGCCGTGGACGGGCCGGCGGGCGTGAAGAAGGTCGTCGGGGGCCGGGCCGGGGCGTTGGCTGTCGTTGTCGGGTTCAGCGCGGCGGTCATGACCTTGAGCAAGACGGTGTTGTACTGTGAGTGATGGACATGCGAGAGGGAAAGGGTGATGGATGCTAATGGGTTGTAGGGGCGAACGAGTACTTCTCCGGCTTTGACAACATCGGACACAACCCTCCGATGGACCTGCTCTTCCTCTGGATCATTCCCAAGTAAGTTCCTTCTCCGCGGCGACCATCTGAATCGCGGACAGAATGCTAATGCGATTGGCGACAGCGGCGCATGGCTTCTCGGATCGGGGTACATGATCGCATCGCTCGGCGGCGAGATCGTCGACGGACTGGTTCTTGCTTCGAAGACGACCAAGACGGAATAAATTGCGATTCAGGCTGTGTATAAACGTTGCTGAAGAGCTGAAGCTGCATATATATATCGACGGGACGGTACCGAAATCTTGGGCGATGCAATGACCAACGAGGAAAGTTACGGGGTCGGCAGCGGGAGCTAAGGATGTAAGGAGGGTGAACCGGGTGGTCGTATCGATTAACGGACGGGACGGTACATAAGTTAGACCGGACTGCAAATAATGTTTTGGCATGTGTTAACCACGTTGCGTTCTCGACGATTTGGCTGGCTTGGGGTTGTTCAACGTGCGCCTGGTCAGCCATTTTCTTTGCGTTGTGCTGCAGCCATTATGCACCTCCGACGAATGCGGACAGCATCGCCGTCAGCGCTAATCGGTCAATCAACAGAATGTGCGACCGATATTCAAGTGGGTGTGAAGTCAAGCCTGATATGCCTTCTGGAAGCTTGCACATGGTCAAACAAAACTAGAACTCAGGCAATGGCACTGGGATTATTTCTGTAAAGAGTATTATTACTTCTATTCCAATCTCCACCCGGTTTTTTATATTACACAACATGTCTTCGATGGATGGCGACACCGTGCCACCCAAACGCCTTCATAAAAATGATACATGGAAGTAGTACAAAAGAGGGTGTCGTCGGGTATCTCTCATCATGTTTGAAACAATAGATACATAGAAAATCATGGCTCCTTGTCTCCAACAGAAGCCATGCTCTGCATTGAAGATCAAGCAACATCGTATTAGATGTGCAGCGGCGACAAACTGGTCAAGCCGCCAACATCCTGGAACTGCTCCCACTCCGGCTGGACATCTTTATCCTCGGCGATCATGGCTTCGAGAGTCAACGGCGCCGAAGCCTTGCGAATCTGAAGCGGGAGAGGTTCCAGCTCGTGACGGTCGAAGTGAGCCTCCTGCTCCTTGATCAACTCCTCGTAGTCGTGGGCGTAGCTGCCGCTTCCGATGACGCTGTGGCGCCTGTCGGGAGACCACTCCGAGGAGCTAGCACGTGGAGTTCCTGTAAATGAGAGCACGTCCCTGACACGCCTGCGGCCGCGAAGAGGAATGGGACTCAGCATCGGGGAGTCCTGGTTCGGCCAGTTCTTGTCCGGTGACTCAGGTGAGGTCGGCGGCGCCGTTGATTCGGCAGTGACGAAGCTGACGCCGCCGGCGGAAACCTCAGAAATCGCGCTCGACTCTGAGGAAGTAGAGAAGGAGCGCGGGGCGGGAGCGAGGGTGTTTGGCGAAACCTCAGGCTGCTCAACGGCGCGGGGCGCTAATTTGGTGACAGCGTTGGTGCCGTTGCCATAGCCGTGGACTACAATCTCGCAGTATGACGCCTTACGGGGGGCTGGGTTTTCTTCCTCGAACTTCTTGAAGATGCTTAGTGTCCGACGGAAGGGGCTGTTGCGAGACAAACTCCTGCTACGAGATCGGGCGGGTGTAGTTGGGGCAGCAGCTACCGACTGTCGGCGGGAAAGCTCATCCCGGCGTGCCTTGGCTGTGTAGTCGATGTCTGGCTGGATGACGATGCTGGGCGACACGAGCGTCGTGGGTGAGATAAGAGAGGGAGATATCGGGTTGTTCCAGTGCGAGATGGACTGCGAGCGTGTGACATTCGGAGTGAACTTGTGGCTCTGAAGAGGCTTGAGCCCACGGGCGTTCTTCCAAGGAGGCAACTGCTCGGTTGACACAGCCAGGTGGTAGTCAACATCAACGGAATCGCGGACCTCGGGAGGGGGTTGCGTGCAGTTGCGGAGAACCTGGTGGACAGCGTAGATCAAGATCCATCGCACCTTTCGGGCGTCAACAGGGCTGATCTTCTCCGTCTTGTCACTCTTCATGTGGGGTGCGACCGAGTCCTCCTCGAACTTGCGGTAGGCTCGGACGAACTCGTTGTCCATCATATCCGTATCGCGGATGTTCATAGCCTTGATGAGAGCAGCATGTGCAATAAGTCTCTGATCAGGCTTAAGCTTGTCACCCCGTGCGGTGTTTGCCAACCAGGCAAGTGACATGCGACGAGATGCCTTGTCATCGTCGATCTCAGGCAGTAACGGTAGCGGATGCTTGAGGGAGGGGAAATCGCATCGCTCATCGAATGCCTGCACGCTCTGCACGGCGCAGATGCCACCCTGAGCGAGCAGCGGGCTGCTGTCATCCGCGGTGAAGCCTTCGTCAACCAGCAGGTCGTACACTGCCTTGAAATCCTTGCGGAGGATTTCGAAAATTTCAGGGTCGAATACTGTGCTCCGGGAATCGAACGAGAGCGGCGGGTAGTAGCCGAGTCTCGTCATGTAATGCGACAGCACGAAGGCACGGAAACGGTCCAGGTGGGCCCGACCTCCGGCCGGGAGACCGAGATTTGTCTCGGAGAGCTCTTCCTCGAGGAATGTCTTCAACATGCTACCGGCTTGGCTGAGACGGTTGTTCATGTCTGCACGCGCTCGTCGAATGAGCGTCCTGGAGATGGAGCTGATGTGCTGCATCGTGTCAGTGCGTTTCTCGGGAGAGACAACGGATTCCAGTGAGCATACCTGATACTCTGGGCTGCAGAAAAGCTCCTCGCTCATTCCAACGCAGTGGCTGAAGGCGTCGATATACATGTCCCGCATCTGAAAGCACTCTGATAGGTGAAGAATGGCGAGTGCATGGTGCGGCTGGCCCTTTAAATCAAGGTATCCTTCCTCGTCCATGTAGGATGTGAGGTCTGTGAAGTTGTCTTCGTTGTGACCTCGGAACTCCGCCATGCTGTTCAGAAGTTCGATCAACGCGGAGCCGAGGTGTTCGCCGACGATCGAACGTCTGAAAATCCAAGCGAAGAAGTTGCGGGTTGCCAGATGGTATGCAAACGCTTGGTCCTTGTCGGCCATGGGAGGCGCCGGGATGTACAGCTCAATCTTCTCGTGAGGATTCAGGGCATTCCATCGGTCGAGATCCTCAAATGGGTCGCTGAATAATTCTGGCATCTCGGGGACGTCCCGGGACATGAACTTCTTGACGAAAGGATGACACTTCGCAGAGAGCAGAGCGCCGAAGGGCACCTTGAACGCAGGTCCTCTGCGCGACTGGCCTTTGCCGTATAAGTGGACGAAGCAGTTGCCGCCGCGAAACCATAATTCGGGATCCTGGGTTGGGTGTGAGTGTAATGTTCAATCTTGCGGCGCAAAAGTTGCAGGCTTACCCTTCTCAAGTTATCCCAGTCACTGCAGGATCTGGCAGCACCATCCCATCTCTTGACCTTGGAGATTGAGGCTACCCGTCCCTCCATCATGGGCACCCCAAACTTCTTGGACTTCCATGCTTGAGCTGAGATCGACATTGTAGGACTTGGTGGCGGAAGCGGCATACGAGGACGAGCTTCACGGCGACCGGTCTTGGTGGAAACGTCTACGGGAGACGGCTTCGGGGGGTTGGGACGTTGATATGGACGATTCTTCGGCGATCCTTTGGGTCCTTTGGGGGACTCCTTGGCCGGGTCTCTTCGCCATGGCCCGAAAGGCAAGCCAGCTGGATGCGGCCACAGCCTCATCTTTGGAGAGCTGACAACAGTCGATGGCGCCGATGACTGCAAGTGAAAGTGTTCCGGACCGCCAATGGGCCTCCAACGATCGGTCAGGACCCCCCGGCAAATCTGCGTTTGTTGAAGAGGGGGACTCAGACAGCTAGCGTGGTGACCAGTACGCCCGTAGGAGCGAACAATGAACTTGGGTCGTCACTCATGCCATGAAGTCGTCGAAAACGGCGAATCCAGGTGAACACACAAGCCGTGGTTGGATGGGGAAATTGGGTGCCGGAAACCTTACCAATCGTCTTCGGGTGGATGCCGTGATGGCTTTATGTCGCTTGTCCCAGATCAGAGCATCTCGACCCGGCTTTCGGGGACTGGACTTTACCAGCGCCGCGGTGAGACTAGTCGCCTTCCACGCAGTCCGAGCAGCTTGGAGTGACGCGGCGGGAGACACAAGGATGTCTACACGCCATGTTTTAGGCCGGCCCGCCTCTAGGTCGATGGACGAACCCCTCACTCACAGCCCTGTCCTGGCCGGCAGAGAGCGAGGACACCCAAGCGGGTGTGCCTGTCATCCATATCTTGGATGTGTTGTCAGGCTCTCGGCGTGAGAATGCACTGCGTGTGTAATCCAACGCGCCCAGGCACATGATGCAGCAAGCGTAAGCTTCAAGGCTGCGCCGCAGTTGGTTCCCCGTCTGTGAGCGAACCTTTCGTAGCAAAGCCCTTTTGGAATACATTGGTCCCAAGTTTGCAACATTCAACGGCGACAATTAATGTTCAGTCTGAAGGTCTCAAACAGACTCTGCGTATCCACAAACGCTGTTGCGACGCGGTCCAAGACGACGTTGGAATGATCGACAGAGGCAGTAAAGTAGTTTCCCTTCGATGACAGGAGGACTTCTTCTCTGTGCGAACCCTCGTACGGGGACTCGGGAGGGTGCTAGTCTCTGGTGGTGATGCAAAGCGTCATTCCCGGCTCTCCTCGCCCACCCTTCGGAGGGTTGACATGGGGGATCACCGTCCTCGACGCAGCTTTCGGCGCAAGCTTGCATGCACTTTGGAGCTCCCTCATTGGCCACCACAGCGAGCGGCTCACTCGATAGAGTGGTGTCTCATTAAGAATGGCACTAGACCGCGGGAGCTGTGCTTCGAAGTGCAGTGCCGTGTTGTGAGTGATGTCGGAATTGGACAGCGTTACCGAATCATCAGTCATCGAGGCGACTTCCAAATCCCAACGGTCGCTGTCGCATGCGGCGATTTGAGCTTGTTGCCGACCGTCTTCGTCTTGTGCACGTCAAACTCGATTCTAGGCCCCATGACTGTTGGATGACAGTGGTTGATAGAGCCAAGCAATGTCATCCGCGAAAGGCAACGGGCAACCCAGAACCACGGTGGCCAGGCAAATCCGAGACGTTGATAATGAGCTGCTCTCCCATTCGCTTTCTCTCTCGGGAAATCGATCGACCACTCTGAGACCTCACAATGGGCCCAAGGCCTATTGCAGGCTGCAGCGTCTCAAAGAACAGTGCAGGCAGAGACATGCTTCCGCCGCTGTGCTTCGTCGCCAAATGTGTCCAGACCACAGCCGAACGCTCCCGGGATCATCCAAGTCGGATAACCAGCACGATGGAACCTCGAGTGAAGATTCCGATCTAGGGTCATGCCGTCCGCCGAGGTGAACACCTTGTCCCTTCGCGTGAGCCACTCAGAGGCCAGTTCGATTGCCGTGATCGCAACTTCGGACGACTTCAGACCAAATCTCTCCGACCTGGAGTCGAGCTGGCCGTGGTGGCCGCCACCTTGTCGGCGGGAAGCTTGACGAAGCTACAGAAAGGCGAGAGGCCCAAACGTCTGGGTGCCCGCTGCTCCAATTGACATGACGTTCTGGAGCTCAGGCGCAACCCTAAGCGGCATAGAAGGATGCAAGCACTTTGATGTCTTTGGTCTGCGCGGCACATACCGTGCAGAGTGCTGCCATCCGTTCGAGTCGGCCCCAAGACTTGGCTAGGAAGTGTGCCCAGCACAAAGGAGCTCCGAAGCTGGTTCCTATCGACCTGGGCCGGCGTCGACTGCCGGACCGGAGAAGCGACTGTTCGAAGAGAAATGACAACTTTCAGCTTTCGCTCGCTTCGGTGCCTTGCACGACCTAGGCCGCCGCTACACCTGTCGCACTCCAGAGGCCTGGGCCGCTGCCCGCTAGCGTGACGCCTTGCCGCAACGAAAACGTCGAAGCTGAAGAGGAGTTCCCAGACAGATGGAAGCCCTAGAACGGCAAAAGGAAGCCTTGGACGAGGCCTGGACGAGTTAAGGTATGGCTGGCAAATCCGGCGGGCGGCATGGCGAACGGCAGCGTGGAGAAGGTTCGGGACCTGGGATAGACCGGTAGCCATTCACATCGCCCTCGGTGACACCGAGACCTTGGGTCTGGCCAATTCGAATGAGGAATGGTTTGCATTAGGCGAACGTGTTGAATGTGCCGAAAGAGGCAATAGGTGGCATCCGTGACGGCTCCTTCGAATCATCTTGGGTGAGTTCGCCGGCGACTGGTTGACAAGAGCCGGTCGTACGCCTCCCGTGGGTGACACTTTGCCAGCTCGAATGTCCGTCCATTCGGATTTCGGAGTGAATCACCATTCAAAGGCAACTCGAACGTGCGAATGAACGTGCCAGGAAGCGATGGATGGTAGAGAAGCGATCAAATCCCATGTCAATGGGATGTCAATGGGAAGTCAATGGACGTCAGTGGAAAGGCCGTGTAAGTGGTTTGTCCGGCCGAAGTGGAGGGTACGAGAGTTCGAGGTGGGACCCAAGAGATCTCGCTTATCTAATTGTCCGTTCTTATCGTTATCGATAGGATATCGGCCACGGGATCAAGGTAAGCCCGTCCTTATCGGCCCCGACCGCTCGCCGTACCCCGACCTTTCTGCCCCTCTGAGCCTAGAATCGCGGTGTTGGATACGAAGGCGAGGCCATTTTCGCGTCCGAGGGGCTCGCTCAGTGCAGAATCTCAAACGGCACCTCTGCACCTTCGCGCTGCACAGCCAGCCTCTCTTCCAATTACTGCCCTCGGAATCACTTCCACCAACCACTATGCCGTGGCCGTAATGGCGCCTCTGACTCCATACACCTACATCCGGTGCCCTTGTGCCGAGACCCGGGCCAGCGACGACAGCTCGCCGTCGACGCCAGACAGCCCGGAGGACGATGAGCGCACCTTCGACCCCCGAGCTCCGCGCGCCAACTACAGCCTTTACCCGCTGGAGCACTTGATGTACTGCGAGGACTGCCATCAGATCAGGTGTCCACGATGTGTCAACGAGGAAATCGTCACCTATTACTGCCCAAACTGCTTGTTTGAGGTGCCCAGCAGCAACCTTAAAAGCGAAGGCAACAGGTGAGGCGCCAGTGCTGCAACACGACTTGGGACGATCTTGCTGATGCTTCTGCAGATGTACCCGAAGCTGTTTCCAATGTCCCGTCTGCATCGGCCCCCTCGCGGTTACGAGCCTCGAGGAACGCTCCGAGGCAAGCAGCCTGCTCACGGCTGATGCGTCTGCCCCGCAAGGCGGTCCCTACGTCTTGGCCTGTTCATACTGCAACTGGAGCTCGACCGAGATCGGCATCAAGTTCGAAAGGCCCAATGGCATCCACGGCCAGCTGGCCAAGATGCAGAACGGCGGCCAGCCGAAGCTGACGCCCAAGGAACACAAGGAGAGGAAGAAGGAGAGCCAGGGAAACTATTCCCTGGACGCCAAAGACATGGATACCGAGCTGCAGTTTGCGCAACTTAAGTCGTTTTACCAGACGCAGCTTGCAAACTCCAACCCGTCGGCGGGAGGTTTGTCGTCTCTCGGAGACCTCGGCCTCTCCTCTCCCGGCTCCTTGTCGCGCATTATGAGTCTGTACACTGGAAACAACTATGGGCACAAGCAGGCGCGGGGCAAGGTGCAGATCATGCGGGAGGCTCTCAGCACGGACGAAGGCCTGAAGACGACAGACCTCGACGAGACGGCTGCCATCGAGAAGCTGCGCGCGACTCATATCGATGACACGACCACCATCGACCAGAACTCCCACCAACAAGACTCGGTCCGCTTCAGAGACCAGCTGCGCCCCATCCCCTACCTCCTCAGGACCAAACGATCGAAGCGATGCCCCATATGCAGACACATCATCAGCAAGCCAGAAGCAAAGATCTCAAACACGCGCTTCCGCATCCGCCTCGTCGCGGGGAGCTACATCCCGACCATCACGATCCGGCCCCTCAGCTCGGAGTCTCAGAACATCCCCTCCACGGCCAGGCCGCCCATACCCCAGGAGCTCTGGCTTACGCCTCTGAAGCCCATCCAGTATCTCCTGACCTTCAAGAACCCCATCTTCGAGACGGTCAAGGTGTCCCTGGCCACGCCCTCCAGCACTCCCGGCCGGTTTGCGAGCACCGTGACGGTGTTCTGCCCGCAGTTCGAGATCGACGCGAACACGGACATGTGGGACGACGCGCTGAAGGACGACACCGAAAAGGAGAGCCGGAGGGGCGAGGAGGGCGCCTTGCAGCAGGCGGAAGTGGGTAAGATTTACGACCGCGGCCGCAACTGGGTCAGCATCGTGTTGGAGGTGGTGCCGGCGTCCCTGAGGCTGGAGGCCAGCGGCGAAGCGGCAGAGGGCGCGCTGCTGGAGGACGAGGACGTGTTGGAGATTCCCATGTTTGTGCGGATCGAGTGGGAGACGGAGGCTCAGGGCGACGTCGGTACAACGGCAGGCAAGGAGAAGGAGGCTCGGGAAAAGAGAGAATTGGCATACTGGTGCGTCCTTGGAGTGGGACGCATCAGTCAGGAGTGATGCATTAGACGAATGATACCCACCTGATTTCAGTTCACTGATTTGCGTGTCGTTTGGTTCATGTCGACTGAGGAGCGCTGCATGGTCCTTTTGGATATCAAGACACCGACAACTCCAGACGTATTAATACACATGGTCACCGATTGGAAGTGAGATGAAGGGAGCGGTCAAGTGTGTGGTATATGCATTTTTGGGGCGGCCTGTGATTGAATCCGCCAAGCTACATCCTTTAGACGCCAGACCCTTTTGACCAACCAAGTCATTGCCATGCTCTCATCGCAGCAGACCAAATGCCAAACCCATCATTGACCGACCAGAATCCTTTTTTTAAGTGAACACGTTCCCAACCAAACAAAACCCATTATTCTATGAATGAGCAGTTTAGAAGTCAGAGGCACCGCTCTGGGGGAACTCGAAGGTGACGCCGCGGCCGGTGAGACGGCGGTAGACCTCGGAGTAGGTGTCGAGGCGGTAGTCGACGCCGCCGCGCTCCTTCTCGTCGAGGATGACCTTGAGGAGCTTGGAGCCGTCCTCCTTGGTGCGGAGGCGCTTGCCGACGATCTCGACGGGGTAGACGAGGTCGGTGAGGATGGCGTCGTGGACGGCGGTGAGGGTGCGGGAGCGGGGGCGCTTCTGCTTCTGGGTGTTGCGGGAGCGGGCGGAGCGCTTGGGGCGGGGGAGGATGCGGCGGGAGGCCAGGATCAGGACGTGGCGGTCGGAGAACTTCTTCTCGAGCTCACGGGTGAGGCTGGGCGGTCGTTAGTATGGAGGAGAGATGGGTGTGAGTGAGAGGCAAAAACTTACCGCTGCTGGACGCGGTGGAAGCCCTGCAGGGAAGGAACGGGGACAAAGATGACAACAGCCTTCTTGCCGTGGCCAACCTCGATCTATACCAAGATCAAAAAGTCAGCATGCGAGCTCCAGGACGATGCCTTGGACCGCTTCCCGTCCTGTTCCTGAGATTATCATTCTTTTCAGCGTTCAAATCTCCGCCGCCACGGGGGAGCAGCGAGAAAGAGAAAACCACCACACAAGACTCGGAGTCAACCCTCCGCGCAGAGAATCATATTCCAGTTCCCTTCCTCATTCTCCTCGATGTCTCTCAATCGGCGGAAGAAGTAGGTTCGCTCGGGTATTTCACCGGGCTTTTGCGCATCGGGGGTCCTCCTTCTCGTCGGTGGTGTTTTCTTCTTCTTCGCAGCGTGGCGGCAGGAACAGGATTGTCGAATTTCGGAGAATGCGTTCCTCGACAGGGAATTCTTTCAGGTAGTTCTCACCTCGCGGGCAGAGACGAACTGCAGAGGGCGGAGGGCGACCTTGAGGTCGGCGGTGTTGCTCTCGAGGTCGTACAGAGCCTGGGCGATGCTCTGCTCGAGCTCGGAGGGGTTGGCCCTCGAGGGGCTGTTGGGGGCAATCTTGTTAACCGCGGGGCCGCTCATCTTGACTGATTTGAGGGGTTGGGTGGTTTTGGCTGGTTGGCGATGGTCGGTTGGTTAGTTGGAAGCTCGAGCGGACGAAGTCGAAAATTCAAAGGGAAATTTCGCAAAGTGCCTCGCGACGACCAGGGGCCAATTGGATGCGCCGTGGTGATTGGGGTTTGCAAGCCCTGAGGTGGTGGTCTGTGTCCCTCGTCTTTTTTTCGCCTAATTTTGACTGGACCGCTGGTGCTGCAGACCCCACTCGTTCTGGTGTTCGCGCTTGTCCCGTTTTGGACGGTGGGGTTTCCACCTCTTGGGCCTGTCCTTGGTGATAGTCTCATCCTTCTGCAGTAAAGAAACAGAACGGCCTTCTTACCAATGGCCAGCTGTAAGAAACAATGTGCAAACGATCGCAGACAAGCATGGGAACAGCGATTCAATTGGCATTGAATCGCCGTTCTTGAAGAGCGACTCTTTCATATGGTTCTCACGGCATTCACGCATTTCCATATGCGTTTGAACTGATTCCTATATCAGGCGTGGAATCGAGTATTCGAGATACCATCCAAGCATGCACTATCTCTATGGCAGTTCGGTCAAATATGGCATCAATCGTCTCTTTGTTTATCATTTTGATCTCCTCTACTTAACTAGAAGTGGTATTACACAGGACATTATCCCCAGATACTCCGCCTCCCAGACCCTGGATATTACCCATACGAAGCGAATGTGGTTTTGTTGTACAAGCCGTTAATCATGAGCTAGACATGAGAGCCTGCTCTGCCTCAATCGTCCCCCTCACATCATACTCAGAGCCTTATCATTGCGCTCCTGTCTGTCGATCTCCTGGCGGAATGCGTTGACCGTGCCGGTGGTCTGGGTACTCGGCGGCGGGGGTCTCGGAGGCGGCATCATCTCGACACCACCACGATTCGCCGACGTGAACGTGCCGTCCGCGAGCCGGAGGCCGTCCGTTCTCTGTCCACGGCTCTTTCCCACACCATAACCCTGGCTGCGGGACGTGAACATGCCCTTCTTCCTGCCGTACCACCAGACGAACCAGCCGATGCCGCCCAGGGCCAACACGCCAAAGATGACCGGAAGGACGATCCCGAAAACGTTGGCGCGGCGGCGGAGCGGCTCATCTGCCTTTTCCCTCCTCACGACGCGCACCTTCGGGCCGGGCTCGCGGGAGGTGATGCTGCCGTTGGTGGCGGGCACGGCCAGGAACAGCTGCACGTCGAGGACCTCGCCGACGGGCATCTCATACTTCAGGACGGACCAGGCGAAGAAGCCCTGGGACGCCGAGATCTCGAGCGAGGTGAAGCCGTGGCCGGGCTCCTTCATGAACTTGTTCACGCCGTAGTCTCCCTGGATCTGGACGACGGTGTTGGGGGAGGGGAAGAGGGAGGCGTCCCAGGTGACTGGTACACGATTAGCGGCCGTCCGACGGGGCGCAGCCGGTGCAGAGGGAGGGGACAGGGCTCACCGAAATACGTCTTGCCGCCCTCCACCTCGCTGTTCTTGGCCGGCGCGCAGATCGGCTGCGTGAGCCCGCCGGAGCCCGCGGCCGGGTTGCAGAGCAGGAAGGAGCCCTCGCCCTTGGCGTCGGCCGTCGGGAGCGTGGTGCTCCCCGGGAAGGTGGACGTCGTCTTGCCGTCGTTGATGGTGGGCGTGATCGTCTTGGTGGCGCCCTCGGCTCCGACGGTGACCCAGGGACGGAGGGCCATGTTGGGAGGGTTGCTCTCGCGGGGGAGGATGGCGGCTTGGGAGAGAGCCAGGCCGGCCAGGAGGGCCAGGCCTTGTGATACACGCCAGGTGACCATGGTGAACGGGAGAAAAGACGAAAAAATGCGAAGACGAAAGACGGAAGAACTGCCAACTAGCGGCACCTTGAAGAAACGAAATGGGGTTCACACAGGAAACCGCAGGCCTGTGGCCATGAGAGGAACCAGACGGTTAAGTATCGATGGTTCAGCACTGGGCATGTAAGATAGGACGAAGTGAAGGCTGATCGTGTGTGATGATTGCCACGGGACACCTTAATTGTCTCTTGAAACTCTCACATGTTGCCTCATATGTTGCCTCCAGTCCTGCGCGGAACGTTGAACAACCGGCTTCTCTCACATCCATCTATGCATATGATCTTGATGAAATCTGCATCCTTTTACCCCGCAAACTCAGGCATATGTCAGCCAGACCTTAGCTTGTTCCTCCTCGATTTTGACAGCTTCTAGTGACCGTCTAGCAGACGAAGGATTTATTCCTGGCCAAGACGGAGACCATTGAGGCAACTTGCTGACTGAGACCTTTTGCCTAACGAGACGGACCAAAGACGAACCATCCCACTGTTCAGCCGGCCTCCGAGAACCGAGCGATGACAAGGGACGCGGGGCCGTTCGCTGACATGCAGGGGGCTTCCCTCTCCGGTTTCAGGAAGTTTGGCATGTTTCCTTCAGACCGGTCCTACCACGGGTTGAGATGCTATTCTGCGGCGGACGACACCAAATTCGGGGACCGTTAGGGTCCAAGCCAAGTCGTTCGCAAGTCGCTGTTTCTCTCGACGAGAAGGGCACTGTGCCGATGGAGGTCAGGGCGGCTCGCTGGGGCCTCTTCTGAGGGCAGCTCACGTCCCCGAGGACCCGTTGAGTTCGAGAGATGAGAAGCATCATCTGCAAGGTTCGGCACTTTGATGAGACACTCTTATGTGAGCGGATGTATGGTTCGGATGAGAAGATGAGGGTTGCTTCGACCGGAGGCAAGAGAGATGGCGGGACTCAAGGCGTCCGGGATTTGTCCGGAGGGTCCGGCGCTCCGGGGACGAGGTGGGGCCATGTCCGGCGTTCGCGGGGCGGAGGCGCGGTGCGGTGCTAGTCGGAGGTGCAGCACTGTACGAATAGGCATCGACGATTGATTGATTGGCAGGGCAGGGGGTAGGCCAGATGTTGAGGAGATGGAGACAATCTCTAATTGACTCATATTGCGTACCCCAGATTCGGCGAGTTGCCTCCATTTTTCCCGGCACATGTCAAATCATCTCGGGAATCTGTCGGTGAGATCCAATACCACCTTACCCAGATGGTGCAGGCTGGAAAAGAAGATGCCGTCTTGGCCAAGATCGTCATCGTCAGCAGTGACAGATGCAGCAACAGGCCGCATATGCCGCCGTTGTCAGCCAAGACCAAAAAGGCCGCACAAATCCAACGGAGACGGGGCGCGCGGCGCTATTGAAACTTTTAATGGCTTCTTATGGCGTTTTTAATGGCAATCCGGACGGGTACCAGCGGGGTCCATCGCTGCTGGCCGTTAAACACCAACGGTTGACTCGTGTCTCTCTGCTTGGTTTTCCCTGTCTATCATCTTTCTTCGCACGTAGATCGATCATTCACGTCGCAGGATATATGCGATCTTGATATAATTAGCGGCCCAGACCAGCAAAACAGATGAAGCTTTGTTCGTCTGTTTCGCCAAGCTCCCGTTCGCCGCACCTTGAATCCCTCAACCACCATACCCACACCAAACCAATCCTGTGATATCTGCACTGTCCCAACCTCGATCCTTTTCGATTTTGGTGTTTTCCTTCCCCTCTTTTCACCGCCGTACCTTGCCTTAGCCACCGGGCGGTCCGTCATTTCTTTCCCCCGCCGGACTATCGACAGACACCGTTTGTACACCGTCTTGGCACACCGTCCCTGCATTCTGCGCAGTGACGTCTCTTTTTCTCTTTTTCGCTCTGTGGACGAATTAATTAGCGCGCGATCGTCGGACCTTCCCAACAAAATCTTCCGAAGCAGTACGAAGGTGGTGCGGCATTCTTCATCTTGGCTTACTTCTACTGCCGTCTCTGTCTGTCACTGCTTTTGCTCTCATCCAATCGCGCCAACCCTCCGGACCTGCAGCCGCGTGCCTCCGTCTCCTCTCCTCCGCCTGCCTCCGTACCTTTTCTTCCCTTTTCTTCCTCCTCTTTAATCCTCCCTCTTCCCCTCCTCCTCCTAATGTTTAAAGCCATCCCCGTCCCGCGCTCCCTACTCTCGTCCGCGCGACTCGGCCGTCCTCTTCTCCCTAGACCCTTCAGACCTCAGCATCTCCAACCCCTCCAGCGCGCCAACTTCACAAAGGTCACAAAGCCCATCCCCGCCAAACCAGACTTCGACAAGATGGCCGACAAGGACATGGAGAAGTACCTCAAGCAGACGCACGACCGCGTCTTCGAGCACAACAAGGCGTGGGCCGAGCAGAAGAAGAAGGAAGACCCCAACTTCTTCGTCACCCTCTCGGCCGGCCAGACCCCCGAGTACCTCTGGATCGGGTGCAGCGACTCGCGCATCCCCGCCGAGCAGATCACAGGCCTCGGCCCCGGCGAGGCCTTCGTCCACCGCAACATCGCCAACCTCGTCAACAACATCGACCTCAACGTCATGAGCGTCATCAACTACGCCGTCCGCCACCTCCAGGTCAAGCACATCGTCGTCTGCGGCCACTACGGCTGCGGCGGCGTCAAGGCCGCCATGACCCCCAAGGACCTCGGTCTGCTCAACCCCTGGCTTAGGAACATCCGCGACGTCTACCGCTTCCACGAGGCCGAGCTCGACGCCATCAAGGACGAGGACGCCCGCTACGACAGGCTCGTCGAGCTCAACGTCATCGAGCAGTGCCGCAACGTCATCAAGACCGCCGCCATCCAGCAGTCCTACGCCAAGAACAAGTTCCCCATCGTCCACGGCTGGGTCTTTGGCTTCAACGACGGCCTGCTCAAGGACCTCAAGATCGACCACGAGTCCATGCTCCACGACATCCAGAAGATCTACCACCTCCCCGACGCTTAAGTCGGACGCGGTCTTCTGGGCGAGGGGGCGGTCGTGCAAGGGTCACGGAGTAAGGGAAGCCGGAGGTGAGCAGTGACTCACTCGTCGAGTCGCGCTCACCGATCGCATCGCGGACATGGGGGAAATTTTTTTTTTCTTGTTGAGCAGCACCTGGTGCAGATCGGGGATGGGGTTGAGATTTTTGGACCGAGACATGTTGGCGGCGCCCCCCACCGCGGCCCATCGATCGGGCTTAGCCCAAACGTCCAACATCTCAAAGGGGCGCAACCCCGCTGCCGTGCATCTCCGTGGACGGCGGGCGGGAGAGTAGAGTCGTTATCAAGCTGTCACCGGCGGTTGGCATCGGAGTTGAGGATTGAGTTTTTCTAGTGCGGCATCTTTGGGGCGAAGGAGGCTTGGTGTAAGAGGCGAAGGCGAAGGCGAAGGTAAATGCCGCTGGCACGCCATTCTGGAATACGGATCACTTTGAGTATGTAGGTATGGAGAAATGATAAAAAAGCACTATCTACCAACAATTTGTCTACATGGTTTCTACGATACGGTTGGAGCTGTATATGTGATCTACGGAGCTATATTTTCGTTCTCCAGGTCTAATAGTCGATACTCACACTTGATGTCACGATCTATGAATCTTCAAGCTCGATGATGTTCCTAGCATCTGGTCAGCAACGCTCCAGATGGTCCAACAACCAACTCACCACGAGCAGTTCCACGCATGTCTGCCTCCCAGGCTCTTGCACATCCCACGACTTCCCTGATTATCGGGAGCAACATCGGCCGAGCCCCATCCGTCCGGACCGTACTCAGCAGAACTCCTCTTGAAGAGCTTGGCAGCGAGTGCCTTTGCATAACCCCTCTTGCGGTATGGTTCCTTCACACATCGTCGATATCAGTTCCTTGCTGCTTATATCACATCTGCCTGAGACGTCACTTACCTCACAATGAAGACTCGACAACGAGGCATCGGTCCCTGATCACCGTCAATATCAACCCCATCAAAGAGAGCCAAGTAGATGAACCAACCCAAGAAAGCCCACGCAATAGGCGTCCCATCCTCCAACTTCAAAACCAAACTCGGAAACGACATCAACGTCTTCCTAACACCAAAAGTCAGCTCAAAACCCTCCCACAAACCCAAACACAGACATACACCTGGCGCGGAATATGCGTCCTCGAAATCACAACCTCGCAATCCCTCTCCCCCGCGCTCCCCCACGTCGCGCCCTCCGGCAGGTCCACCTCGAAATCCGGAATCTCCTCCACCCGGAACAACCACTTCTCGTACTCATACTCGGCCCGCGGCCTCACCCTCACCCCCCGCGCGATCATCACCTCCCTCACGACCGTGGCCAGCGTCCCGACCAGGCAGGCGCCCGGGTACGCTCTGTGGTCCGGCTGCTCCTTGCTGATCTGCCTCGCGGCGTCGACGACGGCGAGGATTTGGGATTCGCAGGCGGCGCGGTCCGGGGTGGTGGTGGTGGGGGAGGTGGGGGTGTCTTCGAGGGTCGAGTACATGAAGAGCGAGGTCTCGATGCCGGAGCCGAGGTCGAGGTAGGCCGCGGCGAAGTCGCGCGGCGGCGCGGAGGAGGAGGGGTCTGAGGCGAGGATGATGCGGGCCGTGGGACGTTGGCCGTTCGGGAAGCGGGTGAATTGGAGGCGGCGGAGGAGGGGGAGGGAGGTGGGGAGGTGGGATTCTAGGAGGGGGATGAGGCCGTCGGGGACCGTGGTGTGGACTGTCGCCATTTTGGTGAGACTGGGTGAGTGAGGATGATTCTGATGGATGATGGTGATGAAGACGGTTGTGAGGTGTGAGTTGCGTGGTTTTTTTCGGCGTTAGTGATGTGTGATTGATGCAGCATTACATCAGATGGTTGGCGAAGCTGGATGAGGCAGTTGGCGAAGGGATAGTGACTCATTGTGTGGTGACTCCGTCGATTGGGTATGAGATGAATCACATAGCTAACATGGAGATGCTTAAGAAGATATCATCGTCAATTGGATTATGGAGTTTCCGGCATGAGTTCACGTGCCGTAGCCTGATGGCTTAATCCTCAAAAAACAAATAAGCTATTATGAGATATAATGGAATCGGCGATTCTGCCAACAAGATATCAGACTGTACTGTTCGACTGGATATCAGTTTCTCGAGGCTTCAATCAATAGACTCATAATTCAGGAGACAGGTGATTCTTACGGACCAAATTCAAAGAACCACGTAATAACAGAAGGATGTGAATGCTTCGATATTTGACGATTCAAACGTTGAAATTAAAACTACAAATAAAACGAACAAAAAATTGACACAATCACCAACCGCCGTCGAGAGCTCTCAAATTTTCATTCAAATGAAAGCCTGTCAAACTACGAACATGTTAATCATAGTAAACTAGCCAATGATGCGCGAATCATTACAACTCTGAAGGCGAAGATAATTATTCACTCATCTTCAGACTCAAAAACAGCCAGTGACCTGCCTCCACGATGAGCCCCACACGGGACCGCTCAGTGAAAATCTGCACCCTCAACTCTTCATCAACCAACCAACACATCACCAATCCCCAACCCAACACCACGTCAAATAATTTCCAGAAAAGATGTCGGGATACAGCCGCGACGCCGTCGTCAACTGCCTGACGCGGCACTACGAGCTGCTGGTGCGCATGGGCTACATGGACGCCTCGGTCGTGCAGCTGCCCCCGGTGACGACGGGCTGGAGCGACGCCGAGCTCCGCGTCGACGCCCTCCGGGCCATGGGCCGCTCCGAGGCCGTCATCGACCTGCTCCGGCACATCCCCTACCTCCGCGAGAGCGACAACGGCGACGCCCAGGAGATCTACAGCGAGACCTTCCCGCTGCGCTACCTGCGGGACGGCCGCTGGTTCGGCACGGCCTCCGCCGACGACTTCGCCAACACGCCGCTGCTGGACCTGGGCTTCGCGCCGTTCGACGGGCCCGTGCCGGCCGGCATGGTCTCGTTGACGCATGCGGATGAGGGCATCTGGTGGCTGGTTGATACGGATGAGGGTTAGTTCACATTCCTGGTGGGCAGAAAAAAACGTATGTGTACTAATTTGTGGTAGGATGCATTTATCCCTACGGCACCGAGTTTGAGAGCGAGGACGAGGCTCCCGAGGGACAGCCGTGGAAGGCTGTCGAGCCGGTGGACATTCAGACTTATTTCGATGGCATCTACGCTCAGATTGGCAACTTGGATGTTGTCCCGGCGCCGCGGTCCGGGAAGTGGGATGCGAGGGTCGTGGAGGAGCACACAGAGGAAGGCGAGGTGAGTTTCAATCGCTGAAAATCATGAGGTACCATGACCTCCGCTAATCTGCATTTTTCCTGCATTTCAGTTGATCAAGAAGCTGTATCACGAGTACGGATGGCCCGATGTATTCCGTAAGGAAGAGTTTGTCCAGGCCGTCGAGCAGAACCGCGCTGGTTTCCTTGAAGCGGGACTTGGGGATGACGATGACGATGAGGAGATGGCCGGTTAGGAACGCCTTCAATTGAGCGCACGGCCATTTCGGGATGGGATGAACGCTTTCCTGAACATGTGCGAGGTTCACCCACGGGATTGCGGAAATTAATGACGATATCACGAAACGAACATGAAAGATAGCGATCTGGATAGATATCGGATCGCGGAACACAACTTCGGATGACGGATGCTCGCGGTATCGCCTGTCCTTGATCGTTTTTCCTGAATCCTTTATCAACTGCACTGCCCTCCGCAAAACTCCACATCGCCAACCATTTCACGACTTCGCTGACTAGCCGACCGGCCGGCAATGGGAGCCTCTCGTTTGCCGATCCGGGATGTTTCTTGCGGGGCGCCCTCGGTGAGAACTGCCATTGTGAGCGTTTCGTTTGGCGTCTTAAGTAATTCGCACTCGTCCTTATCAACACCGCTCACCTCACTGGCTCCAACCCGACCCGGGGCCCCGGTCTCCAGAAGTGAGCGCCGACGATATCGGAGAGAAAAGAGACCAGGAGGGTCCCTCTTCGCTTAAGCAATGCCATCGATCTGCGCGAATCTAGCGTGCTCGCTGGGGAGCAGCTCCCTCCGCTCTTCGAGCCGGTTCCTGAGTCAGGGATCCGGGCTTCTCCAACTCTTTTCAATTCTCCAAGATCAGTGGTCAATGGCTCACACCGTTAGACTCGCCTCCATCAAGACCATCCCCGCGGCGAACGGGGTCTCCTTCTGAGCGGGTCGTCGGGAAATTGTCAAGAGAAACAAGCGGAAGAGGGGAAAAGAGAACGGAAAGCCAAGGACCAACAATGCGTTTAAAAATCGGCGACGCCCGGCACTGCGCTTCGGCGTTGTGCCTCCTCTTCACCTGCTTCACCCACGGCGAAGAAGCACAACAGCATCTCGGAGACGACGAGGGGTCGACGCAGTCCACAATCATGAAGTTCTCACCGACGCTCTTCGCGGCGTCGCAGGCCGTCCTCTCCCCGGTGGCCGCCGCCGCCTACAACCCGGTCACCCTCAAGGACTACGGCTCCTTCACCGGAACCGTCGTCAACTCGACCTTCAGCGGCCGCTCCCTCCCCGCCCCGGTCGACGCCTGGCTCGGCATCGACTACTCGACCCAGCCCGTCGGCGAGGGCCGCTTCAAGCCCGTCACCTGGCCCGCCGCCTTCAACGGCACAAAGGCCGCCACCGCCTACGGCAAGACCTGCATCCAGGACCCGACCTCGACGGACGTCAGCACCCAGGACGAAGCGTGCCTGAGCTTCAACGTCTTCCGCACCCGCGGCGTGCCCCTGGACCAGAAGACCCCCGTCCTCGTCTGGATCCACGGCGGCGCCTTCTACGCCGGCAGCTACAAGAGCTTCGACGGCGCCGCCTTCGCCGCCTCCTCCAAGGAGCCCATCACCGTCGTCAGCTTCCACTACCGCCTCAACTCCCTCGGCTTCCTGCCGTCCGCGCTCTTCGACGAGGAGGGTCTGCTGAACCTCGGCCTCCTCGACCAGCGCCTCTTCCTGCAGTTCGTGCAGAAGTACATCTCCGAGTTCGGAGGCAACCCCGAGGCCGTCACCATCGGCGGCCGCTCCGCCGGAGGCCACTCCGTCGGCATCCACTACTTCCACAACTACGACGAGGACGCCGGCAAGCCCCTCTTCGCCGGCGCCATCCACCAGTCCGGCGCCGTCACCGCCCGCGCGTTCCCCAACGCCACGTACCCGCTGTACGTCAAGCAGTTCGAGACGTACATGAACTTCCTCGGCTGCCCGACCGACGGCGACAACGCCGCCGCCCTGGCCTGCCTGCGCGCCGCGGACATCGACGACATCCGCAACATCAGCACCCAGCTGTACAACGACTACGACCCCGCCCTGACCTGGCCCTTCCAGCCCACGCAGGGCGGCCCCCTCCTGGAGAAGTTCGGCTCGCAGTCCGGCTACGACGGCACCTTCTTCCACGTCCCGACCATCACCTCCAACGTCAACGACGAGGCCAAGTACTACATGGTCGGCGACAAGGAGACCAACGAGGAGTTCCTCGACTACCTCCACAACAACTCCCCCGCGCTCAACAGCACCGACCTGGCCCTGCTGGAGGCCCTCTACCCGGACCCCGCGACGCACCCGGACTCGCCCTTCGCCAACTCCCCCAACAGCACGCAGTACAACCGCCTCTCGGCCGCGTGGAGCGACTACGCCTACATCTGCCCGGGCCAGGAGACGGCCTACCGCGCCTCGCTGGCCGACGTGCCGACCTGGAAGCTGCGCTTCAACACCAACAACTCCTGGCCCGCCTGGAGGGGCATCCCGCACACCGCCGACACAAAGTACACCTGGGACGAGCCCGTCGTGCAGTACCCCGAGATCAGCCACATCTACCACGGATACCTGTCCAGCTTCGTCCTGTCCGGCGACCCGAACACGTACAGATACCCCGGCAGCCCCGAGTGGCCCAGCTACAAGCCCACCGGCTACGGTCTCGAGTCCGAGCCCGCGCTGCAGCTTGTCGTGGAACAGAACAACCGCACGAGGGTTGAGAAGGACGAAATTCGCAGGGAGGCTTGTCTTTACTGGAGAGAGCCCGAGAGAGCCCCCAGGTTGAACAAGTAAAATCACTATAGTGTATAATGATTCATGTATAAAATTCACTTATATTAGAGCGAAATATACTTGCAGCCTAAGAAGAGTATTTCCAACGGTTCAAACCCAGAGCTCATACCCGTATATACGTATCGGGGTCCCCTCCTAAGTATGTCTCTTGCCACTCATCCTCTAACTTCTGATACTTCTCAGCCTCATTCTTCTGCCCCAACTCAGAGTGCAACTTGACCATGTACCCATACCGCCAACCAGCACCCATCATCAAGTCCTCCTCCCGGAGAAACCCAAAGCCCTGCTCCATGAGCCCGACAGCCTCCGCCGTCCTGTTCTCCTCCCACGCGTCGTCCGCCTCATACTCCAGCTCGCGCAGCCGTTTCCTCCTGTCGTCCGACGCGGCGATCTCCTCAGCGGGCGCGGCGCACTTGGCGCATGAACACTCGAAGCCGAATTCCTTCTTCAGCATTTTCCGTCGACGCTCGCGCGTGAGCTCGGGCGAAATGTAGCTGATGGTGATCTCCTCGCCCTCCGCGATATCGCGCTGCGCGAGAATGGTGCCCGCGAGTTTGCTCCGTAGCAGACGGAGGTAGGCGTTGGCGTGGCAGTCGTGGTTGATCCTCGAGATGGCCGGGAGGACGGCCCTGTTGGGCATTCTGATGTTGATCCCGAAGGCGTTGGATTCCATGAGGTCCATGACGGTGTTGTAGCCGGAGGCGTCGGTTTCGATTCGGTGGAGATCTGTGAGGACCTCGGGGTTGGGGAACTGTGCGATGGCGGTGTTGAGGAGGTCGATGCCCTGCTCTTCTGTGAGCCAGTTGTTGACGGATTTGTCGACCAGGAGGCTGACGTGGTCCGTCATGATGACCTCTCCGCTCCGGATGGGGCGTGTTGCGACGGTGCCTTTGCCCTTGCCCTCGATATCGACCACCTTGTACGGCTTCGCTTTGTCGAGGTGTTGCGAGGGAGGCACGTAGAGGAGAGGAACCTTGTCTTCGTTGCAGGACCATAGGCTGGCGTCCATGAGTCTTGATTTGGTGAGGATGCTGATGCCGTTGGTGCCGTAGTCGGACTTGGTGTAGACGCAGAACTTGATGCCTGGGTCGGCGGATGCGGCGAAGCACTTTGGCTTATGCGTCCATGGTGCCCAGGGCCCTTCAGATGTTGACGTGTTTGTGTGGTATATCGAAGAGGTCCCGTTGACGGAGGTCGAGGGGCACAAGGCCGGGTGGAGGGCAGGTCGCTCCGGGCCATCTGGGTGCCAGTTGAAAAGGCCTTCGATGAAGACGAGGCCGCGGAGGATGTGTGGTGTGAACCATTTCATGTAGATGAATTGTTTCCAGTCCATCGTTGCGGGATTGAATTGGATGAGGCTGGTACATAAAGAAGGGGTTTCCAACAGGTCTAGAAACTCGCAGTAGGCAGCAGGAAATTTGTTGCCGTTTATATGCTAGGTATGTGAAGGTATCTCCGAAAGTTTGAGGGACGAAGAGGTCACAAAGGCACCCTGAGTAGCTGCGAGCCATGATAACGGTACAGCCCTTTGGGTATTCCCGGTTACAGGGTCGTTGTTCAAAATGAAACTTGCGAAATTAGTTGTATGGATTTCGGACATTTGAGGCAAAATCCCCTGGATGATGGTCACCTTCCGGGTACCATACCCTCCATGCATCTTCAAATGATGAATGGCCACCCTGAGCTAGCGGTCGATGGTTTGCAACGGCCATGCATGCATGAAGGTTTCTAAACCCGTTGCGATGTCGACACAGACGCATATGTCTGCGTATTGAACCGAGACTTTCAACTTGCTTAGTCTCACGAGGAATATGTGACTCAATCCCGGTGCTGGGAATGGCAGTTCACACCGAGTCAGTGCAGCCCAACTCATATCGACAATTGGATTTTGGGCGACTAGGAATGCATCTTTGTTTCTGCCACAATGTAAAGTATTATTGAAAGAATAAAATTGCTCAATCGATGCCTTTGCATGGTTTGAGAAACGACGCTGTCATCGTCGTGCTTCCACACAAAATCTCAAGCTATCTCATGCGATAAGATCAGTGAGGGGCACAGCGAGATCGTCACTCAATGAGGGGTGATGTCACCACACCTCCCCATGAGACATGCAGGTACCGACATCTTTTCTCATTAACAGAGTCGCTGTAAGTCGCAATTGTCTCTCGCATCTCAGCCTCACTCACGATGCTTCACCTCGATGACGCGAATCTCACTTCACGCCGTTCATCACATTTCAGAAGCAGGTAAATGAGCTTATTTGCGGGTCTCCGAATCATCCCCGAGCTCGGAGGGGCTCTCAGAACGGAGCTGGTGCCCCGCGGCCGATTTTAGTGTTTGACTCATTCTTTTTCCCATGCAGGAGAGAGAAAACTCATTGGAGGCGCGGACTGAAGAATTTCGCGATTCACAGACCGCACTCTTACTCTCACCATCTCCCTCACATCTCAACCCACCACCCCCCCTTCAACAACCAAACCAAAACATTCAACATGGCCCCCGCCAAGCACGACCACATCTTCACGCTGTCCTGCCCGGACAAGTCCGGCATCGTGCACGCCGTGACGGGGGTGTTCGCGGCGCAGACGCTCAACATCCTGGACCTCCAGCAGTTCTCCGACCCCGTCTCCGAAAAGTTCTTCATGCGCGTGCACTTTGGCCCGACCGAGACGGAGTCGACGGAGCACCTCAAGGCCCCGTTCGACGCCCTCGCCGCCGAGCTCCAGCTGGACTGGTACCGCATCCGCCCCGTCGCCCGCAAGCTGCGCACCCTCATCATGGTCTCCAAGATCGGCCACTGCCTCAACGACCTGCTCTTCCGCGCAAAGTCCGGCCAGCTGCCCATCGAGGTGCCCCTCATCGTCTCCAACCACAACGAGTTCGAGACCCTCTCCGGCAACTACGGCATCGAGTTCCACCACCTCCCCGTCACCAAGGACACCAAGGCCGAGCAGGAGGAGGCCATCCTCAAGCTCGTCAAGGAGAACGACATTGAGCTCATCGTCCTGGCCCGCTACATGCAGGTCCTCTCGCCCAAGCTGTGCGAGGCCATGTCCGGCAAGATCATCAACATCCACCACTCCTTCTTGCCGTCTTTCAAGGGCGCGAAGCCGTACCACCAGGCCTACGAGCGTGGTGTCAAGATCATTGGTGCCACGGCCCACTTCGTCACCGCCGACCTGGACGAGGGCCCCATCATTGAGCAGCGCATCGCCAGAGTCGACCACGGCATGAGCCCCAAGGACCTCGTCGAGGAGGGCTCCAACATTGAGAGCCAGGTCCTGGCTGCTGCCGTCAAGTGGACTGCCGAGGGACGCGTATTCCTTAACAAGACCAAGACTGTTGTTTTCAACTGAGTTAGATATCCGGGGCGCAATGGGCGGTAATGAAAAATAAAAGTTGGTATTGTCTTTGTCGCTCAATTCATTTCTGTGACACCAGTTGCATCGCTCTTTTCATCATTCCATGTTGTCTTTTCCCTCTTTCCGGATCTTCCAGGCCAATTTCCGTTGTCGATAGGCAGTCCGCAACTCATCCCCTTCAAGTTCCCTATGTTGCAATAGTGTTCCCAGCGACAGTGACCGGTGACACCCCTACGGGTTTGCAGTTTTACCATGCGGCTCAATAAATAAAGAACTCATCCCGAAACCAAGACACATCACTATCGATCATCTTTCGGGGGTTGTCATCCCCGCGTGTCCGCCCCCAGACATTCTTGTCCTTTAGCTTCTTTCAAGATCGATCCCATCACACTCAACTACCACGGAATTTCGGATCCCTGCAAAGCCACCCAGTATAAACATCACAGACCTAAGATTGCTTAGTGCTGCTTTTGGATGGTCTCGCATCAGGTTGTCGCAGTACTCTTGGACTAGTTCAAAACATTCTCGCAATTGGCTCCGAGTGCTCGAGTCGGACGCGAAAATTTGCTTGTTGTACTCGACACGAATGCTGTGCGGCCTCTCCGTGCTAACCATTGCAAGATCGATGTTTTCCGTCACCGATGACTGGATTTGGCCCGTATACGAGATCTGAATGGCTGTCTCATCAATTGGAGAGGCAGCTTTGGCTGTAACCCTGATCATCGTTTCAACTCGGGAGATAGCAGAGACGTAATCATTCTCGGAAATATCTCTGAAGATATAGGCCAGCTGACTCGCCAGGAGACGAACAGTCTCTTTTGTTAGAGACAGATAATGCCGTCGCCCAGTGACCACGTCCATTCCAATGCCCTCGGCTATGACCTTGGAATCCTGCAAATAGATGCGCGGGGCAAACCTTGGGAGGCTGAAGCTGAGATGCCCCGGGAGCTGAGCCATGCTTTGGACAACGGGCACAGTTCTCCCATACAACTCCCGTGTGGAGTCTCTGGAGAGGGGTGAATACAAAATGGTGTTGAGTCCAGCATCAATACCCCCTTTGATATCCGATTCCACGTCATCACCCACCACATAACTTTTCTGGATCGACGCTCCCAGAGCTTGGAGTGCCAGGTGGAATATGTGCGTCTCAGGCTTGCGACAACCTGCTTCCTCCGAGGTGATGATCGTATCGACAAGATGACGAACTCCAATGGCGTCCAGTTTCTCTAGCTGATCCTTGACTTGACCATTTGTGACGATCGCAAGTCGGTATCCCTGTTCGCGGAGACGAACCAGTATCTCAACGCTCCCTGGTGTCGCTCTTCGGCTGCCTCGGTATGCTGGCTTGTAGATGTTTCGGAACTCGATAATTTGCTCGTGGTCTGGCTCTGGAAGTCCAATCTCACCGAAGAACAAACGGACTTTCTTCAAATCTGCCTCTTCGTAACTGATCTCCTTGCTGAGATATTCGTCATAGGCCTTCTGAAGTGACGCGTTGTACTTGGAAATGAGGTCTTGTGTGGTATACTGTGCGATGCCATCGAAGTTCTTCTGGATTGACGATATGGCGGTTTTCAGCGAGTGGTAATGATCGAAGATGGTGTTATCCAAGTCGAACAAGACCGCCGGGACCCCGTTCTGAGATGAAGTCATGACTGGGACTGAATTTGCGTAGTCGCAACTTGAATGACGAGGTGCAAGTGCAAAAACGTGCGCAGAATTGGGGCGAATCGCGGGGGCAACGAAAAGTGACAAACAGAGGATAACGAGAGAATACGGCAGAAGCCGAAGAATTTGTCACCAGACTGGACATAAGGACCGGCTGGGTCACCTTGATAGCCGCGTCTTCACTGCGCATTGATATCTCGACAACCTGGCTGGAGAGACCCGTTCTTCTTACCATCGGAGATCGGATTGGCCCATTGACAACCCATAAAATCCTGAGTATTTGTACCGGAACGGTATGTAAGTCATTATCGGACTTTTCTGGGAAAGGTTAGCACAGTTAGATTCCACTCTTCATGACGGAGGGATTCATATAACATCCAGGTCCTTGGCTGTTGGCGATCATCTGCATGTTTTTGGGCTGGCTGCCGACAGATCCGAGGAGCTGATGTGTACCATGCCCCAAATCATGCTATGAAATGTCCTTGACTTTACCAAGTGACAAGGTTATTGGTTGGACGTCATGAAGTTGCTGTACCTAAAATGAACGGGAGTGTAATCATAAAACACTGTACGCTTCCGACTCGATCGAGCTTTTCATTATTTGCGTCCATCATTAACTACATGATATCATTCGTTCCATACAAGCGGACCATCCCTCCGCATTATCTCTCGCCTTGAATTTTCAATCCATCGTTGGATAGTCCTGCCCATTTACTGGACAAGGCCAGCAACGAAGGCGGCAGCAGCGGGGGCATCCTGCTCGTAGTTGCGGTGGTCCTCGGTGATGATGATGCCACCGTCGCAGATGTTGTCGCCGGCGTGGCAGATGACCTTGACCTTGGACGCGGGGATGTTGCCAACAGGCTGGCCGTCGAACGGGTCGCCGAAGATGAGGACTATCAAATGTTAGAATGGCACTGGAGGTCGGAACGAAAACTTTCGACATACCAGCAGAGATCTTGTTGGTCAAAGCAGTGGTGAGCTTGTTCGCGGCGTTGTGGACCAGCTGGCCACCCTGGCTGTAGCCAGAGAGGACGATCTTGGTGTTGGGGCACCGGGTAGCGGCCTGGAACAAACGGATTAGTTGCGATGCTAAAGATTGGAGTCGATCACGAAGGCACTCACCGTGGAAACCAAGTTGGCCATGGTAGTGCTACCAGCGGAATCACCACCGGCGAGGAAGCCAATGATACTGGCAGAGTAGTTGACACCCTGAACCGCGAGGTTTGAAGCTCCGATGCGCGAAGCAAGGGCGTTGAAGAAGGTCGGGCCTTCAGAACCCGCCTCGCCGACGTTGCCGGACTGGGTGGTGCCGCGAGCCCAGATGAGCGTCACGGGACGGCAAGCAGTGCCATCCGTCAGCTGGTTGAAGGTGTCCCCGTTGTACTGACGCTTGGCGATCGTGGGAGCGAGCGCGGCGGCGTCGGCGGGCTTGACGGAGTAGGCCTTGTTGTAGTACTCCTCGAGCTCGGCGATGGGGAAAGATCCCAACTCGGCGCGAGGGGCGACGCTCTCGAGAGGAGCGGCGACGGCCGCGGTGGCGGCGAGGAAGAGGAGGCCGGCCTTCATTGTGACGGGGACGAGTCAGCTACTTTGACCAGGGATGGGTCTGGGGCTTTGGATGAAAGCTGAAGGATGGGGCTTGTCGGCGGTGGGAGACTGAAGCTCTGTCGATCTTCCGTGATGTGCGAACCATGGGCGGGTGCGTCTCTACCTTATATGTTGAGCAGCGACGGCCGCGTGCTCATCAAACCGTAGCTGGCTTCAACTCTATTTCTTCGCGATGTGCGCTTGTCCCGCGCGGAGCCGAAGAGACCGACCAGTTGACAGCCAGGCCAAGCCTTGGCCGTCGTCGTCGCATCGTGACCTGCCAGTTTGTGATGCGTCGCAGGCCAGGGACCGGGCCTCCACCGGCGTAGTGGTGCTGCCATCGGCGGTCAAGCAATCCCGACTTGAGACGTTCGACCGAGCCTCTTGTTGACCTGTGCATGGGATATTTTAGCTTCTGTCATCCAATTGACCATTCAGACAGCGTCCTCGACCGGGGACAGCGGTCATCGAGGGGGAAGCTGCTTTACTCCCGAGGCAATCGAAGCAAGTTTTGCTCAACTCCATATTGCTCTTGCAGAAAAGCTATGCCCACTCGAGCACTTCGGCCCGCACCGGCCCCCCTCCATAAAGTTCAGGTGTGTCTCCGTTGTTGATTAACTGCACGGATGACAGCTGTGTTGTGGAAATACAGTGGAATGCCTTGGATGCGCGTGAGTCCTGAAGTCGAAGTGATCGTCATCGTTTAGTTAAAGCCCATGGCTTCCTAATGATCCCTGATAGGTTCGGCAGTTCGCAGTATTTCTCGGAAGAGGGGGCACCGGGACCTGTCATTGAACCCCGTGGCCGCCGAGTGGATCGCCGACCGGGGCCACCGTGACATCGGTCCGGGGTTGTCGGCCATTTGAAGGCAAGCAAATCGGAGCTGGTTCCTGAATCGTATTGCAGCTCGTTGCTGATCGCGGGGTAAACGGGGCGTTTGCTGAAGGGTGGTTGGAATTGGGTGGCCGAGCGGTAAGAGAGAACACGTGGGTCGTGAGCCGAGATAGTACCTTCTACTTTGATGAGAGAGCCCCGGCCCCCAAGAGCTTCAAGGTGGGAGCCGTTGGGTAATGACGTGCCCTACGCCGGGCGCTTATTGAGCTTGGCGAGAGATGAGGTTAATGCAAAGATTGTCCCGTGGGAGCCCCTTGAGAGGTTCAGATCGGAGCCTACCGGCTTGTCGGCGATCAGGTCATGGGGCAGAAGGTGACATGTCATTGGCTTCTAGATTTGGGCTGTGTATTGAATCTGTGAGATTGCAGGATCCAGACCTTCCTGTTAAGGCGGCATTCTGAGGTTTTTGACTGAGAGTCATGACGCAGGGTCAAATTAGCATGCGATGCAGTTACTGAAGTAGGCATGAGCAGCTCACATTGGGATGAGAAGGATCATTTAGGTGAGACGAACGAAGTGAAAATGAGTGAGTCTCGTCCGCATGTTCGTATTCTCTTGCGATCTTTTGTCAGCAGTTAGATGTCGAGGGTAGACGGGAGGTGAATGAAGCCGGCTAATGCAGGGGGTTCTCAAAGTCTTATGGCACAGGTAAGTGCGGCAAATGCATGTCACTCCTCGTGGAACCCGAAGAAGAACTTGATCGGCGCAGAACGTAAAATACTAGCATTTGCTGCGAACGTGGTCGGTCTAGACTTTCGTAATTTTTCTCGTTCAGTTATCACTCATCTGTGACACACGATCTACGCTTCCAACTGAACGGAGCTACGATGGCTCTGCTATATTCAAACGTAAAGCTGGTTAAGCTTCTTAACCGAAAAGTCTGAGAAGCCTTAAAGAATTTTTGAGCACTGACTATACTTGGTATTAATCAGACTGCATCTTGAGAAAGGCCTCTAGAAGCAAAAAAGCTTCGAGAAATCAAGACCGAGACCTGGTTGCTAAGTATATATGCAAACATGTCGATGTAGCGACTTGAGTGACATATTATTCACAGCTCTGATGCACCTTCTCATCATACCAGCTTTGGCCTTTTCACTCCTGGAAATGAGAATGTAATAAAGAACCGATGGATCAAAAAACTAAGTCGGGTGAGAATCCTGTAGTCGGAGTTGAGGTGTTGATTTCAGGGACCTGTCTTCTCGCATGAGTTGAATAAGTAGCCCGAGGCTATTCCAATCCATGTTCTGGGTAGTTCAACAAAACGATTAGCGGTATTCTTACATTTCTTTCTCCGACTATTACATGTAGGTTTGATGAAGTTGACAATTTGTAAGGTTCGCTTGATTGTTTGTCCGGTCGATCTGGTTGGCGGAACTGAAATGCAAACATCACGCAACTACCCACATCGATGTCCATGGGTGATCTCCGTCGCACGCTTCCAGCTAACTTCACCGCAGTCAACTCACTCACCCGAAATTCTCATGGACATGGAAACCGAGTTCGACGCCTTCGAAATCGACGATTTCGGCCCGTCGGTCCGCGTCCAGGTGCCAAGCACCAACGAGGGCCTCAGCCAATTCAACCAGGCCTTCTTGGATCCCCAACAGCGCGCCTATGTTCAGAACATTGACTTTCATATCGTCTTACCGACCATTAGCAATAAACGTCTTAGAAAACTGCAAAGCAGACGAGAGGCAGCCGAAAATGACGCAAGTTTCACAAAAGCCATCACAAAGTTTCTGGGCCGCCTGGCGAAATGGGAGCGCCGCCGATATGGACCTGGGGTAACGTTGAAGATAGTCGTGGCCTCACCGACGGACTGGCTAGTGGAGGAAATGGAGGAGGATGGCGAGCTCGTCAACACCCACAACCACCGACTTGCTCCTATTTGGCAAGTGCGCGATCACTTCCGTTATATCAAGTTCGATGAGAGTCTGCTCGCCTCCTCAACTTCGGGGTTGCCGCAAGTTGCGTGCGTCTCAGAGTTTGAGTTTGATGGAGGACCAGGAGGGCGAAGTTTACACCCAGAAGTCATTGCAGCGATATCGAACGCCATGGTGTCAGCCAGGAAGATGGAATGGAGGTTAAGAATACCAACAAGACGTCTCATGTCGGAGAGGAGAGAAATCAGGGCCGCTTTGGGCAATGCCTTGCTCATCACAGCATTCCCAAGCCTTGTGGAGTTCAAGATCAAGCTCGAAGATGCGGATCCTCACGATGAAACGTTTGAGCCTGGCAGTGTTATCGAAAAGGGGCATGATGAAGACAAGCTGAGTCTCGGTGTTCGGCGCCTCTGTCGGCTCCCGACACTCCGGAGGTTGCATCTCGAGTCCTTATGGATATTGTCGCCAGTCGCATTTGGTCCGAGTTTTAGTCCAGAGACTCAGCCTTCATCTCTCGAGTACCTCTACGTCGATTGTGCCACCACGACTCCGGACGGAAGATACCTGTTGATGGGCAACCCAGAGAGAGCCATGATGGACGACGGAGGTTACTCACACACCTCGGACGAGTCGATGGCTGCGTTCGATTCAGACGATTCAGACACATCCGACTGGCAGCCCGACTTTGAGTGGGCTAAGCAAGCCGGCGAGTTCCCGGGGCGCTGGTTCCGATTGACTCCTGATCCGGAGACGTTCGTGCCCCTGGCCCGCTCCTTCGCTGAAGCTGTGGCTTGTATGCCATCACTACGGCGTATGGATGTTCACATCGGGGGCGCAGCGACGAATGCTCGCGCGCCCCTCGAAATGTCCTACTTCGCTCCCGGCGAGGCGAACAGAGGGGCAAGTCAACTCAATGGGCGCAAGACCTTTGACGAAAAGAATGCTAGCCATCCTAGGTGGTTTCTGCTAGGTGGCCGTAAGTTCGACAAGCATTGGACTTTGCCGAAGGAGCTGGAAGAAGCTTTCAAGAGAAAGTCGGGCTTGGGTTGTGTTCATTTGGCGACGAATTGAAAGACGAGAAAAGCGGCTGTCGCACAAGTCCAATTTCTACCGCCCAATACAACGCAGCACGAGAACACGACTCGTTCGCGATTTTATGAATTCATAACTATGGTCGTATGACCAAAGTCCCAAATTACTCACCGCACCAATGAGACACTGCAGAATTATCTCCAAAAGGCGACACTGCAGGCATCCGGGATCCCATAGACCCGCTCGCTTGTGCACCTCGCGTACGGCCCGCCTGTCAGATAAATGCCCTCTTTTTCCCGCCTGAAGAATCAATGACTGACATCGGAAGTTTCTCGACTCCCAGTCCGGCGAGCTCACCGACAAAACTTTCCCGAGAGCCGAAATGGGTGGAGCTCCGTCGGTCCCAACGGACCCGTCTCGGCGGATCCAGGTTATCGGAGCCGGCTACTCCCGGACGGGGACGGTTTCCATGCAACTAGCCCTGGAAAAACTCCTCAACGGTCCCGTCATGCATGGAGGCACACAGATTCTCCACCGTGAAGATGGTAAGAAGGCGCCAAGCCGAACGGCATTCGCCGATAAGTTTACCATCCTGGTAATACTGCTAACCATGGATGTCATCAGCGTACCTGAAAAAATGGGCTCAAGCATATGAGTTCAAGCGCAAGGGCGACAAGGCCCGTCTTCACAAACTACTGGAAGAGATCTTCGCCGGCTTCGTGGGCTGCACCGACATGCCTCCTATCGACTTTGTTCCCGACTTGCTCGAGGTCTATCCGGACGCCAAAGTCGTGCTCACAACACGAGATCCCGAGAAATGGGCCAAAAGTATCCGTCCAGTTGCAAACAATGCGTCCTTATGGTGGCTCCCGTATCTAATGTGGCCGGTGCCCGGCTGGAGGTGGTTTCCCACCCTCATTAGAGAGTTTTCGAATTCGAGCATCGCGATTAAGGATCTCGACGACACCCAGACGGACCCGTATCTTGGTGAGTGTTCATTGGCTGAGTTCTTGAAGCAAGTGCTAATGGAGGATACAGCACTGCTTTCCAATTGGAATCGCATCATTCAAGAGATGGTGCCAGCAGACAGACTACTTATCATGGAACTCAAGGATGGGTGGGAGCCTTTGTGCAAGTTCTTGAATGTACCAGTTCCGAATGAGCCACTGCCAAGAGCCAATGATTCAGCCGCGGCGGAGAAGGCAGCTCTCGATGTGATCCGCAAGTTGATGGGAATATGGAGCGGAATATTCGGGACATTTGGCGTTCTCTCCTTTGCAGCCTGGAAACTACGGAAGACCAGATAGCGGAGATTTCAAGGGCAAAGTGGCAGGCAATGCGGCAATGCTGGTCCTATTAGCCCATCACCAAATGTCCTCTGGTGTAAGTCTCACTTACTGCCACGGGACGTTGAGTAATCACTCATGTTCAGACAGGCTCCGCCTTCTAGTTTATATTAACGTACGTCCAGTAAGCATGAGGAAACGAACCGGATCTCAATTCTGATTGGGCTCGTGTTTCATACCCGTCAACTCGTCAAGTACGGTTCCATCAACTGCTCGGAAAAGCCCCACAATCGGGCCTTCGAAGCTCGGTCTCGGTTTTTCGCGATGACGACGAAGGCTAGAGAATTGATGATTATGATGGCCATCGCCATCTAAAAATCCCAGTAGTGACAAGATATATTTTGCCGCGTCAGCTATGTCGTCTTTCTGAGGCTCAGCGACAACATTGAATACAGAAAATGGGATATTTTCGGCCGTTGGCGTACTCCATATGTGACGATCTTGACCTCTTCGGTTCATGGTGGTTTAACTCCGACGACCGAGATCCACGGGGCCCTACCAATGCCTTTGGAGAAGACTATTGAGTAGAGTTGGTCCTTCGCGTATGTATAAGACTTGAAAGGGCCTTTAAAGAATCCGAAGATAATATTGGGAACTCATCGTCATCGTTCTCTCTGACAGTTATTCCTACACACTTTCGTTACAACCAGGGCTCATTCGCAATGTGGAAGTTGGCAAAAGGCATCGCGCTCTTCCATGGGTCGGTTGTGGCTATCTCCCGCGTGATTCAGACTCAGTATGGCGCTGTGAACGGCTATTCCGCCTTCGACAGCGCCCCCGCCAACATGTCTTTGGCCAACTGGGCGGACATCACCGTTTGGAAAGGCATACCCTTCGCTGCGACAACTGCTGGCGAGAACCGCTTCAAGCCCCCACAGCCTGTCGTTCCATGGAACACGACACTAGATGGCAAGGACTTCGGGAACGCTTGCCCATCTGCCCTTGGCTCCGAGAACGACGAGTATTCAGTCGGAGAGGACTGTCTGAGTCTCAACATCTGGAGTGCGGCAAACTCGACAGACTCCAAGCTACCAGTCGTTATGTGGAGTTACCCTGCCGGTTCTAGCTCTGCCTTCCCATTGTTCGACGGAGCTGGCATGGCTGACAAGGGCGTGGTATTCGTCAACTACAACTACAGAACCGGATCTTTCGGATGGCTCGCGACCCCTGAACTCAACCAAGAGAGACTTTCTACTGTCGGTTCTAACAGCTCCGGTAACTGGGGAATGCTCGATCAGTTCGCTGCCCTGCAATGGGTCCATGACAACATTGCCGACTTTGGTGGCGACGCGGACCATATCACCATCATGGGCCAGTCTGCCGGCTCAGCAGCAACTTACCACATGCTTAATAGCCCGTTGCATAACGTTACGATCCGCGGGGCCATCATCCAAAGCGGAGTTCGCGACCCTCATGACCCGTTGGCAACCAGCCTGGCCGAGAACTACCGCACTCTGGATGTCAACATGGACACTGCAGAGAAATACATGGCCTCCCTGAATTGCTCGGATATTGCTTGCATGAGGACTTTACCAATGGACGACCTCGTTACTCAGTTCTTGTCTTCCGAATTCGACTTCACAGCGACGCTTGATTACTACGCGATGCCGGACACCTACCTCAACACCCTGGAAAACGGAATCGCACAAGACGTCCCTGTCATGACAGGAAACACACGAGACGAGAGCGGTGCATCATATGGTCTCAATATTACCCTGAGCACGTACCTTTCCAATCTCAACGAGACGTACAACGGGACTTGGAAGGACGCGTTCTTCGCTGCGTACCCCGCCAATGATTCTGCCACCGCATCGGCAGCCTACAACGCCCAGTTCACGGATCGTTCCAAAGTTGGCACTTACTTTTGGTCTCAGCTGTGGTCACAGAGAGCATCTTCGCCGGTCTTCAACTACATCTGGGACCATGCGCCACCCGGCCAGGACCAGGGAGCAGCACACGAAAGTGAGATCAACTATGTTCTCAACAATCTGTACGGGACGGATTTGCCATGGGAAGCTGAGGACTATGAAGTCGCCGAAAAGATGAACAGTTACTGGGTCAATTTCATCAAGAACGAAGATCCAAACGGCGAAGGGTTGGTCAGCTGGGCAGCGGCAAGCAACGGCAATGCTACCGTGATGGAACTTGGGGATGGCTTTGGTTCGCTAACCATAGCGACGGACAGTCAGATTGAGTTGTTCGAGAAGTGGTTTGATTCTTTGGTGGCTTATTGAATCGCCCGATCAAATGTACGCGCAGGTCTAAGTAGGCAGTTATTCCATGTGATTTGATACTGCGTACGGAAGCCTCTGTTTTTATATGAGAGTGGAAGGTAATCGACGTTCAAAGTGCTACCGACTTGTGAAGCAGTTGGAAAGAGTACTTGTCTACAATGAGCAACTTGCAGTGACATCTCTAGCCAGCCAGAGCGATGCATGTGGCATAACTTGGCAGAGTCAAGTATCAAACTGAAACGTACTGTCTAGAGATGAGGCTTTAACACAAGCAAAGAGATGTGGAAAAAAGAGAAACTGATGTTCGTTCAAGAATCAATCTTCATCCTGTTGGGAAACGGCCTGCTGTCAGGACTAGCAACCATGCCACACCGCACTCTCTAGTAAGTCACAATAACGAAATGGATCCAAGCAGAAAACATCACCAATGATCTGTCTGCGTGACAAATGTCTAGCTAGTCCCGCCCCATCTTGTTAGCCCTATCCGCACCAAGGCTCCGTAGTGTGCCGGCTCGGCAGTCGTCACGGCACGAAGCCGGACCCGAAGTGGGACTATGCCCCACCGTCGTATTCAATACGGCTTTTTTTTCCCACGGCGGCCCGCCCGGCCACCCCGACGGACGGCTTACTTGAGCGAGATCTTCCATTCTGACTGGAGATCTCGACATGGTAGATATTCGTAATTTGCGCCGGCGAAAGTTACCTCTTTTCGATATGGTCTCCCTGAAAACTCGCCAGGAGGCAGTCCTCCTCGCCGTATATATATGGCTTCAAGACGCTGTGTCGTTTGTTACCTGTAAACCAGACTACTCTCAACATCATCTACTCGCGGACAACATGGATTCACTCGCCCTCAACGCCAGCCGGTGCGCCACCGGAACCTTCGCCAACTTGACCCTTCCGGGAGCACAACTGCAGTTAGTCGAAGCGAACCTTGTCACGGACTACAGCTTCAACGTTCCCAAGGGATGGACGTACTCTCAGCCAGCCCTCGACGTGCAGAATGCCACGTTCTGCAATGTGACAGTCACATACTCTCACTCAGGACAGAACGACACCATTACCGCAGAAGCATGGCTGCCGACTGAGGAGAACTACAACGGCCGACTCCAAGCCGTCGGCGGTGGCGGTTGGACACCCGGTCGCTTCATTCTGAGCTACTCTGCCATGATCAACGCGGTCGCAGACGGTTACGCCACTGTCACTACAGATGCCGGGATCCCTAACACTCAGAACCCCGCCGACTGGCTTTTGAAGAGTCCGGGAAACCTAGACACCAATGCTCTTCAGAACTTTGGCCAAGTCGCCATCAAAGATAAGGCAAGTTTTAGAGACGTCGCTGATCCGAAGCGTGTTGTAACAACTACTAACACTTCACTTTGAAAGGCCATAATTGCGAAGCAGGTCATTGATGCATACTACGGCCAGCCCCCTCTTTACTCTTACTGGAACGGCTGTTCCCAGGGCGGCCGCATGGGTATGAAGATGGCCCAGCAGTATCCCGGCGTGTACGATGGCATCTCGGCTGCCGCACCTGCACTCAATTGGGCCGAGTTCTACATCAACTCAATCTGGCCCAGCTTCTACATGGAGAACACCCAGCAGTTCCCACGAGACTGCGAGTTAAACGCGCTGACCTCCCTCGGGATCTCTGCCTGTGATGAGCTCGATGGCTTGAAGGACGGACTCATCAGCGACCCCGACGCCTGTCGTGCCAAGTTTGATCCCTTTCAACATGTCGGCGACTCGTTCCAGTGTTCAACCACCAACACCACTCTCCAAATCAGCCAGGCAGCTGCCGCAGTCGCCAACGCTTCCTGGACCGGACCTCGATTCTCCAACGGCAAGTTCATGTACGACGGCTACGAGATTGGCAGCGACCTTGCTACGATTGCCCCGACGAACTGCACCACTGCAACCTGCACCAGTGCAGGTCTCGCGAACATCCTCTTCGCTTGGCAAACCTTTGTTGAGAAGGACTCCGGTGCGACGCTCCCAAACATCACTGATGAGACCTTCGACACCATCTACCGTTCCGTCAAGTTGGTGTTCGCTTCGAACCTCGAGACTGATGAGGTGGACCTGCGAGACTTCAGAAACGCCGGTGGGAAGCTCATCACGTACCACGGACTGGTAAGTGGTATTTTCGAGACACTTTGCGGACAATTGCTAACAGAGAACTGCGCAGGCTGACCAGAGCATTTCGCCCGGGGGCACTCTTCGCTACTACAACAAGGTCAATGACTTTGTCGGCAATGCTTCTTCTTTCTACAAGTACTACCGAGTGCCTGGCCTTGAGCACTGCTGGGGAGGCAAAGGCGGTCAGCCGGAGGCAATCTTTTCACAGCTTCGCGCCTGGGTGGAAAACGGCACTGAACCTCAGTCTTCCCCTGTCGTTGTGAAGACGCTCGACGACACGTACCAGCAGCAGATTCTCTGCCCCTACCCCCAGAAGGCACTTTTTGATTCTTCTTGCGGTACCTCGAACTCAACCGCTTGCTGGTCGTGCTCGCAGTAGGACACTCAGACACCACCGAGTTGGCGTGTTAGTGGGCATCCTACTTGTCTCACCTGCGTTGTTGCGCTGTAGATTAATCTTCCATTCTATTCCTACATGTACCCCTGGACTATTTATTCTTGTAATCTAACTCCAAAAGCAACATATTCAAGCTGTTGAAACGCTCTGAGGTGTTATATGCCTTGCCTCTGTCTGTTCAGAACCTGCTCAAGAGGAAGTGCTGATTGTAATGTGTATAACTCGACCGTCGCGGACTCGCAGGAATCTTCGTTGAAATTAAGTTTCACAATCCAACCAGAATTAATAAGTACACGGGAAATATATTCCGAAATCTAATTTCTACAACATTCTAGACTACATGATGTTGCCAAGCCTCGGGTTCACCCATCGTAACTGAACTCCTGGCCCACGAGCTTTTCGCTCAACTTCCAGAGCCTTTCCGCATCGATCTCACTTGTAGCCCACGAATAGACCTCCTCCAGTGCAGGATCCGCGATGTGGCAGTCAGACAAGAAAGTGCCGTTGTGATCCTTGATGGTATCGTCAAACGACGCAAAGACGTGCGTGGCCGCGCCTTGGTCCAGCGTCTTGAAATGCATATCTGCCATGCCGTTCCACCACTTGTTTCCGTAGATGTTGTCCATCTCCGTGAGGTCCGCCGAGAACGCGGCCTGGTCATCCAGCCCGTGGGCCGCGAGATTCGTGAAACTGACCCCGGGGCACATGCCGAAGGAAAGAAGGCCTCTGCCACCCAACTTCTTGGCGAGTGCAAGAGCGGTCAAGGCGTTGGCGGTCTTCGACTGGCCATAGGACAACCATCGTTGGTATGTCTTCCCGCCGTTGAAGTTGTAGTCGGTCCAGCGAATGTTGCCGATACGATGCACGCCGCTGGAGACGAACACCACCCGTGGGGCCTTGGCTGCCAGAAGCTTGTCGATGATCAAGTTGGTGAACAGGAAGTGGCTCAGGTGGTTGGTTTGGAACTGGCTTTCGAAGCCATCTTCGGTCAACTTATACGGTACAGCCATGATGCCCGCATTGTTGACCAACACATCGATGGAAGGAATGTCGTCCCAAGACATTACAGTCTCGGCAGCTTGACGGACGCTCGAAAACGACATGAGATCCATGGCTAGAAGTTTGACGACGATTGCAGGGTGGGTGGAGTTCAGCTCATCGGCCATCGGTTGTAACTTGGAGTTGGAGCGACCAGCGAGAATGAGAACAGCCGGGTTGCCTGCAGCTACCTGCTTGACGAAGCTCTCCCCGAGGCTTCCTGGCGAAGGCCCGGTGACGAGAATAGTCTTGCCAGAAATGGTAGGGGCATAGAACTCTACGAGTTCGCTGGCCTTGGTGTTCATATTGCAAGCCGGAGCCATGTTGATAGATTGGGACTGTGAAGAAAAGAAGCTTCGGAGGGTTCAGGGTGGTTGAGTGTTGTAAACACGAAAGTGATGGCGGCCGACGCACACTTCAAGACGAAACACATGCATTTATGGTAGTTTGTGATGATGTTCTACTTTCCTTTTTCACATCACTTAGGAAGTTCATCTTCAATTCTTGGCACTCGATACTCTCCATGTTGACTTGATCACGGTGTTGATGGTGGTGAACGTTGCCCCACTGCGCCGGAGCAAAATCGAGCCGCCTCGGAGACTATTAAAGTTGCAACTCACCCCAGGTGCGGACTCCATGAGCATTGCGAGGCGCCACATCAGCATCAATTTGGAGTTAACGGATTTACCGAGTTTGATCCCCGTGAGAGAATCGTGGCACTCGATCCAACTGGGTCGATATTGCCGGTGTTACTTGACGTAGAGTCCGTAGGGAGGATTCACTTGGTTGACAGAGACTTCAATTAATAACAGACATTGTAATTCAGGGGTCAACAGCTATCATTGAATGAATGAGGAAGCAAAATTTAACAGGTCTAGGGGCTCTCTTTCAGTTGATGTCAAGTTACGATGGCTTGAGTCATGCACTCCAGCTAAAGAATCGATACCGCTCTCTGTTGTGCTGTGCGTACAGCTTTCGACCGTTGTAAGAGTATTTACGTAGTTACACTACAGACCTTGTAATACAATACCTGTAAAGCGTAGTTTAGCGCTGTGTTGTACGGGCCATAGATCGGGCGAAAGTGCGTAACATCCCGAGAAAGCTTCCGCAAAGCTAATACTTTTAGCAGTCTGAGTTACTAATTTCAGGTCAATGCACAGGTCCGCAGCCGAACATAGGGCGGGCTTTCCTAAAAGCGCTTGTAAAAGAAAGTCCGCCATTGCGTAAAGTCCGCAGAGTCATCATGGGCATGCTTGCAACCCGTGATACCGAGAGCTTGGGAGTACTGACCGCGGAGACACCTTCATCAGTGCCATAATTCTGCCTTCCTGTGATCGTCGATATATCATCATCTAGAAGTATAAAGAGGGTTGGCGTCGCCCGAGTGTTCAACTTGTCCTGTCGTCATCACATCACTCTACCTCAATCATCACTTACAGTCAACTCACACAAACAACACAACTGAATCCTTCGCACTATCCACCCAAACCACCAACTACACGTCCAACCCAACATGTCTGCTCAGCCAGCTCGTTTCGACAACCGTGTTGCCATCGTCACTGGCTCTGGTCGTGGTCTCGGCCGCCAGCATGCTCTCCTCCTTGCCAGTCTCGGAGCCTCTGTTGTGGTCAACAGCACTACGCAAGCCACGGCCCAGGGAACCGTCGACGACATTGTCAAAGCAGGAGGCAAGGCGGTTGCCTGCGTAGGCAGCGTTTCCGATGAAGCTGTCGCTCAAGCCTTGGTCAAAACCGCCATCGACACGTTCGGCCGCATCGACATCCTCATCAACAACGCCGGAACCTACCATCTCCAGCCCTTCGAGGAGACCACTTCCGCCTCCCTGCGCGACATGTACTCTCTCCACGTCGAGGGCTCGTACAACGTGACGCGCGCTGCTTGGCCGCACATGAAGAACCAGAAGTACGGCCGAATCGTCATGATCACGTCTCACACGATGTTCGGTATGTTTGGTACTGGTTTCTACGCGGGCGCCAAGCTGGCGCTCGTCGGTCTTGCCAAGGCCATCGCCATCGAGGGGGAGCCGCACAACATCCTCGTCAACTCTATCGCCACTACGGCTTTTACGGACACCGTCGAGCAGCACCTGCCTGACGAGAACATGGCGGCGTTCATGAAGGCAAACTTGCCGTCTTCAGAGCCGGCACGCGCTGTTGTTTGGCTTGCGCATGAAGACCTCAAGTCTACTGGGGAGATTTTCGGTGCTCAGGGTCGGATCGTGAGTCGCATTTTCATTGCAGAGACTCAAGGATACCACGCCTCGTCCAAGGGTGAATGGGCTGTTGATTCTGTAAGGGACAACTGGGACAAGGTATTGGACGAGAAGGACTACATCGTCCACAAAGACGCAAACGCAGTTGGAGCGGTGCTCTTCGGACGCTTGACGCAGGGCCCGCCGCAGTAAAAAGGGTGAGCAGGAGTTCTGGATCCTGTAGGAAGTGGGATGACAGAATTAGTGCCTTGTATCTTAGAAGTGTTACGCCGAATCGACATTGAAGTTTATTTTACAAGTCTCCCAACTTCCGTTCACCATGTAGCGATAGAGTGGAACTAATATCTCGATGTCGTGTGTTTTCCCTGACACAATATCTAGGCTTGGAAACCTGTCGCTTTTAGCTGGCATGTACGACTAAAATATAGCCAGCTCAACTCCTCTACTACGCGCTGCTTGATCAAGATCGAAAGAATCTGTTTCGTCGAGCCACGCCTCATCCACAATTCCAAACGCCACCTTGGCGAGGTTGTGAGTGTTTCTTTCTGCCAGATACGATCGGACTTTAGTGAGTGACTTCTTCCAACCGGGGTTGCTTCTGAGCATTGACACTTCAAGACTGGCCATTATGTACGGGTAAACGATCGCATTGGGAACCAGCAGGTGTTGATTTTGGGGCAGTCGAAAGGCCCTAAACACTGCGTCCAGAGCAGCCATCAGTCTGCAGAAGACTACTTCCGTGTATGGGACTTGTGAAAAAAATGGGTTGATGTCTTGAAGAGAGGCGTCTTTAGTTTCAGACCGAGGCTTGCGTCTTCGAACCTCGAGAATGCCACCAAGTCTCCAACAGTCCCATAGTTGGCACTGGATGTACTCTCCGACCTCACCGGGCCAGGTCCACAAACGTGTCTCCAGATTCTCCCTCTCGCCTTCAGGTATGTCTGCGAAAATGTCTAGGAGAGACATCGGCATACCTGTCAGAACCTCCACGCTTCGGATTCGGCCTTGGGGCCAGTCATCTTGCGTCTGCCGGAAATGCTTCCATAAGCCAATTGAAGGAGTTTGCCTGCCACGAATGAAAGAATCCATGTCCAGTATTCCGATGAACTCGAGCACGCGGCGTGTCGGCAGGTGGTCTCTTGGAGAAGGTATCAGAGAGGTGATGGATCCTGGGAGTTCATAAAGTTCGCCGAGCAACTGAAGGTGTGAGGTACACGGAAGTGCTTGAAGAAGCTAACATCATTACTGTCAGAATAAACTTTCCAACATTGAAGCAATGTGAATTCGAGCGCAACACCACGGCCACAACGAGCAACTCACATGAAGAGCGCAGACTAAGAGTCCTGCACAGATGGTACCAGCGTTGATAGCATTATGCCGACCGGCTAATTCAGTACGGAAGGTCTGCAAAGCTATATCGATGTGTTCCATCGATACCATTGACGGATACAGAGTTTTATCGTCGATGAATCGTTGAAGGGCACCACCGACGAGTACCAGTGCCTCGCTATCCATGGCTTGTTCCTCAAAGAAAGGCTGGATCCAAGACCGAGTTTCGGCATTGTATAACCGACAAAGACCGTTCGTCAAAACTACTGGGAATTAGCAGATATACTGATTGAAACCAATTAGATGGGGACCGAACATCTGATCTCACATTTCTTGAACAGTTGCCACGCCTGATCAGACACACCAACGAGTGGAGAGTGAGATGCGGCAGATCCTCCCGCGTCCATTGACACCCCAGCCAACAGCATAGAAGTAGCATCATCGGCCTCTTCAGTTGACTTGGTAGTACTGGTCGGCTTAACAGGGATGTTTACGCCTGCGAAGTGTCCTCTCGAGGCGATACCATTCGCCCATCGAACCGGGGCTGTGTAGCCATCACACTGGATGCCACGTTGTTTGCAGAGTCCGCACTGCGGTCGCGCCTCATCACATTTTCGACGGCGGCGTTTACAATTCATGCAGCCGTTGCTTAACCGAACCATCTCGAGCAAGCGGCTGGCTCGGTTCCTTGATTTCAACCCCGGAGATTGAATGTCGGCAAAGTTGGGTTGACGACGAGTGAGAACTGGCACTGGCAACGGGAATAGTGCACCGAAAAGGAAGACGAAGCCCCTTCGTATGCAGCGCCTACTTGAGCAGCGTGAAAAAAATGGCTCGAGAATGCTCGTCGAGGAGAGAAAAAGGCGTACGAAGCGCACTGCTAGCGCACAGATGTTTGACTTCACCTCGTACCTCATGCTCCGCAGACGGCTTCACCTTCCGCTTTGAGGTATTGAGCGCGCCTCCAAACACTAATCTGCCCCGCATCAACTTGATGAGAGCACATCGTGAATTTCAAGATATCGGCTATTGAATCTGATTGGAACGATGGCGTTACCGATCTTTTATCATTTTGCGCCTTGGACATGGCGCTGATGAAGGCTTTCAAGTAGTACTGTTGAGATCTATCAAGAATGAAAGGGTTGAAATTAAGGGAAACGCATCAGCATCTAATGAGAAATCTAAGAGGGACATTGAATGGTGATAAACTACTCGGATTTCAAACCTGTTTGCTCTTTACGTTTCTGGTGAAAGACTGATGCCAATACGTAATTCCGAACGGACTCGGGCAAGAAATCGACCATCGCATCTTGAAGAGCATGCCACATCCAGGGATGGAAGCACAACCTGCCCCATGACACAGCCCTTCCCATATGACTGACAGCGGCCTCTGCAAAATCCTTTGCGGTTGGCGTACCAGGTGGCAGCTTACCCGCATTGGCCTGTGTGTAGACTTCACCCAGTACTAGGGCCAAGACATCCACCTGAATTCCGTCCGCCCGCATCTCTCTGCCCACGGCCTTTGTGAAGGCCATGACGAAGCTTTTGCAGGCTGAATACGTTGCGACGCCAGGCATTCCAAGCATCGAAGCAGAGCCGACGTTCAGAATGAGAGACGGACCGTTCCGGGCCAGGATGGGTATGGCGAGACGGGTCAAATGTGCCATGAACCGCGCGTTGAGCGAGATGACTCTATCCATCTCTTCGGCTGTCGTATCGTTCACCCTGCGGTAATACTTGGAAGGCGGAACACTCAAACCACCGACGTTGTTGACGAGAATCGTCATGTTTAAGTGACTCAAGCTTTCCAGGGTCGATTGAATCTCCGCTGGACTTGCAGAGATGGCATCGAGAACGAAGATTCGGACGCCAATGCGAGGGAACTTGCCGACAATGCCTATCTTGGCTTCCTCGAGCTCATCCTGCTTGTGGCCGAGGAGGACAATATTGAAGTTCCGGGCGGCCAAGGCCTCCGCGAATCCCAGTCCAATGCCTGCCGAGGCACCGGTGATCATGGCCCATGGCTGAGGTGAACGTCGGTATTTGGTCAAGGGAAGCTCGGGTAGCAACCAGAAAGATAGCCAAGAGACGGCTTTGAAAGAGACCTTGGCCAGAGTCGCGGCACCAAGTAGACGAAGCAAAGTTGAAGCTAACATCGTAGTGATGTATAACGAAACGTGTGAGTTGAGCTTTTGAAACTTTGAAACCAATGGCAAGTGCCCATCAACTATGGCGCGAGAGACAGATTGAGTATTCGAGAAATACGACTACGAAGTCGACACAAAGAGGAGGACGGAGAGAAGTACAGTCCGAAAGCCCATGGAGGGGCCTCCACGGTCGTTTTGTGTAAGAGATAACCCGTGCAAGTCGCGATGCCAAATAGAGCCACGGTAAAGCCGGGTACGGGGCTGGTTCGGAATCCGGTTCATCTATCAAAGTCCGCTGCACTTGAAGCCGACCACTAGAAATCTTGCCGAACCTATTTTGCCCATCTGATCTAATCTTCTATCCTATTTACCGTATCCTAGACGCCGTTCTCGGCACTTGAAGGCGGAGTCGGCATGAGATCGAGCAGCCCAGGGGTTATAAACGTGGGACCCCTTCCAGAGCGCTCATCTTATTCACTATGATCATTCTCCTGTCCATTCTATTCCTATGAAAACCTTTTCTTGAATTCCATCATGGCTCCCATCCCTAGTCGACTTCAGATCGATCTTTCCAAGTATGAGAAACTCGATCGCTTACAGGCAGGCCACCTCCGCCATATCCACAACTTAGCATCACTCCCCGATGGAGAGTGGCATCACATGGGAAGCCAAGAGCCACAACAGGAGTTCTTGGACGCATTCAGGTACCAATTGGCTCAGATGAGCTATGCTGCGTCCGTTGCCCATTACCACCGTCTGCCAGCAGCCCGAAGCCTTTTCAAGCCGTTGATCCGACAGCTCATCCAGAAAATGCTTCATCCCACGGTTTGGGGCTACTGGTATCTGACTAGTCAATCGGGAAGCTTCGTCGACCCGGGCCGGACGGAGCTGAGGAAGCCGTGGGCTGACCCCGTCATCGAAGAGAACATCATGTACAGCGGCCATCTCCTTCTCATGACCAGCTTGTATGCTATGCTGTTCGATGACGACGAGTTCGAAAAGCCGGGATCTCTGACCTTCAGATGGGCGCCGTTGTTCTGGGGTTTCGGGCCCCAAGAGTTCCACTACGATAATCGGAGCCTCCAGAAAGGCATCGTCGATCAGATGGAACGGAACAACTGGGTTGGCGTTTGCTGTGAACCAAACAGTGTCTTTGTTGTTTGCAACCAGTTCCCTGTAGGTCTATGTCGATGTCAACAGACTCGATGACCCTGGCGCTGACAAGCCATTAGATCATTGCCATGCGCTACAACGATGTCCGCGACAACACCAGCGTCGTCAAGGAAGTCCTGGCAAAGTATGAGCCAGCCGTCAAAAAACATGGTTTGATCCGTTCTGACGGAACATATGCCGAGTGGTTATATCTGAAGCAAGGCCAGATTGAGCAACCTAAAGGGGTTCAAACAGTAGCGTGGTATGTGCTCGAGAGTATTTACCTCGCATTTCTGATTCTAAATAACTCTTCGATAGGGCCAATGCTTTCATGAACGCATGGAACTCAGAGATCATTTATGGATTGTACGAAAAACAGGTCAAGGGCTTCGTCACCAATATCGACGGCAAGGTCGAGCTGCAACTCCCCGAGATCGGCTGGGCATACCGACGCATTGCGGAAGAGAGGGATGTTGGAAACAATGACTCCTTTGTTCTGGAGCTTGCTCGAGAGGAGGCGTCGAAGGAGAAGCCGGCTCCATTTCCGTACACTAGCCCTGTACTTGGTTATGTTGTACAGTGGCTCTCCGAGCTGGGAAAAACGGCGGAACTCCAGGGACTTCTCGACACGGCGGACGCAAACCTCCAACCAACGTGGGAGAACGGCGGACTGTTCTATCCTCGCAACGACAGGAGATTCAACGATGAAGGCAACTGGACTCACATGGACCCATTCACGGGCAATGCTGGCATCGCCTATGCGAGGTTGAACGTTCAGGATGGCCAGAAGATCATGTGGGACAACCCGAGGTCTCAGGAGTACTTCCAAAGTCAGCCATGGATCGACGGCGTTGAGCTTGGTGATGGGATTGACTGTCTTCGCAGCGTTTGGGATGCTGATGCTGGGGCTTTGGTTTTGACGATGCAAACGTGGGATGGAAGGCCTCGGACCGTTCAGCCCTCCGCGATGAATGTTCCTCTTGGGCAATGGGCCGTGTACGTAGGAGAAGAGTTGGTCCTGTGTGAAGGCCTTGAAGAGGGAGGTAAACTCACCTTGGAGGTTCTAGTCAATGGAGCGGCACTGGACGTTGTATTTGTCAAAGTTGATTGAGTATCCCTAGAATCAGAAAATAATTTATTTTGAATCTTTTAAGCAAATCACCTAAGACTTTAAGATTTTTAAGTCAAATGTACTGTATGCGAGCAAAGGAAAATACGACGCTTGATGTACTAGACACACTGGCTCGCCATACAACGAGGAGAGAGGGACATCGAAAGCTAGAAGGCGACAGCTTGATATCCCATTAAGGCTCTTGGTCAACATCTAAAATGGCTCTTATAATAGCTGAATACCACGAGTATGACAATGGATGATGACGACGACGAGAACGATAACGTTGACACCGAGGACGCTGCCAACAATAGTGACACTAGCCTGAGCTCAGAATGCCGTTCCTTCTCTCTGATCTTGAATCCTTGTGAAGGTAACCGTCATTCTCATTCATGTTTGCTAACTTCAATAACCTAGCCTAAATCTTCAGTCAAATACAATTGGGCCGATGGGGCTGAGTGTCTAATTATCATTTAACGATCAACACCTTCGTACACCGTTGCTACCGGATAGTACACAGGCTGGGATATATATTGGCTACTGAACTGTCCGGCTTGGTCATGATTGCCAACGTGATGGGTGAATAGACTGCCCTTCTTTAAGTTAAAAGGTACGTAGATGCTATAACACCTAACGCAGGCCTTTTAAAATGGCATTGGCTTTGTTGAGCCGTTGGCGGAGGCCCTGAGTAGCTGAACGGGGCTGATTGTGGCCACATTTGTAGCTACGCTTTACAAACATAACAACAGGTGTTTGACTGGTAGAAACGTCCGAGGAACGAACCACGAACCTACAATCTTCGTTGGGGGTCGTGGAGACATGGCGGAAACATTATACCACGACATTGAAAGACTAGGCGAATCTCATCACTTCTGAAACACGAGCTTTAGGCTCGGCGATGTAGACGGATTTGCTCGCACAAGCATTGAAATCGATTGGGAGCTAGGCATTCTCTGTATTGCTGGTTTCCATGGAGGACTACGCTACAGCAGAAACCTAAGCGCTTTGCCGAAGCACATTCGCCTGTTGCTCCTGAATGAAGTCACGAAGAATTTGATTCTTCCTCTCAACGTCAGCAGCTCCAGCGCGATCGTGAAAGACCTGATCCATTTCTTCCAGTGACTTTCCGTTTGTCTCGGGAACGCAGAAGTAGGTCCAAGCCAAGGATCCGAGACAGAACACGGCGAAGAACACGTACGTGCCGAACCCGGTTTCTTGAATCAGGGGTGGAGTGACGAGGCCAATGATAAAGTTCCATAGCCAACCTGAATTGAGTCAATAACGCGTACCACATTCGCAGCATGTCCAAACTAATACTCACTTCCGCAGGTTGCAATCGCAACTCCCTTGGCTCGAAGAGACGAAGGGAACACTTCGGATGGCATTACCCACGGAACAGGCCCCTGAATGCAATGTTAGTTTGATGTTGCCGCCAAACGATGACAAACGGGGGGTAGACCAACCCATGAGAAACCAAAGCTCAACATGAAAGCGAACAAGAACGCCACGCTCACCCAGCCCTCCGTTATATAGCTGGGCCAGTCGTGTGAGAATTTGCCGACCAGCGCTGCGATGGCCAGATGAGAGAAAAACATGCAGACGCTTCCAATCAGTAGGATGGTCCGTCGTCCAAAGCGATCCAGAGTCCAGAGACTGCTCATCACTCCAATAAGCTGCACACAGTTCAAGGCCCCAGACATGATGAGCTGCATGTTGTAATCAAGACCCATAGTTGCAAAAAGCGTCGGCGAGTAGTAGATTAGGGAGTTAATACCCACCTACACATCAAAATAGTCAGAGGAGTCAAACGCACATGGGAGGGAGTTTGGACTAACCATTTGTTGCCAGAACATGATGCCAACGCCCACATGGGTACGGCGCAAGCAACCGGTTTTGAAGCAGTCCGTCCAGGAGAAAATCTCCAGCTTAATCCTGGATGAAGCTGACGAGCCTGTCGCAAGTTTCGGGTGACGTTCCTTCAGAACCATTGTTTGGAAACGAGCCTCGGCGACAATATCAGTCCACTCGCGACGAACGCGGGGGTCGTCCTGGGGTAGCGCTCGGAGTCGGGCGAGTGTCGACAAAGACTCTTCATATCTCTCTTTTGAAGCAAGCCAGCGGGGCGAATAAGGAAGGAAGATGGTGCCGATCCCGAGTAGAAGTCCTGGAAAGATTTGGAGAAGAAAGGGACATTGCCATGACCAGTGATTTGGGATATCCTTGGTCGCGAACTGCACATTAGTTTAGTGATTGATGCCCACGTTGACGCAGCGAACAAAGGCAACATACCGTTATCCAAAACGCAGCCACAATTCCGACAACAATAGAGAGTTCTTCAAACACGAGCAATGTGCCACGGATTTCTGGAGGAGAAATCTCTGAAATGTAAACGGGGACAACCATCGACAGCCTTTGTAACACGTCAGTATAGAACCTGAGCCTTAGCATAACTATTCATAGGGTGAGGACAAACATTCCAATCCCCACGCCGCCAAAAAAGCGACCCGCCGTAAGCATATCGTAGTTGATAGACGCCGTTTGTATAGAAGAGCCAATAGTGAATATCACAACAGCCACTATTAACGATCGCTTTCTCGATATCCAATCAGCAAGCCATCCCATATTTAGAGCTCCTATAAAAGCACCAAGTGGGATCATGGCAGTCATTAACCCCTTTTTGAAACCTGAGCCTGCTGCTTCGTCCGATACTTCAGGGAACCGGCCAAGGAATTCCCTCATGACCAGTGTCACCGAGACGACCCCTTGGTCATATCCAAAGAGAAACCCACCCAGGGCGGCAAACGCCGCACAGTAACTGACGAACCGAGATGCGAACACGCCCTTGAAACCTAAATGTAGGCGGTCAGTTACTAATTGCATTGTGTCGAGAGTGACTTCAATGGGGATAGCTACCCGACGGTCCATAGGATACACTCTCCTCAAATGCGTCAGTTACATCTTCCTTGTGTTCCGTTATTGATGTCGACGGGTAGCTTGGCTTGTCGGACAAGGAGTCCTTCACTGGGTCTGCAGGCTCCATGGCTTGGGCGTCGGCAACACTGTTGATGAAGTGTACTGAATGTATCGTGAGTCTCGTTTAGTCTCAAGATTTCGGGGAGAGGAGTTGTGTTTCAGAAGTCGAGGTTTCTCAGTAAAAAGGGATAGACATTTAAGATGGCTGTCGGGAGTATCCACCAGATGGCATCGGGATCTTGGGCCATATTAATGCTCAGAGCAAACTTGTCTTTGTGGCAGTCATGTCTTCGGCCGCCAGACAGGGCGCGTGAACCACGGCCAATCAAATCACCTCCTTTTCATTCATACGACATGTTGTTTGATTCGGGAATTCAAACCTGGGGAAGTGTGGAGAGAGCGCGGGGAAGATCCCGAGTACCATCCGACCAGCGAAGCGAGAAGATCTCGTTAGGGACAGCCTTTGTTAAATGTGGCAAGTGGGGCGCGCCCTATGAGCCCGATTCGGAGTTGATAACTTGGTCCATGATGGTGTTGGCCAGAAGAGGCAACATTTCGCCGACAACTCCGGCGGGGTTCACTTAGCGATCATACAACACGTTGCTGCTATGCGAGGGTCAGCTCGAGGCAGTCAAAAATACCGGCCCGTCGTCGGAAAATATGCTTGTTTTCGCAAGTTAGTCTAATGATCAACTTTGCCAAGTACGTTTGATGGGATGGCTGGAGCTACATCAACAGAATCAACTTGTCCCTTGTCAGCGGCGTGGGGGCCGATACTCCCCGGCTTGACAGACGCTTGTTCTGATCAATGTCATCTGCAACGCAGAGCTACTTTAGAGGCATATAGCCTCTGACATGTATATTGCAACAATGAGACAAGAGTCGCGCTGTTTCTTCCAATATTCCTTCAACTGCCAATCCTTTAGTCTACCACCGTTCTGCTCCAAAACGTATCCCGCCATGGCCCTTCATAGATTACGAGTTGGCGTGGCTGGCCTAGGGCGCATGGGGAAGCGGCATGCCCTCATCTTTTTGAACCAGGTGCCACGCGCAGAGCTTGTTGCTGTTTCCAGCCCCGACGTCAAGGAAAGAGAGTGGGCGGCTGAAAATCTCGCCCAGCACGGCGTTACCGTCTATGAGCACTTCCCCGACATGCTCGCCCACGACAGCCTGGAAGCAGTGTGCATTGCTTCCGCGACCTCCGCCCATGCAGACCAGTCCAAGGAAGCAATCGCGTCCGGAAAACATGTTCTTTGCGAGAAACCTCTATCGACAACTGTCGAAGCCGTAAGTACAGTCCATCACGACGTTCGTGCGGCATGGTTGACGCTTACTGTCAAACATATATGTAGTCTCAGTCGGTGGTTGATGCAGCCTTGAAGCGGCCGGATCTGCAGGTCGTTTGCGGATTCTCACGCCGCTCAGATGAATCATACCGCGATGCTCACCGGAAGGTCCAAGAGGGGCTCATCGGGACTCCGACGGTGATGCGGTGTCAGAGCTGCGACATCTTGGACCCGACCGGGGCGTTCGTGTCCTATGCCGCTGTATCTGGTGGAGTGTTCCCCGACGCTAGCATCCACGACATTGACCTCGCGATATGGTTCTTTGGAAAAGACGCCAAGATCAAATCTGTCCACGCGATCGGGACGGCTGCTTGCTACCGAGAGCTTCGCCAGTATGGCGACGCGGACAACGCAATTGGGATGCTGGAATTCCACGACGGTCGTATGGTCTCCCTATTTGTATCACGGACGATGTCCGGCGGTGCGGAGGACTCGACTGAAATCATTGGCACCACGGGCAAACTGGTAGTGAATCAGGTTCCCAGGACGAATTCCGTACAGCTTTACCAGGCTGGCGGTGTCTTCCACCAGATGCCACAGAACTACTGGAAAAGATTCCATAACGCGTTCGTCGTCCAGGCAAACGATTTCACTGCCAGCATTATGGACAAGGGCCCGCCGTTGATTGAGTTGACTTCGGCAGTGGAGGTTGTCAAGATTGGAGTCGCTCTGCAAGAGTCTATGAGAACGGGATGGAAGATCTGCTTCGATGAACACGGCACCCGTATCGACCAAGCTCATCTTTAGCGGCACGGTTCATTCACATGTAGTAGATCGAAGACAATCAACTCGGGTCTTACAGAAGCTTAATAACTCATGCCTTGTTTCCAGTTTACCTGCATTCTTGAGACATCCTATGTGTTCTTAGCTCAGGAGATCTGGTAGGTGAACTCGTACTCCGTAAATAGTTAGTAGTCTAGTTTAGCAAGGTTGTAATGATCCCGAAGATATGCTGGGATTGGACATTGCGGGTCAAAGAACTTAGAAGTACTCGAGTCGAAGTTTGAAACCTTCTCTTTTCTCAAGTCCATTCCTGTGTTCCAAGACTCGCGTGGCGTAAGATGATATTGGAGACATCCAGTTGCAAAAACCCTCACAAGAATCCATGGATGTCGTTATTGGCTCGTGACATGGTACCTCATCTATCTCTTCAATGCGGGGAATCCATGCCACGGTCTGTCGTCAACGCTCCACCTGCAGCTTCTACCTGCGCCGAGAAAGAGATCAAGAAACGCGCTGAGCCACTCATTTCCATGTCCTTCTAATTTCATAATCGCTAGGAGATTATTCCCTTAAATGTACACTTATGATAAGCTAGGCCCAAGCATTCCTTGCATGTGTACATACGTGGTTCAGACTCTATGTGGCGGCGCTTACGCGGACAACTCACCCATCTTTAGTTGGTACGTAATTTAGGGCCGAGTCACTTGGCTTGCAGGTTCACAATAAGAAATAAATCGGCGAATCTATTCCGTATATTGGGGCCCCCGTATATGAAGTACCTGACGGGCGGCGTTTCTCGCAGAGGCAACTGCCTTTGAGCTCGAAGGCAGCGGAGCACGTCGCGGAGCCTCGGGCGCCTGGCTAAAACGTCGCCTAAGAAGGATGTCTTCGTCTGAAATAACCCCAAAATCCGCAATGGGGAAATTTCTCCTCATATCTGATCATTCAAGCGCGTCTTATCCAACCTCACCATTGACCTCAGCCCAGCTATCTCTTAAAGGACAAAGTCCAGGTATTGTCCCGCGAGAGCATACGAACTTACTGCCACTTTAACCATCCCTCACAAGTCATACACTGCGTTCGTGCTGGAGTGAATATGGGTTCAGCTGCTCCTGAGTCACTCCGCGTTGGTGTCATCGGATATGGGTAAGATGACATCTCTTTCCCATGGTCCCAGGCCGCCGGCGCCGTTTGCACAAGATCCGCGCCGTTAACATCGCCACAGCTTTGCGGCCAAAGTCTTCCACATACCATTCATCCAATCGACCCCTTTCCTCAAGCTGCAAGCCATCGTCCAGAGGAGCCCGACCAAGGTCTCGTCGGCTCCCGCAGACCACCCGGAAGTCAAGCACTACACCGCTGTAGACGACCTTATCCACGATGAGTCCTGCGACGTGGTCGTCATCACAACACCCCCCGACAGCCATTTCGCGCTGGCGAAACTCTGTTTGCAAGCCGGGAAACACATTCTGGTCGAGAAGCCGTTTGTGCCAAGCGTTTCGGAAGCAGAAGAGCTCATACAGCTAGCTAAGAAAGCCAAGAGGCTCATCTGCATCTACCAAAACAGGCGATGGGACAGCGACTTTCTCACGGTCCAACAGCTCCTTCAAGACGGTGTTTTCGGTCGCATTCACGAGGTGGATACCCACTTTGATTACTACCGGCCGACCTCAGCAGACTCTTGGAGAGGGCAGCTCGACACCATCCACGGTGGTGCTGCTCTGTTCGATCTGGGGTCACACTTGATCGACCAGATGTACGCGTTATTCGGCCTCCCGCGCGCAGTGTATGGAGTCCTCTCGAATCAAAAAGAGGGACGCCTGGATCCCCTCAACCCTGACAGTGTCCACGCGCAGCTCAATTACGACGGGGGCATGGTGGTCAATATTCGAGTCAGCGATATGAGCGTCGAATCGCCACAGCGCCGGTTCTGGATTCGGGGAACAAAGTCATCTTTTCGAAAGAACGGAAGAGATCCGCAGGAAGGGCAGTTGGAGTTGGGTCAGACACCCAAAGACCCTGGGTTTGGCGTTGAGCCAGCCGAAAATGAGGGACGCCTGGTTTATGTTGTCAACGCCAGCAGGATGGAGGAGCGCCCGTACCCAACAGTTGCCCCGGAGACTTACGGTGCCTTGTACCAGGGTTTTGCAGCGGCCATACGGTCTGGTACTGAGGAGAAAATTCCTGTTTCGGCGTCTCAAGCCAAGGATGTCTTGCGGATTATCGAGGCGTTGTACCAAAGTGCCGTGGAGGATCAAGTTGTGAGACTTTAATCTATAAGAACGGCTTCTAGGACAAATCAATATCGAATGTTTTCGACAAGTGGAATTTCCAACTTCCATCTCCTCAAGACATCAGCTGAAAGATTCTACGTCATCCAAAACGATGGGATCTCCGTGAGAGGAATCTAGTTTACTAGCACATACTGTCCAGCGATACCGATCAGTATAGCGGACGTAACCCAACTAGCTAATATGATTGACCAGGGCTCCCGAAAACTTCAAAGTCTCCAGCTTTCCAATCAATGCAATGCGGGGTTCGTTACAGCGTCTTCCATGGTCAAACTCGTCTCACCATCGTAGATACGCAAAGCCTCCCGAGCGGCTACAGCTTCTCCGTCAATGAGTTTCCGGATCTCCGGAGACCGAGGCAGAAACTGGGCTTTGAAAGGCCTTGGGCGAGTATTCTCGCTCTCGGTATAGGCGAATATGTCCAACATCATCTCTTTTCCCTGCGTTACTTTGTTAGCATTAAGCCTTTTTCGACGATATTCTCCCCTAACTTGCAGATGACTAGACTCAGAAAGCAACCTGTTAAGAATGTTGCGTTCTAGCATTGCTTACCTCTTCTTCCAAACCCGGTCTTATGTTGAAAGCCCAGATCATCCGGCCTACGGAGTACAGAAGGCCTTGTTCAGCAAGAGGCTGACCACTGCACTGCCTTCTGCCCCAGCCGAATGGGTTGCTTCCCCGTGCATTAGGGTACGGATTTTCCGACCCGTTCAGAAATCTCTCCGGTCTGACGCTATCAGGGTCTGGAAAGTCCTTCGAGTTGCGATGTATGGCCCACATGTTGCTGGTGAAGTTGGTTCCAGCAGGGAAGTGGTATCCTTCGTGTACGAAGTCCTTCGTATTGGCGTGTGGGATGCCGCAGAGCACGGTGACTGTCCTCCATCGGAGAACCTCCTTGACGAAAGCAGCAAGGTAAGGAAGCCGTCCATGGTCGATGTCATCCCAGCCTGGTGATCTTTCGTGACCAATCATGGCGTCTATCTCTTCTTGAGCCTTCATTTGGACATCTGGAAAGACTGCCAAGGCAAGAATGCAGCTGAGCATGGTGCTGGAGGTCGTGTCGACACCGCCTCCTATGAGGTTACCCATCAACCCGGCAACCTCCAAGTCGGTCATTTGATGTTTCTTCTGGGAGTCCATGATGAATCTGTTGAATGCCTTTCGTCCGTTACCAAGGCTTTCTTCAGTCAACTTGTAGAAGTACCTGCCAGCGACTGCGGCGCTCATTCTCAGGGTTCTTGGGAAACCGTATAGCCACGATGGAAGTTTCAACAGGGCCGGAATGGTCTCTAGAATGAAAACACCAGGGACGACAAGGTTTACCGCCTCCATCATTTGAAGCGCTTGCTGGGCAACGTAGTCGCTGTTCCGATCGATGCGACGACCCCATCCGATGATGGAGGTAACCGAGATTGTATACCGCTCGATGGAAGCCTCAAATTCCTCTGGCTTTTCCATTAAGTCTCTGATCAAGAGCTTGGCCTCGTCTGCCTGAAAGCTCCGATAGTTTCGAACAGCCTGAGAGCCAACAGCTGCGTGCTGCGAACATGTCAGTTGCTGGATTTATAGCGATAGGTTGAACCTCTAACGTCGGGACCTCTGTTTCCGACGTACCATGAGTTTCCGGTGAAGCCTCCATCGATCACCGTACTCAAGTGTGGTCTGATTCGTAGTGGTACAGTTTAGAGCGTCGCCCATGGCCACCAACCGGGGTCTCGAGGAGAATGTGGCTGCGTTCTTTTCCAGTAGTTCAGACGCAACCCATGCATCAGAAAGAATGATGCGTGGCTGACGCCCGATCCAAAGTGTCAACATGGGAGTATTGTACTTCTTTGCCCACTTCTCCCAGGTGATCCAGGGCTTCACACTTGGAGTTTGGAAGTGGTTTCCCACAATTGGCAGGGGCAGCGGCCCCGGAGGCAGTTTGCGTCGTCGCCATAGCATATAGCTCCAATCCAGGAGAATTGCTGAGACTGCAGCAACTGCCGAAACGGACAAGAAGCTGTAGGGGTTGAGGGCGGGGGTTATCGAGAAATTGAACATCTCGTAAGAACTTGAATAACTCGAGTCTACGGCGAAAATCCAAATCAAGCAGAACTTGGAAAACTCGGGGTACTGATTGAATTTGCTAGCTTGTGAGTTGATACCAATCACAACTTCTACGCATACCAGCCTCTGTTATTTGATCTCATTGACAGATAGCATCGCATGCATCTTGATGGAAAAGTCGGACATGCCACATGTTGACACGAACATGTGGGGGGTGGCGAATGAAGTCTCCAACATCCTCCACATGTTTCGACGTCCACCTACATGCATTGCGGTGTCCGTCAAACCCCGACGTCATGAAACACTACGTTCTTTGCGGCTGCTCACAGTTTCGGCCGGAGCGTGTCTCCATCCATATCACCGGCATCTACATTTGATCCCGCGGCTTGCATACCCCCCACATTCTGAAGTGCTCCGAGTTTGGCATTGCCAGGATCTGTTCCTTGGCTTAATCCACGGTTTTGCTATCTTTGATACCAAAAGGCAAGGAAATCAGTGTGAGGCTTTAAAACTGATGTCGTCTTAGTCCGGAAGGAGAGATATTCAGCACACTTACTCTAAGTCTTCTTGCATTTCCTCAGCCACCACGTCTATTACGCGAGCACGCAACAACTGTATGAGATAATCTCAAAAGCATGAAGGTACTTGGAATTTCCCTCGCCATAGCATCGCCATATTGTTTGAAGACAATATGGAGTTAGTCAAACTTACAACACACTTTTCCTCAGGTCATCATCGTCGGAGCTGGGCCCTGTGGTCTCCTGCTCGCTGTGCTTCTCCAACAGCAGGGCATACAGGTGCAAGTTCTCGAGGCATCAGACAAGCTCGACGAACAACCTCGAGCTTGCCATTACAGCGGCCCAGCCAAATACGAACTTCAGCGCGCAGGTGTCCTTGACAAGATCTGTGCGGAAGGCTTCTTCCCAGACGGTGTTACCTGGCGTACCAAGGCCGGTTCAGCTATTGTGGGACTCGACGGCTCGGGTGAGCTCGAAACTAGCATCAATCGCATTGTCTGCCTCGAACTCGGTCGCGTCATTCAGATCCTCTACGATACCGCCATCTCCCATGGAAATTGCCAAGTGTTGATGAAGCACATGGTCACTAGCTCTATTGGCCAGTCGAAGACCTGTGCATGGGTGGATGTCAAGGTACCCTCAGGAGAGACGGTGAAGTTTGAGGCCGATTACATTGTGGGATGCGACGGCGCCAACAGTCAGATGCGGCGAGCGCTGTTCGGAGATAGGAACTTCCCTGGCTGGACCTGGGATCAGCAGATAATTGCAAGCAATGTGAGTACAAGTAGCGCCCAGAATCTCGCGGTTTTCACTACAGGAACTGCGTCTTCCAAGTCCCAAATGGGTTCTCACTAATGCGTTGACTCCTTCTTCTCTCAGGTCTACTATCCTTTCGAGGACTTCGGCTTCAACGATTCGAACTTCATCGTACATCCCACAGAATGGTACATGGCAGCAAAGATCTCTAAAGATGGCATGTGGCGTGTAACGTACGGCGACATATCTGGCTTAACCAAAGAAGAGTACGCCGAGCGCCTTCCAATGCGGTTCAAGCAGATTCTTCCGACCGGCTTCAACCCCGAATTTCTCAGAGTTGCCAATATCGGGCCTTACAAAATGCACCAAAGGCTAGCAGAGAGTATGCGAATCGGACGCTTTCTTCTCGCCGGTGATGCTGCGCATCTCTGTAACCCTTTGTAAGCAAACCCAAAGATTTAAGTCGGGCTCTCGGGGCTCAGGTGGAAGACTCAAAGTTTGCTGGCTGACCGAGAATACCATTAGCGGAGGGTATGGACTGACAAGTGGTATCGCGGACGTGGGATGTCTTTACGATGCTTTGGTCGGAATTAAAAGGGGCCTCGCCGACGAGAGTATTCTCGACAAGTACTCCGACATCCGTTCGGAAAAGTATCGCACCATTGTCGATCCCATGTCAACTGCGGGCTTCAGGCGGCTCTGGGAGAAAAACCCAGAGACTACAATTGCAGAGGATGAGTTCTTTGAGCTTTTGAGGAAAGTGTCCGGCGATGAGAAGCAGTTAAGGCAGCTTCGCCAGGTATGTCATAAACACCTCATCCAAAGCCTAGTTGCTCACATAGTCTTCAGGGAGCAATGGCCCTGAGATACGATCTCACTGAGTTTTATCGTGAGGAAGTTGTTCAAGCATGAGGTTCAACAACGGAACTGAGGTTTTTCGAGTGCAGCATGCACATGGAAGGTTTACAGAACATTCATCTCTTTGTGACGAAACCAACAATGCCTCATTAGTCCTCAAGGAATGCAAATTATATCGGAGACCTGAGCGAGGTAGCCGCATTCTTCCTCCCCCTCCCCATGTTGAAGTTATTCCTCGTCTAACGAGTCTCCTAAGTCCACATCGGATAGGTTGTCGCACATAACATGCAAAATTCTCGAGAATATCCTCGATTTCCACCGTCCCAAGCCGAGCATGAGAGACGCAAACTGCAACCAGCATTTACGTGCCTGCGAATGGCCGTTTCTCAGTGGTAGGCCAGATATTGTGAAATTTCCACCATCGCGAATGATGCGAGCCGCTGGGAGTGTGTGAACAGTACTCGTCCTCAGCTCTGACGAGTCGGTGAGACCGGTAGTGCCCAGAGCCACCCAGTCCACGTCATCAAAAAGGTCTATGTCGTCCTGACCCTCAACGTCTGGCATCGCGAAGATGTAAAGTCCGAGGACCAGTCCGGCATGAAAGAGTGATACTATGCTTTGGAAGCTGATCATATCGGAGACCTTGCGGTGGAACAACAGCTTGAATATCTGTGCCGCGTGTATGCAACTTCTTCGTGCACCTGCCGTGATAGCCCAGTCGGTGATTTCTCGCAGGGCCTGGGATATCGCTTCGGGACCAAATCGACCTGCAGCAGCTTCAAATAGAAATGGGCCAGTCCTCATTGACATGCAAGAAGCATGCCACGAGACCGCATGATTTATGTCAAAGTTCGAGGCCTTCTCATTGGCAACCCTCGTCAAGCCCATCTCCATGTCTATCAATGGCTTGACCTCATAATATTGCAGGCTATGGGAGAACTTCCGGGTCTTTGAATCTTTCCCAGTTGTCGCATGGTGTTGGTAGACTGAAGCTGTGGCGACTGCGAATCGTAAGTGCAGGAGCATTAAGGCAGCTGACTCACAGTCGAAGTCGTCTGAAGTTGTTGGCTTCGTTGTGATCGCTGCTATGATGGGACAACTCATCTGGCCGTACTTCGGTCTCAGGCAGGTCCACTTGTCTAGGCGATTCGCCTCGAAAAGAGCGCGATGGCATATTGGCATAATATGAACCGACTCCGGTCGTAATAAGGGGGCGATTCCCAGTTGTGAGGAGTACCAGCAGTCCAGCTGTATCAAATTAAGAACGAGTCTAAAATATGTTAGCGAAGGAACCCGTGAACCTGGATAGGAGTCCCATCACCTCTTGACAGACTCCATGCTACCCCAAACCTTCCAACGTTTCTCCTCCGATACGATGATTGTTAAGCGATCAAGTTTCAGACGATATTCATTCGCCTCAAATAGACCGTCCGCCTGTGCATTCTAGGCTCCATTGGTAAGTTTGATCTTCAATCCGGAGAGCACAGCTCACCCTCAGCATTCAGACTTACTGAGATGAGGCTGACGTAGAGGGGCTCTGTCTGTATGATCTGATCTTTGCTCTGCATACTGGACTTAGCATGGGGTTTTAATTTGCGGTATCTTTGCGGTGTGGGAACGATGTCACTCACCCCACTCAGAGATGCGAGGCTCAAGACAATAACAGCCGTAATCATGGCTGCTAAACGCGTTGTGAGCGACACATTACCAAGTCCAGACTGGCCCAACTCGTCTGCTGCCAAATTTATCAGACCCTATTCAAAATGAGTACAGAAAGCTTCAAATAGGTCTAGAGGGATAGGGATCTTACAGGAAAGGTATTGAATACCAGCCTGTTTGAGCTTTCCGTGGAGATGACACTCATGCCCATCGCACAGATAGCCAACAGCAAGCTTGTTGGCGCTTCTCTCGGACAGAATGTCGGTAGATGAAACAACGGCATCATGATATGGCAGTGGTACATGTATTGTTCATACGCGACCTCCAGCACTTCGAGTGTGAGAGCCTCAGATGCAGTGGCGTGGTCATTCGAACGTAGCATGGTGCGAAATGCCTCCAAAACCCTGCTTCTCGTATCACAGTCCATTTGCCAGGTACTCAACTTCGTACCGGACTGATCACCTCGCTGTGACTCGACCAAGCAACCGAGAAGTCCCCCACCTTCAGTGAGAGCTGGCCACAGACCTGATACGACTTTTGCTCTTCTGTCACTTTCCTGAACCCAGAATCTTTGTAGGCGACGGAAGCGGAACTCCGGTAAAGACGACTGCGCCGCGGTTCTCCTTGATGCCTGGTCATTGGATGTCATGCCGGCTGTTAGCGGATCGGCTTGGCCGGCTTTCGACCTCGAACTCGGATCGTACTCAGGTGGAGATTCCCGCCATGTGGGGTGATCGACCGCAAACCACCAGGTTTCATCCGTGACGTCCAGCATGTCATTCCAGCTTCGAGAACCGTCATGAGAGGTCAACCCCATGACTGTGTCCCACATCTGATCGGAGTCGTCCTGAATGGATTCATTATGTGCGGTCTCCAATACAGAGTCGAGGCCTGGTGTCGGAAAGAAGGTATTGGAATTGTCCATACAGTGGTCTTGGGTATTTGCAATAATCTCAAGGTTCGGAGCTTCCAAATGTGTCTCGCTACTCCTCATGGTTGACGTATCCTGCGACGAGGACTTGGAACAAGATGACACTCCCGATCTTTTACGGACACCTTGATCATGTTGCTTGCAGTGACGGAAAAGCACGTCACTGAAAGTCGACCTTAGCTTGGAACCCCATTGGCATTCGATGCTTCACTTACCTGCGGGCGTATGACTTGTGACACACTGGGCATCGATATGGTCGCTCTCTTGTGTCTGGTCAGGATAGCATTAGTCAACATCGGTCATAGATAAGTGGCGCGGAATAGGCATACGGGACCGTTCATGTCGTCTTAAATGCTCGGGCTTCGAAAACTCCCTGTGGCAGGTGTTGCACACATTGCCAGCCATCGTTCTGCCGAGACCTCGATCTCCGGTCTCTCGAGGATGAAGTTAGTAAGTCTGAGCGGAAGACCAATCGACAGCATGAGTTTCACAACGTCATTTTCCCCGGATATTCCAGTGACGCTTACAAATGCCGAACTGGCAAGGATGTAGTGGTTTATCTGCCGTGCGACCAGGTGGGGGAGAGTTGCAAAGCTGAACTCAAAACGAGTTAGCCAAGCCGCGCGCGACGTCACTTTTCATTAATTCAACTCATAATTTGACTCAAATGAGATGGCAGATTCTTAAGTATTCTTGAAACGGACATTTCTTTGTACATTTGGTGAGTGATAAGCGGTAAACTGCTCATCATTAAGATCATGAATGTTCATATTTTGCTCGGCCGTGGCGCCTTACGATCTCGAAGATGGCGATATTTCCGCGGCCAAATACCCTGCTTCCCAGGTGACAAAATCCCATTTGGGTCAACGGTATCCTGTGACAGATATTAGCGACGTACAACCAAGCTGGATTTTGAATGGCGCTGGCCTTCAGCTTTTCCACAAATCGCCTGTAGGCTCCGTTGTTGAAATCATTCAGTTCCGCAATCATATCTGGTGAAATAAGTTAGTAGGTGCAAAATCCTTTGACCTGCTCATCAGTGTGTAAAGCCTACCCATGTGGTGAACGTGAGCGCGATACATCCCGTATCCTTTGGCAGTCGCTATGTCATGCATCCCATAATGAAGGCTCTCAATGCCTTTCCGTTGTTCTGCATCCTGCTGATCAAATGCGTACATGCTTGTGAAAATAACATGCCTCTCGTGCATGAAGAAATCAGCCATAAAATCAACGCCAGCCTGTTGATAGAGAGGCTTGCACTGCTGAACCCAATCAAGAACCTTCTTCCCGGATGATGGGATGATAGGGGCATAGTCACCATGGGCAGGTTTGCCAGTAGCGTCGTTGACGATAGCCCAGTCCATGAGAGGCAAGCTGAATAGCGAGGGAACTCCAACCCACATGAGTCCATGCTCAGTAGGAACACTCTTTGCTTCAAGGAGATTCCCATTCTCTCCAGAATACAATGTCCCACAGAGGGTACCAGTAGGTGCTCTCTTGCGAAGGTGCTCTCGGATGTCTGCTAGCTGGGTTTCGAGCGTTTTGGCGGGGCCATAAAGACCCCATCTGGCGGTCCAGAATCCGGTGCCGAGCTCCTTCTGTAGCTCCTTGAGTCGCCACTCCGGAATGGGTCCTTCGCCCTTCCACAGATCTCGTCGTCTGCCACGGACACAAAGGCTTTCAATCAGGTTTACCATCCAGACAACGTTTGGGATCATGCCGTTACGTCGCATCTCACCAAAAACGTCAACCATCACTTCGACATCCTCGTTTTCGGGCATGCTGAAGGAGCACGCCATGTAGGCGGGAGGCTGAGGCATCATCCACATGCCAAGTTTGGTGACGATTCCAAGGTTGCTTTGTAGAAACAGCCCCTCGATAGAAGGCCCGAAGGTGAACTTGGAGATGAAAGCCGAGGGTGAGTTGGTTATTCCGAATTGTCCAGTACGAACTAGCTCTCCGTCTGCGAGCATGACTTCGAGTCCTGAGATACACTGATGTTGGTTCGAGAGGGAACCGAAGCCGGTTCCGCGATCGAGAGACTGCAGGTTTCGCTAGGTCAACAAGGGCCGTGTGGGATCGGGAGGATGAAAGACAAACATTTCCAACGACGCTCCCCCATCCGAGTGATGGGGTGCTCGGCCAGACCTTCTTCTTGTGTTTGACGCAATACTCGTATAGATCGCTGAAGGTGACCCCGGGCTCGACAACGGCGTATGCGTGCTCATCATTGACCTCGAGAATCCGGTTCATTCGATGCAGGTCTAAAGCCACGGATCCGTTGAGACGCGGAGCAGGACCTCCATATCTGCAAGCAATGTTGCGTCAGAAGTATGCAAGATCTCAAACATCTCGCAAATACTCACCCCAGGTTCTTGCCCCTGGAGAATGTCCATAGGGGTATCCCGTACGTGTTTGCGATTTGAAGGACGCGACTCAATTCATCTACCGAAGCAGGGCTGCGACAATCGAAGTTATCAACTAAGAACATACAAAACGCATGACTTCATTCAGATTTTTAACATACCATATGGCAGCGCTAGGGACCTTTCCCTTTGACTCATCCTCGTGGAGCTCGTAAGGATCAATGTAATGAGCTAAAGCCTGCTTTACGAAGACATTGCCCTTCCCAACTGCCGATGTGAAGTCTTCCAAGGCCTTATCGAAGTCTACTTGTGAGACTCCAGACGGCAAAACAGGCTTGATGGCTCGCGATTTAGGCGGTGCGAATGTGTCTTGATGAGCCTTTTCATACGCAGAGTCGGAATAAGTATCCTTCGGTAGGCTTGAAGTCATGGCGAGATATGAAGTTGGATCAATATGCGAACGTGAATGTAGGTTGGCTTGAGGTCGAAGACGTGTTTCTTTCATCGGGACACTTCAACATCTGTCCGAGACCTGCGTTGAATCTCTGTTTATGTCGCCCAGAGGCATAAGCCTAGGAGGAACTGGTGGGGTGAAGTCTGGGGAATCCTTGCTCTCGAAGTTCACCTCCACATTGCGGATGTGGAGGGTATGTGGGAGGCATGTGGGGGATGCGACACCACTTCAACGGGGATCGGGTCGTCTAGTAACCCGATGCACGTCACCCGAGCATACATATGGAACCGGAGACGATTTCCAGTCGTCTCGTGACTTTCGTCTGTCATCTTAGCCCGTGCCGACAAACGGACGACGTGAACTGCCTAAACATGGAATTCAATGGCTCAGAAATGATACTAGTAAGTTTCATAGGACCGAGTAGCCACCACAACCGAAGTTGAGCATCATAAGATGAAGAAACAGTTGACGCCTTAAGATGGCATTATTAGTCAAGGACAATGTCGAACTTGGCCCAAGACGACGTGCAGGAGTTGCGTCAAATCACAGGTTCTTCTCCAGATGTTTATGTCGATACTGCAGAATTCATCGCGTCGTTTTCATACCTAGTGGAAGATTTATAAGATTTATGCTACATTCAGAGTCAAACTCATTGCAGGATTGGTTTGCATGTCTGTTTGTTTTTGTACGACAAGCCCTTTACCGCAGCACGCCTGACTGCAGGTCACCGCATTCGGCCTTGTCTCACATTCAGTGGCAATCATTGGCCAATGTTCATGCAAATAACCGCAAGTCAGGCAAAGAAAGCAGCTTCCTTTTCCTGATTCTTACCCCGCTTCCGTATGGCGAGAATTCAACTTCAAGTTGCAAGATATGTCTCTACCTTCACCAACAGCCACCATGTGCACCTCGTTTCCCCAATTCCCGAGGCTCCCTAGAGAGCTTCAGTTGCTGGTTTGGGAAGCCGCCGCTGCGTCTTCGATGGAACAGCAAGTTATTGAGGGCAGAGTCGAGTCCGAAACGCGGAAGCCTGACATTTACGTCACCTTCCTTTTATCCAGACTATCGCGAATGAGCAGGTCCATAATGCCGACCTCGATTGTGTTCCCGTTCGCATTGACAGACGTCGCGCCTCCTGTCATCCTCTCAGTTTGCCAAACATCGCGCCAGATTGCTCTCAGGCACAAGAGTTTCACGAAATTGCCGCTGACAGGCGACAACGATGATGAGAGGCTGGTCTGGTTCGACTTCACCTCTGATATCGTCTTCATCCCCAGCATGCGGTCCACGGCTTACGGCGTCTTGATAGACTTGGCCCGTATCAGCAACAAGGAAACGCGTGAGCTTATTCAGCATATGGCGGCGCCATGGGCACTTTTTCATACGGGAAATCGGTGTTTCCAGACCGAGCTTGAACGGAGACAGTGGTGGATTACTATGTTATCCCAGCTCTACGACATGTTCCCTCGCCTCACGGACTTGTATCTATGCATTTCAGCCGCGAAGCAGAACAACCTTCCCGACCGCGGTGCCCACTTTCTCGAAGACCGCCGTGGTCCTGAGAAGCAACGGCCAGTGTTGGAGCCGATCCCGGGGCCCCTCGACCAAGTTCAACTGCCTCCTTGTCATTGCAAGGTGAAGCCGGGGAATCTGGGTGACACCATCGATGAAGTCGAGAAGAGCCTGCGCTCTGATTGGCTGCGGTCTCAGCTTCAGAGGGTCTTCGATGGCCGGCATCATGGCGGGGCGAAGGTGCCAGCACCCTTTCGTGTTCACGGGAGGAGACTCAGGCTGGAAAGGATTGATTTGGATACATGAGTTGGCAAACGAAAGAATGGTGTTTATTGGGAACGCGGGTAATGAGAGCTGGAGTTTACGAAGCCACGAGCCCGATCACAAGTTGCTGCTTTCGTTGATGGACATCTGATATAACATACAACTAGAACGATGCTTTCTATGGTCTTCAATTTCCTACTCTGTAGTAAAGCTTTTCATTTAAATTAATTCATGTTTCATCTTCACGTCATCGGTCATTCAACTCAAGTAGCAGGCTGCAGCGGAAAGGTGGAAAGGAAGGTCTTGTTTCGCCCGGCAAAACTACTTTAACGCACTTAAAGAGTTGGAACTGAGGAAGAATGACTAGGTCACTAGATGATTTCCAGAGGTACAGCTTCTCCCCTTCATGCTGTTGTGTTGCTAGACAGGGAGTGCAGTCACATTGCATGACTTTGGTGAGATCAGTTCGGTGAGCTCGGTGAGCCGCGTTGTGTTATGGTGAAGATCGGTGAGCTTTCCCTCACGTCATCTCCTGTGAACTAAAAATAGCCCAGAGTTACTACGCCAAGCGGTGCCGTCGGGTTCCGGTCATCCCATCACTCGTCCCATCACCACCAACACGGCACCAGTTCCGATCCCGTGGTCCATCCTTGATTGCGATCACTCAGCCCTAGCGTTTGAACATTTCGTGATGCTCATTCATTGAAATGAGAACGAAACCCCCGTGCTGGCAGCTGGCTTCACTATGTTTCAACGAAAACGCGTCTTACTCGCGTAAACTCCGCGTATTCGACCTTTCAGCCACTCTTAAACACTCAAACAAACATCGGCAGCCTCACTTCTACGCCACATCAACCCCGTGAATCAACTTTCAGCTACGCTTCTTCGGGCGAGCTAAGCCTTGTGCGCGGCTCTGCGGCAAGCAAACTCTGGGCATGTGGAGCCGCTGACGCGTTCAGCTCTTGTCGAGCATCCCTGGCAAAGAAGATTGGATCACGGAGCGCAAGGGCTGCCGATGTTCCAGAGCCAGGGGCCACTGAATTTCCTATTCTCACTTTCTGGGCTGAGGGTTTCAATTTCCGCCCCAAAATCTGTTCTTTCTGACTCTCCCGCACCGAACGGCAGCAAGGCCATGTCACTTTCGGCCCTCCAACACCAATTCAGATCTTCGGACGGTGCCATCAACCCGGGTCACACCTGAACTGGAGCCCCTCTCAAAGTTCTCCAAGACTCCAATTGCGCCCCTCCGGTTCTTCATTCCGACGTCGACGTCTCTTCTTTAATTGCCATTTTCAGTGCGGTTCTCCATCGTGGGTCTGGCCACCACACGCACACCATTACCTGTACCACATCGGCCGTGCCGAAGTTCCATTCCGCCGCGCCTACATAATCACGCCTTCTCTCCCGCTCTTTCGCGATTCGCGTGGTTGGAAGGATGGGCATCATGGAGAAACTAGCGAGGGCGGTGACGGACCCAATAAACCGTATGCCCCGCAAACCGCAGACCTACAACGACAAATATGTCGTCGCCTACGATTTCAGCGAAGTTGGTGAGTTGTTGCGACCCCATGGGTCATGGAATGGGTCCGGCTAACCACGATCAGACTCCGACACTGCCGTCAAGGAACTCACTACTCTTCTGAACGACCTTGAGTCTGCTGGACTTCAGACAGAGGTGCGAGCTGGCTACGAGCAGACCCTTCTCATCTTCGTCAAGGCTCCCCGCGAGCTCCTCGGAAACACCGTCTACAAGTCAAGGTTAGCCCCCTTTCGCGATCTTGTCACCCCGAACCACCCAACTAACATTCGTCCCAGAGTAAAAGACTGGCTGTACGGGATCATCCCCGAACACCCTGGTGGCTCCAAGAACACTGTGGTTGATGGTGCTTTTGAGGCAGAGGACATCCTCTCGGTGTATCACCTCGTCAACTGGCCCAAGTCTCTCGGCGGTGCTGGAATCACCCCTGAGACAGGACAGTGGAAGAATGTCAAATCCATCTTCCCACTCCACAATGAGGAGACAAACGAGTCTTTGTTGAAGCACCTCAGCAAGCGTCTCTTCCTCACTCTTGATGATCTCGATTCAATCCGTGACCTATGGGGAACCAAGGTGAGACCGCATCACCTCTCTCCAGGCCACTTCTCACTGACTCTAAACAGGTCGCCTTCTATTTCGCCTTCATTCAAACCTATCTTGTCTTCCTTTCCTTCCCAGCCATAACTGGCGTCTTAGCATGGATGTATCTTTCCAAGTATTCTCTCACCTATGCGATCTCGACGTGTGTCTGGTGCACCGTCTTTCTTGAGTATTGGAAAATTCAGGAGGTCGACCTTGGTATCCGCTGGAATGTCCAGGGTATCGGCAAGGTCAAGGTCAACCGACCTCAGTTCAAGTGGGAGAAGGTCATCACTGACGAGGCCGGCCGCGTAAAACACTACTTTCCCAAGTGGAAGCAGGTATCCCGGCAGCTCCTCCAGATTCCGTTCATGTTGATCTCTGCCCTCGCGCTGGGCACCATCATTGTCCTCGTCTTCGCAATCGAGGTTCTCATCTCGGAAGGTTACGACGGACCATACAAGTACCTCATGGTAAGGGTCCTGTGGTTCAACGTGTAGATCGAACTGACAGAAATCAGGAATATGTGCCGACCTGCTTGCTCGCCGTAGCACTTCCATACATCAGCAGCGGTCTCGAAGATGTCGCAACCGCCTTGACCAAGTACGAGAACCACCGAACCGCCGACTACCACGAGATGTCCTTGACGCAAAAGATCTTTGTCCTCAACATCATCACCAACTACCTGCCCATTCTCGTCACGGCCTTCATCTATGTCCCATTCGGAGACGACGTCGTCCCGTGGCTCGAGGGCATGACCAAGTCGTTCCTCGGCGCCATTGGCCAGAAGTACATGGACGACGACCTTAGTTTCCACGTCGACTCCGACAGACTGCGTGACGAGGTCATCGCACTGGTCGTCACCGGTCAGATCTCCGGCTTCTTCGACGAGAACATCATGCCGGTACTCAAGCACAAAGCTCAAGGCCTCTACCGCGACTACAAGAGGTCGCACTCCAAAGACACCATGCTCATGGGAATCGTCAAGGACGACCCCGAAGAGGCCCGCTTCCTCCGCAGCGCCCGCAACCAGGCCACGCTGGACAAGTACAACGTCCAAGACGACATCGCCGAGATCGTCCTCCAATTCGGCTACCTCTCCCTCTTTTCACCCGTCTGGCCTCTCATCCCGATCGGCTTCTTGATCAACAACATCATCGAGCTCCGCACCGACTTCCTCAAGATCTGCCACGAACACCAGCGTCCCCCGCCCGTTCGCACAGACGGCATCGGCCCGTGGATCACCTCCCTGGACATCCTCACCTGGGCCGGCAGCATCTCCACGGGCGCAATCGTGCACCTCTTCGGCGCCAACACCATCGGCCAGGGCGCGTGGTGGGCGCTCCCCATCACCATCTTCATCAGCGAGCACATCTTCCTCGGCCTGCGCGCCGTGGTGTGCTTCGTGCTGCAGCGCATTGGCTCCGAGCAGATCAGAAAGCAGCGACAGCAGCGTTACGCCGATCGCGTCAAGCACCTGGAGGAGTTGGAGAGCAACAAGCAGGCTGGTCTGATGCTGTCGGTTGCCGAGCGCGAGCGTCGCAAGTCTATCCGCGCCATGGGCCACGACTCGTTCTGGACTACGCAGATTGACGAGGGTGCCAGTGCAGCTGCCGGCATTGGCCTCATTCAGTCTGTGAAGAGGGCCGAGGTCACCAACAAGCAGCCGAAGGAGGATTAATCAGAGACATGCGACGCACCGATCGTGAGTCGAGCGACTAAATTGTATCATTAGCAGGCGAGTCATTTTCGCGCATGGAAATGGGAAAAGGCATAGATAAATATCGGATAGCAGTACATCTGAATTTCACATCATGGTCGTGAAGTTCACATCATGCAATTCCAAGATGTGGGGTTGACGTTCGGCGTCAGAAGTGACATGTCTTTGACATCACAGCGCTGACATCATCGAACCACACGCGTACATCCAGACGCCTCATCCACGACTTCGTCTATCATTCACACTCATTCAATCGCAAACTCTGGCAATTTACTACAAATAGACACCATAAACAACAGCAATCATGTTCAACCCGATCACATCGCCCTTCGGCAACCCCATCTCCTTCGCCTCCTGCTCAATCGGCGTCGAACGACACACCCTCGAACAGAAACTCCAAGCCATCGCCTCCGCAGGGTTCAACGGCATCGAGCTCTCCTTCCCAGACCTCCAATCCTTCGCCAATCGTCGTTTCAACAAAACGATCGCCGACGATGACTACGACTCCCTCTGCGAGGCGGGTAAGGCCGTCCGCGCCCTCTGCGAGAAGCTGAAGCTCCAGATCATGGTCCTGCAGCCCTTCGCCAACTTCGAGGGCTGGCCCAAGGGAAGCAAAGAGCGCGAGGACGCGTTCGCGCGGGCGAGGGGGTGGATGGAGATCATGGGCGCCGTCGGCACCGACATGTTGCAGGTCGGATCGTCCGACTCGCCCGAGATCACGGGGTCGATCGGGGAGTTGGTCGCTGATCTGGCCGAGCTCGCGGACATGCTCGCGGAGAGGGGGTTCAAGGTGGCGTATGAGAACTGGTGCTGGGCCACGCACGCGCCGTCTTGGAAGGACGTGTGGAAGATCGTACAGCTCGCCAATCGGCCTAACCTGGGCCTGTGTCTGGATACGTTCCAGTCCGCGGGTGGTGAGTGGGGTGACCCGACGACGGAGTCGGGACGGATCGAGACGGGCGGGATTGGGGAGAAGGAGGTGAGAATGGGTTATGAGATTAGTCTGCAGGAGCTGGCGAAGACGGTGCCGCCGGAGAAGATCTTCTTCCTTCAGATCAGCGACGCGTATAAGGTTAGTCCGCCGCTTGAGACGAAGGTGGATGAGTCTGGTCTGCGGCCTAGGGGTAGATGGAGCCATGATTATCGACCTCTGCCGTATGACGGGGGCTACCTGCCGATTGTGCAGTTCCTCGAGGCTGTCATGAGCACGGGGTTCCGTGGGTGGTTATCTGTTGAAGTCTTTGATGGAAAGTTTGAAGAGAAGTATGGCGATGATCTGGAGAGGTATGCGAAGAAAGGACAGGAGGGAGTTGTGAAGATGCTTGGGGAGATGATCGTTGATAGGAGCGGTGTTTGAGAGCAGACTTTGGTCTTTGATGTCTATATACATTAATCGGTTCACACGGAGAAGGCTAGGCTCATGGCTTGAGCTTGAAAGGCACCTCCTTTTCAGTCCAAGGCATCACCGTGAGATCCTCCCATATCTCAAGCCACCTTCTGGCTTTCTTCTCATACGCCTCTCTCGTCCCAAGCTGAGGATGTGGCCTCACCACCATATTGAAGAAGTCAGACAGTCCTCTCGGCGCATACACTTTCCATTCCCCGTCATCCACCAGTCGCACACCAATCATCGCGGTCGTCGAGATCCAAGTATCGATCCCCGCCTCCGTCGACTTGTGAGGCGGACATCGGGTCCCGAACCTCTCTTCAAACCATAGATGCACCCTCGCCTGATTTCGAATCTCGACTTCGACGGGTATGTCTGCGAACAGCTTGTTCCCGGCCTGGATGACCTTATCCTCGGCCTCCCATGACAGGTCCGAGTCGTCGAAGTAGACGAGATCGTAGTCGTGAATGCCTGTGTCTGCGGGCTTGCCGCTCATGAAGTTCCAGATTGTCTGAGAGACGGCTCCGGCGGCAAGGTACCAGTTTGGCAGGTCGAGGGTGGCGGCGCGGGTGAGGACCGTGATGAGGGTGGAGTTGGTAGATAAGACTTTGCGGAGGTGAATTAGTTGATCTTCAAGAGGAAGCTGGGCTGGATTGATGGGAGTCATATTTTGTCGCTGGTTTTGTTGATAAATATGAGATTCAAGGTCAATACTTCACCAACGCTTAAGTCGGCGCGTCAAGCATGTGCGATTATGGTGTGACGACATAAGACAATCGATAAGAGACGTAGTGACACTTAAGATCATCGTCCTACGGAATCCGCCTTTCTCCGACGGATCATTAACCTCAATAGCGCTTCTCAATTCCATACAACATTCAACATTAGCTATCAGCCAAACCATCGTGACATTTCAGGTTTTCTTCTGAAGACATGCCGCAGATTCTAAGCTCATTTCACAGTCCTGTTGAGCGCAACTCATGAAGACATTAGACAGCAGACCATGTGGTAAGGATGAGTCGGTGGTCAAGTATGTGGATAGCGCCATGATTTCTTAGAAAGCTAGGGTTTAAAAATGACACGAAATTCACGCCGCTCTCAGTCAGTTTGCATAAGAGGACGATCAGGTTACTTGTAATAGAAGTAGGTACGTGGGGAAAAGAGCAGTTGCTCGCGACTAATCGGCGCGAGATTGAGGCACAGCGCGCCAACTCACCCGTTACGCCCTTGCGGGGTAGCTTGCCCGACCTTTCACTCACTGCGACACATTTGATACGACTCCCATAACCTGAGGCTGACGAAAATTGATCTGCCGGTTAAATTCAACGTGGCTGTCTTGCGGGTTGGTGGGTATGTGGTTGTGATTAATATGTCTTGGGATTGGATGAACTCCAGTGGCTTGTACGATGACATCGTACTCGTACTCACGATCTAGCGTGACGGGATTCATCTGCATGAATGTCAACAGGTAGTCACACATGTAACGGAGATCTCCAGAGCAGCCACGCCGATTCCAAAACGATTCCTCGACGGGGCCTTGGACAGATCAAATCAAGTGCTTTACCGAGTCGAACTAACTTCATGTCCCTGGAGCATCCCCCGCCGGAGCCCTGCCGCGGGAGAAAAAAACATTATCGTCATCTGGACTATTGTCAACTCTCAATCGGACGGTGGCGTCAGTTGATTGACGTGAAAGTCAATCATAACCTTAGGTTCTAATTACGAAACCAGAAATCAGTTGCGAATCAGGGGAACCGAGTTCCGAACCATTCACGTCCTTCAGCCGCCCGCCACAGTTCGTCATGGAACTTCAGGGGGCAGTTTCTGTCTGTACTAGAGTTCTGTCGACGTTGCGAGCGCCTGTGCGCGAGGAGCATCCGCAGTTTGGTTAGTATATCCGACGGCTCGCGTAATAAGTTTCTGTCTGATGTGCATCTGAACACCATCGGTTCCGAAGCGGCGAATCCGGTGACCACTAGGAGTTTAAATCAACATTATACGATATCCAGGGCTCAGGTTTTACGGAGTTTATGCGGAGTAACTCTGACAGAACGCTTGTCGGATGGGACTGAGTTCTCTATAACGATGAAAGGCAATGTGTACTGTTCTTCCATAGCATTGCAGCGCGACAGAAGCAAGCCGCAATTTAGGCGATTGATGTGTTGATTCATGAGAGTATTTGATCTTGTAAAACAATTGGGCACACATAGCTATCTAGTGCCAAGGCGTCTCTCACTGCACTCTCTCGACTCATCCCCAGCGCAAATATTGCCATGCGCATCCATCAGCCTTCAGGGCCAACACGTGCAAACAACACATCATTACAGACCTAGTGTAGGCTGACAGAAGCTCCCGTGCCTGCATGCAAATTGATTGACAACTTCCCAGGAGCTCCTCCCCCTCCATCACAGCCTTCTCGCTCGGTGGGATGATTATTGATGGCTGACACCAAGTCGGATTAGCACGCCCGCCAAGAATGAACTGCATGTGCTAAGCCTGGAGGATGTGTCTGCCAAGCCTCCAGACCACCTTCAGGGAGCTTGGAACTCCCCCCAACTCACGCGCCCGACAAGCGAGAATTCGGCTCGTCTGTTTGAATATGTGGTTTATCCTTCTTAAACTTTACGAAGCCCGCCGATATATGTCGAAAAAGTTAACTCAAGTAGTAAATTCCGACGCGCCGACGGCCCATCAGTTATGATTCCGAAATTCCGAACCGTGAACCACTTGCATACCTTTCATGTGAGTATCGACGTATTCTGAACTGTTACCAGACCGCTATCTGGAATTCTCGTCGAACCTGAAATTTGGGGAATTTGCTGGAAGCTGCTGTGTTGGTCGTCGTAATCCATTCACAGCCAAGCCGGTTAAATAGAAGGTCGAACATCGAGGCTCTTTTCCCCACGCTACCCTGAAGCTCAGGACGTTTTTTGGGAATTACCAGGGCAAGATTCGCGGTCGCTGTCTGCCAATAGCCCGGGCAACTGAACAAGTCTGTTGGCTGCTGATGGTGTTGTTCCCTGCGTCTTGGTATCTGGCGTTTTTCCGATAGGAGGAATTTTCCAACACCGAACTCGGGGTCAATTGAACCTTCTCGTGATCCTCATCGTGCGATGGATTAAATCAAAAGTTCATTGGGGCGCGAACGAGCTACAATCACGCTGTGCCCTCCCAAAAGCGGTGTCGAAGGCGCTCTTTCGGGCGCCCGCAGTCTGCAGATGCCAATGTCCAAATGTGATTCATCAGAGTCTGACCATTACCCCAGGCTGCAGGGCCATCACTTCATGGGGAAAGAGATCCTTCGAAGAGGAATCCTGGGGTTGTTATAATATTCTTCTGATGCCTCGCCCGGTGGTGGACACTTGACGGTTCGTCCTCTTTTGCAACATAGCCCTCCCCCACTTACCGACGACTTGCGCCCCTTTGATCGCCCACTCGTGAGAAACCGACAAAATGGTGATGTCTGGAAGAGTATACAGCTGGTGAGTTACATGCTACAGGTGCAGCATACTGCTACACGGTCTGACATCTGCGGGTGTCTAGGTACTCGGCGCTTTTAGCGGCGATGTGCATGGTGCTTTATGGATTCGATGCTTCAGTATTCAATTCCGTCCAGGCCTCGGACAACTGGCTGGCGTACTTCGACATCGACAAGGTACTTCGCCCACGAGGGGTTACATGGCCACATCATGCTGAGAATTCAATTTCTAGGATGAAGACACACAACTCATTGGACTAATTAACACATCCTACACGGTTTGGAGACCTCCCCAGTAATAGTAACACGCGTAACCGCTAACCCACCCAAGATTGGAGCTATTGTGGCTGGCTTCTTCATCGGCGGCCCTTTGGTGAGAACCCTTTGAGCACAACGGCCCCGAAACAGCATTCCTAACCACCGAGTACAGGCCGACTGGGGCGGACGTCGTGTTGGAATGGGGGCTGGCTGCTTCGTCACAATCATCGCCGCCTTCATGCAGGCCTTTGCGCCCCGCCATAATCTCGGCGTGTTCATCGCTGGACGTGTCATCATTGGTCTCGGGCAGGGTATGGCTTTGAGTAAGTGGTTTCTGGTGGCAACATGAGTGGTGTGAGCGCGAAGACGCGAAGACGCTAACCTTGGAAAGCGGCCGGCCCCGTCTACATCAACGAAATCACCCCGGCCGAGATCAGAGGTGTTGTCATGACATTCTGGCAGCTGAACTTCAGCGTAGGGTAAGCGAACCGAGGACGTGTTGCTACGTCGTTGGCAGGAGCTCACGAGTCGACAGGTCCTTCATCGCTTATTGGATCAACTATGCGTGCAGTCTCAACCGCGAGAAGCTTGGCGACTGGGATTGGCGTATGGTGGTCGTCTTCCAGATCCTTGTTCCTTCAATCGTCTGCTCCCTACTGTGGACCATCCCCGAGTCCCCAAGATGGTACATCCAGAAGAACAAGCCGGAAATGGCTCACAAGGCCATGTCCTCCCTTCGAAACAGCCAAGAGGAGGCCGACCAGGAGCTTCTCTCCATCAAGGAAGCCATCGAGTATGAAAAGGAAGCGATCAGTACCAACTACACCGCACTTTTCAAGGATCCCTCAGTTAGAAAGCGCCTGTTCTTGACCATGATCCTGAATGTTGGTCAGCAGCTCACCGGTCAAGGCACGCTCAACAACTATTCTACCCCCATCTACCGTAAGGTTTGGCCGGATACGAGAACGATTAACCTCATCAACGCCCTCAATGGAACTTTCGGTATTCTCTTCACCCTGAACGCGATGTGGACAGCTGATCGCTACGGTCGACGATGGCTGTTCATGGTCGGTGCCGTCGGCATGGGTATCTGTATGGTGCTAGTCCCTGTTGTAAGCATGACTACGCCGGAGCTACCCGGTGGTGTGAAGACGCAGCCAGTGGGGATTGCCATTGTGTTCCTCCTATTCTTGTTTGCGTTTTTCTACAAGCCCAGGTACGATTACGACTACATCCTACAACCCTGTCGGGGGTGGACGTTGTACTGACTCTACATTCTTAGCTGGGGCGCTACCGTCTGGATCTACACTGCCGAGGTGTTTTCGATGAACATCAGAGCTCAAGCCGTCGGAATGTGTTCTCAGTCACAAAACGTCGCAAACACCATCTTCCAGCAGTTCTTCCCTACGTTCCTCAAGAACACCGGGCTGAAATGCCTGTTCTTCTTCATGGCCGTCAATTTTCTATTGGTCGCTTACGTCTGGTTCTTCATCCCTGAAACCAAAAAGGTTCCGCTTGAAGAGATTGACGTCCTATTCGGCGGGGCCAACCATGTCGAGAAGGGTAGTCAACTCGTAGGCCTGGGCCCCGACAATGATGCGAAAGAAGTAGCGGTCGGAGAGCAGACTTTGAGGAAGAGGCAGGACACTGAAACCAAGGAAGTCTAACGTAAGAGCCAATCGGATCGCCCACTAGGAACTGTACGCCTACTCCTATGTACGCGGCCATGGCATTTACTGCTTTGGGATGAACCTTTCAGTAGCTTAGATAAGCTTAATTCGTACTTGGACTTCCGAGGCTTTACTTTCCACTTCTGGCAGACCTTCATAGTCAAGTCACATCTTGGACCACGATTCAGCAGTTCTTCAGTTCATCCGTCCAAGTACTCCCGGGAAGTGGTGGTCCCGTTTTGTTGCTGGTCTATTCTGGGCAGTGTGGTTTGAATTAGCAATACCAAGCTCCATATAGGTCAGACCCATACCAGTACAGATATTTTGACTTACACATTGTCCATGTCAGTTCGTCTTGCTCGACTTCTCATCCAGACGCCAGAAACGAAGACTGGCTATTGAAAAAAGCGAAGTTTTTCCACGTCCAGCTTTTCAGACGAAGGGAAAGGAAAGCCTAGGGCTGAGGTTTGTGGGGTAGCTGCGGGGTTGGCTATCGCGGATGTTAGCCCGTTCCGGCCCAATGAGGTAATGAACCCCGCATGAACTCTTGTGTCAACTTCAAGCCATCGTCTGCAACGCGACAAGCACGTCGTACGGCGGTTTTGAGGGTATCCACAGAGGAAACAACTGGTGTTGGCGACGGTTGAACTTGTTTCTTCCGGGATGCCCGAGCGTAAGAGACGAAGACTGACGTGGATCAGTGAGTTACCATCTCTCCTCGACATCTGCAAATCCGAGTCCACGCGTGGCAAAGACTCCGAAGACAATGATGGGTAAGTTGGGATCTTTATTCCAATATCGAATTATTTACTGAGACAACTGACTGGTTGGTGTGTATTTGCAGCCGACGCGACTCGAACCACTCGACATCAATCCCGCTATCCCTAAGTCAACATGGCGTAGGGAGACCGTTTGAAGATCGAGAGAAAGCAAGATTGTTTATGCACTACGTACAAGACCTCTCCTTGTGGGTAAGACTGGACGCGTTGGTGGCAATCTATCAATTTGGCGATTTTGACTGACAACTTGAATTCGTTGCAGGTAGACATATGTGATATCAAGCGGCATTTTGGCACAGAGGTGCCGAAAAGGGCGTGTAGCTCGCCTCTATTAGCCTACTCAATAATTGCCCTCGCATCTAGGAGTATCTGCTGCATTTCTGGGACGGACGACTCAAAACCTTCAACATACTACAGTCATGCTTTACAGATTCTTATTCCGATCTTGGGCAGCTCTCTGGCTTCTCTCAACGAAGAGGTGCTTGCTGCAATTGTCATATTGAGGCAGTATGAAGAGATGACAGGTTTGTGTGCCATTGCCGTTGTTCGCGACAGACAGCTTGCTAACCAGTCATCTGAGCAGACTCCGACTTTGGCGTTCACCTATCCGGCAGTTCGAAACTTCTCAACTCAATGTTCAGCTTAGCAAGCAAGGGCGGCCTCGGCGAAGCCGCGAGCTGGATCGTCCTCCGCCAGGATTACTGGGTCGCGCTCGTCAAGTCGCAACCGATGAGCATCAACTTGGAAAGCTACAAAGGTTCGGCATCCTTTATACGAACAGAGCCGGAGTGTCTCGCAAACAGAGCGGTGTTTCTTTGCGCCCAGGCCATCGCCTACGCCTTCCAGCCGGCCGCGATCCGGGACGTCGAGAGTTGGAATAAGCTCAACCAACAATTGGGCGATTGGCTGGTCTCGAACCCATGGCACGCAGATCCTCTTTGGGTGGAGCCACCTCACGAGAACAGCGCGAACGGGTCTGCGTTCCCGACGATCTGGATGACGCATCCTGCTCATGGTGAGTTTCTGTGGCTTAGTGCTCGTACTACCAGCTGCATACTGACTGACAGGCGAAAGTGGTCGGCTATCAGCATTATAGTCTTGCTCGGATGATCCTGCACATTTTCAACCCATATTTGAGCAGGCCTAGCCTCGACACATTCAAGAGGAGAAGGGAATCAGATGTGAGCATCGCCAAACGAGATCAAGAGGCAATATGACTAACTCACGTTCAGAGAGCGGTACTGGACAACTTCCGAGTGCTGCTGGGTCTGGCCATCAGCAATCCCGCGGTTGTAAACGCTGGATTCACAGCATCTCATACACTAAGAGCGTGTAAGTTGCGTTGTGCTTCCATTGTTATTCGATCCAGCCTGACATAATGCAACAGGCGGCATGTATCTCACAGACCCAAAAGAGCAGAGCGAAAGCTTGGAACTTCTGGAGAAGATTCACGCCAGGACCGGTTGGTTGACGAAAGACCTCATCGAACAGTTGCGCCTTCAATGGTCTCAGAATAGCAAGAGAAGTGCCTTCAGTCATCTTTTCTCGGGGCAAGGGAATTAAGGATTTGCGAGTCGTGTTTCGATACCCGTTCAATTGCTTGAGGATAGCACTTTGCATGTGTTAGGGCAGGGATGATGTCACAAGTCGGGACCGAGCCGGTGCCGAACCGACGCTACTACAAGAAAACCAGACATGGATAATCATTCTTCATTTCTATGACCCATTTTTATCCTCGCGTGTGCTCTAAAACATTTTACAACTTGGCCTGGTTCTCAATGGGACGCTCATTCTCATCAAAGTAAAGTTTCTTTCCGGTCCTCAAGGCCTCTTGCAAGTATGAGCCAATCTGCACGGCCTTGACAGCACCGGCAAGCTTGAGGGGAAGCTCCGTGTTGTCGAGGGCCGCGGCGGTAAACTCGTTCGCTTCCTGTTCCGAATGTCAGCCCCACTTCCGGTCCGGTCCGGCTCCACCTCACTCCGCACGCGGGATGTACTTACAGCAACGAACGCATACTCAAATCGGCCGTAGTAATGGGCGGGAACCTCTCTTGTGATACCCTGGGGTCCGTAGATGTTGACAAAGTTCGACTGCGGGTTTCCGTTCACGGTGAGCTTGCCACCAGTGCCGATGATCTCGGTCGTATCCTCCTGGCCGTGGGCCATCATGCGAGAGTTGTAGAAGTAGGCGATCTTGCCGCCCCAGAACTCGACGATACCAACGGCGTTGTCGGTGTCGCCGTGCTCAGCCAGCTCGGGGGAGACGGCGGTAATACCAGCAGCAGAGACAGACTTCACGACGGAATCCTCGCCGAAGAACCACATCGTCAGGTCAATGTCGTGCACTACACGAAGGTCAGAGGGGTGTTCATGTCAGGATCTATCCCCACTTACCGCTCATGTCGACGAAGGAGCCTCCGTTGAGGGCAGCGTACTTCACGAAGAAGCCACTGGGGTCATGCTTGTCGCACGTTTGCGACCTGATGACTGATGGTCTGCCAATGAGTCCGGCCTCCGTCTTCTCGAACGCATCCCTGTACGATGCGTCAAAGCGACGAGAGAAGCCGCACATAACCTTCAGGTGAGGCTTGCGCTGTGCAGCTGTGACAAGCTCCATTGACTATCACGAATCAGTTGCTATCCCGGGACGTCAACTCGTAACCGGAACTAACCTTCTCAATACTGAGAGAGATGGGCTTCTCGCACAAGACATGGAGATTCTTCTCAACGGCTTTGATGGCCTCCTCGGCGTGGACCTTGGTGACAGTTGCAATAACGACAGCCTGAATGCCGGTGTGGTTGATCATCTCGTCGTAGTCGGTGTAGAGAGTGACACCGTACGGCTCCAGGTTCTCCCTCGCCCAGACCAACTCGTTGGGATCGGGGGTGAAGGCGGCGACGAGTTCCGCGCGAGGTGTGCGGTGAAGAAAGTTGACAGCATGACGCTTGCCCATACGGCCGAGGCCTGCGGCACCAATCTTGAGCTTCTGGACCATTGTGTCTTGACGGATTACTGCGTGTCTGAACAAGGTTTGTGCTGGTGATTCGGGTGTTCTCTTCTGGGGGTATCGAAACGAGACTGAAGGAGAAGACTGCCTTATTAATATCGGATTCGCGATTCGAGAAGAACAGAGTTTGTCTTATATACACCGTCATCAACACCGTCTGCATGTAAATGGAGCCTCATGTGATTCTCCCCCGCGATTTTTTTCCCCGCGACATGACTGAGGACTTGGAGATCACTTCGCCGATGATGCACAGCATTCGGTAACTTGGTCAAGATGCCATGGAAGATGCTGAAGCTGTAGCGTAGCAGATTGAAGGTTGAGACCGACGTTGAAGGAGGAGCCAATCATCGACGGCGAAACTTGCTTGAGGTTGAGAAATAGCGGAAATACTTGCCTCGATAACCGAAACTAGTCATTGAAACGCGCCTCCGTGACAATCCCGAACGCGGAGGAGTGGGTCCGGATAAGCGCCGAGTCATGCGGAGTCTCTCAGGAGCTCGCGCGAATTTTGCCTAATTAGACAAGTTAGGGAGGGGTTTCCGTCACAGAAGAACAGGTTTGTTCGCACGCGGAGCAGCCCGACTACAGTCTGTGCGGAGATGGAAGCTAGTTGAGGCTCAAACGTAGAGAAGGACATGTCAAAGACCAAGGTTTACCTACATCATATTGAATTCAGACGAGCTTTGCCTTTCCAGTACATAGCAGAGAACATGAAGAAGCTTCACGGCGTCTGAAGTAGAACGGCAATGCTGGTCGGCAGTTGACTAACGTTCAGTTTATCCACGGAGAAACCAGCATGGGATCGCATTGCCTTTGATTTCTCGTTGTCGTCGTCGTTGCCACAAACAATGTCAATCTGAACACTTCCAAACTCAATCTTGAACCACTATCCCTATGTTTAGAGCCATGACGATCCGGCCGCCGATACGTGTCTGCCGGGAACAGGGTGGACTACGCAAACCCGGGGGGCCCCCTCGGCGTAATGCCCGCGCCGGTTTCCCCAAAATCCCCCCACACTCAAAAACTTGCCCGGTGCGCCAAAACGGGATAAATGGGCGCGAAGACCCTCCAGCTGGTGCAATCGTGATATCCCACCCGTCGAACCGATTTCTGTGAATTGTTCACTCACCATCAGTCTCGCCCCAGCCCATAGGCCCACAACGTATGCGAAATCCCGCGCGCGCCGAACGATTCCTTTTTCCGTGTAGCCGGGTGAGATAGCGCCAGCCCAGTTTCTGGGGTTTGGAACCAATGGCCACTCCGGGCAACGTTCGGAGGCCGGGCTGCGAAAGCTGTCGTGCAAGGTAAGACTCTCCGTGGGCTCACAGACGGGGTCGTTCAGTAATCCGCGGGGGATTTGTCTCTGTTTGGACCATCTACACGTCATCCTCAGCCCTACTCAACTCTTTGTTCGCTAATCTGGTTAATATTATCGAGCAGACATATTAAATGTGAGTGTGGGGGGCGAATACCTGGCCGTGGCCACGTAGCCATCTGCGCATCTTTAGGCTAACGGTGAGGTCGTCTCGACACGTAGGTGACAAAGGAGACCCTTGTGGACAATGTGTTAGGAAAGGGAGGTCATGTGTCCGTGGCACTAAGCTGAAGTTCAGACACATTACTGTACCTAGGTATCTCTCCCTTGAATTGTTTGTCGTGCTTATGCCCCCTTTTCGAAGTTGCTAACTAGACTGGAATCTCAGCAACACAGATGGCAACCGCGGCGATCCCCAGTACGAGTTTCCAGAAACACAGAAATGGTGTCGAGTCTCTGGAAAGAGAATCCGTTTCATCGACGAGACAGCAGACATAAACAGCATCCACAACGAAGACTTCGAATCCGACGACGAAATCGTATCCGACGAAGAACCTCCTCCCAGCCCCCCGAGACAACCTCAACGCCTTCAACGACAGAGCTCGAATAGAGCATTCGTCACGCATCACGACAATGTTTCGTTATCAAACAACTTCACGGCCGGAAGCCCGCTGCCCGTCGACCGAGGCACGCCGCACCCCGTCACCAGGCTCCCAGCTCTCCATCCACATCCGTCGTACGACAGCCCAGGGTCGACCGCTCAGCTATCGATAGACGACCCGCCACGGCCCTATTCACCCGTTCCTCGAAGCCAGTTGTCCGGGCCGATCGGTTGCATCAGCTCCATCGGCAGCGGCAGCCTGAGTGAAGACCCTGCCATACCCGAACCTCGACGGTCCTTCCACGCGGCCAACTTCCCGCTTAAAGATCACCGCGAGGCAGCTCTGGTCAGACACTTCCTCGACTTCATAGCTCCTCCGTTTGACTACGGAGACCCGCACAACCGATTCACGACACTTCTTCCTCAACATGCGGCAATGAGCCCGTTGTTATTGAACGCTGTCTTGGCCGTGTCAGCGAAATCGAAAGATGAGGACACTACTCTGGCGTTCTTCGATAAGCCGGCGGAACACTATTACGAAGCAGCGTTGGACTTGCTCAAGCCAGTTTTGACAAACCCTAACGCGGATGTGGATGATCTTCACGTCACGTCTGCCGTCCTACTTCGTCTATACCATAGTATTAGTGGTATGTTTCATCTTTCAGTTCAGGTCACAAGCTGCACGTGGAATTCATGGGGAAAAATTGAGAAAAGTGTGGCCATCGAGCTGTGGACTTCATGTCAGGGAAAGAAATGTGTCTGGAAAAGTCCATATCTGGATGTTGTGTATTTTTGCTATGCTGCCATTATCTTGGGCCCTACACTCAGTTCGTGTCTTTTCTATTGGCGCGATAGCTAAAGGAGTTCTTCCGCCTTTCCTTCTTTTCTGTCGTTTATTGCAAATTAGTTTCGGATCAGCTGCTTACTGCTGTGTCTAGTTCCCGATATGATACCCAACCCACCAACCTTACCACCGAGTTGCGTTTGGGACTTCCTCACGACGCGAGCTAAGTTCACTACGAAAGGAAGTCTGGCCGAGGCGGCATTCTGGGGCTGGATGCGACTCGAGATCTTCCGCGCGGTTATGCAGCAGGACACGCCCGACATTCAGCTGGGCCACCTGGACCTCGACCGCTCCTTGCAACCCGCAGATGATGAGACCTGGGCGTGGAGGATGGTGCTGCATACCATCGACATCATCATATACTGTTTCGGAGACGCGGGAACTCCCACGACATACGAGAAGCTTTCCGCCTACGCCGCCCAATGGATGCGAGCGGTTCCTTCGACTTTCTCCCCTGTCTTCGTGGAAAACCCTCCCGACGAGGGCGTCTTTCCCGAAATACTGCTCATCAACGACTCTGTCGTGGTTGGGCTGCAGTTCTACCACCTGAACCGGATACTGCTCACGGCACACAACCCAAACGTACCACGACTTGGCAAGAATCAGAAGCTTGCCGCTCGAACGCTGGATGTGAGTTCTCTGAAGCACATAGACACTTCTTTGGCCAGCACCCAGCTAAAGCATCTTAGAGCGAAATCACGAGCGACATCAAGATCATGTGTGGCATCGCGGAGTCACTTGGCCGCTGCACCCCTGCCCATGTGTAAGTCCAGACATGTGTGTCCCTGCACGCGTATTTGCTGACTTATCTGCGTAGAATTGCATGCATGGGTATTGCGCTGGCAGGTGATCGAGTTACGTCTTATTCAGACCAAGAAGCGCTTTGCAAAGTGTTCGCGTCAACAGCAGATGCATTTGCCTGGGACACGGCTCTTATGTAAGTTGAACCAACTCGACATTCATCTGATTTGACATTGCACCGGACTAAACAATGAAGGGCCATGTCTAATTGGTTTAACTTCGATAGTCTGCAACACCTAAAAGACGCGTGGGGTTGGCCGGAGGAGATGATTTCCGATTGAACCGAACACAATACTCAGGCAATTAAACAATGCCCAAGGCAGAATCAGCAGGTCCACGGGAATCAACTTTATTCTTGCAAATACTTCAGTGTCGCTGTAATCAATCAGCGTTCAAATAGCTGGAAATCGAAATATCGGACAGGGAGATTATCGATAGCCCCCAAACCGATAATCGGCACTTCCAAGCCACCAGCGGATACGGCCGAGACGCCAAACCTGTGACACGCAGATCAGATCACTATCAAAAGTCAAAATGATTCTGAGTTCAGGCAGGTCGGCCTCATTTGATCTGCCGTGATGCCAAGCTTGTCCAATCGCAGAAACACTTGGCAGCCATCCTAGCATTCCGTCACCGCCACATGATATTTGGTATCAAGGTCCCACGTGGTCGACCGTCGTTCACTACCGTCTTGATGAGTTTGAAACACTGTCAGGCGTTAGTCCGTCGATCACTAATGGCTGAGGTAACATTGGGCAGGGGATCACGTGCAGGTTGCAATCTCGACCAGGCCGGTGATGATCTTGACCTCCTCTCGGTCGTTACTCGGTGATGATACCGCGGCCGTTCCTTTTGATTTGCCTGGACCCCATTTCTTCTTTCTTCCGCAAGAGGTAGCCAAGAGTTGCATCGCTCCACGCTCTCCGCATGCTGCGTGTTCCGCTCCACCGCCCAAGGCAGAGAAGAAGAAGAGGGTCGCGATGAGATTGAGAACCGTGTGTCGACAGATTTTCTGATTTCCGCGCCCCCAAGCACGCATTGATTCGTATTTCGCCCGTGGTGATGGGTCCCTCCTCATGGGTCCGGGACGAAGGGGGCTATTTCCGGACCCAGTTGAGTGATCCATCCGCCCGCTGCCCGTGTGTCATCGCGGTGGTTCCATCTCTCTGGCCCCCAAAGACCCGTCGATGGGAAACCTCCGAGAAAGTCGCCTCTTGAATATGCAGGGGTGAAATATTCGACGGTCTCTTAGAGTTCGATTGACACATGCCAGCAACCTCATGGTTTGCGGGGGTTTCTGAGCGTGATATGTGTGTGATAAAGGATTGCTGGATGGCCAAGTCTGTCAACTCACACTATTACCGCATACGAGAGACGTTATTCTCCGAGCACATCGCAATTTTCCGATGCTTGCAAGTCGCAGGTTATGACCGCAAGGTTTCCAATCCCTAATGGAATCGTCGCCATCGCCTAGCCAGACGTGCATTCGCTTATTCGCAAAAACCTCACCATGTGGTGACGCTAAAGCTGCACACATTGTCTAGCGCAGCGGAGCTCGCTCCATTTCAAGTTTGACTCCCCGTGTTTCCCCTGAACGAAGCATGTCCGTACACGAGATTGCTGTTTGATACCCCAGAGCTCGCCCACTTCGTGAGCAGACTTTTCCCAACGATCTCATCAATCTTGTCTCACGAACTGCATCCAGTACCGAGCGCACCAGTCCATATGTGTCAGGTTTGCGATCGAACACGTCGGGGTTACCACGATTTATGAAGCCACGGATCGCGGAGTCCTCCGGCCCGGCTTCTGTCTCCCATATCAGAGGATGACCCGGACAGCAAACGGTCTCGGGCCCGAAGGGCTGAACAGGAGCCCAGCTCCGTTGTCGCTGATCCGTGGAATTGCTTTTTTCGCTTCGTTGGCGCGTCCAGCAACCCCCTTAGGGCCCAGGTCTGATCGGCAGGAGTAGGAATCTTGTCGCACATACGGCAGTTGTCTAAGAACCAGGTATATCCGCACTAGCAACGAAGGAAGCCCTGCGAACTCACCTTGCACGGCCACGTTCCGGACATGACGCCCGGTGGGGAGATGTCGATTTCGTTCTAGCGTACCCTTCGAGAAAAGGAATGTCATCGAGGATTCATTGGTCAAGCCACAAATGTCTGTTCACCGGAGGCCCTTCCCGGAGCGGGACTGGTCGGGGTCCCTGGCCAGGAACGGCTTGTGCGGAAGTGGCATCTCTCCCGTCTCCCCTCCTCCCGCCCGAGGGGTTCGCCGGATTCGGACATTCTGCAAGAGACCTGCCCAACGCTCGACCGCACTAGTTATCACCACAGTTACACTACTGCAACGAGGGGTTCCATAGAAGGAGCCACAAGCTACTGAGTGTCAAGCCCTATGAAGCACATTCCCTTTTTGTAAGAGAATGATGAGAGACGTCAAGTGGAGAGAGGGAGAGAGATCCTCTCTCTGCACAACAGTTGAAACGGTAAATACCGAGCCTGTCAGACATGCCAGATCCTGATCTCACACCGTTGATGGAGAAAGAAGAAAGACGGGTTAAGGGTCCGCAATTGGGAAACCATGCAGCGTCCAGGCACCCCTTGCCTGCTGATTCTCTTGCCCTGGTGGACGGGAATGAGTTGGCCTTGGCGGACTGTCGAAGTTCGTTCGTGAATGATATATAAAACGTATGACCCAGATCCAACCTACCCCGTCCTCCCCGGAACCTTGCTTTGCTTTGGTAGTGGAATGGGAGGGTCTTTTTCTTTGGGGATCACCCCAGTCATCAACAAATCGAACACATGGCACCCATGGCTGAGAAGATTGAGAATCGAGGTCCGGAGCTTTTAGGCGTCAACGTCTTCTTCGTCACGACGGCCATCATCGCCACGGCTCTGCGATGCTATGTGAGGGCCGGGCTGGTCAAGGCCTTTGGCCGAGATGACTGGCTTATGTTGTTGGCTTTGGTACGACGAGCGGCGATTCGAGGTTGGGGGTATTGGCTGACATTCGCAGGCCTTCTTTGTCTGCTACTCTTCGTTCTCGATAGCGGGCGTTCACTATGGCACCGGCCGCCATTTCAAGGACCTCGCGGAGGAAAACATTCACAAAGCGATGGAGGTAAGGAGTCATGACGGTAGTTTCGGGGTTGGTTCAAAGATCTAACGATGACTAGTGCTGGTGGTACTGCTACCTTTTCTACGCGCTCAGCATGATCACCTCGAAGATGTCTATCGCCTACTTTCTGCTCCGAATCGCCACGAAAAAGATGCACGTCTGGATCATCTACACCGCCATGCTTTTCACCGTCCTCGCCGGAGTCGTCTTCTTCTTCGTCACGCTCTTCCAATGTCTGCCGATCGCCCGCTTCTGGAATAAGAACGTCGAAGGAAACTGCATCGACGTCAACGTCGTCATCGGTCTGGCGTTCCTGTACAGCGCTTTCAGTGTCATTTCCGACCTGACGTTCGCCATTCTCCCCGGCTTCCTGGTCTGGGGCCTTCAGCTCAAGACGAAGGCCAAGTTGGCATTGATTCCTCTCCTGGTTATGGGCTGCGTGTACGTTGAGAGTCTTCCACGCTTTCACTGGTCGAGATACTGACGATTGTGACAGGGCAAGCTCAGCCGTCGTTGTGCGCTTTGCTTTCTTGATGAACTTGAGAGACCCAGACTTTCTCTGTAAGTTGCTATTGAACTGCTGTGAGAAAGCCCGTTTCTAATCCCATCTCCAGGGGCTACTCTCGACATTGCGATTTGGTCATCCGTCGAACAGGGCTTGGCCATCACGGCCGGCAGTCTCGCCACCATCCGACCCCTTTTGAAGCTCGTCGGCTACAAGCTCGGCATGACCACCAACCCCTCACGCATGCGAATGACGGACGACGTCGCCCGACGACCCTCAGCTTTCATGAATAACAGCCAGCAGCTCAAGAGCGGACAACACAACGAAGCACAGGAGGACGCCTACGGGCTGACCATCATCCCCTGCAAGTGCTGCGGCAACTTCAAATGCGAGAAGAGGCAGAGCGGGGCCGCGTCGCCCAGCAAGGCCAAGAGGAGGTCGAGCCTGGGATTCCCGACGAGGATCAAGAAGGAGGAGCCGCACTCTCTGGCAAACGTCAAGTCGGTCAGCGAGAGCGAGGAGGAGTTGAACGCCGGGAGGGCGAGGGGCGACTCGCACATCCACCACGACGGGCAGGGGGTTGTACCCAAAAGTTTTATGTCCTGACTGCTCACTTCGGAATTTTGCATAAAAGCACTTTGCCCGGCCAGGGCTGTGTGAAAATGGCGCGCGGGCTTGATCAATTGGCGCAACACACTCGTTTTTTTTCTGGTTCTCCTTGCATGATAGCGCTCTACTTGAATAGTCGAAAACTCCGGGTCTTGTCATTTGACTGTGTACGGATTTGTTAATTTCTTAATTCATAATTCAGAACAACGCTGCAGTTGCTTTGCGGTTACATGTGGTTGACAACTGTGTTACATTGTCATATTTGCGTCTTGGAACTCGCCCCCAAAGAGTCTATTCGAACAACAGCGCAACCGAGTTCTTCGTGGCACCCTGTTTGGTCGTACCAGTGGCAAGTAGGGTATCATTGAATCACCGACGGCAGTTTTCTTGGCTTCCCACTTCGAAGAACACGAGGGCATGCGCTTTGACAGCAGGTTTCGTCACGGTTGTATCCTGACCGAAACGAAAATGCTCCGAGAATGTGACGTGCTAGCCGGTCAATCGCACCATATTCTTGAAAATCTCACGCATAAGAAATCACGGTCATGTATGTTTATAGACGCTGTGTTAGTATTCGATTAAATCGATCTAAAGAATGAGATTGAATGACAGTATGGGTATGAGCTAATCTTGAACCCTCCTCCGGACATGAAACTTTATACAGCTAATACATGAAGATCTCGTCGTCGCCCTTACTGGGACTGGGTCTGGTTCAGAATAACGTCCGCAGCCTTCTCGCCGACCATGTAAGTGGAAACGGCGGTGAAAGTACCGGGGATGCGAGGGTAGACGGAGGCATCCACAACTCTGAGACCAGCAACGCCGCGGACTCTGAAGCTGGAGTCCAGAACGGCCATCGGGTCGCTGTCGGCGCCGATGGGGCAGGTAGAAGAGGCGTGGTGGCCCCAGGCGGCGTCCTTGACGTACTGCTTGACGGCGTCGACACCGGTCACGTCGGCGCCGGGGAGAACCTCCTCGACGGGGACGAGCTGGCGGGCGAAGGCATCACGAGCGAGCTCGACAGCCTCGGCCAGAGCCTGCAAGTCGGCGTCGTAGTCGCCAACACCGGTGTCGAAGTAGTTGTAGAGGATGTCGGGGACGTCAAGAGGGTCAGAGGAGCGGAGAGTGACGGAGCCGGCGGTGTTTCTGGGGTGAGCCTTGAGAATGGCCCAGGTGAAGAAGTCGTGGTCGACGGTGGCGTTGTAGCTGTAGTTGGGGAAGTAGCCGCGGAAGTTGACGGGGCCGCCGAACGTGAAGACGTCCCACTCGTCCTTCTCGGTGGTGGTGCTCTTGTAGAACATGGTCGCGGCCAGACCGGGAGACTCGTAGATGCCGCGGTCGCCGAGGATGGGGTTCTCCCAGCGGGTCAGGCAAGGGTCGTCCTGTCCGTCGAAGCCCCAGGTGCAGCCATCCAGAGCAGAGAAGTTGGTGGCGGGGTGTCCCTGGACGCTGATCTCGTAGTGGTCCTGGAGGTTGGTGCCGACACCGGGGAGGTCCTTGATGACGGGAATGTTGAAGCGCTCAAGCTCGTCGGCGGGACCGATACCGCTCAGCTTCAGGATCTGGGGAGAGTTGTAGGTTCCTCCGGAGATGATGACTTCCTGGGAAGCAGTGGCGGTTCCCTTGACGCCGGCAGCGGCGTTGCGGGAGCGAGGGCTGGCGCGGTAGAGGTACTTGCCATCGAGGAACTCAACACCAGTCGCGCGAGGGGGAGTGACGTCGGTGTCGAAGAGGACCTTGGTGACGTGGCAGTCGAGGCGGACGTCAAGAGGGTACTTCTTGCTGCCGTCGGCGTTGGTCGCGTCACGGACGGCAACGACAAACTCGCGCGATCCGGTGCGGTGGGCATCGTTGGTAGAAATGGGGATCTGGTTGTAGCCGGGCAGCTTGTCTCTGTTCTCGCCGGCGGAGTTGGCATCACCAGCAATGAGAGTGGCGAGGTTGATGACGGCGTTGGTCTGGTTGCCCAGGGCGAAGGCACCACCGGTGAGCATGCTCAGGAGCTGAGGGTCCTGGAGAACGAGGTTGAGCGGCGCAGTCTCAGTGGCGAGCCAGCCATCGTATCCGTGACCCTCGGCGCCGGGGAGAAGGTACTGGTTCTTCTCCATGCGGGCGAAGTACTCGCGCATGTTGGAAGAGGACCAGGAGTCATCGCCGGTGAGGTTGGCGATGTACTCGAAGTCGGAGTTGTGAGGGTAGACGGCGATGAGGGCGTTGTGAGCAGTGCAACCTCCAAGACTGGCGGCACGGGGGTAGAGGGTGCCCTTCATCTTGGAACCCTCAGGAGGGCTGAGACCGGTGTACTCGCTGCCATCGGGCGTCTCGTACGAGGTCTTGAAGTCGCGAGCCTGGCGCTCGTCGTCGGCGTAGTGGCGGACGAAGAAGTCCCACGCCATGGCGTCATCCTCGGTGACCTTGGCGTTGTAGGCCGGGACGGTGTAGTTGTCGTTGCCGATCTGGTCGTCACCGGCCTCGATGAGCAGAGTCTTGCGGCCGGCGAGGGCCAGACGGGCGGCCAAGGGACCACCACCGGCGCCGGAGCCGACGACGACGAACTCATAGCCGGTCAGGTCGACGGCGGAGACGAGGGATGTGGAGGCGGCCACAATGCCGAAGAGTTGGGTGAACCTCATGGTGAAGAACGGCTTGCTTGGCGATGTGCCTGGAACAACGGTCAGAATGCGACGTCAAAACGTGGTTCTCACTTCGGGGCAGAAGCCTACCTTGAAAAGCCTAGGTGAGAATGAAGGAATGACTACCTGGTTGGCCTCTCTAGCTTTCCCTACAAGGCCGAGCATCGCGGGATGGTTGGACTTTATAAGACATGATCGACAAGATGCTGTGGGCAAATTGCGATGGTCTACCTCCCTGGAATGGAAGCTTCGGCGCAACGATTCCACGCAGTCAACATGACCACGCCAGAACAATTACCCATGTCGAACAGCTTCCACATCTAGACCTGGGTCCGTCAACCGCGGCATCTGACCTTGCAGCTCGGCCTCTGTTCCGCGCCCTCTCCGCGTGGCGTCCGGGGTCGACCCGCTCAGATGCGTGAAGGTGGTGCCCCTCTCTCGAGAAATTCTTCAGCGAAATAGGGATGACGCCATGTAAAGGCGCGTCAAATGCGCATTGAGATCGAATCGCTTGTCATATTCAGGGGCATCTCGGTCCATGGCGAACGTGTTGGCGCGGAATGCGAGCACCCAAGCCCCCCGTTGCAATTTGAATGCGCTGGGGTGTTTTCATGCTAGCTTCAGGCACACCGAATGAGATATGAGCGGTGAAAGCGTAATGCCAACATCTTGACGAGTGAAGTCGACCGCTATTATCGGATCTTCGGTGAAGTTGAGTTAAGAGTTGCGTTCGTGTTCAGAGACACGGATCATCTGATGGCATCAGAGTTCAGAAGGCGGGCGGGAGGTTCCCTCTCCCCTCCACCGCATGGACGACCCATGCTCGCGATGCCTGCATTTCGGAGATTCAACAGCAGGGCTCGTGGTGGCGAGTTGTCTTCATGGCGATCTTCAATTGTCAACGATTTGCCGAGCTGTCTAGCCTGCCAAGTCTTACCCTTTGCGTGCTGGCGGTCCACTAGTTTGGCCTTAGTGTTATCCTCATGTTCCCTGTTGGAGAGGTTCGAGCGCCAAAATACGACGAAGCCTCACATTTTGGGTGTAACTCCCCGCACATCCTCGCGAGAGCCGTTGGACCTCGACATGGGATTTCATCCACAAAACGTCTGTCAAGCCGAGGCTAAACATGGTTTTCCAAGCTTCCGACTTGATGCCTGGCTGTCAACGCGGGCGACCGACCAGTTTCAGAAAGAAGTCCGACAATTTGAGACCTGTCACAACGAATTGGCAGCCGGAGTCCCCGTCTTGTCGCCCAACGGTTCCATTCGCATTCGCTGCGTTCATGTGATTGCGTGTACATATCAGTTGGGGCTTTGAAATCCGACGTACAAGGTATGCGCACATCTTCATTCCAAAGACTTCACTTGAAGAAGTTATCAATAGGAGAACTTTTGTTGAATCAACTCCTTTTCAGTTCTTTGAGAAAGGGGCAGGATGTCGGCTCGATCGGCTTCTCGATGCCAAGAGATTCGCAGCCACCGCCTGCGTTGCCGCTCTCCCGATGTTTTGTTGAACTCCGCTACTGTCAGCTGAGGTCTTGTCTCCTGCTTCAACCATGATGATCTTTTCGCAGCACAGTATTGAAGCTTGAATGCCTGAGAGGAGCTTCGACGCTGGCGATTCAGTTACCTCATCAGGTTAGACACTGAAGTGCTGATGGAGTCACCGAAGTGTTGATGGAGTCTGAAGCTCCACGAGCAATCAAGCAATTGGGAATAAGCTTAATAATTGTTCCTAATTACTAAAAATTACTATGCCGTTTCTTCCGTTTTGACGAGCTCGAATAATGTCTTTTGCTTGCTGAGTGATAGGCCTGGAGTTGCCCATGCGCCCTCTGCTATCAGTGTCCCACATGCGTTACCTCCGATGCAAGTGCCGGGCCTTCCTTCCATCGTCTTGAAACCATCTTGAAGAAACGAGGCAATCGTGACTTACACTTACACGAGACTATCAAGTCGAATCAAAGTCAGTGCCTTCGGCCGTCTTTCTGAGTCATGTCTCAGCACGCCATCCATGTTCGAGATCGGGCCGTCCCATTCAACGCCATCGTGAAGTCTCCGGATCCCCACACTGCTAAGCGAGACGTTGAAGCCCTACCCACCACATTGAATATGAACCATCGTGGCATTGTCTCCGTCAGCAAAGCGGGTCCTCTCGCATCAACACTTCGAGCGTTCTTAGTGTAGCGGTTATCATCCCAGCCTTCCAAGCTGGGGACAGGGGTTCGACTCCCCTAGGACGCATTTACTTTTGCTCTGACTCTGTTTTTTTTTTTTTTGCAAACTTTTTGCAGTCGTTGTTTGGCTACCAAGTTATGAGGGATACGAGGGCGATGGGGAGGGGATGAGGACGATAAAGGCATTGGCGACAGGGACAGCTATAGAAAGAGCAATGATAGCGATAAAGTCAGCAGCAGGAATGGCGACCTAAGCAACTGCAGCGAAAGTGATGGCAAGAGGGACTTGATGATACCAAGAAGAAAGACAACAACCAAGAAACGAACAGCAAGACTACGCCTGGCGGCGACTGCAACAAAACCAGAGACACTGTTCTTGATGCAGTGGAGATGACGTTAATGTGTTTTGGTTTCTTCACCTCGACAGACGGCTGTACAGAAATCTCAAGCTCGCGGTAGCTTTCGAGTAACTTGACGTAATCGTTAAGGTTATCCATGTCTAATTATGTACTCGAGAACTTAAAACCGCTTGACTCGAGCTTCATACAACTCAAATCGTAAACGTTCCGTTGAGTCTCAGATCCAGACTGCTGGCTCCGACCCAGACATCATACTCTCCCTCGGCCAAGCGCCACTGTTGAGCGACAACATCCCAGACACTCAAGTCTCTGCGCGTCAAGCTGAACTCAACGGTGGCACTTGCTCCAGCCTCGAGGTAAACCCTCTCAAATCCTCTCAACTGCTTCGCCGGCGTGCCTTCAACCGGGATGCCCACGTACAGCTGCGCGACCTCATGGCCGCCCACGCCGCCAGTGTTCTGGATCTGGGCAGTGACAGAGTACACCTCCTCCCAGAGCTGGGGGTGTCCGCCTTGCACGATGGCAATGCTCGCATCGGGAACACCAGCGACAGGGCTGCCAACAGCAGAAGAAGAGAGGGCAGAGTACTCGAAGGTGGTGTACGACAGTCCGAAACCGAACTCGTAGCGGGGGGAGATGCCGTCCTTCTCAAAAGCGCGGTAGTCGATGAACAGGCCCTCGGTGAAGTCATCTTGGGGGAAGGGACCGGTCTCGGCACTCGAGTTGAGAAGCGCGCCGAAATCTTCCTCGGCGTGCGCGACGGTGTAGGGGAGTCTGCCGCTGGGGTTGACGTCGCCGTAGAGAATGTCGACGAGGGAGTGGCCTGACTCTTGGCCGGGGAGGCCGGCGAAGATGAGAGCTGTCACGTTGGGGTGGTCGACCCAGGCATCGACTACTCTCGTTCCTGGAGGGTGTTAGTCTGTGTCGTCATGTTTGAGTTGAGAGACTTACCAGCAGAGTGCAACACCACAATGGTGTTGGGGCAGTTCGCAGCCACGTTGTTCACCAAGTTGTCGCTGAATTCATCCGTGAGGCTCGGGCGATCATAGCCTTCAGATGCCCACGCGTTGATGAATACGATGCAAGCTTCCGTGTTGACATATGGCGGCGAGGGGTTCTCCGAGTAGAAGTCCCACTTGATGATGCCTCCGTCCGAGATGACGCGGTCCTGGATGGCCTGGAAGGGGCTGATGACGTACGGCGGAGTGGTGATGCCAGACCCGCCGCCGGCGATGATGGTGCCGTTGTATGTGTTTATGATACCCGTGCCGAAACCAGGACCGTAGCTGGTACTGGCCCACGGACTGGGGGGCAGGGCAGCGTCGTAGCCGTAGACGGTGAGGAACTTCGGGCTCTTGAGGGGCAGAGTGCCGTTGAAGTTCTTGACGAGGACGGTTCCGGCGGCACCGATCTCGCGAATGAGGGCCTTGTGTCCGTTCTGGACATCGACCGGCTCGTGCTTCTGGAGGTTGGAGTAGGTTCCGACGGCCGGGTAGTCATCTGCGTCTTGTCCGGTGTAGAACCACGCAGCCAGGATACGGGTGGTCATGTCCTCGACTCGTTCTCGGGTGACACTGCCGTTGTTGACCGATTCGACGAGGGATGCTCCCCAGAAGGCCTCGCTCGGCATTGTAAGATCGAGACCGGCGTTTGCGGAGCCCACTCCAGACTGTACATCATCGTCAGTTTCAGTTATGGTTCTGATCAAGAAACAGCGTCATAGCAGGTTGAATGGAGACTTACATGTTGAGCACCCCAATCCGAAACAACAAAACCTTCGAAGCCGAGTTCTCCCTTCAGAACACCATTGAGCAACTTGGAGTTCTGGCATCCGTACGAGTTGTTGGACCTCTGGTATGAGCACATGACCGAAGCCGCTCCCTCGCGCAGGGCATCCATGAAGGGGAAGACGTAGAGCTCATGCAGAGTCCGATCATCCACGTTCGAACTAGCAGCCTCACCGATTCCCGCTTCGGGGTTACGGCGGTATTCTTGCTCGTTGAGGATCCAATGCTTCGGGCACGCAATGGTACCCGCGTCTTGCATGCCCTTCGTGATGCCGCCGACTCCGATGGCGGAGAGGTAGGGGTCGTTGCTGAGTCCCTCCCAGTTTCTGCCTCCGCGGGCGATTCTTCCCAGAGGGCCACCGACGGGCCCGAGACCGATGTTGATACCCTTGCCACGGTACTCCGCGCCCAGAGCCTCTCCGTAGGCGTAAGACAGGTTCTTATCCCATGTGGCGCCGAGGTGGATGCCGGCCGGGAACGCAGAGACGAATTCCTGAGCGCGGACGCCGTCGGGACCGTCTTGGAGGCATAGTGGTTCGATGCCGAGGCGGGGGATGGAGCCGGTGTTGCCGGTGCAGAGACCTGTCCAGCCGTGTGTGAAGTTGGCAAGCTCTTCAACTGTCATCTGGACGGCGAGGGCCTTTGCGCGCTGGTAGGCGGACGCCCAGGCATCATTGCTAGTGCCGTTACCCACAGCTTCGGTCTGTTAGTCTGTGGCTTTGTCGAAGCAATGGAGAAGAGAGGAGCTCACGAGATGGGTAGACCGGAGGACTCTGGCCGTAGTAAGGGTCTGTCTCGTTCGTATACTGGCTTTGAGCAGCACAGAGCTGGAGGCCTGCGAGAACCGCGACGGCGGTTGAAAGCATGGCGTTCACCATGATGATAGAGGCTCAATGACACGCGGGAGAATGCTCTGCTACCATTATCGCTACAATACTACGAGACACAGCGGCTTATGAGCTTTTCAGAATTTCCCACAATTCTTCTCGGTCCCAGATGAGTCGAACGGCCGAGGTCTTGTCCCCGATGCCGCTGCCGCTCGCAAGAACCTAGGCGCATACGTCGTCGGCCCTTCTCCATGAACCTGTTCTCATGATCACTCGACAAAGTCCCACCAGGGAAGACCAATTCCAGCACGAAAACCGAGTAATGAGATCATCCCTGATGCCACGCCGGCCACTAGGGACCAAGCTTTCGGTACTAGCACATCGAATTCGGTAGTAGTTTGTGGGGTAGGTGTCAACCCAACGGTGCGGGGGAGGGCGTGTTCGTCCGGAGACGATATGGAGGCTCTTCGGCGGTACTCTCTCTGCTTGCAGTAAAATATGCTTGAAAACCACGCGGGGAAATCGTGGGGTAGGCGACATGGGTGCTTCTATGGATTGTCGGGGGAATATCGCATGTCACCCAGCATGAGCCGACGAGGTGCCGTGATGTGGGAGTGCGGGGAAGGTCGTAAGATGGTGGACTGCTGTGGTGGTGTTGTTGGTTGGGAGCGGGAAATACTTCGGCAGAAGAGTCATTCGATATTGGCCGAGGTAGTAAGTGAGGCCTGAATCGGACATCACCTTACCATCATCGTCGATGGAGGAGCGGGGTCGGTCAAGTTGGTGGTTAGGATTGCCCTTTCGAGGCCCACGATGACTTGATTCTGGAGTGGGAGTAAAGGCGGTCTACATTAGGTCCTCAGCAGTGAGGAGATCAGTCTAACTTGACTCCGTACGGTCTGATGCCGCAACATATCCTCGGTAGAAAGGGCGAGGCCATCCTTCCTGTATCCGTGGGCAAGGGCCGCAGCAGACACAGGGTTGCCCCAGACACTGAGGAACGACTCTTCCCTCTCTCTGAGCCCGTCAAACTCGGCAGACTTCAAAGCCAAAAGATCGGACCAGGTCTCTTTGACATAAGCTTCCGCTTGTTCCCATGTTCCCTCGCCTCCGTGGTCTTCTTCTGAATCGTCCTCGTCCATTTTGACTTTGTTGCAGTCGACAGGAAGCAAAGGAGACAAGCGAGAATCTCCCAAATCAATAGCCTCGTTTGTACGTAGAGAGATGTGCTCCAAACACCGCTCAAATGTCTCCAAAACTTTACCCGCTACCCTCTCCGGAATATTCTTCTTTGCAAACGCCATCATCACCCGTGTTTCCTCACCAAATGGCTCGACGTGGACGATGATATCCGCACGGTCACCCGGGTCCATGATCTCCGTAAATCTGACTGATGCAGCAGGTTTCTGACTGTTGTTGCCGTTACCCACGTTTCGATGCGACGGCTCAATATCCAACCCCTGAAAGACCAACAGCGACGAGAAGCGCGTCCAACGCGGCCAAGAGGTGCATTTCTCAACGATCGTGTTGGCTCCGATGTTCTCGAATCGCATGGACGCAACGTGCTGAGCCTGTAGCTCTTCTACCAATTCGCCGTAAGTAATTCGTGAGTTTTGGTCGCCGGCAGAACGGTTGAGTTGAGCGCGCGTTGGGATGTGTGAAGTGCAAGAGCCCATCACGTCTTGGGCAAAGTCCACGGGGCTGTTACGTCCCCAGCCGGTTGAGCCAAACACGACGTCCGTTTCTCCTGTTAGCTCGGCCAGGGTGAGTGCCCATGCTGTCTTGACGATCGTGGCTCGGGTGCTACGGCTGGAGCGTACTTTCGTGGCGATCATCGGTTGCGTGGTGGTCAGATCCAATAGTTGTGTCTTGACCATCTTGACGAGGACTCCGTCGACAAAGTTCAAGCCAGACGGGGAATTCCCAGGCCTGGAAGTACAACTCGTGATCTGTGTCATTTTGGCGTCCGCCAGGAGATTACGCCAGTATTCGATGCCATGGTCAAATTCCACCTGTCGTGCGTGATGTAAGTAGCCGGGATAGCTGCCCTTTATCTGAGCGATTAGGTGTCCACTGGGGTTATCGTCTTGGGTGTTGCCGAGAAAGGAGCTCATCTCGCGCCGAAGGATAGCCACGGACTGGCCGTCATACTGGGCGGCGGAGAGGCGAATGACGAGTCTCTCGATGCTGGACGAGTCCCCATGGGAGAGTAACTCAAAGGCCGTCTGCGGCTGAGCCATGTCGACGTCTCTATCTAGTAAGTCATCTTCCATGATATACATCGTTGCGTCTTGGATGTCCATTAGGTGAAGACGCGTTTTGATCGGCGGCTGGAAGGACTTGGAAACAACTTGATACAAGGTTCGTCGGAACGCCATGAAGGATGTGCGGAGAGTCCCGTCTAAGGCTGGTCAGCGCGCTTCTCTTGAGACAAGTTGCCTCCTGCAGTTGTACTCACGCCTTGATGTCAACCACTTGCACATCTGCCGAACAGTTTTCTCGTCTTGCGGTTTCACAAAATCGCATAAGAGCCAGTTGATTCCACGACGCTCCTCCTTGTAGGTCGAAAACGCCACGCAAGAAGCTTGCAGGTCCGTAGCTTCGATCACATCCTCGACCTCGTCGTCCACTGGAATTAAATCTGCCGCTCGTTCCATAACCTCGTCTCTGAGCGTTTCATCAACGATCGAGTCGAACGGATGATACTCGATTGTAGTCTCTGGCGTGTTCTCTTGCTGTCCTAGCAAACATGCCAAGGATGAGACCTTGGGATTGAGCAAGATGTTCTGCGTCACATTCAGTCAGAAGTTTGGTTTCTCAAATCGCCGACTGCGATGAAAACCCACCGGTACGGAAAGACTGATTCCCAGCTTTCGTGCTAGAGCTACCAACTTGATAGCTTTGACAGAGTCTCCTCCTAAGGCGAAGAAGTCTGAGTCCCGGAAAATTGACTCCGTGCTCAAGTTGAGAGTCTTTGCGAAGAGTTGCTGAACCGTTTTCTCCGTATATGTAGTAATAACATCACCTCTCACGGGCTCCGCACGCCCGGAGAAAGCGCCCAGTGATTCATCGTCGAGGTGGCTGCCAAGAGCTTGCAGGAACTTCCGGTCAAGCTTTCCTTGGGTGGTTACGGGCATGAATCGCAACGGGATGAATGCTTTGGGGATTGCGACGGCTTTCAGGTCATCGGAAAGCCTTCGTTGGGTGTTTTGAACGTCCACAACCGCACCTTCGCTCGTGTTGATGATATCAAGCACCGGTATGTCTTTCTGATGGCTGCCTAGTTTGGGCGCGTAGTATGCGATCAACATCTTGGACTGCTCCTGCGGAGACGGACGCACAGCCTCCACCGCGATGATGTACTTATCCCCAAGAACTCGACTGAACGGGATAAAAGTCAGACTTGACGACAATTCATCAGCTACACCGGCAGCGATCTCACTCACCTGATCTTATTCTCAATCTCACCAAGCTCAACGCGCTGTCCGTTCAACTTAACTTGTGTATCAACCCGTCCAAAGACTTCAAAAGACTGATCAGGAAGCTGGCGCACAAGGTCGCCCGTCCTATAAAGTCTCCTCAACTCCTCTGCGGTCTCTTTCGGCAACCACGACGGACCCTCAATGAACGCTTTGGCCGTCTTCTCCGGCTCCCTCAAGTACCCTCTGCTCAGCGTCGGCCCTTGAATCAGAAGCTCGCCGATTGCACCAACAGGCAGAAGCTGATTGTAGTTATCCGGATTGACAACCCATCCCCAACACGCCCCCTCCAGTGCACGTCCAACGTTATTCGCCCGCGGTGACTGTCGCGTGTACACATTGTAAGAGAATGCGCACGACGCCTCCGAAGGCCCGTACCCATTCACCACATCCCTCGCGTGAGACCCGGACTTGCTCCATTTCTGCACGAGCTCCGTGTTGTTGGCTTCGCCGCACAGGATCACCACTCTGAGGGACGGCACGTCGTCCGGCTCGAGCGTCTGCGCGAGGGTGGCCGTGACGCCGATGAAGTTGGCGCGGAGGTCGTCGATGGCGCCGGCGAGGCGGTTGATGCGGTCGAATTCGGTGGGCACGCATATTGTGCCGCCTGCGATGAGGGTGCTGAGGATGTCGAAGTTGGTCGCGTCGAAGTTGTAGGAGGCGAAGTGGAGGACGCGGGAGTCGGCGTCGAGGAGGGCGGCTTTCTGTTGGGCGAGGGCGTCTGTTATGTAGGCTCTGTGTTCGATCATGACGGCCTGTTTATTTCGAATGTGAGGAGATGATTTAAGAGGGGTTGAACGAGTGGTGCGAACTCACCTTTGGGACCCCGGTAGACCCTGAGGTGAAGACCAGGTATGCTAGATCGGAAGGTTGTGCGGGTGATCGAAAGAGTTCGACAGTCGAAGCACTCGAAAGAGTCGTGAGAAAAGCTTGATCTAAAATGAGTGCCCGCCTGCCAATTCTCTCAGCCAGCTTGGCGTGCTGCGGGCTTGTGATGATGAGCGGGACGTCAGCGATGGATGAGCATTCCCGCAGAAAATTGACCGGTGTTTCTGCGCTGAACCCGACATAGGCAGCTCCCGCCTTCATGATTGCGATAATGGCAAGCACGGCAACAGGTGACTTGTCGAACAAGATGGGAATCACTTCGCCCTTTTTGATGCCAAGTTTGATGAGATACGCCGCCAGTCTGTTTGAGAGCGAGGAAAGTTGTGCGTAAGTGAAGTTCAGGCCCTCGGTTCCAACCACAGCTTCTTTGAAAGGGTTGAGTTTCGCATGTTCGTCAACGTATTCGTGGATGCAGCGTTCCACGGCTGGAAGGCAGCGGGGGCTCCATGATTCTAGAGTAGCCCGATTCACTGGCCCGAGAACATCGAGGTCGTTAAGGATTGTGTCGGGACGGCTTGTCGCGAATCGGTTCACGATGGTTGTGAAGGTTTCCAAGAATGCCTCTGCTGAGAGCGCCGGCAATGACTGCTGGAGGTCTGGTTTCTCTACATTAGCTATTTGAGATACGAGAGAATCTTACGAACATTGAACTTACATTGCAGGGTGACATCGTTTCGATGATTGATAACGAGACTGACCTTGAAAGATCTCCTCAAATCATCGAATAGCTGCGTGTTGTTGTCATGGACGAATCCCATCACAGAACCACCATCGTGTATACTACTCTCAGCCGCACTTTGCCTGTGAGATCTCTCGCGGTCAATGCCTGAGCATCTTTCACTGGTATTTGGCGCCAAACAGGCCTCAACAATGTTCATGTGTCCCTCAATTGTTGCAGAGACCGGCGATATAGTTAGGCAAGCATCCTCCTGACTCTCCTGGACAAGATTGGTCCTGACGGCCGAAGACGCACTGTAAATGCTGAGAGTATACGTCCAAGCGGCAACGTAGAAGGCCTCACGGCTGAGACGGTGCGAAGAGCAGAATGATACCACTGCGTCGGCATCTTCGACCGCGACGGACGCTGTGGCGGTTTCGGTGAACATTCTCTGATCTCTTCCAGGGCATGAGAGTAAAACAGAGACTTTCTCAGAACAGCAGCAAAGTTTCATGCTCTCATATATGTCAATAAGCACAAAGCTAAAAGTACAACACCTTCGAGCGTATCTGGCGTATCGAAGCTCTGAAATCTGCCGGCCGTCATCATCCTAACCTCGTCTTTCATACCCAGGCCATCATCAAACCGAGTAAATTACCTCGAAGAAATTCTACAGATGAAGTTTGAGTCAGGTCAACACCGGAATATAAAGACCGAACTGTTGTACGCGCCCTACGAAATTTGCTCACGGACTACCACTGACTCGCCGGGTGGATATCGAGGGGACCTTTTGAAAGACCCCCAGAAAAGGCAGAAGCTCGCCGACGAAATTCTAGAATGGGGGTACGATGGGTAGGTAGTAGGTAGTTCGCGGCTCCCAAATCTCGAATCAAGCTTTGCCAAGCGATCTGACAGACAAGGTCGCCCCCGGTCACGGTTCGTGACGCGGCAGTCGTGATGTCGGATTGCCCCGCGCCGGCCGTGGGGATTTCCTGCGGAGTAGACCGTCCCCTCGGGGATGCTCTCGCCAAAATTACACACCGCAAGATGGAGAAACGATGAAAAGTGTCCGTGCGATTTCGAGGCCGGCCTCTTCCATTTTTTCAGATTTTTTACTTCTGCGGGTAAAGTTTTCACGACTCGTTGTCTTCCACGCTCGGCTGGCCTGAAGGAACTTCCCCGGGTCGATCGTATCCCAGCTTTGGGTACGGAGTCGGATACTTGTCGTCTTCGTCGGTCACCCATTCTGGATATGCAGGGTCCTGTGATGAGAAGCCTCGAGTCAACACGAAAAGCTAGGGACTGCTCGTGATCTCTCCACTTACGTAAAATGGGTTCCCGGGTGTCCCAGCCGCCTTCAGCTCCGTGGCCTCATGCCACCATTCCACCTCGGGTCGATGGCGACGCTTACACCACATGCACCTAGGATCGATCTCGTCCGGCACCGCGGCGCCGCATTTGCACCAGAACTGTGGTAGTTATAAGTCAGTGCTGTCGATTCGAGGTGAGCAGGGCTAGACTTACGGCGCGGTCGTGCTGCCGATCGTGCAAGAGCTTGGTCGTCGGCTCAGTCCACCCCGCATCAAACTTCGTGCGCTGGCTATAATACTGCCCGGCCTCGCGGTCGAACGCCGCGGCACATTTCGAACAGATCCAGCGGGTGTACACATTACAGCCACACCGCTCGTTGAGATACCTCCCCTCGACCTCCCTCTCCTGCTCGGCGTCGCAGGACCCGCACAGGCACATGACGTTCGCGGACTGGCAGGGCTCGTTCAGATGCGGACGGCCGAAGGAGTACACGGAGCGCGTCGGCCAGCGGGGGTAGTCGCGGCATTCTTCGCAGACGTTGATGCCGCACCGCACGCAGGGCAGCGCGCCGGCCTCGTCGCATTTGAGGTTGTAGAGGCGCACCTCGACGGGCTCGTCGTGGGTGATCGCTGGCTCTTGTCTGAGTTTCTGTCTGCGGTAGCGGATGCGGTACGGGCCGGTGAAGGTCTGACGCGTCGAGAGGCCGCGGCTGTCGCATAGACATGATAGTTTGAGGCGGTCGAAGATGGGGTTTGAGCCGAGGATCGAGGCGTGGTTGGAGTGGTTTGTGAGGGCTAGGTGGAAGAGGTCGAGGGTTGAGACGTATTCGGCGAGGGTGGAGAGGATGGGGTATGATGAGATGAGGTTGGACAAGTTTGGGGTTATTTCGACCATTGTGAGACCGTAATGAATGGCCTGGTGAGAAGTTTGTGAGGAGAGTGTGTTTGCCTTTCAATGGGGTCGAAAAGTTGTTCACATTCTCAGTTTTCGTTCGCGGTGAGTGAGTTGTGAAGATGAGAAGTTCACGTTGAGTGGCTATGCTGCTGCCTGGTGGCGGTGGGATTGCGCATCGTCTCATGTTTCCTACACCAAAGCCACATCGCTCGGACGCGCGGCTGAACATCACGACGAAAATCGGATGAACTACGAGTAAACTCTGCTCATCACGGCTCACGAACCTCTGAATAGCATCACCAGCACCCTCGCCGTCATAATTGGCTGCTTAGGTAAACCGGTCGAACGGCCCCTCACTCCCGTCTTACACACCTGGGTAACTCGGAGCCGAACCCGCAGTCGCCACTCACCTACCTGAGCAGACCTCGGTGTGGCGGGACACACAATGTCAAAGATCGTCGCTCAACACTCGGATTTATTTGATACACGTGGCGGGACGGCAGATGGTGTCCTGGTTTCATCGCATCTCGAAGTTTCAGCCGAACACACACACACACACCTCGGAGCGTCCAGCCCATCCCGTCGCCGATCTAGAACGGACGATGATCTCCCCGAGACCGCGGCCACATTTTGTCTGGTACAGATGGGCAGATAAGTGCGACCCAAGATTTCAGTCTCATGGATGACCAGCGAACGGCTGCCCTCTCCTCGTGGGAGTCCGGGTTGGCACTGTTCGCCGCGCTGGCTTTGCGACTCGGAGTCCGCCGGTCGTCGCCGACCCGGGCCGTCCCCGGTCGCTGGGGGGCTAGGAGAGTCGGGGTAGCGCTCGGCATGGGAGTCTCAGGATGCAACCTTTGCTGGTTTTCGAGCTTTCGTATGTGTGTGTGTGTGTGTGTGTGTGTGTGTGTGTGTGTGTGTGTGTGTGTGTGTGTGTGTGTGTGTGTGTGTGTGATGAGAGATGTGTGAAAGTGGGAAAAAGAGGGTGGCTGGGGATTCCTCTTCACTTGCCAATCGTGGAGATCTTGGGAAAGTCTTCGTCCCATCAATGTCTTGAATAACACATGGTGAAATTCCGTGTGACACCCTTCTCTGCAGGGGTTCATCTGTCTGCCACCTATATTGCATCTAGACATGCTTGGCAGGCGAAACTTGGTAAAGCGCATGGCATCTTTATGTCGGCATTATCGTCCCCTCTTTTGCCGTATTCGAACTCTTTCTTCATGTACGCGCCTACAGAAACGGTTATCAGTCCTTTCCCTATCCTGCAGAACTGCATCTATCACGAGCCTATGAGGAGACGCGGAGTCCCAATCAGGCCGGTCGACGGTTTCCGAGGATGGAAGGAGGAAATCGCATGCAGGATCGGAGAATTCCACTCAGGGAAAGAGATGCGTGCTGCGGGGTACCTAGTAGTAGTGCGCAGGCTGACCACTTTACACATAAGCATAATGTTTGAAGCACGAATGCGAGGACGAGGATTGCGGGAGAATGCAGTTCCCCGAGAACGAGCAGAATTTCTCTGTTGGGGCAGGCAAGTCGGCGATGATGGAGGTCGTTGTACAATGAAGCATCAGCACCCTGCAGCGGTCTTCATCAAACCTGCTCAAAACGGCACGTGTGAGATGATGGAGCATCAACGGGTTTCCTGATTGCTCATTTCTGGAGTCGTGGAGCTCAGCTGTCAAGAGCTGGAACGTGTATGCCGGGGTGTTGAATGTCGTGACCGGCGCAAGCCGTTGACGTGTTTCGTTTCTCATCATCATCCGCCGGTAGCCTTTCCGGAAGTTCAGACTACGATCATAACAGCCATATTATACCCGTCAACGGATACTTAGTTCAGACGGTGCTCGAGGTGGTGTCGAGACTTGAGAATTTTCGAGTTCCCAACCACTTCTTGGAATTAGATTACAGGTAGATTAGTTTTAAGTTCCTAGAGAGCTGTTTGCCCAGTCACTGGATGATGACGATTATTTCGTGTGTAATCATGATAACGAACTTCTGAGGTTCTCTTCGTCTCGATTTTGTTTGGAATTAGCTGTGTGGTCTCTCCTCTGAGTGAGTGAGTGCCTCAGCCCAAGACTCCATGTCGAGATGGTGTTCAAGAGATCAAAAGAGGGGGTTTCACATCGCGACCCCTGCAGACTCCCACGATGCAGCCATCCCCATCTGGAGGCTTGGGCCGATCTGAGGCTGATATATCGTCCGATAATTATTCCGTAGCACGGCGAAGAAGGATGGGTGGTCGACGGGTGTGTAAGACTCGGATCGTCATTGGCCTCGACTGGTAGTCTAGCTAGCGGACTGCTCCCGCTGCCGTCCCGCCGGCGGGAAGTCCACGGAATGCACGGATGGCAGCAACGTGTGCGGAGGATCCCGTCTCTCTCCAGAATTTCCTGGCTTGTCCGTAAAGAGATGGTGGGTGATAATGCGTCCAGCGCCTTCTGTTTTGGGGGGTGCTGCGAAATGCGTCTCGAGAAAAGATGATGGTGTGGCGAGTCGGTCGACGAGGTAGGAAGAGTTGAGATGATATATATGCGATTCGGAAGATCCCACCGAGAGGGAGCGCGCGTGGCCTGTGCCTTGCTCTCCCTTTTTTCATCTTCTGTCAACTATTGAAACATGGTGATATTGTGACAGTACCATGGCTCAGATCCCGGAAGAGGCCGTGGGCACGGTCGTCGGAGTCCTCATCTACTCTAGCGTGTGTCTCTTGGGGAGTCTGTCGGTGACTTGGCTTGCATGGCAGCACGGCGAACGGATAAGCTGTATGTATTCTTTCGTGGGTTGTGAGATTGTGTTCGAGGCAGAGACTGACGAGATCGCAGATGTGAACTGCTTGGGATACTTCACGACTCTGAGCACGCTGTGCTCCATCATACAGCAGACGCGCCTCGTGCTGTACTGGGAGGATATAATGACGGCTCGGTTCGAGTATTCGTCGACCAATGTTGCGAGCCCGGAGGCGGTAATATCTAATGCTGCTATTGGGGAGGACCTGGTGCTGTACTACATCCGTGAGTCGTTTGGCGTCAAGCACTGCTGGGCTGGTGATCTAACTCTGTGAAGAGTACTACTGCTACAACGTCCTTGCGCTTTTCGAGTTGTTTTGGTAAGCAAATCATAGTCTCCTGAAAGAGTCATAAGCTGACGAGTGACAGGGCGTTTGCGCTTGCGCAATCGGTCTACGGCTTGAACGAGAAGCCGAAGCTGAAGCGGCCTCTCAAGATCATCAACCGGAGCGGCAAGGTGTTCTCGGTTGTGTTCCCTCTCATCACGACAACGTGTCTTCAGGCGCCCGCAGTCCAGAAAGACTTTGGTGGGTTTTTGTTGCTCGCTGGACAGCCGTGTAGGTGACCTCGTTCTCGTTGCTGCCGGATTCATTCTGACAGAGATAGTGCTATGGAGCATCGGCTTCGGAAGTGTGGCAACACTATCGATTCTGATCCGGTATGTGCAGTCCCGGCGCAGACTTCAAAAGTTGAACGTCGGCTACGGCCAACCCTCGTCCACGAGGAAGTCAAACGGCAAGAGCCCGCGCAAGACGAGCATCTACGATAGATGGCTCATGACCCGATTCATGATCTCATTCGTGATACTCACGTAAGAGGGACCAAGCACCCCCAAAAAGCGATCCTAACTGACTCCCACTCATCAGCATGTTCGAAGTTACCATTATGCTCTTCTCAATGAGCGCGAGGAAGAACATCGCCGTCGACGTCCAGAGAACCACGGCAGACCTGTCCGCCAAGCGAGCGATACAGGACTTCCTGCTTTTCATGCCGGGAGTCACGGCGTCTCTCCTCGTGTTTCTGGTGTTCGGAACCACCCGGCCGTTCCTCGAGTACATGCGCAAGTCCCTCTGCGGTATCTTCTCATGTCGGCGCAGGAGGAAACCGACCTCGACCGAGGCCCTGCCGCTACGGTCCATCCGGAGCCAGGACACGGTGGCTGACAGCTGCGGCGTCACGACGCCAGAGATGTCTTACCAGAGGAGCTTCCGGGGTATCACGGTAGACAGCCCCGGGGGCAGGAGGACGTATGAGGTGTGGGTGTATGGGGGTAGTCCGAACTCGAGAATCATGGGAGACGACGACTTCCCGCCGCCCGTGCCCGAGAAGGGATGATGACGGCATACTTGCAGATGTCAGCCGTGTCTCGGATTGCGTCAGGGCTGGACTGTATTTACCATAAAACACGCCCAAAAAAAGAGAATCATCATGACACTATCGCACACTGAGAAAGACGAACCTGGTGAAACGAGGTGAAGATGGCACGGAGAAGTGAGCGAATCGCTTCCGCTCGCAACGGATCCGGGCGGGTGTGGACCTTTGGAAGAATTCTAGACCTTCGGATTAGCGTCGCAGACCGCTGGAGAAACAGCGAACTACGGGGAGCTTCCAGGTAGCGAGGCCCATCTCGGTGTCTCAGACCCAATCAGACCGTCAGAAAGCTCGCTTCTCCAGGGGGGAGGTACCCACCAGTGACATAAGGGCGCTGCGAACGGCCAAAACACCACTGTGACCTTGCACTAACACGAGCTCCTACACCAGGAGGGCGCTCCGTGATAAGGGCGATAAGGATAACACACCTCACACCTGACCGAGCTCCAACCTTATCGCGACATCACCCTCGTCCCCTGCCTTACACCATCCATCCCGTCCATCCCATCTAGCCGTCTGTCCTCCCATCTTTCTTTAACCGCTTCCTTTCCACCTTGCTTCATCGTCCATCCTATTATCACCTACCTACCCATCTCACCCTTTCCTTTCAAATATGCATCGATTCAATTCCTGACCGTCCCTCGTGAAGCCTTTTGCACATCTTTCTTCCTTCAGTCTCCATTCAACATGGCGAACTCGCCGTCGCACAAGTCCAGCCGGAGCGTAGCCTCATCCACCTCCGCCGGCCGAGACTCCCTTTCACATTCCAGAGACCGCCGCGATGCCGGCCCATCCGCCTCCGCCTCCGCCTCCGCTTCCGACACCGTCCCGGTTGAGACACTTGTGGAACACCTCCTCGCCGCCAAGCGGTCCCTCTCGTCGATGACGGCCGTGCTGCGCGCCAACGAGATCGCGACCGACGCCCGCCAGGCCCACGAGGAGGCCGTCGTCCTCTACGCCGAGAGCCAGTTTCTGAAGCGCGCCATCGCGGACCAGTTGGGGCTGCTGATGAAGGTCCGTCGCGGGCTCAAGAGGACCTACGATGCCGGCAAACGCGACTTCAAGAACCTCGTCAAGACGATGGACGCGACCAACGAGAAGCTGCAGGACACCATGGCCATGCTGAAGAACACCACCGTCGAGTCGGTCTTCCGGCCGCCCGGGGAGGAGAGGCGGAACTTGATAGACTTCGTGGACGAGCAGAGCGTCCACGTCATGGTCGAGGCTCTGAAGCAGAGCCTCGGCGAGCTACAGGTGCGTCATCCGCAAGATACACGTGCAAGACCCAGCTAATGTGATGAACCTGCAGGGCATCCAAACCTCTTTCGATGGCGACCTCCTGCGATTTGACGACGACCTTCGAGCTCTCAAAAAGACGATAACTGCGTCGCCCCTGCCTAGATCCTCTTCCGACTCTTCGTCGTACGACCCGATACCCGAGCTCCTCGTATCCCTCGTCGAGCACTCCCATTGCATGGCGCAACTCCTGACATCCCTCACAAAACACTTCGACCTCTGCGTGACGGCGGTCAGGACGACGGAAGGCGGCGCGGCCCTCGCCCGTCGTAGGGCGGCGGAGGTGACGCAGTCCCAAGGCGGCGACGGCGTCTCGATATCGGGGGTCATCGCCGACCAGGAGTCGCACATGCCCGACCTGGAGCCCACGACGACGCAGGACCGCGCGGACATGCTGGACATCGTCGTCAGCGACGCCTCCGAGGTCGACAGCGTCGTGCAGGAGATCAACGAGCGGCTGCACGCGATGGAGGAGGACTTTGCCGCCCTCACGCAGCAGACGGAGCGGATAAAATCTGCGTTCCTGGGGACCCTGGACGCGTTCGGCGCGCTGGAGAATACCGGCGGCCGGGTCGCCAGCTACATCGCCAGCGAGGCGGAGTTCCTGCAGCGGTGGGAGGACGAGCGGTACACCATCTACGGCAAGCTCGGAGAGATGGACCAGCTGAGGGACTTTTATGAAAAGTACGCGGGCGCTTACGACAATCTGATTCTGGAGGTCGAGAGGCGACGCGCCGTGGAGGACAAGATCCAGACGATTTGGCGCAAGGCCAAGGACAGCGTCGACAAGCTCATCGAGAGCGACAGGCGGGAGCGCGACGTCTTCCGCCAAGACATAGGAGAGTTCATCCCGACGGATCTCTGGCCCGGTATGGACAGCGGGATGAAGCGTTTCGAGTTGGTGGCGGTCGACGACGGCTCCGCCGAGGAAGACGCGGGCGGGCAGAGGAGCACGCCGGCGCTAGACAGGAGCGTTATCGACGCGGCCAGGGACCGGACGGAGAGGAGCCAGCAGCGATAGCGTTGTATGGTAGCGGCTGTCCGTGTTGTCTTTATTTTTAGCGCTATTCTGGATCTTTTTTTTCTTTTCTCTCTTTTTTCGATGGCGTTTATGGTAAAGACGGGAGGCCTTCAGCTAGGCGCGGAATGGTTATGGGACGGCGGCGATATCTCAATCGGTTGGCAATTATTTTCTCATTTTCTCTATTGTGTATGAGTCTCGGCAGTTGTTCTGTTCCTTGTAGGATTAACGACATCACGTCTCCCATTGCAGAGTGTCACAATCGCCCGGACGACGTTCCATCAGTAAAAATGTTCCGCGACATGTGTCAAGGGGCCATCAGCTGAGCAGGCCTGGCGCAGCGGACCAACAGACTTCAATGCCTGGTGTTTATTCGTCGGGGGGTTTGCGTCCCTGCGAATCATGACTACGCCGTGCTCCAGTCGAAACAGGATGGCGGGTTTTCCCAGCTCTGTTTTTTCCTGGATTGCCATCGATGGACGGTCTGGGCTGGGGGCCGATTGATGCCGCGGCCGTGCTTGGCTGGGCTGCGTTAACCAGGGGGGGTCATCGATGCCGATATCCGAGAATGTCTCGGTCGTGAGCTTTCCCGTTGTCGACATTGTACGTATGCTGTGCTTCTGTCGCGCGGTGGATGTGACGTGGTTGTACCGACCGTTCAGTAAGTAGTTGGACGAAGCGAGGGCCTGAGTATCCGTGGGTTCATCTCATCTTGTTGATAGGCGATCGACAGTCTTCATTTTCGAGTCTCTTCAGCAATGTTCTGCAAACAGCTGACTTATGTAAGCCAAGAAATAAGGTGCGATGGCCCTCGGCGCCAAGACCGGGAAGGAACCAGATGTGCCTTGGCACGTGACTTTTACTCACTGGACGCGTAACTGGCGACGAGGTACGTACCGGACATCGAATGAAGGGTGGATCCCTCCAGCTGCGGCGTTACCGAATCAAGCTGTCCAATGACGTCTTCACTCGCAGCGCACGGGCAGGGAAACGGAAAGCCTAAACCGGGCTCGTCCAATGAGATCGTCTCACCACTTACAAGTCGCAAAAGGTGCCGCTCGAGCTTCAGCTGTCGCACAATCGCCAGACCTGGAGGGGGTACCTGACCTGGCGCTGGTGCTGGCGAGCTAAAGCAGGTCTAATAAGGGGAGAGGGCGCCAAAATACCTAGCTCCGTCATTGAATCGAAATCATTCCATTTCACGCCGAGACATTCATTACCTTATTTGCACTGGGGTCGGGCTCCCTGCTTTTTTTTTTACCAGTGGTTTGTTTACCTACCCATCGCACATCTAGACGACCGGCTCTTCTTCATCCTTCTCCGATCAAACACCTTCGGTAGCAACATCTCCATCACCACATCGCGAATGTCGCAACCCTACGGCGAATCAGCTGGCTACTACGGTGGCCAGCAGCAAGCACCGCCGCCGCAACAGCCCTACGATCCCAAGTACGCCCAGCAGTACAACAATGGCTACCAGCAGGGCCACCCGCAGCAGCAGTTCGCCTACGACAACAATGGCAGCAACGGCTACGGATACAACGCGCCGCCCCAGGGCTACGATCCCGAGAAGTATACCTTCGAAGAGGCCTTCAAGGTCGAGAAGCCCAAGTGGAATGATCTCTGGGCCGCGATCCTGGTACGAAGCCTCACCCTCCACGTCCCGATACCGCCCGTCTAACATGCCTACCTAGTTCATCCTCGTCTTCCTCGGCTTCGCGGCCGTCTCCGGCCTCACCATCTCGGGCTACTCCTCCACCAAGTCCCTCAACGGCGGCGGCATCTACGACGGTGGCAACACCTTCGGCCTGAGCACAAACACCATCGTCCTCTTCGCCTTCTGCCTCGCCGTCGCCGTCGTCCTCAGCTACGCCTACGTCTGGCTCGCCCGCCTCTTCCCCAAGGCCTTCATCTGGGTCACCGGCATCCTCAACATCGTCTTCGCCCTCGTCACCGCCATCTACATGCTCTCGCGCAAGTACTACTCGGGCGGCATCGTCTTCCTCATCTTCGGCGTCTTTCTCGTCTTCGCCTTCATCAGCTGGATCCCCCGCATCCCCTTCTCCGCGCTGATGCTCAGGACCTCCATCAACGTCTCCAAGCGCTACGGCCACGTCTACCTCGTGTCCTTCCTCGGTGGCATGCTGGGCGCCGCCTTCGCCGCGTGGTACTCCGTCACCCTGGTCGCGACCTACTCCAAGTACCAGCCGTCGCAGAACAACCCGCAGTGCCGGAACGGCCAGTGCAGCGAGGGCAAGGTCATCGGCATCATCGTCTTCATCACCTTCGCCATGTACTGGATCTCCGAGGTCCTCAAGAACGTCATCCACGTCACCATCTCGGGCGTCTACGGGTCGTGGTACTTCTGCGTCAACAACTTCCCCCGGGGCGCCACCCGCGGCGCGCTGAAGCGGTCGCTGACCTACAGCTTCGGGTCCATCAGCTTCGGCAGTCTGATCGTCGCTATCATCAACTTCCTGCGCCACCTCTGCTCGGTCGCGAGGTCGCAGGCCGCGGGTGACGGGAACATCGTGGGATACGTGCTGTTCTGCATTCTCGGCTGCCTTATTTCGATCCTCGACTGGGCCGTCTCGTTCCTCAACAGATATGCCTTCTCCCATATTGCGCTGTACGGCAAGGCGTACATCCCCGCTGCGAAGGACACTTGGAGGATGATCAAGGACCGCGGCATCGATGCCCTCGTCAACGTAAGTCATGCTATTTTCCGAGTGACGACCGATCACCGACTAACATGTTGCAGGAATGCCTCATCGGCCCCGTCCTCTCCTTCGGCGCCGTCTTCATCGGCTACGCCTGCGCATTCCTGGCGTACTTGTACATGGTCTTCACCCATCCCGCTTACAACTCGACCGGAAGCTACACGCCCGTCGTCGTGGCCTTCGCCTTCCTCATCGGCATGCAGATCGCCAACGTTTTCACGACGCCCATTTCGAGCGGAATCGATACCATCTTTGTGGCCGCGGCGTGGGATCCCCAGGTCATGATGAGGGATCACCCGCAGCTCTACGACGAGATGGTCAGGGTCTACCCGGAAGTCCAGCAGGCTATCCACGCTTAGTTCGAGTGCACTGTCGGAACGAACGAATGAATGAGCGCTTTGGTCGGTAGATATTATGGCTGTGGCGTATGGGGGCGGGATACCCAGGGAGACAACCACGTTGTCATAACTCCAAGATTGATTGAATTCTAATTGAGACCGTTTCATTTCACTACTACTCGCCTTGTCTTCATGTTGATTATTGCGGCACACCTCCGGATCTCAACCATAGCAAGGCAGTCCACACAACACTAACATCTCGCGAACCCGCCCACCTTATCGGCACCTCGTGCTCCGAGCCCGTCTCCACCGCGAACGCCGCCGACCTGGACGGACCCGGCACACCTCCATCTCCATCCACCCACGCTGAAATCCTCGTCCCCGACCCAAGCAAATCTCTGCCCCCATCACCGTCTCCATCCTGCACCCACCCGCCCATTCTTAAAACTCTGCCCTTGCCGGATCATAACCCGTCTTCTCGGCCTCTCATTCAACAACAACTGGCCGGTTGGCCCAATGGCAAGGCGTCTGACTACGACTCGATCGTGAAATCAGGAGATTCTGGGTTCGACCCCCAGGCTGGTCAATTTCCTTTTGCCGCTTGTGGCGTTTACTTTTACGCCGTGCCGGGTACGCCTCTGGGCGTCTATTCACTGCTTGAGGGACGAGAATCAGTATCAACCGGTCTTCGTGGCTCAGTCGGTAGAGCGTTGGTCTCATATTATTACGTATGACTCTGTCTTCAGGCGGAGATATCCAAAGGTCGAGAGTTCGAGCCTCTCCGAGGACATTTCTTTTGTTTTTGCCCTCTGGGGGTGACTTTTTGAGAAATGATGGTTATATCAGGATAGGCACTAATCACACTGGATGTCATCGAATTTTGAAACCCGTTTAATTGTGCTCTTAGCGATAAGATGAGGTGAATTGGTTGTTGCATTTTCGTGACTAGCAACTTGAAAACCTGAATACCTGGGCTCACCGAGCCGTCTCACCGACGCCCTCCGGCCCCACTCTGGTGGCAACTCCGCTACTGCCGGTCTTGACCGCCTGCCTCAACTCCGATCTCATGCTTATGATCACGCGAGGGGCTCCCGGGCATCCTGATCTCATCCAACTCACCCAAACCAACTCAATTGAAGAAACAGCGTTCATGTCGGTATGGGCGCCAAAACTCATGAAGACCCGATTCCTGGGGGAAATGGTAGGAAATCTCGTCCTTCTTCCTCTCGTAAGGGTGCAATCACTCACAGCCACCAGGTGGACCTGCATCAACCGCCATCACCTCCGCCGGCGGAGAACCCCGCGGCGCGCACCTCTCGCGCGACGGCGACGGCAGCATCGGGGACGGCGGCGACGATGACGAGGACGATGACGAGGATGAGACGGCCGCCGTAAAGCCCGCCACTGACAACAACAGCAACAAGAAGAAAAAGCGAAAGCCCAAGAAGAAGAAGAAGGCCAAGAAGCCCGCCACCGCGCAGTCCTCCCCCCCGCGGGTCCCGCTGAGCGAGCTGTTCCCCTCGGGCGAGTATCCCGCGGGCGAGTCCCTGGCGTACGCCCGGGACTTTAACACCTCTCGCACCGCGGAAGCCGAGCTGCGGTACCTCGACCGCAAGCACCTCGAGGATCCCACTCTCCTAAACGACTACCGCAAGGCGGCCGAGGTCCACCGGCAGGTGCGGCACTGGGTGCAGGATACCGTCAAGCCGGGGCAGACCCTCACGGAGATCGCGGTCGGGATCGAGGACGGCGTGAGGGCGCTGCTGGGGAACCAGGGTCTCGAGCCGGGCGACGCGTTGAGGGCCGGGATGGGCTTTCCCACCGGGCTGTCCGTCAACTCCTGCGTGGCGCATTACACGCCGAACCCGGGCCAGAGGGAGATCGTGCTGCGGCACGAGGACGTGATGAAGGTCGACTACGGCGTGCACGTCAACGGCTGGATCGTCGACAGCGCGTTCACCATGTCCTTCGACCCCGTCTACGACAACCTCCTCGCGGCCGTCAAGGACGCGACCGACACCGGTATCAGGGTACGTATCACAACACACACAGTTTCAAGTAAACCCTCTTTCATTCGGAAAATGCTAACGCGCCTCGCCAGACCGCCGGCATCGACGTGCGCATCTGCGACGTCAGCGCCGCGATCCAGGAGACGATGGAGAGCTACGAGGTCGAGATCGGCGGCAGGTCGTACCCCGTCAAACCCGTCCGCAACATCTGCGCGCACGACATCAAGCGGTACCGCATCCACGGCTCCAAGGCGATCCCCTTCATCAAGAACGCCGACCAGACCAAGATGGAGGAGGGCGAGATCTTCGCCATCGAGACGTTCGGGTCCACGGGCCGCGGCAAGACGACGGACGACGTGGGTACCTACGGGTACCGTCTGCGCGACGATGCTCCCGTGAACGTGTCGCTGCCGTTCGCGTCGGCGAACCGGCTGCACAAGGTGATTCGCGAGCAGTTCGGCACGTTGGTGTTTTGTCGGAGGTACCTCGAGAGGCTGGGCGCCGAGAGGTATCTTGCCGGGCTGAATTGTTTGGTTAATCACGGGGTGCTGGATTCGTATCCGCCCATGATTGATGTGAAGGGGTCGTATTCTGCGCAGTTTGAGCATACGATTTTGTTGAGGGAGGGTGGGAAGGAGGTTATCAGTCGGGGGAGCGATTATTGAGTGGTGGATGCTGGAGAAGGGAGGGGTTTGTGAAGTTTCAACACCAATGCGATCTAGGCCGTCTCTTCAACAGAACCGCCTTCATACACCACGCTCATTACCTAGATAGCCAAGTCTGCACCATTTGGTGTCGGTTACTGAATCCAGTCTTTACCGAACCCCCTCGCTCACTTTTGATCCACTGCGAAGGTACTCGCCCCGAGTTGGGTGTTCTGGAAGGTATATCAAAGCCTTGATCTTCAGCTAATCCATGGATCCAGTTCCACTCCCTCTCTAAAACAGCTTATCCAATACATCAATGATACCTGGTGCCTGCGAGAGTCACCTCAGTGTTCACGCGACCAAACCCGCCTTCCGCCCTGACATCTCAACCGACCTCACCCAATCCTCCACATCCTGCGCATCGCGAGGGACGATGTGGCCCCTGCCGTGGTCAAACAACTCCGCCGACTCCCGGTCGCAGATGTTATACAGCGCCGAAGCCGAGTGTATCAGCGTATCGTTACTCCCCACGACATGGCACGTCGGGATATCAATCACAGAATCCCATTCACCCACGAGCGGAAGCTGGAACTCGCCGGTCTGGTCTTTCACCGGCGCGACGCTCCCTGAAATGAAGACGGCAAACTGCACACAGTCAGCTCATCGTTCAAAAGAGAGAACCTAGCCAACAAATAGAAAACTCACCCGAATCCGCCTCTCCCTCCCACTCTCCCTCAACCTCCTCCCCTCCTCCAACACGACCCCCGCCGCAATCATCGCGCCCTCCGAATACCCCAGCACGGCGTCGATATCCCCCTCCCGATCCAACACCTCAAAGACCGACTCCAGCGCGTCCTGGTAGCTGACCGCCGGGAACGCGGCGCCCGCGGAGAGGGTGTTGCGCATGGTATCCTCGGGGTTTAGGCCCTTTTGTATCTCCGTGATCGTCTCGGGGCGGAGGGACCTCATCTCCCGCAGGCTGAGGAAGCGGTAGAGCGGCGGGGCGCCGAAGTAGTTCTCGTGGCCCTCGGGGGCGTCGACGAGGTGCGCGCCCTCGGCGTAGCGGAAGGTCGCGAGGCCGAGGGATTCCATGCGGTTCGCGAAGGGGCTTAGTTGGGCTTTGAAGTTCTGAGGAGGGTGTTAGACGTGTTGCATCTTCGAGGCGGGATTTGGGGTGGGTACGTGGGCGCTGCCGTAGGCGCCGTGGAGGCAGAGTATCTTCATGATTTCTGATTTTTGGGACGGATTTGATCGATTTACTGAAGTTGAATTGTGCAAGTCCACGACCCGTATCTGCTAATATCTGAGAGTTTTCTACCCTGTATTCCTAGATCAACGGGTTCGGTAGTGGGAAATGCCAGCCGGGCGCCCGCGGCGTCCGCGCTATCGCGTTTCCGTACTAACACCTCCGTTCCCGCGTGGCTGCGAGGGTATTTCCATACCAGCCGATCCGGCACCTGAACCATGCCCGAGCCGCAAGCGTCCGGCGAAACCGACACGCATTCGACAACAGATCGGTTCCGAAGCGTCAAAACAGGTATACCTCTCACTTCCGTAACGACCGGCATCAGCGGCGCACTGTCAGGGAAACCGATCCGGTGATGTTAGCGGAACATCCCGGACTTGATACTGTTTTATCTTACACCTCGTCGCATCGTTGACGCGTGTTTTCACGTCTTCTCTTTTAGATGCAACTGAGACTTAGAGGATTGAGCCATGGAGAACACCGACGAGGCCATCGCCATCGTGGGCATGTCGTGCCGACTGCCCGGCGAGGCGTCGAGTCTGGACGACTTCTGGAGGCTGATGTGTCGTAGCCGCAGCGGCTGGTCGACGATCCCCGAGGACCGCTTCAGCAAGGACGCGTATCACCATCCCAGCGCCGAAAGGACGGGCGGTATCAACTCGGAGGGAGGATACTTTCTGAAAGAAGACCTCTCGTTATTCGACGCGCCGTTCTTTCGCATCACGAAGGAGGAAGCTCAAGCCATGGGTATGGTCCTCATATTCTCTCCATAAGAGCTGTTGGAGCATTCAATGTTAAAGATGGTTCCAGATCCGCAGCAGCGCATCCTCCTCGAATGCGCCTACGAAGCCCTCGAAAACAGCGGCAGCCCGATGGACCGGATCGACGGCCGCAGGGTCGGCGTGTTCGTGGGCGCGGGGCCGTCTGACTATCGCACGGCGAACATGCGCGACCTCGACACGACGCCGACCTTCGACACAACCGGGAACCAGGAGGCCTTCATGGCGGGACGGGTTTCGTACTTTTTCAACCTGAAGGGCCCGTCGCTGACCGTGGACACGGCGTGCTCGTCGAGCCTGTCTGCGCTGCATCTGGCCGTGCAGAGTATTCGCTCCGGGGAGTCGGAGCAGGCTATTGTGGGCGCGAGCCATGTGAACTTGTCGCCTGATCACTGGGTTTCGATGAGTAACTTGAGGTATGATTCCTACCGAGTCGAACGGGTGGGATCGGATGGTCTGACGGGTTTTCAGGTTGTTTTCTGATGCCGGGATAACCTATGCCTTCGATCACCGCGCCAAGTCTGGGTACGCAAGAGGTGAAGGTGGCGGATGTCTGGTGTTGAAACCTCTTCATCTCGCGTTGAAGGATAATGATCGAATTCGTGCTATCGTCACCAACACGGGCATCAACCACAACGGGACGACCGTCGGCATAGTAGCCCCCAGCGCGGAGCAGCAGGAACGTCTCATCACGGACACGTGCCGCGCGGCCAACGTGGACGTGAGAGACATCGGTTTCCTCGAGGCACACGGGACCGGCACCCGAGTGGGCGACCCGATTGAAGCGTTGGGGATATACAGAGCTATCGCGAGCTTTCACCCACCGGGCCAACCGCTCCGCATCGGTTCGGTCAAGACGAACGTGGGACACCTGGAGAATGCGAGTGGTATCGTGTCGGTCATCAAAGCGGCCATGATGTTGGAGCGGGGGTTCATACTTCCCAACCTCAATTTCGAAAAGGCTAATGACGAGATACACATGTCGGAGTGGAACTTGGAGGTACCGACCCGCCAGACGACATGGCCCAGCGATAAGAAATACGCCTGCATCAACAACTTCGGCTTCAGCGGCGTCAACGGCCATTGTATTCTCGAACGCCCGCCCCCGATCGGACAGTTCCCTGGTGAACACCAAACATGGGAGCCGATAGATAGGGTCTTTGTTCTCTCCGCTACCGACCGCAGCTCTCTCGAGGCCTCGATGACGCAGCTCGGCATCTTCCTCGAACAACACGCCGAGCTGTTCCAAGCCACCCTGGCGCAGAACCTGGCATACACCCTCTGCCAACGTCGCTCCCACCTCCCATGGCGAGCCGTGTTCGTCAGCAGGTCTTGTACGGAGCTGGTGCAGGTGCTGAACAAGCCGCCGGTTTCTTTGCAGTACGCACCTCGCAAGGCCCCGAAAGTAGCCTTCGTCTTCACGGGGCAAGGCGCTCAGTGGTATGCGATGGGCAGGGAGCTTCTTCAATCGCATCAGGTGTTTGCGTCAACACTGAAGAGGGCGGATGAGCACCTCCTCTCTATGGGGGCCAGCTTCTCAGTTTTGGATGAGCTTCTTAAAGATAAAGAAGCATCTCAGGTCGGCTTGGCTTACGTTAGCCAGCCGGCTTGCACTGCAATCCAGCTTGGTTTGACGGATCTCTTAAGGTCTTGGGGAATCGAGCCCTCGTCCGTGGTCGGCCATTCGAGTGGTGAGATCGCCGCTGCGTATGCTGCAAATGCCCTGACGCTGGAGTCGGCCATGGAACTCGCATATTACAGGGGGCAGTGTGTCCTTCAACTGAAAAGAGAACATCCTGATCACAAGGGTGCCATGATGGCAGTGGGGCAAGGCGCGTCGTATTTGAGAGAGTTGCTGTCGAGAGAGCAGTTCGGGGATTCTGTTGTGGTTGCCTGCGAGAACTCACCGACTTCAACGACCCTCTCGGGAGACTCGGAGGCGATCGCTCGACTGGCGCCCATCCTCGAGCAGGAGAACATGTTTAATCGGGCACTGCAAGTTGAAGCTGCGTACCATTCTCCGGCGATGGCTTTGGTTGCTGAGTCTTACAAGAACGATATCGGACACATCGAGCATGTCTCTTCATCCACCGATGTCCAGTTCTTCTCTTCTTTGCATTCTCACAGGATCGACACTAGCGAACTCAACGCTAAATACTGGACGGACAACCTGACGAACCCCGTGCGATTTGCAACCGCGTTGAAAGAGCTCTACGTGGAAACCACTCCAGACATCCTCATCGAAGTAGGCCCTCACGCGGCGCTCCAAGGGCCCATCAAGCAAACCCTGAAGGAAGTCGTAGGCAGCGCAGAGATAACCTACTTCCCCACGCTGGTGAGAAACAAAAACGCCACGTCAACCTGCCTAGATCTTGCCGGCAACCTCTTCACCCGGGGCGTGCCGCTCGACTTCTTCCAGATTAACCACGTACGAGGCATCACAGAAAAGCCTACGCTGGTCTCCGTCCTCCCGCCGTACCCGTGGTCCCGTCAAAAGTTCTGGCACGAATCGCGAATCAGCAGACAACACCGTCTGAAGCCTTTCCCCCGGAATGACCTCCTCGGGACCTTTGCTGACTACTCGGACGACGTCAACCTCACCTGGAGGAACATTGTACGTGTGGAGGACGCGAAGTGGCTCGTTGGCTGCAAACCCACTTCCGACATGATGGTCCCTGCATCTGTAATGGTGGCAATGGCCGTAGAAGCAGCAGGCCAGCACGCCAAAGCCGCGGGTACGGAGGTGGAGAGTTTTACGGGACGTGAGATTGAGATGCCCGAGCCGCTGATCTTGGAGGACGGGGCCGAATATGATCTCGTCACGACCCTGAGTCCCAACATCACGGACGCGCACGGTGCCTCGGGATTCCGGATCCGATCGTGGGAGAGGAACCGCGGGTGGTTGGATCACTGTCGTGGCCAAGTCACAACTCATGAAAAACGATTCTATCCACCGCAGAGGCAGTCCGACCAGCCTGTAGTTCAAATGACATCTACACCTGAAGTGTTCAACTCCGAGACTGCCATCTCCAAGGCCGAGTTCTACAAACAACTCCTCGGACATGGGTGGCAGTATCCGGAGCTAATGAAGTGTGTAGATGACGTCCAGGAATCCGGCAGTAAAATCACGGCTAACTGGGACGCGTCAAACCTGCTTTTGGCAGGACACACGATGAAGCTGAAGTCCCCTTCCGCGGTTGATCCGGAAGCACTCGAATCGATGCTTCAGCTGTCGTTATTTGGCTTCAGTCGACAGAAAGTTCATCCGGATGCTCGCTACGGCCCATACTACATTCACGAGCTCTTCGTGGATGCTCAGATACTGCTTAAGGGCGATAACAGGCACACCATTGCTATGGGTACATCAGATTTGGCGGGTCAACGGACTTTGAATACCCAACTGGAGTGCTCTGAGCCTTCTGGTTCGAGTTTCACGTCTCTGTCGATGGTCGGCATAGAGATGGCGCCGATGATGAACACGATTTCGATACCGAAGGAGCCGCCACGCCTGTGCCATACCATTCAATGGGAACCTGCGGTCAAAGACGAAGATACGAGTTATAAAACAGACTCGTCCTTGAGCAGCTCAAATCAGCTCTCCCATCGTGAAAAAATCAAGTTCCTCATCATTTCGGAGTGGGGCAGATACCACTCCTTCATCCTCGCGTTGGAAGAAGCTCTGACGTCCTCCTATGGCGCGAACATTGAGATCTCCTCGCTGATGGACGCTGAACCAGATGGAAAAGTCTGTATCTTCCTCTCAGAAATGGACGACTTGATTCTCTCCGGGCCGACCGAGGACCAATTCCTCCAGATTCAGCGAATGCTCATCAGCTCCTCCGCCTGTGTGTGGGTTGCACGTGGAGGGTATAGACATCCCGAGAGACCGCATGCGAATCTCTGCGCAGGGCTGCTCAGGACGCTACGCACCGAATATGAAGCAAATGCGGCATTGATCGAACTGGATCCGTCTTCAAGTCTGGGCTTCGAGGGGCAATCGGGGTTAGTGGTCTCTGTTGTTCGGCGTCTTTTGGCGTTGGAGAGTACCGGCGACTTCGAGTACGCCGAGGACGACGGACAACTTGTGGTTCCGAGAATTGTTGAGGATAAGGAGACGAATACGGTTGTTGGGCAACAGTTGAACCCCGATGCGACTTTTGAGCAGGACTTCCACCAACCTGGTCGTTGTTTGGCACTCGGGGTTGGAATACCTGGCGATCTTGAATCTCTTTATTTCGACGACCTCTCTCAGCAATCACCAATCGACGACGAGATCGAGATTCAGGTCTCCGCGAGCGGTATCAATAACTCTGACATTTCCAGTTTCACGAGAAAGTCGCTGCCGCGCCACGATATCGGCAGCCAAGTGGGCGGCATCGTATCTAAAGTAGGCAGCCACGTTACTCGCCTCTCCGTCGGGGACAAGGTATGCGTCATCACCAACCGAGCCTTTTGCACATCTGTCACCTGCACTTCCGCCGCTGCGGCAAAGGTTCCGGATTGGATGAGCTTTGATGAAGCTGCTTCAATCCCCGTACCATATTGCACGGCGTCATACGCCCTAGTTGAGGCGGCGAATGTTCTCAAAGACGAGGTTGTCGTGATACAGTGGACGGGAGACACCAGTCTTGCTGCAATTCAGCTTGCCAAGATCATTGGTGCCGATGTTTACGTTGCTGTCCAGAGCGAGGATGACAGGGCTCGAATCATCGGAATGGACTGCGTTATCAAAGACGCACAGATCTTCAACAGCCGGAGTCCTCACTTTGTTAAGGAACTCGAGAATGCTACCAACGGTAGAGGTGCAGATGTGATTGTTGCCTTTTCCGGGCCAGGTCAGAGCACTATGTGGTCTTGCATTGCAGACTTTGGCCGTATCGTCGAAGTAAAGACATCGGTCGAGCAAAGGAGTCGTGGTAAGACGCACTTTGCCGACTTGAAGAGTAATTGCACCTTCACTCAAGTCAATCTCGATAGCCTGGTGCGTTCGAGGCCGAAGATTGTGGAGCGGGTGCTGCTTAGAGTCATGAAACTCTTTCAAGATCGAACAATTGTCCCGAAAGCACCAGCTGTATTCGGTATATCGGAAACCTTACAGGCGTTTCGGAAGGTAATGGATGATGAGAATACTAGCCCCGTTGTCGTGGCGAACCGGCCGGGTGAACGAGTCCAGGTAAGATGATCAGAACATCGTCCAACCATGCGTCAACCGTCTAACAAACTCTTCAGGCTACGTCCCCGAGATCCCTCGCAGCTTTTAGTCACTCTAATTCCACTCACCTCATCGTTGGTGGTAGTGGTGGCTTGGGACTTTGCGTCGCTCGCTGGATGATCCAGAACGGTGCCCGTTACATCGTGTTGCTTTCACGGAGCGGAGGGACCAACGACAAGGTCCGAGAACTGATGAATGAGACCAAATCACAAGGAGTATCAGTTATAGTCAAGAGTTGCGACGTCTCAAACGAAACGGAAGTTCAACAGGTGATGCTCGAGTTGGCGAAAACCCTGCCACCGATCCGCGGGGTGGTCCACGCTGCCATGGTTTTGCGGGTGAGATTGAGTCCAGAAATCCCCCGGAATGCGGACGGAGCTGTGACTAACGAGAAGAGGATATGCCCTTTGAGGAAATGAAACTCGCAGACTACAACGAGGTCACACGGCCAAAGGTTGCCGGCGTCTGGAACATACACAACGCACTCGGAAACACGAAACTACAATACTTCGTCGTCCTTTCCTCGATGGCTGGGGTCATCGGGAGCAGAGGACAGGCCGCTTATGCTGCTGCGAATACCTTCTTAGATTCCTTCGCCAGATACCGTGTCCAGAACGGTCTTGCTGCAACTGCCGTCAGTCTCCCACCGGTTGTAGACGCGGGCTTCATCCTGGAGCACCCTGAGCGAAAAGAGGCTATACTCAGGAACTTTGGCGGCCAGAGCGTTGAGACCGATGAAGTACTGGGCATCCTGGGAGCCATCCTCGCCGGTACTTCAACTGGACAAAACCAGGGCCACCTTATGGTGGGACTCGACAGGAACTCAGACGCAGGGAACCGTCCCCCTTGCTACTCGAGAGACCTTCGGTTTCAATCTCTCGCGAAGACGGAGCACACACTACCAGACAAGCCAGGGGCGGCAGCAAAAACACCACTTCAAATTGTTAACGAAAGGATCCACGACCAGTCCTTCGCAGCCGAGGCCAGGGCACTCATTAGCCAAGAAATACGGATCAAGCTGTCATCGATTTTGATGAGGCCGTTAGAGGAGATTGATTCTCACAGGAGCATCACGGCGTATGGCCTCGACTCACTCAATGCTATTGAGCTGAGGAACTGGATTGCCAAGGAGCTGAGAGTGAACTTCCAGGTATTGGAGCTCATCACCAGCGATTCCGTGGATCACATGTCGGAACTTATTGTTGGGAAGATGATCCAGAGTAGCTAGTACTTCTGCTCGCAATAACTTCATTCCCCATGCCCCTCATCTAACTCTTCCTATTTTTACTGTGTTTTGATAGTAGACTTGACCAACCTGTGTATGAGGGCGTAGGAGGGCCTCACAAGACGGCGCTCATAGCACGGCAGCCGGCAGCCGCGTAGCGACGGCGTCCCACTCCGGAAGCCGCGTACGGCGACCTGGTGCACAGCGAAAGCGGGGTCAGAGTCAAAGTGCTGCCAAAGGGGACGAAATCTCTAGGGATGAGCGGCTCATACGGAAGAAGATGTTGTAAGACGGTGCTTAGTATGGCACAGCAGCCGGCAGCCGTGTAGTGACAGTGTGCTACTCCGGAAGTCGCGTACAGCGGAGGCGTTGGTGCCATGGAGTGCCAGGGTATATACCCATCTACTTAGCATACCCTATCACGGCCCTTGAACATTTTCATCCATAGAATACTGGTAGGAATCTTTTCTGCTAACACCTTCATTCAGGAATGTATTGCTTGAAAGATGACGACTGTGGCTCGTGCAGGTGCAATGAATCTTCAAGGCGGTGTGTGTAAGTAGCAAAGAGTGCGGGAAATCCATCTCGAAGTACAGGACATGTCTAGATATGGGTTCTCAGAGGGTGAGAGAGGGAGAGAGAGAAATGGGTTCCTGCTTGAGGGTTCCCAAGTTCTACGGTTCATTCTTTGAAAAGGTGATGGATGGTCCGCTTTCCAACAAAGAGGCTCATATTGTACCGGGATTTGGTTTTAGTTTAGGCCTTCAAACCTGATGTAGTCGCCGACGCCTCGCGTATCGTCAGTTGATCAATATCAGGTACAATTTCTCCACTTGAACATACCTAAGATCTCGCATTCGGGGGAAAAAGTCGATATAACCACCGTCCATAACAACCTCTTCTGAGAAACAGGGGCGTTGCGTTGGAAGAGAGTAATAGAGTTGAACTTATGACCACTGACTCCGTCTCCTCACCTAGCTGACGTAAGATTTTCATTCAGACGCGATAGTATGCCATTTCGGTGAAGCAGGCTACATCCAAACTTGAAAAGTTCATAATTACTCAGGATTACATGGTGCTGGAGAGATATGTGCATCCCCCAGTCTGTCATTTTTGCAGGGCTTCATATCCTCCCGTATCAACCTTTTGGTCGAAATTTTAGCAAGCAATAGTTGGTAGAGTAAAACTCCAGACAATATCGCCATCCACTTGTTTGTAAGCCGCAGATAACATTCTCCGTGTTCGCTCCTTTCACTACGGGTCAACTAGTATGAATGGATCTTCGCCTTGTCGCCAGCAAGTTGAGCGTCTTTGATAGTCTCAACGATTGTATCCTCCAAGGAGGTCCACCCCGGACGGCCCAGCTCGCGCAAGAGTTCCTCAGCCTTTCCGCTCGGTGCGATGGTCTTCTTGCTCAACTCGGCAGAGAAGTTCTCCGGGAACGTCTTCTCGGGAAAGTTCTTCCGGAGTATATCCAGAATCAAGTCCCAGCTGAACTTACCGGCAAAGCCGAAGATCCGCTGGTCTTTCACGTTTTCAAAAGTTGCAGCCGCGACGTGCAGTCTTGCGGAATCATCGGTGTGGATATAGTGCTCTGTAAGGGAATTAGCTTCTGCGTCAGGTTTCTGTGCTGGCGGAGTCTGGAGAACTGAGCATACGTTTGTTCAAGATGTGGAAGATGTACGAGACCTCTCCATTGTACAGCGTGACAGGCATTGCCGAGCTGCTGGGAAATCCCTGGTTGACTGGGTCGATGGAACCGCTGAAGTTGAAGTTGGGGAGCACTTGGTATGTTTAGCTGGAAGCTTTGAATGGTCCGAAGTAGGAGGATCTCACCAGTGTTGACCACGAGGTCGGGGCGCTCGGCGCGGTGCTCCTTGTAGTACTTCCACACCTCCTGCTCTGACTGGGTCTTGCTCGCCGCGTAGACGGCACCGGCCCGCTCCGGGGTGTACGGAGGTTCGGCCCACGCGTCCTTAACAGCTTTCTCGTTCCATTGATCTTCAGTAATGACAGCATCCGGCCCATCATCGGCTGATTCAACGGCAGACGATGAGGAAGTAAAGACGAAGCGCTTGACATTGGGCGCGGCGAACGCCGACTTCAATGCATTGACTGCACCTGCAATCGAGCTAGGAATGACGTTGTGGGGGTTCGGGTCAAGCGTCAAGACAGATGCTACGTGAACAACAGCATCAACGCCTACAATCACAAGTCAGTTTCGGCTTCTAGGCTGACTTCGGATTGTTGGGAGATGACTAGACTCGCGGAACATACCCTTGACAGCTTCGTCGAAAGCACCTTCAGCCGCCATGTCTGCGACTTTGACAAGCTCAAATTTGCCCTCTCCGTACGCTTTGTCGAAGGCAGCTGAAAGCCAGCCCACTTTGTCCGGGTTACGAACAGTGCCGCGGACCTTGTAGCCATACTCGAGAAATTGCTTCGCAATGTGAGAGCCCAAGAGACCGTTCGCTCCGGTCACAAGGACAGTTGAGCCTTTGGGGATGGCGAGAGAAGGCATGACTACGTTTGAGTTGAGCTGTCGATGGTTGAGTGATGTGGAATTTGTTTAGAATGCCTTCAGCGGGGTGACTGAGGGCATTGTGGTTTAAATAGATTATGCTTTCGAACTGCAGTCCGTCGGACGAATCCGATTACAAAGCTATGGTGCAATTACTACCCCTGGCAGCATCTAAACACCCGCCATGACAGCGCTTGGTCCACCGCAGAAGGTTGGTCGGAAGCTGCGGAGTTTCAGCGGAGTTGTGATACTAAGACTCCTAACGCCGACTACATGCTTGTCGCTGCATGTTTCTGCCTGTAATGAGGCCCATCGAATGATTCCAAGAATTGTGAAGAGAGGGATCGAGCACTTTGATCAGAATGATTTCCATCAAAAATGTTTCATCAAACATGGGGAAAACGAACGTTTGCTGAGCACATATGCAAACCCGACGCTAACATGTACGATAAGAACTGTTAGACGGGCTAACATGTTGTATGCGAAACTGGGAGCTTGTTCCATCATCGAAAAGACTGAGTGTTCTTTTGTTTTCGGTATGAGAGATTGCGAAGAAGAGCGTTGTAATGGGTAAGGTAGACACGCTTTTCTTTTCCCCATGCATCGGTACATATACATGTAGCCTACCCAGACTATTGCTCCAAGGTATTGTTATGATCGTTATCAGTCTCGTTATGGCCGTCATTTCCAAAACTGTTGGCGTCAGTTTTGTTGCAGTTAGTGAGGTTATTGCCATCGCAGTCGTTGTTGCGATTGCCGTTGTTTTCCTTGCCTCCATTGTCGCCATTTACAAAAGTTCCTGTTCCTCAAACGCAACCAACGTGAGAAGTCGGACTTTGATGCTCTGATGCGGCGCAGAAGTTGACAGCAGGTCACAGCCTGCGGAGCGGCGCAGTCAATACTAACAACTGCTGTAAGACGTCAACCGGCCATACCGTAAATGGAATCTCGTAATGGTTTTTGAAGGATTCGCTTGGAAATCAAGAATTCCCCTGGAAACATCAATCGTTGGTCATTACATGTCCTCATGAACCGCTGGAGACATGAACGCTACACAAAGCCGAATGTACTGCAAAATTCTGACAGCTCGGATAGCTCTGACGGCTCGGACAACTCTGACGGCCCGGGAAGCAGTACTGGCATAGGCTTCCGTATGTGGAAAATGCAGCCGGGATGAGCGTCATCATCCTTTGACAGCTCTCTTGACACTCCAGATGTCGGGGATTCCTAGGTGACCGCTAAAACGTCGATCTCTCGGTTGGTAAGGCGATTGGTTCGGCTTAGTTCGCATAGGTTTGGATTGCGTTCGGTAGGATTTCGAGGGATGGGAAGGATGCAGTCGCGGCACGCCAACCATGGCAATGGATAGGATGATAGGTCGGTAAATTGATGAGATTTGCGACGCGAAGATCTCTTGATTGTTTCAAGGTCGAGTTGATCGATACGAAAGTAGATTCAATACGTCATTCGCGCCTGGTGCATTCATATCAATGGATGTGTTGCTGCTGGTAGTATTGTTCAGGCACCGGTGCGTCTTAACAATTGGAACATGGAAGGCAATGAGCGTCAAAAAGCCAAATTACAAGAAGGAGTTTGGCGAGAGAAACGCGCGCGACGTCAAAGGGCTTTAAGTTGCTTCGAAGAAATGATAATAGATGGGACGTCGTTCATCGGAAGTTATTAACCCCGGTTGACCTGCCTTCCACGTGGAATTCGCAGCAAGCCCGTTCCGTTTCTGATTAGCCCCCAAGGAATGACATCCAGGTCTTTGCTGGTCTCAGATATTGGCGGAATCTTACATTGGTCAGCTTGTGGGCGATGCTCTTGGCCGAGGGTCTGGTTCACTAATCACAAAGTCCGCATCAAGAGTAAGCAAGGCGTTGAGTGCAGCGTCGGCTGTGGTCGTCGCAAAAGGCCAACCTCGTAACAAGATTATTTCTACAGAAAAACAGACAAAACTGTTTGAAGTGTCAGTCCTTCTCTGAAGATCAATGGAAAGAGTTCAAGTGGTTCATCTCTTCATAACCCGTGGTTCATCCAACAACACCCGACGGTTCTGCGAACATGGACGTGCGATTCTATTATGTCATGGATCACTATTCAGATATCGCGAGAGATCACTAATCATGCACCGAAATCTCAACGCCCATAGGCCGAGGGTGGCTTCAAGGGATGAAGGCTCAAAAGTGATTACCAACGGAAATCGAATATTATGCGATGAAATGTAGTTCAAGCCCGGGGTTTCGAATGCTTCATTTGGGTGAAAGTTTGATATTAAAGTCCAGATGGTGCAATCCTGGCAGATTTAGACGCATGCCATCTGAATTCCGGAAGTCTAATCAACAATACGGAGTTCGACGACGTTCAACACCGACATGCACTGCTGAAAATCCTTACTCAACATACTATATCTTCGAATTCCCGGTCAAGCTGCCGTTGAATGTGAGCCTTACAGCTGGTTATCTTCAAAGCCCAGGGAAATCGTCTAATAATACCTAATATCTTTCGCTTCAACATGAATACCGGCAGCAATCCAAGATCGAATCCTTCCCCGGGGACAGATACAGCCGTGGAGGACGTTGAAAAACAATCTGGAGCAGACTCAACATCGATCGAAGATGGACAACAACCCCTCGCCTGGGACGACCCCCGAGAGTCGCGAAACCCTCACAACTGGAATAGCGGAATCAAGATCCTTCACACAATGATCCCTTGTTTCCTCGCATTCGAGATGTAAGTCTACGTCCCCGTCATCCTGTATTCCCCCTTCGTCCTCCAAAACAAAGACTGACATTGCCTGACGAACAGCACCTTCTCAACCTCGATAACAGTCCCCGCAACAGCCCAAATAATGCAAGAATTCTCCGTCTCCCGAACCCGCTCCCTCCTCCCTTTGACGCTCTACACCCTCGGCATCGCCATCGGCCCGGTCTTCATCGCGCCCTTCTCGGAAGTCTTCGGCCGGAAGTGGATCTACTTCGGCACATGCACCTGTCTCCTGGCCTTCCTCGGCGGTTCCGCCGGCGTGGCCACCTTCTCGGGCCTCCTCGCCTGCCGATTCCTCGCAGGAACCCTGGGATCAGCCGGTATCGCCGTCGGAGCGGGAACGATCGCCGATATCTGGGGTCTCGGGGGCGGAGCCGGCGCTTCGCTGCTCTTCATTCTCGGCCCCTTCCTCGGACCGACGTTGGGACCGCTCGCGGGGGCGTATGTCCTCGAAGATAGGGGATACGATTGGCGATGGACGCAGTATGTGCTGCTGATGGTCGGAGCCCCGATATGGATCGCCACACTCTTCATGCGAGAGACTTCGAAAACATGGATCCTCAGGAGAGAGCTTGGTGACCAGCAGGAGATCACCCTCTCACGATTAGCTACCCTTGCAAAAGGCGCCGTGATGCGTCCGACGAAGATGCTCTTCACCGAGATCATCGTGTCGTCACTGGCCATCTACTCGGCGTTCGCGTACGCCATGATCTTCAGCTACTTCGCCAGCTGCTCTTACATCCTCCAAAAGCTGTACGGGTTCAACCTACGCGAAGTAGGACTGAGCTTCCTCAGCATCATCATCGGATACATCCTGGGAACCATGATGTACGGTGTTCTCGACGCGAAGTTCAGGGTCCCCGCGCTCAAGGCCGGAACGGCGACGCCGGAGCAGAGGTTGTACGCTGCTCTTGTGGGCAGCGTGATGCTTCCCGTTGGTCTCTTTTGGTATGTGAACAAGCAAATCTTGACGTGAAAGTGTGGTTTAGACTTATTTTGTTCCTTAGGTATGCATGGGAGGCTCACGCAGGTGGTAAGTGGGCTGCTTTGGTCGCGGCCGGGATACCGTTTGGAATAGGAACATTCTCTCTCTTCGTAAGTCGAACGACCCACAGACTGATCATCTTTCTAAACCAAGTCATGAACAGCTTTCTGTCATTACCTACATGGTAGACTTCTACGGCCCCAAGGCCGCCGCATCAGGTATGTTCCCGACCTACTTCCCATCCCGAGAACACTGCTGACCGCCCGCATCAGCATTGGCCGCGAACGGTATTCTTCGATATATCCTGGGCGCAGTCTTCCCGCTGTTCACGATTCAGATGTATGAGAAGTTGGGTGTGCACTGGGCGGGAAGTGTGTTCGCGTTTCTTTCCCTGCCACTCCTACCCATTCCGTGGTTATTGTTAAAGTACGGGCCCCGACTGAGAGCACGAAGCAATTTTGTGACTACGACTTCTTGAAGATATGAAGAATCAAGTCTCTTTCTACAAGAGTTGCATACATGTGTTTTTGATCCCCATAGCTAGCAGCAAATATCTCTCAGGCACCACCCTTTGGGGCTCTTTTTCGTCTCATCGACCAGCTCTGCAAAATCCGTATAGTCATCTCTTATAATCATCTCGAGGGCAAACTCAATCCCCGATAAAGGCCCCCGACTTCGATCATCCACGCTTCTTCCTTTGTTCGTCGGCATACTTCTCCTATCTCATCCGAATAAGATTGCTCCAATGAAACCATTTCAGTACATCCTTTCTGCCTGCCCTGGTGGCAGTGTCTTTGAAATGCGGGTCTTGTAGGAGCCTGCGTTCTGGGTCAATGGTGTTGTTCCGAAGAGCTCTCCAAGCTTCATACGACGATTCTCCGTTGAGCAGCTGCTCCCAAAGGAATTCCAAATCATCATCCGGCAGGCCTTCGCTTCTCTGAGCTTGACCCAATTTAGCTCCCATGTTGACGAGAGAATTGAACACATCAAACCGCCCTCGTGCAAAAGCCAACATCAGCACGGTGTTCTGGTCTTTGTCCCTAGAGTTGATATCGCCACATAAACGGAGTGTCCTGATGGCTTCTGGGATATATGGTGATGTGTTTTTCTCTCCTAAGAGTCTAAGAATGGCCCACTCGTAGTCGATCAGCTTGATGCCGTTCTTTTGAACATGTTGAACCAATGGTAGAAGTGTTGCGGGAAGATGAGGGAGTCCTGTTCCCATTTTCAATAGAATTAGACCATTCTTCAAAGCAGAATGGCCGGAAGGACCTTGCGCGTTAACATCTACTCCTGCATTTAGTAGGATGTCAACGAGATTGGGCTGGAGAGTAGAAACGGCGATGGAGAGGAGGGTCAAGTCTGTGATGCCGTGAGGGCCAAGAACAAGAAGAAGATGTTGGACGATCGATGTGTTGTCCCGGGTGATACGATCGACAGATTGCCCAAGGGGTAGTGAAGTCGAATACCAGAAGAAGCTCTGAACGCAGATATTGATGGGTCTCATGCCCAACAAGCTAGACGTTGACGTGTTATTGCACCCCTCCCCCAAGCATAGGTAACAATGGTGCCTGGCCCACGAAGTTCTGCGGCAGCGAACAAGACCTTGCCCATCGTTGTATGGTCCCATAATGCTGTGTGGCGATGTTGTGACGAGTCGGACATTGGCGTTCGCTCCGGCATCGAGAAGCATATGTGCCTCGCCATAATGCGCCCTGCTGCACGCTTCTACCAACAGCGTGTGGCCCTGGCCAAAATCTGCATCGACATTGGCACCGTACTTGAGAAGAATTGGTAAAGCCGCTCTGAAGGTCTCGCTGCCTTGCCAATAAGCCTGCCACAGCAGAGTGCCGTAGCGTTTCATGCCGTACTCAGCATGAACACTCTCGAGCCCCGTCGAAAGAATGTGGTCGGCGACTTCTAGCCTTCGGTGCTTCACCGCAGTGATGAAAAGAGGCGTAGGACCTTCTTCAGTCTCCAACTTCGTCATGAGATGTTCTCGTATCGGAGCACCAAGGCTGATGATGTGTTTTGCTAGGTTGTCGTGTCCGTGACAAAGGGCAAAGTGTAAAGTCGTCCAAATATACTTACCCGGCTTGTATGTTTCAGCGTTGTATGCGGTATGGATTGCGCGTCGGGCTTCCAGCCGATCCACGAAGTGTAAACGTGCATTGGTGCTGTGACAAAGGTCGTTGCAGAAGCTGGGAGCGTTGATATCTGCTCCATATCCGATGAGAAGGTCGAAGGCCTCGATGTTACCTGCGGCAGCCGCGAGATTGATGGGCAAGTGTCGTGGAAATAACAAGTCATTGGCAGTTTCAGGGTTCCAAAGCGTCATCCCCAGGCTAGGGTCTAACCTGCTTCGATGAACGGCAGCATCTTCGGTAACTCCAGCCTGCCCCGCACACCACTCGTCAGGGCAGAGTATATGACACGAGTACCGTGCCCTGAAAAATTCGATCATGGATTTATAGTCGTTCCGTCTGTTTGTCGGACGATCTCTAGAATCCCACCAATAGAATGCCATGTTGGGGTTTGCTCCGGCTTCCAAAAGTCTCCTCATACAGCCAATGTTCTGTGTCTCGGTTGCCCAGATGAGAAGATAAGGGTGTCTCTTCACTCCGCCATCGTAGAGAATTGGGTTAATGTATTCGTGGAACCATCGGCAAGAGCGTGAGAGGGCTGCGAGTGATTCGAGAAGGCTGTGTCTGAAGAGACCGATCGGCGTCTTGTCTGCCGCAATGAGTTCGTCGATGATCGCCACCTTCAGCTCGTTCGGGAGCTGCAGAAGATTCGGCATTTTGGCATGCTTTGTGGTGGACGACTGGCGTATGGAGGTTTTGATGATGGTGATCGAGTATGGTCGGATATCAGGGGCTCTCGCCGTCGCCGAGAGGGAGATCAAGAACGAGAGGGGCGACCTTTGCTCGAAGGTTGAGGTGGTGGCCGACAGAAAGTCCTGCGGCGTGTTGTTTTGTCGAGGTCGCAAAGGGAAGGAAAAGGAGAAGAAATGAATTTTTAATCCGTGTGCTTGCCTTCGAATTTGGGAGGAAGGAACGAGGTTCGGTCGTCCAAGGAAGGCGCGGGTGGCTTACGGAAGCAGTAGCCCACATCAGACCACCCTCATTTCGACTGTGGTTGAGCAAAGCATTTTGAAGAAAAGTTCTTGGGCCTTTCATCCACCGAAGTCTCTAGGACTCTGAACTGATTTGGTGTCTCGATCAGCTGACCTTTTCATGGATAGCATAGGGTCCTCTCGTCGAATACCCAGAGCCATCTCATGGTCTTAATTTGCGGCGACGGAAGAACATGATCCGTGTAATAGAGGAATAGGACACTCAAAAACGAACTCGTTGCTCTGCATAACATTGGAAGCTGGTTCAAAGCCAGTCATGCTGATTCTCTGTCTAGTCTGGACCCATTACTGTTACAATTTCCATCCCGCAAATACCGCTTCATCCGACGGACGTCATTACAGATTCCTTCCATTTTCCTGGCAGGCCCCTTCCGATAGCCAATCTCATGACCAGAATCCTTAAACCTTCTGGCGGTAGACCATCACGTCGTACAGCAGTGTGTTTCGGAGCAAATGGCGCAAAGCTCGTTCTTCAGAGGTACAGTACCAGATTTTGCGCTCCTTCATCATTGTCAACAGGCCGAGAACACTTTGGCCCTCATTTTTCCAGATACCTGGCTCCGTTCCAGACCTGATGAGAGTTGAGACTGTGGTGCAAATATTGTTATTGTGGTTGCTGTTGTGGTATGACCAGAGTATTTCCACACTCCTGACGATCCCACACGTCATCACTCTGGTGAGGAGGTAGGCCAACGGCGTATTCCCGTCTTTGTCACAGGCATTCACGTCTGCGCCCGATGAAACGAGTCGAGATATGACGGCGGGCCTTCTCCAACTCATGTACTTGATTGCCAAATGAAGAAGCAGGAGACTCTGTGCTCCTTTGGTGTTACTGACAGGACAAATGTCGAGAACAGCAAGGACATAATCCTCGCAGTCGTTCTCCATAGCCCTCTCGAGCATGTCATAGCATCTGCTCGGAGCATTAGGATCTTGATCCACGCTATGCTTGACAACGAGTTCTGCGAGCTCCTTTGGGCCGGACCATTCTTTAGCCGTGATTAGGCTCAAGGCTGTCTCGCCCGTTTCGGTGAATCCATGGACGCGGGCTCCCGCACCAAGAAGTATCTTGGATATCTCGCAGAAGCCGAAGTAGACGGCGAAATGAAGTAAGCGCCAAAGCGGGAACTCGTTGACCTGTGGCTCGATACCGGCATCATGAAAGGTAGTGATCGTGCTTGGTAGACATTCGTTGTTCACCCAGTTCTTGTCGAGAAACAGGGAGGGCCTCATCTCTTCCTCGATACTCTTGAGTCTCCGCATCATCACTACCACGAGAAAACGTGGCTCATGTGAGATACGATTTTGCCGATCGAGTTTCCTCAATAGTCGAGATGCTAGGAGTGCGGAGTCCTTATGGTCAACTGCGTGATCCCACATGTCAACCAAATCATCCCGTCCAGTCCGAGGATCGACCCCAGCTTCAGCTCCCAAGTTGATCAGGCTGCCCGCAACACCAAAGTCCTCGTCGAAGACCGCTTTCATCAGCAGTGTTTTGTCGTATGCGTCTCGAGCGTTCAAGTTGACGAGTCCCTCTTTGACAAGTAGCAAGAAAGCCCGACGTACTTGGCTTTTGACCTGGAGGTTACTGTAGCGAAGGTCGCGGGCATGAGCGCGGGCAAGACTAGACGCTGCGCGATGACCTCCTTGGAGTGAAATTCCAGATTCCTTGGCTTGCTGAGTGAGAAAAAGAAGTGTCTGATACAGCCCTTTCGACCAGGACTCTTGGTTTCTCGTGAGCGGGAGCCGTGACGCGTAATTCAAAACACCATCTCCAGCTGAATCCAGGGCATGAAGGTCGGATCCAGCGGACAGCAGGAACTTAATGACATCAATCTGGTGATGTTTAGAGGCGGTGAGGATCGGGTTTCGCTTTGAAGCATCCCGCGCTTCAGAAGCGTAAAGTCGAGCAATAAGCGGAACAAGGGCCTCAGGAGAGTGATGCTTGGACGCGAGGATGGGTCTGCCGGTGCAGCACACGTCGAGAAGTCCGCTTCCCAGCAGATCGTGGCTACTCACAAGAGAGCGATCGTCGAATTCCTCGTCTAACTCCACGCCGGGTTCCTCAAGAACAACGCCAACGCTGGCACCAGCATCGATCAGAGCGATTGCCTCGCGGTAGTGGCCGCGACAGCAGGCGTCCATCAACAGAGTGTGGCCATCTTCTAGGTCGTGCTCAAGATCCGCGCCGTGCCGTAACAATATCTCCATTGCGGTGCCGAAATCTTTCGTCTCCCAGAGTGCTCGCCACAACAGTGTTGCGAAAGATAGTCCAGGGTAGAGTGCGTTCGGGTCGTCGATGCCTTCTTCCAAGCAAAACTCCGCAACTCCTGGAAGGCCACGTCGTATGGCCGAGATGAACGGGGGAACTTGGATCTGAGGATCTTCATCGGTGCCGATCAGTCTTTCGGTAATATACGGACATTCCGTCAAGATGTACTTGGCGACTTCCACGTGTCCGTGACACAGGGCGATGTGATAAGGCGTCCAAGCTGGATACAAATAGCTCGAGTCTTGGACAGCTGACCAATCCGGAAAGTAGAGTACATTTCTGTTGTAAGGATCGTGGGGGTGGACGCAAAATCCCTTGGAAGAGACGTTCAGTAAGGCCCCGTGTTCGACGAGAATTGTGAGAGCGTCGAGATTTCCTTGCTTTGCAGCAATATGAACCGGAAACCAGTAAACCGCAGCCTTCTGCATAACGTCGACCTTGAAGTGGTCGCACGTCTTGAGTTTGAGGACCCCATACCATTCCGCCATAAACCCATTCAGGTCCTTGTGTTCTGCTTCTTCGTCGTCCGAATCCGCGTCGGAATCGGTAACATGTGCATGAAACTCGCACTCGTCGTTCCAGTCGTGGCGAGACTGAAAGCCCCCGGCTTCGTCCTGACGGTAAAGTTCCCAGAACCTCTGCTTTGTTGAGCTGGTTCGATTCCACTCCTTGTACTTTCGAGGGCTGTATCGAATTATGCCGGTACTGATCATCAGCCCGGCTGGCTCGTAGTGGGTGAGGATCTTCTTCATAACGTTGAGAAAGCCTACTTCTGTCGCCCAGCATAGGAGGTAAGGATGTCTGTAGGGCCCAATACGGTAGAGATGAGGCTCGGCGACGGCATTGAAGAAGCTGTTGGTAACGGACAGGGCAGCGAGTGTTGCGATAATCTGGTCTGCGTCTCCGGCTTCGTCTTCCAATCCTGCCCAATCATTCGCGAATGAGCTTTCCGCCAAAAAGCTGACGATGGCCATCAACAGCTCCGGCGGGAGATTTCGGGGGTTCGCCATGTTGCGTCGGCGGTTGGCAGCCACCGATGGGCCTCGCGGTGGTTGTTGTGGAAGAGAGACCTTTAGTTTTGGGAGTGTTGCGTGGTGAAGAAGACTTTTCGGTGTGAGGAATATTCAATATCCTGAAAGAATGGAAGGAAGGAGCGGTCCTGGGTGGGAAGGTTGGCTGTAACTGCCATACACAGTGTTCCAGCTTCACCAAAGACACAGAAGACTTTTACAACGGACGTTCCCATTGTTCGTAAGGTACCCAGACAAAGAGATCATGTGCAAGCCAGGAAAAAAAGAAAACAGAAGAAAACAGAAGAAGAGGAAGGAGAAGAGGAAGACTTAAACTTGAGGCAGGCTATGTCACACCCATCCCCAAGAACAACGACTGTAAAGGTAACAATGAAAGCAGTCACAATGATACCACATTAAGGGCGACTTAGGTGGTGTGATTTGGCCTACCCTACAATTGCAGGGGAACTAAAAGTCATGAAAAGCAATCCTTTCTTTCTTGATGGCTCTTCAAAAGACATGCGGAGAAAAACAAAGGCAGCGGTCTCATGGAACTGGCCTTCCTTAGAGATCCGACACATGACAATATCTCTACGTGCTTCTCGTTCTTTCGGCAAAATTAAAAAAGACTGCCCTCAATTTCCCATTTGTTTGGAGCAATAAAACGAAGCTATTCCCAAAAACCTGGGACGACACGGCTGTGTCGGGGAGGAGCATGTGTCTCGTTTAGTCATCCTGAGGATCTTCCACACCTAGCATTACCTGGTCATGGCCACATACATTTGGCACACAGAGAGTCCGGCCTTTTTTTTCGAACTTGTGCCTGCTTTTTGATATCGTGTTGGCCTGCACAACAGAAAGCCTACCCGACTATCACTGCCTCATCAAACTTCGTCAGCATCCACGCCGCATCGGACGCCATGCCGTTGTCCCACGGTGGAGATATCGGTGCCGAAACCATCTTCCAACCCCGGTCGAACCGGATTCCGAGCCTCCAAATCCGCGCCGTTCCTGCGCCCCAGATCTCCCCCGCATCGCATCGCATCGCCGAGCATTTCCAGATCTTAGCGGTGCAGATCCTGCAGGAAGGGAGCCAGCATTTTATCTCCGTCACCTCATTCCCGAGCCACCTCACAGGGAGCTGTCATCTAATCGACTCAGCAACGTCAATGCGAACCCTCCTTCAACACCCGGCGCCATCGTATTTCGCTCCTTCGCTTTCGCCTTTTCGAACGAACCGCTTACAGATGGGGGAGGCAAAGCAACACAATCTCATGTCACCGGAGACCAGCGCCAGCCCGAAATCCGTTACGCGACCAGTCCCTGAACCACAACATGGCAATTTCTGTCGCGTTGCGTCCCGTCTTGTGGCCCATGAAACGACCCCGTCCCACCGTCCCAAATGCCGGCGACGCTCAAGCCTCCCCTCTTCCATCGACGGCCACGCTGCCGCCCCCAACAGAATTAGGAAACTTCCTCACCACCGCCGTCATGGAGGCGCTGCGTAACGTCAGCTCAAATCATCGGACGGGACCAGCCGCCGCGTCGATTGGCTCGCGCCTGCACCGTTAATCCCGGCGCGGCGTCGGCTCCGGGCGTGAGAGTGGCATCTGTTGCCTCGGCGGGCATGCTCCCGGAAACAAGTTGTGCATCTGCATAACTCGCGGATATATCATGGGAGAGCCTCCCGCTGCCAAGAAGCCTTTTAGGAAGCCGCTACCTATACTTGAATGTCAATCAGACGCCATCGGGCATCTAGAAGAAAGAAGAACCTGCCAGACTCTAATCTCAATCACCATGATCATCCCGGACGACATCTCGAGCCTCAGCAATGTGCGGCTGGCGGTGGCTCTGCCTCTCTTCCTCCTTGGCCTGGTAAGCCCACTCTCGAGAGTTTGTTTCGTTTCCACCGAGGAAGCACTGACACCGTTCACCAGGGAGTTCTCCGAGTCATCTACAGAGCCGTCTACAACATCTACTTCCACCCCCTCAGCGGCTTCCCGGGCCCCAAGCTCAACGCCGTCACCCGTCTGCCCTTCACGCGAATGATATGCGGCGGCAACGCCCACAAGATCCTCTTCGCCCTCCATGAGAAATACGGCCCCATCGTCCGCCTCGCCCCGGACACCATCGACTTCGCCGACCCACGGGCCTTCAAGGATTTGATGGGCCACAGCAAGGGCAGCGGCGGCGGCGAGAACTACAAGGACCCCATCAACGCAAAGTACAAGCCTCACAGCATCATCAACTCGAACCGCGAGGACCACGCCCGCATCCGCCGCGTGCTTGCCCATGGTTTCTCCGCGCAGAGCATGGTTGCGCAGGAGCCCTTGATTCAGAAGCAGGTCGATCTGCTTATCCAGCGTCTGCACGAGAACTGCGAGGGCGGAGACAAGGCCTTGAACATGGTTTCGTGGTATAACTGGACTACTTTTGACATTATTGGCGACTTGGCCTTTGGCGAACCGTTCGGATGCCTCGAGAGCTCCGAGTACCATCCTTGGGTGTCGGTCATCTTCGACAACATCCACGCCGGCCTCTACAGAAACCAGTTCCAGCGATACGCGCTGACACGCCCGTTCGCGAAGTGGCTGATGCCGAAGGACCTGAAGCAGAAGCAGAAGTTCCACAACCAATTGAGCAAGGAGAAGGTCGAAAGACGTATGGCATTGGGAGAGTCTCGGCCCGACTTTGTGCAATCCATGATGATGAAGGAGGGGCCATTGGTAAGTCTGACGACACGCCTCGAGGGGTATACGGTTACTGACTTCAAGATAGGCCATGTCCAAACCCGAGATCGAAGAGACCGCCGACACGCTCATCATCGCCGGCTCCGAGACGACGGCATCGGTGTTGTCTGGCGTCACCTACTTCCTGACGATGCACCCCGAAGCGATGGCCAAATTAGCCGAGGAAGTCCGAACGTCGTTCAGCTCAGAGAAGGAGATCGACATCCTCAGCGTTCAGAAGCTGAAGTACATGCTCGCTGTTCTCGACGAGAGCATGCGCGTCTACCCCGTCGTCCCCTTCGGATTGACCCGAGTCATCAAGCCCGGAGGCGACTACATCTGCGAGCAATACGTTCCTGGCGGAGTAAGTTCGATCTCGTCTAGACGTGAAATAGAGTACTAGCCCAGATCGTCTAGTTGGTTAGGATGATACGTTGTGGTCTTGTTATGCATTTGGTGAAATAGAGTACTAACATGGCACGCAGACACGAGTGATGGTATCGCAGTGGTCCATCTACCGCAACGACAAGTACTTCGCCGAGCCCCTGACCTTTATCCCGGAGCGCTGGCTCGGCGACCCGCGCTTCGAGAACGACGACCGCAGTGCCCTCCAGCCCTTCTCCTTTGGACCTCGTAACTGCATTGGTCGCAAGTATGTACCTCCTGAATTCCTATCCAGCACTCTTGACTGACTGTTGTCGTGATACAGCTTGGCATACTCGGAGATGCGCGTCATCCTCGCAAGGGTCATCTGGAACTTTGACATGAAGGTTGCCGACGACAGCACCAACTGGACGGAGCAGAAGCTGTTCGGCCTCTGGAAGAAGGGCCCTCTGAACGTGCACCTGACACCGAGAAAGACGGAGTAGAGTGTGGAACAAAAGCATGGGTAGAGTGTGGTCATTGAAGCATGGAACATTGTCAAAGAGTGAGACGGGTGCATAGTTTTGAATAATCATCTTAATTCATCAAAGGTTCTGCATTACGTCGGAGTGAGAACGGAATGTCTTTCATGTCGATCAAAGTGCTGTCACCAGGTTGACTTTTCTTGATCGTCGCTCTTTCATCATCGTTGCTTATCCATCGTCCACTACCGGCCATATTCCATCCATCCTCGACGTTCCTCTGCTCTTGCCGTCAACACTGACCCGGCAGTAGCAAATGCCGAAGCCTCCAGGTCTTCCGAACGCGCACCATCCTCCGGCAATGACTCCAGCCACCCGCTCGAGAAGTCGTCTCGGATTTGTACGCCTTTTTTACTGCTTCTGAACCATATCTAGTTTAGTTGCGCTTATTTATATACGTTTGAATACGTGGACCTGGAACCTCATGTTCTCTAGGCTGACGGGATACTCCAGATCCTGTTCCAACCGGTACCACACGCTATCCTCCGAAATAACCTTTTCCCACGCAGGAGCCGGCTCCTCTTCCCTACCTTCACGAACACCATCCGCCGCCGCCCTCTTTTTCGGTTTCGGCATCAGGGTGTAGTCCATGAGCCAACTCATCGGATACTTCTTCTTCTCTTCCCCTTCCTTGGTAGTACCAACAGCCGTCTCGGAGTACGACCCAGGACTATCTACCACCAGTAACAAGCTCCCCTCGGGAGCAGCCTCCGTCACCCTGAGCAGGAAAGAGGTCGTTTGTGACTTGGAGGCCGTGTAAAGCTCGTTCAGGGTGAAGAGGAGCGTGAGCAGCGCGGGATCGGGACCGATGGCCGCGCGAAGGTCTTCTGTGCTGTAGCTCAGCACGTCGGCGCGCGTGAACGTATGGCGGACAGCCCCGGGCGAGAGGAACGAGGCGTTTGATGCGCGAGCCGCGGCGCTGGCGTACTTGGAGAGCGTCGGAGGGGTCTCGAGACACTCATGTAGCTTCGAGAGCACAGAAGACCAGTCCGCGGTGTCGATCAGTTCAAGATGGAGGAGCATTGATGACGGTTCACACTCTGAAAGTGATAAAGCTTGCAGGTCTTTCGAGGCGTCCTCAAGACTTGGAGGTGACCCGGGCCTGCCGGCTGCGACCGACGGCTGCAGATGACGCAAAAGACCCGAGAAAGCCATGATCTCAGCTGCACCGCCCCCGAAACAAACCACTTTGGCCGTCTCCCGCTCATCCTCGCCGCCACCACCAATCAACCGCTGAACGCAAGCGTCCTCAGCCCTCTCCTCACAGATCCAAGCCATGAGCTGCGCGTACGCCAGCGCCCGGCTGGGGCTCCAACGGATCGCATACGCCTCCAGGAATTCCGCCTTCCCAAAGGCCGCGTCAAAGTCCCTCCGGAAAAGCGCGTCCTTGATCTCCTGCAGCGTGGGCTTCAGGGCCTCAAAGTCGTTGCACGCGGGGAAGGCGGCGCGGAAGACGTTGATCATCAGCTGCTCCGCCCCCACCGGGAGGACGTGATCCAGCCTCCGGGGCTCTGCTGAAGCCCCCGGTGCTGCGGACGGGTGCTGGGGCTTCTTCTTCTTGTGGAGGTAGCCGGGTCCGGTCCAGCCCGGGTGATTGCGAGGTAACGGGGCTGGCGCCTTCGATGCACCGCTGTCGGAGGATTTCCCATGTTTCGGCTGCGATTTGGCGTTGCGATCGTATTTACCCATCGTGGACTTTTGGTCGAGGAGAAATTTGCCGAGGTCCAGTGGTGTGTGAACCTTTGGCTGTGATTTCTTGGAGAGCCGAGTCCGCAACAGATGCCTCGCCTTGAAAATTTCCCCAAAACTCCAGGTATCCCACACGACCCAGTGTACGTAGACCGCCTTGATTAGTCAGCGTTCAGAACAACAGTCATCACAATACGCCGCGCGTTCAACATAGTAAGCTACCCTTTGTTCTGTTTATTGTGTTTTTTTTGATTTATTGACGGTTCTGCTTCTAGATAGAAGTGAACCTTTGTTTATGTTACTGATAGCACTTAGACTTAGCTAACCTTCCTTGATCGTCGCCCTTTTGTCTTCGTTCCCGTCCTCTGTGCCTGTCCTCCATTCTGATTTCTAGAGCTCCACGTCCTCCAAACGGGCACCATGTTCCATCAACAACTCCGACCATTCGCTCCAGAAGCTTTCTCGGATTGGCATGTTCGTTTCCTTGCATCTCACCCATATCTGACGCGCCAGGGAAAGCGCGGTCCCATGTCTTCCTACATCGTGGACATCGGCGAAGCCTTTCTCGAGAAGCACCTTCGCAGCCTTTGGCAGGTCGCTGCAAATCATGTCCCCTAGGGTGGACTCGTCCTTGCAGGCCTTTCTTATCGACTTCGCGTAATAGCTCTCGCCCTTGTGGTGTGGAACATTGAGAATCTTGATGCACCACTCCTCCATTTCGTTTCTGACACTTTCCGTCACGTTGTCGCCAAGTGGTGCCTTGCAAGACCATTCGTCTTCCCTGTTGAGCTGGTATCTGGCGGCATTGACCGCCAAATGAAGCGCTGTGAAAGAGCCGGGGCATTTGTCAATGGTCTTCCAGACACCGGACATGCCGACGTGATATGAGCACAGGCCATGGCCAGGGAAGTCAAGCCGGGCGCCATATTTGATGAGGAGGTCGAACGCATGGGAGTTTTTGGACTTGACTGCCATATGGATTGGGAAGGTAACTCCCGGATTCATATCGTCTTTGAACTTGTAGCCTCTTCGATACATCAGCTCCCTCTCTTCCTCATCCACTTCGTTGCTGTGTTTGTAGGATTGAAGCTTGAACTTCACGCCCCGAACCCCAATACACTGGTATACGAAGGAATGTTTGAACCCCGCTGAGTCGTAGTATTCGATTCGAGCTTCCTTCTGGATGCAGTGGAACACCTCAACTGGACTGTAATTGTTCGGGTCCATCTGCCAGCCATGACAGCTATCGAGGTGGAAGTAAGAGCGGTTTGGTTTTGCTCCGGCCTCGAGCGCGCCCTTCATGACGTTGATTTTTCCAAATGTCGTGGCCCAGTATAGCAGGTAGGGGTGAAGCTGATTTGCCTTTTCGTAGAAGATCCCGAGAGTGAGAGCGCGAATGCTGCGGCAGACCTGGGTGAGAGAGCTGAGGTGACTGACGTCATCGGTGTTGAAGGATCGGGCAATGAGGATCACCAACTCTGCTGGGAGATCGTGGAATTGTGCCATGGTTGACGTAGAAATGCCGTTCTGTTGGTCTTTTATGTCGCCCAGATCTTGGTTCTCGTCTTGGTCGCAATCTTCGTCGTGATGATCGGCTTTGTCATGATCATCGTCAGGCACCGTCGTCTGTGCCGTCTTTTGCGGCATCGTCACGGCTGTCTTCTGCGCCGTCTTCTGCCTCGTTCTCAGCTTCTTCGTCACTATCTTCGTCTTGATGATGGTCTTTGTCGTTTTCGTCGTTTTCGTAGTCTTCGTCGTCTTCATCACCCTCGTCGTCTTCGACGTCTTCGTTACCGTCCCCGTCATTTTTGATGTCGGTACTAGTAAATAATTAGTAAAGAAGAAAAAAGCGACAGACGAGGAATTCCCAAATGACTTACCTCGTTCATTCGTTGTTTGCTCGGGGATTGTGGACAGTAGTGGGCATTTTGGGTATGGAGGTATTTGGCGTGGGGAAAAGTTGAGAATTTCAAGGAGGACAAACACAAAGAGTTTGTTGTTGGTGTGAAGGAAGGAGCGAACAACGCCACCTCTCCTTCCCCTTGGAGAATCCCATCAAAAAAAAAAAAAAAAAAAAGTTCGCCCGAATTCTCCAGCCCGCTGAAAACTTTTATTTCATAGTTATCGCGCAATATTACTCATGCACCACAAAACGCTGGACGTATGCAAGACTCGACGGTAGAAATTGCCCATGGTCCAGAGAGAACCCAGATTCTATGTCTAAAGCTTCGACTTGACAGCAACAGTCCGTCGCTCCTCCGCCTTTTTCGTTTCCTTCTTCCACCAGTCGACTCTAGCATTGATGACCTGCGAGAACGCTTCCAGCCACTTCGAATCGAACTTTGGCAATACCCTGCCCGTTGTCCCAGCCCCGGGCTCACCAGCGATCGACCGCAAGGCTTCGAAATACTCTTCAAAGTCGGGCGACAAAGTGAAGAAAGGAATGCCGTCTCCTCGCTTGATCAAACGATCCTGTTCCCATTTCTCCATCTCAGGTCTAGGAGGGAGCTTGCCTCGCCCTGCAAAGACGCGCGCTGCAGCGACCGCTTGCCACTCAAAAACGCGAAAGGTGAATCCTCCCGTTACCTGGGCATGTCAGCTCACGACACTGGTGTGCGAGTGTTTGTCTACGTACCATGCCTACAAATGCCAGAGTCGGGTCGTCGACGTGGAAGACATGCTGATAAAGCCCCGGGATACGCCTGTTCTCGACCTTCAATTTTGGCAGGAATGGGAAGCTGAAGTCGTAACCTGTAGCAAAGAGGACAATGTCGACATCGTCTACTGTCGACTTATCGCTGAAGGTGATTCGACCCGTCTTATGGCAGAAATGCTTGATCTGCGACTTGATGGTGATGTCGGGATGGGTGAACGGTGCCCAGCCAAAAGCAGGAAGTGGCTCGCGGAGGGAGGCTATCACTGGTGTTTGTGCGACTAGACGGATATCATGGAGGGCATCGAAGGCTGAAACCGATCCACCAACAACGACAACTTTCTGTTTTGAATGTTAGAATAGTTCCCGTCGTCATCTTGAGCTAGTTCCTCTCGGGTTAGGAGGTTCTCCAACTTGACTTACCTTTCCCCTAAACTCCTCAGGATTCCGAAAATGCTTGCTGTGTCTCACTCTGCCTGGGAATTTCTCGTCGTATTTCAGCAGACCAGCAATATTCGGGATAAAAGGCAAATAGAAGTGGCCGGAAGAGACGACCACTGCATCGAAGACTTCCTGCCACCAGTAGTCCTTCGACTTCCGCGGCAAAACCTTCCGCAAAGTGAGAACCCACTCGTCGCCCTTCTTCACCACGAGCTCGACCGTCGTGCTAAACTCAATCAACTTCTCATGGCCGCCGCGGGTGAAGATTGCCTCGACCCATTCCCTGACAAGCTCTCGATGTCTAAATGGCGCTCCTGGCCCGTATTGCGCTAGGGTCCGCTCAGAAAGTGTCTCAGGGATGGGCTCCTGCGTGAACGCCATGATCTCGGGCGTAATATTGCTGTGGAGGGCTTCGTGAACGCCCGTGTCTGAGTAGCGCAACTGGTGCGAGTTGATCTTCTCTGTCTTTGGCGTCCATGTTGGGAAACTCTTGGGAATCTCGACGGTGGGATTCGCACGCTGCTCGACGAGGTCGCGGAGGGAGGGGATGCGTGGCGGGAGATCTGGCGCATAGACCCTGCCACAACTAGAGTTAGCTTCAATGAAAGATGTCTCTGAACATAAAATTGGGAGCAGCAATCACTGTTGGGACTTACCAAGTTCCTCCAGTGAGGTCCCGTCTCTCGAAGACGCGAACGGTATCAAACGCCTGCTCCTTGACCAACGCATCTGTTGCGATAGCCCCGGCCGGACCTGCTCCAATGACGGCGACTCTGCGGATTTTCTTGGCCATTTCAATGCTGGTGTTCTAGGAATGACCAGATGCAAAGTTGCCCAAGGGAAACGCGAAGGAAAGGAAACAGTTGACGCGAGATTCACCGCGCAAGCAAAGTCGGTGGCCTCCGAGCTCGGGAGTTATCGCCCGAGAGGCATTGGCTGGGGTCTTGGCTAGCTTCGTGTCGCGACGTACGGATACATGTTGGCGATATCGGGAAGAGAAAGAGGGTTTGTCGGGCATTGTCCGACATGTCGTGATGCCCAGACTGGTTGGCAGATTGCTGGCTTACAAAACACCAAGCGCTGTTGTGGAGAACAGCTGCGATTGCATCACGACCCCTGACGAAGGCGAAAAGCGGGACGGCATCCTTCCATACAACCAAGCCATCCTACATGAACTGGAAATTGATAGAGACTTTCGGGAATAAGGAGCTGTCAATCAACATGTGGAATAAGACATGAAGTTGGATGTCCAGGATAACTTAGTGAATGGTATGCAGTTGAAGCCTAGGCAATTCTGAGAGAAGTCCATGAGGGCTTTTCATGAAAAAGCGCATGTGAGGGACACCCATAGAGAACATGGAATTACTCGAGAGTGCCACACTAATCATCAAAGATTGAATATCTTGAAACTAGAGAACGTATCTGAAATGAAGGTTCTCCTTGTCCGTAAGGTCCTTGAAAGCGAGCCTATCCCTCTCACCCTCATCCAACCCAAGACCATCACGTCTCTTATTTTCCCGCCAGAGGACGAAGTTTAACGTAGCAGCCGACAAAATCGTGACGCAATAACTAAAACTCAAGTTAGATGTTGACTCACCCGGGTCGTTTGCAGAACTCACCAAATAATCAGACCAGTCCAAAGCTCGGGATAATGCTGCGCCTTCGTCTCGCTTCTTACAAGCTGCGGTCCGACAATGTTTCCCACGCAGTACGCGACGAAGACCGCAGAAGCCATGAAACTCTTTTTCGTCTCTCCAGCAACGTTGCTGGCCCCTAGCGTCACCGTCAAACTCACCACGGGCCCGAAGAAGCCGATCAGTGAGTAGCCAACGACGGGGGCTACTGGCTTATGGCCCCATTGTGACTTCCAGATGATGACGAAGCCCGCAATGACTGGTAGTGTGCAAGCAATGAGGGTGATGATGCGGATGTTGCGGTACTTGGAACACAGCCATCCGGTAAGAGGGATGCCGACGGCGCAAATGGCTCCGAGAGGGAATTGGAAGAGAATGCTGTCAAGGGCGGAATAGCCGAATGTTGAGACGATGAGAGGACCAAAGCCAGAAACAGCGCCGTTGACAGTGTATCTGAACAAACGGTTAGTACGTCCTCAAAGAATGATCAGAGAAAATCTTACCCTGATGCCATCGTCAAAGCCACAAGCCAGACCTTGGGATCCAGTAATCCCTCCTTGATCTGACTGCCTTTGATAGTCTGGTTCTTCACACCAGTCTGGCCATGACGAAGACGCTCCACAGCCACCAGTCTCTCATCAGGGTCGAGAAACCAAGCCGTAAGCGGGGAGTTTGGTAGGAAGAAGCACCAGATCCCAAACAAAAACGTCAGACCGCCCGCAAAAACGTAGGTGTACTGCCACGGTGTCAGAGATCCTCCTTTGATTTGAGCAAAGCCATAGTTCAGGGCGCTTCCGATAATCGTAAACCAGCCGGTGCCCGAGAACCACCAGCTCTGTCGAAGAGCTTGCTCTTTTTGTGTGTAGTACCCGCTGACTGTTGTCATGAATGCCGTGGGGATGATGGATTCAGTGAAACCTTTGAGATAGGTCAGCTTTTCGTCGTTTTTTTCAGATAGAGGAAGGACTATGCACTGACCAAGGAAGAAACGTTGAACAAGAAGTCCTTGCCATGAAGTCACTCCGGCTGTGGCAGCACATATAAGGGCCCAGATCATGACAACCGGACCCAGAGTCCAACGCGTGTTGAACCTTTGCAGGAGGTAGGTCATGGGATATGAGCCGATAAGCTGACCGAAGTAGAAGATTGAAGTTGCCCAGCTCAGACGAGTGGTGTCCGTCTTTGGTGGGATCACAGAGGTATCAACAACTGACAGTTGGAGATCTCCTGTCATGCCGAATAGTGCTGCGCTTCCGAGAATTGCCTATCCATTCAGTCAGGTGAGATTCACTCACCCCTCGATCTCATTGAACTTACTTTATCGTAGTATACCAGTCCATATCCTGTATTGAAGATTAGTATCAGACGTAATATATTGGTTTTTGATGACTTCTTACCGATTACCATGGCCGGCATGAGGAAAAGATCAATCTTCCTCACAACTCGAGCCTCGGCTTGGGGATCGATCGCCCACGCCTCTTCACCAATCGCTTCCAAAGTAGGAGTCTCGATAACTCCCACTTTATCATCATCTGGCTGCGATTGGCCGCTCTGACCACCGTTGGCCTTATCTGAAAGTGAGTCCTGGCCTGACATCGTAACCTCGGCGGATATCTCATGAACTTCTCAACAGTAGCCGAGCAGCCCAATGTTAGGCGTAGAGATGACCATGTCTTTAAGTCTGCATATGCGAGACGTCCTACACGTGGCTGATCCCTGCGAGTCCAGGAGTCTGGGCAATTTTGGATGTCACCCCGTTGACCTCCATCAGGACAAGGGCGGATTGCCTCATCAGTCTCCATGTTGATGAAAGGTTCCAGCCCCACATCGCGATCCTGCAACACTCATTTCCATGGAGATAACGCATGGCGAGCCGTCTATACCCAGCCATTGATGGATGCTGTTTGAATCCCGATTTCGGCACCCGTGATGCCCGGTCACCTTGGACCATTGAGTGGCCTCCTCGCACTAGACATTGCAATCTTCCCCTCTCTCTTGCATACATACTGAATTAATAATGGCCGCCAGACAGAGCTTCGTTCAAAGGAAGTCGCAAGTCGGAGGATTTCGCGCAGCCCACGCACATCAGGTCACATCGGTGGCCGCATGTCGCGGAGTTGCGGGGAAACAGAGCATGGTGTGCTATATCAAAGCGAGCCTTCCTGTCACAGGACCTTGCGAGTGGCCGAGATAAAAGGTGCTTCACTATTCTCCCTTTTTATAGTTACTTGCGGAAATGGCTACCACAACTGAGACCATAACTCTGCCGTACGTTCAGGCGCCGGAAACGTCTGCGTCTCTGGACTGGGCAGACCTCGTTTCCTTGGATCTCTCCAAGTTCGACCTCCCAGGCGGTAAACAAGAACTGGCATCGGATCTGGCGAATGCAATTGACAAGATTGGTAAGATTACGTTTTGCGGTTTTAGACTCACGATGTGGGTGATGGCTGAAGCTGACGGTGTCCTCCATCCTAGGATTCTTCTCCGTCGTCAATCATGGCCTGAGCCGAGAAGACATCGACACCCAGTTCGCGTTAGCCTCGTCAGTTCTTGGCCTCTCTGACGCAGACAAGGCACCATACCGAGCGGCCCTCGAAGCTGGAGACTACAACGGATGGAAGCCGGCCGGTACCCGAGAGCTCATCCCCGGTGTCCGTGACAACTTCGAGATCTACAACATTCCGAAGTTCATACCTGAGCACGCTCAACGTCCCCACCCAGATGTCGTCAGAGAGCATTGGAAGACGATCGAGGGATTTTCGAAATACGTACACTACAACATCGTGAGAAAGCTTCTGGTGATCTTCGCACTGGCGCTCGGACTCGAGGATGAGGAGTGGTTTGTGAAGAGACATCGATACGAAAGGAGCAGCGGGGATCACCTGAGGTACATGAAGTACTATGCCAGGAGTGAAGATGAGAACAAGAAGCTTGATGGGGTGTGGTTGAAAGGGTACGTTCCGTTGGATAGAATCATTCGTCACTCGCTGCCGCAACGATACTAACCTTTCGTTGGCATTCAGTCATTCGGACATGGGCAGCTTGACCTTGCTCTTCCGCCAGCCCGTAGCGGCGCTCCAAGTGCTGACCAACGAAGGCACTTGGAAATGGGTGAAACCACAGACCGATGCCTTGACCGTCAACATCGCCGACGCGCTGCAATTCCTCACGAGTAAGTCTCAGCCGCTTCCTATCGGGCCATCCTCTTCTAACATCGCGTAAAGACGGGTACCTCAAATCCAGCATCCACCGAGTCGTCGCACCCCCGAAAGACCAAGCGTACATCAACCGATTAGGCGTGATCTACATGGTCCGGATCGAAGACGACACGGAGCTCGTCCCGATAACCGAGTCTCCCGTCCTGCAGGAGCGCGGGCTGGCGGATGGCGCAGTGCTGGGCAATGACGGGAAGCCAGTAAAGGCCGGCGAATGGGTTCGGGAACGAATAATCAAGAACCTGGGAAGCACGAGCACAGCCGCGGGTGACAATGCCGTCGACGACCTTGAGGTCATCAAGGGAGTCAAGATGAAGTACTTTGACTGAGTTGGGCTTAGTGCTGCCGGAGCTGGGCTAAGCTGGCGTGCGCTAAGGTGACACGTGGAGAGGGCTTATGGCCGTGGGAGCGATGTCAGTGGTCGGGAAGCAAGGGATACCGGCGGAGGCATGTATTTGTTGGAGTAGGGCCGTTGGTTGACGGCCCAGCCCTCAAAATATCTTGCCCTTTATGAGGGGGACCAATGGCTGGTCGCATAATTCGGATTACGACGCCGTTGTTTGGTTACGCCAATCAAGTCCCGCGTTCCTGATGATCTTGGCGGGAGGAAGTGCTGCGTAGCGTAGATCCTCCTCCAACTGTAACATGAGCCCGACGTGTCCATGGTATTTATGCCACGCGTCTAGGGTCATGTGTCCGAGGCATGTTCGGTTTACGTGTCGTTCGGAATCTATACTTAAGAAGAAGAGTGCCTAGCCCGCGGTTCAGATTGACGTTGAAAGCAGCACGATATAACCATCCCGCATCAATCCACTATCCTTCACATCACCCGCACCCGGCGCGAACCACTTGAACGGCCACTGCAGCCCCAACGAACAAGTATTATCCGAGCATCACATCAACCATCCGACCACCACCAACCATGTCGCGTATGTCATTCACTGCCGGGAGCGAAGCATACGGGGGCTGGCCTATGCATCGTGGCCGCTTCCTCGAGTTCGAGTCGGAACCATCAGATTTCAAGGAAGCCAGGAAAGCCGAGATGCGGGCGGAATCGGAGCGCGAACAGCAATTTGAGCCGGCACCAGTCCCTCCGTCCGTTAAGCAGTCGTTCCGATTGAGCTTCCTCGGCAGACTATTCACATTCGACACGGACAAATCGAAGCCATAATCGGGTCGAACATACAAGGACTGTTGGGAGCGATTTCGACGAATAAGGTTCAACCGGCCGGTGGTGAGCTGAACTTCGGGCGGATGTCTACGGGCGGATCGCTACACGTGTCGCGGCGTGCTTCTATTCTGGGTTGATCGGGAATTTGGGATGGCGGTTAGCGACAGGATGCGCCTATGGTATTTACGGAACATTTGTAGATTTGTGATGCTTCGAATGAGAAGATAATGATACCCTTTTTATGCAAGTTGAGCCAATCTTCCCTATGTGACAGGCCATGGGTCGACATGACAGGAAAACTGATCCCTTGATCATTTCAGGTGTGAGTTAGGTGCCACATAATCGACCGCATTTCTCACTGACTCAAAAGGGAGAATCAAAGTTGCGGTAACCAAGCAGTGCCACGTCCTGGAATCCTTCTGACGCGCCAGACGCCAAATGCCTTGATTCAGGAGCGCGCCGATCAGTCAGCCTACGACATGCTGAACACCGAACCCGAGATAAGCGCCTTGGGCGTTCTTATCAAGAGACAGCTGGCAGCATGAAGGACCCTGAACGACGCATGTCCCAGGACAGGGCGGATGGGCTCACTGCCGCGGGCTGTGCTGGCTGCGCCCGATTTGTGTGAGCTGGCCTACGTCATTGGCCGACTCCGGGGCCGATCGGCCCCACTACCGGCTAGTCCGTGGCACCTGGTCCTGGTGATTTGCGGGGGATCCACAATGCGGAACTGCCCCCGGGTATCCACTCGTCCGTTAGCTGCTGCCTACACGGGAAATTAGCTGGCCTCTTCATTATCCCTTTTGAGTTAATATGTTGCAAGCTTCGAGGCAGTGGTGCAAGGCTGAACTAGGCTGAAGTTTCGTGAATTCAGCGATTGGTTTAATCGCAATCTGTGGCACCATGCGGCAATTTTGGTGATCCTGCGTGACGCTAGAAGCATTCTAGAAGGCAGACTTGACAGGGCGGTCCTGCGTCTTTGGCGAAGCTTGTCTTACGCCCAAGGCAGTCACGTCACAGTTGTGATCGTCTCGCTCGGAAGCTGGATGTCTACTTAAGACGGTTGCTCCTTCGAGAGTTTTACGATTCCATTCAGCAACAACCTACAAACATCTAACTCATCAACCTTCATCAACATTACTCTCAATCCCGCCAACCAAACCATAAATACCTACTCGAGATTCATTCCATTCAATCACATAAAACACACACACCCCTCGTACACATCATAACCGGCCACAATGTGTCTCCCATTCTCCTCCAAAAAACACACCTACCAAGAGAAGCCGAATCCCTACGGACCACGACTAGCTATGAACTACGGTCGCGGTTACGGTGCCACAGGAACTAGTCACTGGGGCAGCTCCCGCCCATCTCGCGGATATCGTAGCAGCCGTCATCACTACGGAGCTACACCCGGCTTCGTCTACACCGGCGGCGACGGAGGTGGTGGCGGTGGATTCTTCGGCGGCGGCGGCGATGGTGGAGGCGGAGGAGGAGGTTGCGGTGGAGGTGATGGCGGTGGTGGCGGAGGTGGTGGTGGATGCTAGATGGTCTGCCACGAGACATGGATGGTACTATTACGACTGGCGGAGTTTGGGATAATGCATTGATACCTCATCGTTCGATACCACTTTAGAAACACGGCAATATAATGCTCTTCTTTCCTACATCTCACATTGCAATACCGTTCTGCTGAGTCAAGGTTCTTGCCATGCGATGCGCCTCTTTTACCCATGGGCAGTAGCGGCTAGATCTCTTTGAGAGATGCGCTTAGATAAAGTAGTAGCATCGCCTGCAGTCACTGCGAGATGAATCTTACGTGGCGCAGTCATGTCATAGATATATATTGACCTGTTCCTCCCCAAAGCGATTGTGTATGACTTCCGTGTCTCTCATTTCTACTGTATCAGTTATCATTCCGTGTAACGACTTGGAACTTCACAGTATGCCCATCTTATCCCATGCTAAAGCTAAGTCCATGCTTCTTCATCACCATATTCAACCCACGTGGTCCAAAGGCCCGGGGATCCGGATCCGCCCACAACAGCTCCATGGCCTTGGCCGCTACCCTTACCCCGCCGGGGGCTCGGGTGTTGGAGCTCAGTCCGACTCGGAAGCCCTGAGTAAGTTGAGGTCGTCTGCAGCAGGAAGCCAGCATACATGCGGGCCACAGCATCATCCTGCGAAAGGACCACGCACTCGAGTACACACCCCAGAGAAGTGGTAGCACTCTATCTATGAGCAGATCAATCTCATCGCAAAGCTCCGCGCATTCATGCAGGTTCTCGTGGAACGCTGAGTGAAGGTAAAGGATCAATGCCGTTCGGTAGATGGAGACTGCTGGACCTTGTTGAAACCGCGGGCTCGAGTCTTTCCCTTCGAGAACATCGGAAAACGTGTCCCACGTGTCCAGCTTCGCCACCAAGCTCTTGTACGCCTCGAACGTAGCACTGGTTATGCTGTTGTTCAGCTCTTCCAGGCGTCTTTTCTCGACGAGATCGGCAATTTCCGGGACTAATCCGAAAAGACCATGCCCGAATCCGAGCATGAAACCGCAAGATTTGTACTCTTTCAGGAAGTCCAGAGACCCGAGGAACGGATCCAGCGTAATAGGGTTGTCTTCCATGGCACCGCGTGGCGTGATCGACAACTTAAGTGCCATGAAGGAGTAGATTTCCAATAGAAAGCCTCGGATGTGCCCCAATTTGTCCATGGACGCAGTCTTCCGTGGGGCCTTCATCAATGACAAGATGTAATGCCGGCTGGCCTTGATGTGATGGTACACCGAACCGTGGATGTCTCCTTGGGTATGCTGTACTTCTTAGTGGGGGTAAAACAGACAAGACCGGAGGTATCACTTACTTCAAAAACACACAGGAGAAGTAGAATGAGGAGGACGTACTGCTCCTTTTCTTGCTTGGTATTTCCAAAATAAGACTCGGCCTCATTGGCTAGAACCTTCTGGAGTCCAGCGAGGACGCGCGCATAGTGTCCGCGGGTCAGGACTTCAAGGTCTCGCTTTTTAGAATCTAGAGCAGCCATGTGGGCTCCTCCGATACCCAGGACGCAGTCCATGATCAGACTATCGCCCAGAGCCAACGGCAGAACGTATGTAATGAAGGGATTGCCGTCAGAGCTTGGCCCGCGAGCCAGAATCTCCGCCGTGTTGGATAGATACTGGTCGAACAGCGGGCGGGAGGTCTCCGTCAGATTGGCCAGGTTCCCGTCCGTGAGGGAAGCACGTAGACTGGCAACTTGTTCCTCGGAAATGACGGATGCTGCAAGGTCCATGGCTTCTGCATGTCCCATGGCGGGGAGCTTCTTCTGCGGAGAGGTGGAAATGCCAGATCCCTGTGGAACTTCGCTGGGCCGATCGCCTGATGGTGTCTCGTCTTGTGGCGCATCGTTCTCGACGTTAGGCCAGGAGCATTCACGCCCGCTTTTGGCGCATAACGTGCAGCTTGGCTTGACTTCGTCACATTTTCTCCGGCGTGCTCGGCATGTGAGGCAGCCGTTCCTGGAACGAGGTGTGTTTTTGCGATACTTGGTGGGATAACGCGCAGTTGGAACCGGGGGATTTTGTGTGCCATCCATAGCGGGAGCATCCGTGTTGGGTGGGACTGATGCACCTGACATGATGACACTGTAGATACCGTAATGTGAGGGAATAGTGCGTGTTCAACGGGTTGAAGCTTAAGCCGAAATCTTGATTCTTTTGCCATGAACCATTTCAGTTAAACGTTTCTTCCTGCCCTGAACCCGAACACAGGACACGACTCTTTTTGAAGTTGTCGTGGCAATTGTTCATCAGCAGGTGAGGGGCACAGAATTATCCCAGCTGGTCTTGGCATCTTACAAAGTCCCTGGATTGGCAGTATGCCCAAGTATCCCATCGACAAGTTGGGGTTTTCATGGTCTTTGGTGGAGTACCGCTAAGTTACATTGCTACTTTTGAGGATCATACTCGGTCTGTAATTGGGTCATTCACTTATGCTCCCCCTTGTTCCTTGAGAGCATCCCGGGTGCTGAAAATAAGGCTTCAACAGGGGCTCTAGGTGATTGGCGCTATGCAACATCAAAACTGACAACCGTTGCCGTCTCTTATCTAAACGCTTATCTATCCACACTCACCAGCGCTAACGGGGGCGTGAAGCGTCAGCTCGGAAACATACCAATCAGCAGGTCAGACTACACAGCTCCTAATGTACGTGTACGTGGCGGAGCCTACTTGACACAGCAAGCGATCGCCTGAAAAGACTGAGAAAGTTGATCGATGCCTACCTAGGATTCATGTGCTGGGAAACAGTGCTTGTCCTTACCTAGCCAGATGTTAGCCGCCAAAGTAAGCAACCGAGTCGCTGACACAGGTCAACTCGATGATCATTTGCTTGACGCAGCTTCACTGTCAAATGAAAAATACTTGGAGTTGCTGTATCGACTCGTCTCATACTTCCTGATTTGGCGACATAATTCGGACTTATAGACTGGTATACTTCATCAGACAAACGTCCTAACTTATAAACAGTTGATGCTACGTCGTAAAAATACATAATAAGTTCCCAGCCCTAGTTGAACGAAAACGTTGAAAATTCTGCAAAATATTGCATACATAATGAAGAGTAAAACGTTACTTCTTCACTTCAGCCTCTATGGCTATTCCCTGGCCGCCGCAAATAAGCTCTCAGATACTGGCATGACGTCAATCAACTCGGGTCACGTCTTCTTTCACGCCTGGAAGCTCCCGTTGTTTAGCAGGATCCAGTCGAGCAAACCCGAGTCCCTTGAGCCAAAGTCGAAGTCGAGACCAGTAGCCTCCCCAGCAAGACGAGGAATCATGTTACCATCGGCCAGTTCTGACACTAGACTTTCTCCTACATAAAACCCCTCATTAGCACTGCAGATGGTTCAATCTTGGCAAGCTTGTGTCATTACCTTGGTCAAATGACAGACTATTGCCCAATGCGAACTGCATTCGGTCTGTGAATCCCTGCTTACCATCTCCAGCCATAGATAGCTCGTGCGTCGAGGTCGAGCATTTGAACCTACTGTCGCCGCGGAGGTCGATCTCTATGTCAAATCTTGGGCCGCCAGCTTTGGCAAGAACAATGCTGACAGCTTGCGCGGCTCGTTGTGCTTCGCGAGACCCCTGACTCCTTCGCATCCAGATCGCTCTGCCTGTTCGAAGTGCTCTCATAATCTCTTCCTCCCGCCCGAGAGTGTGCTTTTGATGGACCATGGCGCAAAGAATCATGGTTGCTGTAAGGAAATGGTGGTTCATGAGAGATCCCACGCGCCACTGCATCGCTTGCAGCTGTCCTCCCGGGCTTGTCTCCTCGTCCAGTATCTGCTGTATGTGCAAGGTCTCCAAGGCGGCGTTGGTGCAAGTAGTTCGCGAGTATGCGAACGAATCTTCCTCGGTCGATGGGGACTTCATGAATAAGAACTTTCGATGCAGCATAATCTGACCTCTGGTGAAGATGTGGCGGAGGAAGAGACGAGACATGATGGTTTGCGGCGTGTCAGTGACGCTAGATGCCATTGAGTGCATTTTCAGTGGTGGTGGGATGCTTTGGCCCGCCTCGTTAAGGACCAGATCAGCTTTCATGTAGTCGGTGTATTCGGAATGCTTCAAAGAGGAGGTGAGATCCGCGACAACCCCTAGAGCAATCAGGACACGTCTCCTCGCTATGAGGCCCAGTGAAGTTGTGTTCTCTGTCTCCGGCCGAGATGGTGGCAAACTGGATGTTTCTCCATCGATGTCCGAATCGTTGAGATTACGGGGCTCGACCGTATCAAATTGGTCGCTCGTGATCATGAGAGGCATCCCCATCTGACCGGATATGAGACTATCGCCGAGGAGAATCGTCGCCCACATTCGTCGTCTCATCTCTCCATCTAGTGGAGTAATGCTCGGAAAATGTTTAGGGTCTCGATGATATCCCATACGTTTGGCCAAATTGACTTCTATGCCATGCAGAAACCAGACATCTTTTTCAGCATCATCGTGGATCCGGAACTCGATGTAGACGTAATTCATGAAGGTTTCTAATGAGTGTCGGCCACCATGGGTATACTCACCCATCATCAGACATTGGACAACCTTTTCTCTGTAGAGTTCGATCTGCAGACATTGCTGCTCTGTATATGTCATGTTGGGTGATTCTGTCGACTCTGAGGCAATCAGCGCCAGGCATATCATGCTGAATAGCAGACCAATCCACATGATGGGCGGACCGGACGGATTCTCCCAGAACGACTCGTACTGGTCTAGTCAATTCAAGCTTCTTAGGCAACGATGACGCGGGAATAGGTACTGACCTCGCGCAGAAATGTCGGGCCATGAACAGACGCTATCCCAAAGACCTGCGGGTCAGCAACATTTCCGGTTATATCAGCAGAACCACTCACACGATGCCACTAAATCAAGTTGATTGAAGTACCGTGAGATGTAGCGGTCGACTGTACTCTTTGGCGGTAAGGCAGAAAGAATCTCATTGCGTGAGCTGGCATGCTTGCAGCCATATAGAAGCAATGCGCGGCCAAAGCGATGCTTCTGGTTTCCCAGATCCCCATCCCCATTCACAACCGTCTCTGCTGAAGCATCAGGGGTTTCGGTGAATTGCTCTTCTCGATCAAAATGGTCCCTTAGATCAGCAATACTGTCTAAAATGGCAGCCCAGTGTTCGCCGCCGACGTATTGATGATCTGAAGCGCTGATTCGCATGCTACCAGTCTCCGACTCGTCGTCTGCCGGAGTGCTAATTTTTGGCGTCATGGTGGGGCCCGTTACTGATGGTGGGTTTTGAAATGACTGATCTTGTGATTCGAGGGTTCTGACTAGACTTTCCAGGTGCGCGAGGCGATCATTCAATGTTGCTTCATCTGCCAAGGACTTTGACGACAGCCCTGATAATTGATTTTCTGCGTACACGCAGCGATGGCCACGCGCAGAGCAATTCGAACAAGGCTTCTGTCTATCGCATCGTATTCTGATGCTGCCTTTTAGTACATGGATACAGAGATGTGGGAATGAGCTTTTACTTGCGGCGCCGGCAGAGGTTGCACGAGAGTTGTGGCTTATCTCGTCGTCGACTTGAGGGCGGCCTAGGGCGAGGCGCCGCTTCTTCGTCGTGATCCGGCATCGAGCTTGTTTCGAATGGGACGATTGGCCGCGTCATATCTGAGCTTCCGAATGGATGTTATTTGAAGAAATTCTTGTGAAATGGTGGAAACACGTGTGTTTTGAGCCTCGTTTGAGAACTTGCATTTAGTATTTCTACTTAGAATTTGGGTGCTGTCTTTAATATTAAAGAGAGGATGGTAAGCACTAAACCTCAACTGGAACGGGTTTAAACCCGATGCTCCGGCCGACCGTCCGACACGGCCCCACAGAAGCCGACCTGACCATGTCCAGTCCCGTTCTTGTCCGGGTGAGCATTCGCCTGCGCCAGGTTTGCATTCTTGTCGCCGTCAGCCACATCCACTTTCTGCTAAGACAGCCTCCTGTCATTCTTTCACTATGTTATGTGCTAAAGTGCTTTGATCTGGATTATAACAAGGGATCGGCGGCATTGGGCATTGGCTTTGTGCGTCCTTAGTCTGATAAATCCCTGACCAGAACTTTTGCTGGCCTGGGCGCATATTTCCCCACCTCGATTCCTTCTCAAACAAGTAATTGACTTTGAACTGCCAGCATGAAAGTCATAGTCATTGAACTTGGCTGTCCATCTGTGGACGCTAGGAAGATGAATGGCTAGACGACACTGCGGGGCACAGCAGACATCAGGCAAGTCAGATCTCCAAGTCATCAGAATTGCCTAAAGAGGAAATATTCCTTTTAGCACCGCTTCACTGCTACTCCACGATATGAATTCAACACTGATGATCACGTTGCATAGATGAGACGGAACGCACTCGGTTGCCTAATTACAGCCCTCAACACCAGCGCAATGCCACGTCTGAGAAGTGGTGAGACGGCACAAGAGGGGACACCGCATAATCACGCTGCCCGAGGTGTCGACAACACATATCTTATTTAGGATGAGAGAAAGAGTACGATGAAAAAATTGGTCAAGAAATAGTATAAAGCCAAGTGCTTTCTCCTCGAGAACGGTTCTGTTTGCTTCCTCCATCAACAACAGCTCCTCCCCTTTCCAACTTAGCAGCATAAAGCCAAACACTACCACCTCGGATATCCGATATGTACTTCTCCTCGCTTCTCCTGGGCCTCGCGGCCACTGCGTCAGCCATCGACCTCAGGGCCCACCCCAACGACGGCTGCACCGGGAGCTATTCAGCCTGCGTGAATCTCAACCCCAACGTCTGCTGCTCCTTCAGCAGCTCTTCAACCAGCGGCAAGGCGACCATTGCTGTAGTTGCCGTGCGTAAAACCCCTTTTGCTTGTGAAACTCTCAGAACCAATGGATTGAGCATAGATCCCGAGCAACTGGCGCATTCGCGCTGAGTCTTGGACCGGCGGCGGGTGCCGATTCACCGGAGGGTCTCTCGACTCTGGCGGTAGCACGACCATCTGCTTGCCGTACTCGACGCGCGGCGATCGCACGGGAGGTTCTTACTTCTTCCTCAGCCGCAAGCGCGCCAACGACGAGTCATGCCCCGCCGAGCAGCCCGGTGCCGGAAAATGCGAAGCCGTCGTTAAGCCCAACGTTGTCGGCCTCGCGGACGGCACCGAGTACGGCATCGCCGGCCTGACGGATGAGAAGATTCAGGAGTTGGTGAGTTCTGACCGCAGCTCTGGAAAAGAGATTATGACGTGCATGGTGCCTAGACTAGATGCTGACTTGCTTGCCCCGCTTGAAGGAGAATATTGCCAACACCGGTGCCGGTGCCGACGCCGTGCCCGCCGAGTTCCAGATCCTGCGCCGCTAGACCGAGGCCTGATGCTTCACAAGAGCTCCTTAATAACAGTAGTTATCAGGACAGGAACCTGGGATCAAGCAAGGAAATATGGGAAGGACAGCAGCGGCGTTCTGCCGTGCGCGCTTCTGACAACGTTGGTATCCAGACATTGTATAGTTAGCAACTACATAGCTAGCCATCGCGCATCAAGACAACTCAACATTTGGCTGGAACCAGTGGTTGTTGGCAACGTTGATGTTACAAAAGACTGGATACTGCCTTTATTGAACTATGGGCCATCAGTAAGGTCGCTAGCAACATAATGTTTGTGGAACAGGTGTGGTCATACTGTTTTGAGTATTTTGCTGGTTTTGCAGTTAACTTGTATAAGCGATTGGCGTCCATCCAGTCCCTTATAGGGAAATCTAGCCTGAATATGGGATTGACTGACGACGGACTGTCCACCTTTGGTTTCACTTAAGTGAGTGTATCCCTAGTTCTGTGAGTAAGGTGCGCCCAGAATGCAACATTCTCCCCAATGAATGATCCGCCATGGTCCAATACTGCCCTACAGATGCGGACAAGACCGACGACTCATATCATATCCCTTCCCTGTAGGTCGAGAGCCTTAGTATGAGTACTTTCAAACCAACCTACGACTGAGCAAGTGCAACAGGTCATTCACTCACATGTTGGAATTGGCATTAGGTAAAGTGTGATTTCTTTGCCTCTTATTACTAGATTACCCCCGCCTCTTGTTACATTGAAGCATATATGTGAAGGGAGATCTTTACATGTAGTCACCGGATTATAAGTCATGCCGAAATGTTCACGTGAGTCATCATTTCAATCTGAAAGATATGAATCGATATCATTCGCTCCTGGGGGTAGCATTCATGCACACTGACATAAGCCTCATGCTGACACGCTGTCGGTAACATCAATATCTGACATCACCCAGCTTGAACATCCCCAGCCTGACCCATCGTCTGCCATAACTCTCAACTCCGCAAAGTTCGCCTCTGGCAAAGATGTCAGAAATTGCACGAGTTGGTCTTTCTCAGTCGTATTCCAGTCTGTGGACTTGGCTGCCTCTGCATTTCGAGCGTTCTATACAGGTGAGACCGACCGAAGCCCGCACGCACACTACTTATGAGGCGTACGTTTTTCTAAGTACTGATGTGTAAGAGTCTTTTGTTTCAGGGACTTCTGAGGATTCAACGCCGCAAACGGAAGAAAATGGAAGTCAAAGCTTTCTCAGATCAATACCGACGTCATCTTCGTCATCGCGAATACCCCAGCCCTCCCCAACATGAATACATGTCCTATGCTGGTCCTCCCCGAGGTGGCCCCCGAAGCCATTTTATCCCTTCCGATGATTCTATTTACAGCCAATATTCCTCTCATTCTTCCCGATACCTTTCCAATTCTCACCATCATAACTCCATGTCTCGTTCTCCTCGGTATTCTAGGCCCAAAAGACATGATCCTTCTAGACTCCGACAACATCTTTCTTATCCTCCCAGGCGTGTGGAGAGGCCAGTGTTGGTTCCTCCTGTGGCAACTGCTATTCATACGGGTTCATGCACGCCGACGCTATTGCCGGGGTATGGACGTCGTGCAAACGCGTCCGAGGTGTTATCAGATCTAAAAAAGGACAAACTATTCTCGCACTTCTTCGAAGACGGACAGCAAGGTTTGTGCAAGCTATTCTTTTACTTATTCAATGACTCAAGGGACAAAACAGCAATTGACACTACTATGCTTAGAACACTTCAGCAAGGTTTACGACACACAAACTTCCCTCTACGAGCGAGGCCATCCCATTGCAGCCGCCATCTTTGTGGCAAGGACATGGCTCGATGAATGCTGGACGAAACACAAAGACTGCTGGCGGCTACCTCGTAGCATCCGATACGAATATCCACGACGTCTCGTTGACTTAGGCCCACTATGTCATTCAGATCAACTTACTCTTGAACAAGTGGAATGCCCAAGAAAAATCATGTTGGTTGACGCAAGGCATCTTTACAGTGCCCAATATCTCGCCGTCAGTTATCGGTGGCCGAGCCAGCCTCAAGAGCATCAGCAGCTTCATCCAGCCACCGAAGACCGGTTCTTAGACGGATTTGCGACCAAAGACCTTCCGCATACGTTCTGCGACGCGTTCAGAGTGGCAAGAATGTTGGGCCTTCGATATGTCTGGATCGATGCACTGGTACGTCACTAATACTTGTGATGCCAATTTCATTCTAGCCTTCAGGCCACTAACACATTGCGTATCAGTGTATAATGCAGGGAAGAGAGGGCGACTGGCATTCAGAAGCTTCGAAAATGGCGTCTGTTTATGGCAACGCTACATTGACGCTAGCTTTTGGCGATGGACCTGGAAAGAGATCCAGGCGTTATTGGCAGCAGCCGCGTCAACAGGTACAAAAGGGTCAACGAGCGCCAACAAAGCCTCATGAATTTGACGTTCGCAGCGCAGATGGATGGCAGAATTGCACTCTTGCAGAAGCCTCCAAAACTGCATCTCGACCGTTTCTCACAGGGGAGCCAATTACTGAACTGGACAACCAAACTCCCGAGTCCGTCTACCGTTGGTTGGAGTCTACTGGAAATTGTCCATATAGGCCCAGCAGTGAGCTCGATCAACGGGGCTGGACTTTCCAAGAAAGACTACTATCAAAAAGAGTCTTGACTCTCACGACGGAAGGGCTTTTTTGGGATTGTTGCCTTTCTAGCGCGACTGACACAAGACCGACTGGCCTACGCGGCGACTTTTCACCAGGTCTTCGAATCTCAGATGAGAAAAAGGTCAGGAAACAGCTACTGGCTAGAAATTCCGAAATCTCACCAGACCTTCGGCAGAATGCTTATCTCACCTGGAGAAAGATTCTCACGGACTACACACGCAGGCAATTCTCATTCCCTACGGACCGACTCATAGCCATTGAGGGCGTGGTGCAATGCCTGCAAGCTGTCTTGAAAGAACAATGCGTCCTGGGACTGTGGGAAGGAGACGTTGCCCGCTCACTCATATGGTTCTGTGACGAGCCCCCGAATCACACCATCAAGACAGCGGGTGTTGACGCTGTTGTTGCCCCTTCGTGGTCTTGGGCCTCCGTCACGGCTCCGATCCATTACAAGCTGTGGCATCCTCTAGAGCATTTCGCAAACCGCAGCAAAGAGGACATACACCCATACATAAGTTTGGAGTCCGTTCGGGCCCGACCAATCAGTTCCGAGTCGTTTTCCGCATTTTCCGGACATATCATTCTGAAGGGTCCGCTTGCTCACGTTCGCTGGGATCATCTCTCGCATGAAGGGTGCAAGCTGTTTCTGGACTCTCGCCCGGCGCGAGAAATGCCGAATGTAGCAGCTCATTGGGCATTTAATCCGTCGGAGATTGACTCAAGCATTCACGTGTTGCCGATCTTTCGAGAGGGCGTCTCGAGGATTCACCAGGCTGTCTATTGTTTAATGTTGGCCTATGTGGGTTGTGCCGCCGACAGTCCGCCGGAAGCCCCGCCACGGTATCCGGCTATCCAGGAGCTATGGCATCGCCGGCCGGCTATCCAGGAGGCAACAGTCAAAATCCAGGCTTTCCGGCGAGTTGGGATTTTGATCATCGATTCGTCGTCCAGACCATTATGCGTAAACGACCCGAAGCTTTGTGAAGATGAGAGGTGTCATTTCGACTCTCCACATCCAGATGAGCTTTTCGACAACCCATCTACTATCTTTCGTATTGATGCTGGACAACATCCTCAATCCTCAACTCAGCCCTCCGCTGAGATGCCGCTGGCTCTCCATATGAGCAGCGTGGATTCTGGCTCGAATAACTCGCGATCATCCCTTCCAGCGTTTGATGCATTTTCCGGTTTATCATGGCTTCCAAGCCATGAGAATGTGAGGACTCGTGGCGACAACGACGCTCTTGCACCTCAGGGATCCCGCACATCCGACTCACCAGTGCCTTCGGATAGCCTCAACTCGAGGCCTCTTCACCCTCACAATCCTATCAATTTTATCGAGTCGCATGAGAAGAAGAAAAAGTGTCAAGGAAAGGTGCAGAGGATCATAATCATTTGACCAGATGATCAAATTTTCGCGGAACCATCCGTAGGAAATGCAACAATGTAGCTGTCTACAAGTCAAACATACATTAATGAGACAAGAAGATCGTTCCCCAAATCCGATATTTCCAGACAGTAGTTTCCTCTTCTAGAGGTAACCAAGTTCCTGCAATGCCTCTTCCTCCAGCTCAGCGTCATCAATCTCCGTATACACCAAGTCAAAGTCATCCGCTCGTGTGAAACCCTCCTGCGCAGTCTCGCCTCGGTGATACCCCTCGCGCTCCAACCACTTCATCTGGACGCGATTGCCCACATGAAACGCCTGCATCTGCTTCTGACCAATGTCCGCAAGAGTAACAGCCTTGATCAACTTCTCCTGGCTAGTCGCGTTATCGAGATCCGGGTTGACATACAGCAGGTGATGCGTGACTTCCTTGTACAGATCGTACCAGCTCCCGATTCGGTTCCGCTGTCCCAGCAAAAGGTCTTTCATGACAGTCTCGTAAGCGAAGGGAAAGAAACCTGCAGAATCGAAGTTGGTGATGGCGATGAGCTCGTATCCTGGACCGTGGTCGGTTTGCGTGGGCCGGATGATGATGTTTCGGGGTTCGACGTCGTTGTGGCACAGCGCGCAGGCGTCTAGGAGGTAGGCGAGGTTCTCGGGCGTGAACTGGATCTCGTAGCGCGAGGGTACCCTGCTCTCTCCAAAAGTCCCTGAGAAAACGACTGAGCCGTCGTCCGTGGTGGAGATGCTGTACTTGGCCTGACCGGGTGCGAGCTTGCTCATCAGGAACGACGCCATGTCCTTGAACCAGCCTACCTGAGAGTTTCCCACCATCGGGATGTCATCCACACCCTCTGAATGAAGCGGATGCTCTGCCAGGATGTCCCAGTCTTCTTTCTCTAGGTCATCGACAGAGATCTCCTGGAGATCTGCAATGACTGTGGCGACATCCTCCATGAGGGATTTCTGAACAGGGTAATTCATCTCCTCCCAGATAGCCTCCACACAGACAGCGCCTTCCCAGTACTGACTGAGGAGGTAGTGAAGTTCGACTCCCTCGTCCGTCATCGTCGTTCCCACGCCCCAGACCTTGGGCACAACGGATGGCATTTTGCGATGGGCAATTCTCTGGAAAGCTGCCGAGCAGAACAGCTGATTGTTGGGGCGAGGTTTTTCGAGTCGGGCCAGGAGGTGGGTCGGGACTCCTGTGGGTGACTGTTCTTCCTCGGCGAGGTCCACGACGAATTCGCAACAATCGATGGTGCTGTGTGTAATCTCATACCTGGGGTAGTTGGAGAGGTTGAAGCCGCCGAACATCCCTGCGAGGACTGTGTGGTCTGGGACGAGGTCCTTTTCTGCATTTGTTACACCTTCGTCCATGGAACCTATAGATGCAGCACTCGACTCACTCGCGTCAGAAATATCGAGACTGATCAGAGGCTGTATGATGTTCTCCTCGTTGTGATCCATGATTCCTCTCAAAACAGAGAAGGGTCTTTGGAAGCTGAATTTGGCAAACTGCCGAGAGACTTCGGCGCGTTCTTTGGGGGTGGTGCCATGGTAGTTGAACATCTTTTCAGATATGTGATGATCTGTTGAGTTGAGATCGCGAAAAGTGTGATTTGGTGGTAAGAACGGACTGGACTTACTAGACTTGAGTGTATGTGTTGGTTTCTGGTGCGAGGCTGTGTGTTTGAGGACTTGATAGGATAGGATTTGTGAGAGTGAGACCGCTTGGTATTTGTAGAATCGAGTTCGCATGTTATCCCAGCATGATGTTCCTTGTCTCATATCTGTCATTGTTGTTCTAGGAAGAACAACACTTGACAACTACCTGGGACACAATGACTTTCTGCAACGGGATCCTTCGAGCAGCGACATGCCCTTTGTTGGTCAACGACAATGCTTCTAGAACTACCAATCATCACACACTTTTGCGAGAGTATTTGGAACATTCAAGGTGTTTCTACTGAAAGAATGGGCTCCATTGTAATGTTATCGCGTCTGTGTGACACTGGATGGCATCAGAGATGGAAGCGGGATAACCAAATGGTAGGTCTGGTCGAGCATAGTTATTGCTCTGCCTGAAATCATTTACATAATAAAACCAAGAGAATTATAAGCGCAATTCATTGCAGCTTATAGTAGGTGCGACGAGTAGAAGCAATAGAATCAGGTAGTTATTGAAGTGAAATTCCCTCGAATGGATGTTGCACCAAGCCCTCGGTTCTGACTTCAGGTACTCGAGCCAGACTCAGGGTCATTGGATAAAACCAAAGACCTTCAGAATGATACTCATAAATCCCGAATAGTCTGGATTTCATAGGCTGAGCAGCAGACCATGACACATAATACTCATTGCGCTTCCGTTACTTCACCGAGCCGAAGTCTCGGTGAACCCCATGGTCAAGCTTGACCGAGGGCCCCACCAATTAGATCCCCACCCCGCAATCCACACCATCCAAGTTCCGTTCCTCACCTCAATCCAGCTCTCATTCATCCTCTCAACACCTCTCATCACATCACCATCGCCCAGCATGGACACCTCACGAGACTCCTCAAATCTCCTCGACACCCACAACCGCCTCATCGCAGACGTCCTGTCGCGATTCCGCATGCTGACGATGCTCGCGACCATCCAAGCCGAAGGCGAGCGCAAGAACGCCGAGCCGCAGACCGTCGCGGTAACGGGCATGTCGATGCAGATGGAATTCGAGGGACTGGTAGGCGCCACCCTTCTGCCTTCTTCCCCTCTCATCATCTCACTTTCATGATGATGTTTTGGAAGAATTGACGCGCCACCTGAACGGTGCTAACCTTCTCCATAGCACACCTCAATCAAGGACCTCCTAGCCCTCAGCCGTCGCCTCAAGGAGCTCTGGCTCTTCGGCAAGCTGGGCCAAGGCGAGGGCGACGCGCGCATCCAGGCGGACAAGCTCCAGGCCGACGTCGTGCGATGCGCCGAGCTCCTCAATGCCATCCAGGAGAAGCGGTACAGCGGGCTGGCGACCGCGGCCGGGGGGCAGTGGGCGCTGATCGGGAGGCAAGACGCTGCTGCCGCGGGGGCTGGGGAGGGAGGAGCGCAGGCTGCCAATGGCGCTGGAGCGCAATGAATATGGATGGAAAGGCTACGGAATGCATTCACTGGCGTTTGGACGGATTGATGCGATGGGTTCGCTTTAGATGACGGTGATACCCGTATTCGAGGACGGAAAAAAGAACTTTCATGCTTTTTTACATAACGCGTGGGTATTCTCATCTACACGATTGTCATGTCTACTTGGTACCCGGCTCCGATCAAACGGGACTTAACCCTCACCACCCTCGGGGTCCTCGTCCTCGTCATCCAACTCGTTCTCGAGCGTCTTCGCCTCTCCCTTCGCTAGGCGGATCGATCCGGCCTCGATACCGCCGGCGGTGAGCCACAGGAAGTAGTCGGACTTGAAGTTGTCTACCTGCTGGAAGAAGATGTGGAAACTACCGTGAACAGTCAGTACAATCGACTCGCGTTGAAGGGGTCTGGTAAACTCACGCATTCTCCTCCTCCTCGACCTCAAAGATGCGCTGGTAGATCTGCTTGTCCTTGAAAGCCTGCAGCTTGTCGTCGTACTTGGCGAAGTCAATCGTCTCCTTGCCAAAGTTGTCCTGCGCCCTCTTGTTGTACGAGTCGAAGACGGGCCTCTCAAGTAGCAGACCCAGACCGGGAGCCTTGGGGATGGCGATCCTCTCGGGGCCGTAGCTCTGCTTGATGCGCTCAAGCGGCGTCGCGCAGCGCACGACGAGCGCGGCCATGCCGACCATCTTGCGGATCTGGTGCATCATGAAGCTCTGGCCGTGGACCTTGAGAGAGACCCACTCCGTGTCGCGGATCTGGATCGGGTCCATGTTGACCTTGAACGACTTGATGTGGCGCTTGGCAGAGGGGTCCTTGTAGCTCTTCTGCACGGTGTAGTTGTGGAAGTTGATGGTGCCGCAGTACTGGGTCAGCGCGGCCTGAAGCTGGTTCAGGCGCTCCGGGGTGACGCGATATCGCCTCTTGGCAGCGACGAAGGCTGCCTTGATGTCGCGGAGAGCGAAGTCGACGGGGGTCAGGTCGCGGTTTCTCGGCTTGACACTACCGGCCGGAACTTCGGCCGCAGTTGTCGTCTGCTCGGCGGGTGCCGCCTCCGTTGTCTCGGTAGCGGGCGCGGCAGCACGCTTCTCCTGTGTTTCTTCGGGCGTGGCGTCAACATCCGAGTGTATTCTCTCCAGGACCTTAGCCTTCGTTTCGGGGTCGAGCTTCGCCAGAATTGGCTTGATGTCTTCCTCGTCGACCTTCCTCCAGTAGTCTTGGACGTCTGCCAGCTTCGCCTGGAATTCTTCGTAGTACCCATTCTCCTTGGCCTTCTCCACCAATTGCTTCCACAACCAGCTGTCGGGGTGGGGAGGAAGGAGGCAGTAGGTCGGCATCAGGTACTCGTACCATCTCGAATCGCAGGTTTGGTAGCAGCTGAAGGAGTTGTTCGTTCGCTGAATACCCCATACACGGATCTGGTCGGGGAGCGCGGCGTTGATCTTCTCCACGATGTCCTCATCCTCGATGATGAGCTTCAAACTGATGACGTTGCCTGCGGCGTGGACACCCTTGTCTGTTCTCGCGCAGCGCACGAGACTCGACTTCTTGTGATCGTCGGCATTGGCTTTGGAGATGGCACCCGCGGCGACGAAAGCCTTGAACAGGTCTCCCTCGATCGTCTTCTCTTCGTGGTTGATCTGCATGCCCTTGTATCCGGTTCCGGAGTATCCCACCATGACGGCGACCTTGCGCTTCGGGCGACGGCCCTCGGCAGCGATCTCGTCGGCGGTAAAGGGCTTTGCAACTGCCTCGCCATCTTCAGCTACCTTGCGGCGCTTGAACTCCTGGTACTCGGTGTTGCGTCCGCGCTTGTCGGTTGCTTCGCGACTAACATCCGTTGGTTGGTTAGAAACTCTTCGACGTCGGAGAGCATGACAAAAACAACCAATTGGTAGTGTAGACGACGAAGTAGTGCTTACCTCCACGCCGAGCGGCCGACGTCGTGCTTACGCTTCGGATGTCTCTTGCCCTGGTTGCGCCCGCCGCGCTGGCGGTCGTTCTGCTTTCCGTTGGGTGCAGCAGAGTCGGACTGCGCAGCTGATGAAGCTCCCGCTTCGTTGGAGACGGGAAGGTCTGCAGGCTGCCTCGCGGGAGGAGCTGCGGCGCTGTCGGCCGGGTTTGGGGGAGTATCTGTCGCCATTGTCGAATGGCGGATGCTCTCATGGTCTGAAATGCAGGTGGAGTGTTGCGCGCCGAGCTGCCAAAGACTTCTGGTCAAGAAATTTTCCTGCGACCTGCGCGGCTGCGGGACGCGGGGCGGCTATGTGGGTCCATCGGCTCAACACCGGTTGGTTGAGATGAAGCTTGGTTGGCGCGTTTCCGCATTAGGTCTAGGGCCGCATAAAGTGTGCATCCTGTGCATAAGACTCTATCCATCATATTATGCATCTTTATTTATGAATCCGAAGCCCTAGGTCAACATGAAAGTGGCATGCTCTCTGGTCAACAACTCTCAGCAGTAGATATACATAACATCTTATATCCATAGGTCGGGATGTGTTGTCAGGGAGTTTGGTCTATCCAGCTCATTCGATGTGGAGAGCGTGGATAGCCATGCGATACCGATAGCTACATCGGCTACTCTCATCTTTGGTGGAATCTCTCGGACAGAGATGAATGCGATTGGCTCGCATTCGAGATCCGGCGACGGCTCATGAAATGGGCCTTCGGTCTCGGGTGTTTGGCAATTCGATCAGGGTATTTCATCAGAGATGTCCCTCCAAATCCGCGGGTTTTCTGTGGTCATTCTTCTCGGGGCGAATGAGGTTTCAATTTCTCCGGTTGATGACCTCCGGAACCTTTCGAAATACGTCTCAATCATACTCTCAAGTTGATCCGAGACCACCCACCACAGACAAATCAGCGACATATTTCCTCGGGACCCTGGTCTAGTCTCAGTGACATGAGAAAACACAGAAAATCCCGACTGGGATGCAAGGAGTGCAAAGAAAAGAAGGTCAAATGCGACGAAACCCGACCGTCCTGCATCAAGTGCAGGACGGCTGGAAGATCATGTTCCTATCTTGAGATGCGAAGCAATCTACCGAACCCGCCGATTACATCACAAGCGTCCACAACGACTTCTCCGGGGTCTTATTTGACCGTCGACTCAAGCAACTATTCGCATTCACCCAATCCGCCCACACCACTGCCGGACTCTACCGCCTCAACATCTTCGTTCGTCCCACCCGTTCGGTCCGACGCCGTCTTCAACGAATGCTACAGCTTGTTCCACCTCGATCTGCTCCACCATTTCCAAGGACCCCTCACAAACGTCACAGTATCTATCCAGTCGGAGTTAGCGCGTATCTTGCGTGTGACATACACCGAAGCTCTGAGAGCTCCATACCTCATGGATGAAGTACTGGCTTTCGCGTCAGCCCACAAAAGCACTGTGGCCCAGGATTCCGATTCTAAGGCCCTCTACCAGAATGAGTCGACTCGGCTCCAAACACGAGCCATAAGCCAACTGAGCCTCACGAACGAAGACGTCAACGAGGACAACTTCTTACCTCTGTTTGCCTTTTCCCTCCTGCTTGGCCAACATGTATTGTTCGACGTATTCTCGAACCCGACCTCGTTGACCAGCGTGATCGACCGATTCGTGCAGTTTCTAGGACTGCACCATGGGATCAGCATGATCACAAGCCAGTCTATCGACAGGTTCACTGGTCTTTTGCAAGATCTCGTACCTACGGACCCCGTTCATTTCCAAGTCAAGGTCGCGAGCCTGGGTCGGGGAACTGAGTGCCAAGGCCTTCTTCAGCGATTATCCGAGAGTGACCTGTCCGAGTCAACCAAGTCCGTTTACGCAGATGCGGTCAAGATATTACAGTATCTCTTTGATACCTTGGAATCATCTGATAGTCGGCGCTACGTGGCGGTCCAGGAATGGCCGGTTCGGATATCTCAAGACTACATATCTCTGCTTCAGCAAAGACGTCCGGAGGCGCTCGTCATCATGGGCTACTACGCAGTGTTGTTACACAGAGCGAAGGATTACTGGCCCGTTGGCGACTCGGGAAGATTTCTTATAAAGGTCATCTCAAATCATCTTGGGAGCTACTGGTCTGACTTGTTGGAGTGGCCGAACCAAGAGCTTGGACTTGACGAGACGTGATGTCATGATGTAGATAAAAGTTCTATTGAGCTAAAACACAGGAAAGAAAATCACGGAAAGAAATCTATACGAAGTGAAACATGAGGTATGGTTAAACCATGGATGATAGTGCGTCTTAAAGATAGAAATGTTGCGCATCATACTTGAAAAGGCGACGGATCAGCTCACAATTCAAAGTGCTTTGGCTTGGTGATGTTCTCACCAACAACGCCAGACTTGGAGCATGACCAACACTCAGCCAACGATGGATCGCCACAGGAAGCAACAAACTCAGCCTTCTGCGGGTAAGCACACAGAATGCGGTTATGAGTCTCATTCGCGGCAACATTGAGCTTGATCGGGGTCTGCTCGGGTGCCGTGCCGTTCTCGACCCAATCACGGAGTTGCTCGAAGAGGCTCGTTGGCGTGTCGCTCTTACCGCCGAAGCAGTGGCCGAGAGCAGGCGCTTCGAAGTAGCGGTAGAAGTCCTGGATATCCGGAGTGATGTCCGCCACCGCGTTGTAGTACTCTTCCGTTGCACCCACGGGGATGATGTTGTCGGCCTAATTCCGAGATCAGCTTCAAATTTGAATCTTCTCATAAATACAACAAGACTTACCAGTCCATGGAAAGTAACCATCTTTCCTCCGGCGTCCCGGAACTTTGTCAAGTCCGGGTCCGCGCTTTCGACCAGAGAGTTGTACTGTTGAGCACCGGAATACACAAGCGCGTCGAACTCAGCACGGGTGAGATTTCCCACATTGAAGTTGGGATCCTTAGCAATGAACAGCTGAAGCCAGGGAACTCCAAGCTGGTTAGGCAGACCCACGCAACCCGTCTCGTTGCACTTCGTCGTGACGATGCCCACGCCATAAGAACTGTCTCCTGTGAGATCCGATCCCGGGGTAATGCCATGGTAGAACTGCTGTCCGTTGGCGTTGCTTCTGCCATGCCACGTCTCATTGACCACGATGGCCGCCGTCTTGCTGATCGTCTTCTGGGTGCCGTTCGTCTGGGAGCACGCGATAGACTTGCCAACGACTGAGAAGGGATTGAAGGTCTTGAAACATTCCTCGACGTTGCCGATAGTCCCATCGGTAACACCGTCGAGATTGTCGCATGCGGAGACGGCTTCGGCGGTGATGGCGTCAAGTTCACAGCCGTAGGGGTATTCGCCGAGCTCGTTCATCACTTGTTGAGGCCACTGGGCGTTGGAGATCAGTTCGTTCCAGTAAATCGCGGGAGCGCCCGCGACGATGCCGTCGTACTGCTTGGGGTATCGTTGAGCAAGCATCAGTCCTTGTCGGCCTCCTTGCGAGCATCCGTTCCAGTAAGAGTACTTGGGGTCTTTTCCGTAGAAGCTCCTGATGAGAGACTTCCCAATCACTGCCTTCGGAAGGATGTCAATGATCTGTTCAACCAACTTGTCAACGGGCGCCAGCCACTTACCTCGTCGTTCAGACAAACAGACGCTATGTTCTGCAAATTGTAGAGATTGACGTTGCCAGGACTGTTCAGAGCCCACGGAGTTGGCACATCAGCACTTCCAAGACCGGCATCCGTGGTGATCGACGCATATCCATCAGCGAGACCACCATTCATACCAGCATATGAGAGTAAGAAGCGGCCAGCGACCCAGCCGCCTCCACCGACGCCCAGGAAACGCTCGTTCCAGTCCAAAGGAAGCCAGGCCTCGGTGATGATGTTGTCATTCTGACCGGGATGGGTGTAGGCGATGGTGACGTTGCAGAAGGAGGCGTTCTTGACTTCGACAGAAGGCGAAGTCTGTCGGTAGGCGCTAGGAACGGAGACGCTGTAGTTGGTGACGAGGTTGGCTTCGAGGGAAAGAATCTCGGTGCCGAAGACCGAGGGGTTGAAGGTGCTGGCCACACACGACTGTGCCAAAGAGACGGCCATTGTTGGTTCTTTCGAGGAAGTTGTCGTTATGAAGCTTGCTCTGGAAGATGACGACTTTTGGGCTCAAGTATGATGCGAGCCTTGCTTTATATATCCATGTTAGGCCGGTTCTGACAACATTCCACATGTGTTGCTGCTTTGCAAGTATTGAAAACCGAAGAGACGCCGTGATCCACACAAGACTAAAATCTAAACGGTTCTCATTACGCCGCAGAACCAGCCGGTAAATGAGTCAACCGGAACTCGTTCATTTTGGTTCTGCTTACGACGGTGAGAGGCTCGCATAGCCAAGCCGGATACACGCAAGTGCGATTGGTCAATTGCGGATCCGAGTAAGCACGTTGAATCCGGGGCCGTGGCGGGGTTGATCGGTAATGACAACAAAGCTTACTGAGGCTGAGTCGTTTTCTCTTATTCTCCTGTATGCTCGGACTCTTGTCCAATCACAGAAGGGGAGAACTTGGCGTGTATTTCAGATATCACCAACCCAACATGAAGGCACCTAGGCTTGACATGACCATACAATTTCATTTGGCATAATCAAGTCGACGAAAAGACTGAAAGTTTCCAGCAAAAGCTAGGTCTACATTTTCTGCGTGCTCGCTCCATCTCTAGACATCGATTGAATTATGACGAAGAAATGGGAACCAACTCCCCCAAGTCCCCTATCCTTGATCCTTTTATCATACACTTAGATTCCAGTAAGGCAAGCCAAACTGCCTTGATCCGCCCGAAGCTCTAAGCCTTTGCAATATGGCGCAGCTCCAAGTTCTCGGTCTGAGAAACAAGGTTATTGGATGACAGGGCAGAGATCCATCGACCCTTGATGTTCTTACCCACCGACGATGGAAACCAATACCAGAAAATCCACATCACGGCCAACATCGGAATCGAATCAAATATGTACAGCGGCCACTCCGTACTGAGAAGGTAGCCATCATTTCCCATGATGAACTCGATAATCCTGAACACGGATCTTCCCATAATCAACCCGCTCGTCGCATAGAGCATGCGAAGGGTCTGTTCCCACTTGATCTCAATATCGATGTCGTGGAAACAAGGGTCCTTTTTAATGCGCGAATGGAAGGTCCAGGCTGTCGTCCAGAACACTCCGAAGACGACGATATGAAAGACCAAGCCGGCGACGACGATGCCCTGGGCGATCTTGGCATACTCGCTAACCACCATCAACCCGGCGCCGGAGCCCTGTATAGAGAGGGCCAAGATATCGCCCGTGACGAACACTTTGGTGAGTCTTGAGGGCCGTATGATGGAAAACTTCTCGCCGTTGACGTTGATGATGATCCTGCCGAGAGTCATGTAAATCGAAGCGGCGAACAAGACGGGCGCCAGGAGAATGTTGTTTTGAGATCCGACAAAGGGCATCAGCTTGCCAGTCCTGTTATGGGCGGCGGCTCGCAAGGCGTACCCGAGGAATTGCACTGCACAGGCCATTCAGATCAGTATTTTTGTCGTTTTTTTTTTGACGCGATTCTGGACTCAAGAGTCAACTTACTGTAGCCGCCAATGGCCATGGGGATGCAGAACCAGGCGCGGGTCTTCCAGATCTTGTAGGCGTATGCGAATGCCGTGAGGAGGAAGATAATGCAGAAGATCACCGCGACTGGGAGAGATGGGATGTATTTCCAGAGGTAGTAGCCATGCTTATAAGGTTCGAGAACAGCCATGTCTGCTCAGTCTGATGGTCCAAAGAAGTAAAAGATAAATCTGAGAGGTAAAAGCAGACGAAAGTGGGAAAGAACGAAAGTGAACGAGGATTTAATTTTCTCAAATAATTTGGAAGTTCGTCAGCTTCGTATCATACAGAGCTATCTGAGCTCGAACCAATGTTCAAGACTCTTATCTCTGTTGAGAAGGGATGTGAGAGATACCTGTAGTTGGTGATGAATACGCGCATCCCTAGTTCTGCGTCTCGCACTTGAGCTTCTGTCATTGGCCAGCTCTACTCCGAACCTGCGCAAACCCACGACTTCCCTGCAACGTTTCCATACTTAGGCACTGCATGGTGATTGGCAAGGGACTGAGGAGATTTTGCTATCCACGATGATTTACTGTTCAAATTTGACTAAGGCTTGCAATTATTATGGTATCAGGGGACAAAAGCACGAACAATCAAACAGCTTGACGCCAGGGTCAATACCCTTTTCTTACGCAGCATCGCCCCTACTACCGACATGAACCACTATCTTGCCTTTAGTCCGCCCTTCTCTGAGCTTCCTGTAGGCCTCGGGGACGTCCTCAAACGCGAACTCGGAGTCGATCACCGCTTTCATCTTTGCCTCGGTCATCCACTTCCCGAGGCGTTGAAAGTACTCCGTTGTATTCTTCTGCTGAACGAAGTAGAACCCTCCACCTCCCAGAATAGTCGGACGAACCTGCTTTGCCAGCGTCCAGAAGATTCCGGACAGCGTCACGTTCGGGCCAACGCCAACCAAGACGAAAGTGCCTCCCTTCTTCAAGTAGCGACTGCAGTTGTCGTACAGACCGGCGGTGCTGCCCACGTTGTCGATGACGAGATCGAAGACATTACCTCGTGCCTTCAGGTTTGTGAGGACGTCTTCTGTCTTGTAGTCGATGACCTCGTCAGCGCCGAGTTGTCGGCACAGATCCACGTTTGCCGTCGAGCATGTAGTCACCACTTCAGCCCCCAAAGCTTTTGCGATCTGAATACCCCAGGTTCCAGTCCCACCACTACCGCCGTTGATAAAGACCTTGGCACCGGGCTTTAGTTTATCAGGCATGAGTGACTGGTAAGCCGTCGTCGCCGCGGTTCCCACCGAAGCTCCTTGATCAGGGTCGATGCCCTTCGGTAGGGGTGCGCAGACTGCGCCGTCGATGACGATGAACTGCCCCAGGACTCCTCGCTGGTTGATCATCGCCAGACCTCCAAAGACGATCTGACCCTCTTCGAAAGCGGTGTTTGACGGGTGCTTGCCGGCGACGCGTCCGCAAAAGTCCATGCCTGGGGTCGCCGGACGCGAGACCATCAAGCGGCCGATGACTGGCGTTGCCGGGACCTTGTAATCGGCGGGGTTGAGAGACGCGCTGATGACCTCGACGAGCAGCTCATTCTTGCGAAGCGAGCTTTTGCTGGGAATGGGCGCATCTTCCTTCAGCGTGAGGCAGTCCTCGAGGTTACGGTCGAGGGTTGAGTATTGCCAGATTCTCATTGTCTCGGGCATGATTGCGCTGTGTAGAGGTTTTGGTGGTCGGTAAACGAAGGAGAGGGAAAAGAAGCGATGTTTTGCGCGACTATCGATGCAATTATGTGTCTAAGTTGAATACTACGTATGGTCTGATAATGTCGCCGAGACAGCTTCTCCGCACGCTTTGATGCACCGCAATAGGGTGGGTAAGCGGAGCGGACTTTGCCCCACATCCCGGCAGATGCCTCCGTTAAGTCACCGGGATTGCTCCGGCTCCGATTGAGAAACAGATCCAAGAGCGGCACTCGTCGCGTTCGCGTTCGTATTGATATCGGCGAGGTTTTCTTTTTCCGCGTCCTTCAGCCGCGATATTAGATACCATCACGGGCATGACAACTGCCCAAGTAGTCAGTCATGGACGCTGGCAATCTCCGCAGGCAATCGCTACCATCCGCTCCGAGTGGATTGGTTCCCGCGCGAAATGATTCGAATTGCGATTCTTATTGTCCTCTTTCGGTAGAAGGGGAAATGTTTCCCGCGAAAACTCCGATGCTTTAGCAAGATGCATGAGGAGAGAGCTATCGTTGCTAAAAACTGGTCTGGGTGAATTATGAGCATTTGAATTACATAGCAATCCGTGACAGAATCCCCAGGGTAGGCAATAGGTGTTCAGACAAAGCAACAGCCTTGGCTACGTGCATGAGCAAGGAGACGATCGCAAATCGCTGCGAAATACAATGAATACATCGACCCGTATCTTTCTAGCCCTATTGGAAACTCGCCATACCTAGCGATCACACGTTTATAATTCAATTTGCTGAAAGTTTCCTTAGTCGGTTTCTAGGTACAGCAAAAGTTTGCCCTCCAAGGTGATGGCGAAGAACCTGGAACTGTGGCGTGGCATTCTGACGGCCGCCTTCAGGAACATTAACACCTACTGCTTCGCGAATTTCTAATTAAGGGAACGGTGAATGCTTCTTTGATTCCTTAAGGTTTTAAGAATTCGCGCACGATTCCCAGATTGTGGTGTCTAGCGGCTCTGGACCACGTAAGCAACTCGTTCTACCTCGTTTCCACAGCGATCATTCCCTAGAGCCAAAATAAGCATCACTCGCTTCACGGGGCTGGCGATGCCGGGATGCCGTCCGGGTCTCCTCTAATTACAGAAATGATTGACCATGGCGTAGCCCCAAACATGATTGAACGTGATCCTCGGTCCCGACGGAGACTAGAAATGCTGGATGCCTATTAGTGTTGTAAGCCGGTTCTCAACACGGCATCGATTGCCCAAAAATCCCGGGATCCTGCGGGCGCGTGGGCTTACGCCCCACGGCAACCAGCCGGCATCTCTACCCGCTGACTCGCACAAGCACGATGGGCGTTGGACTTGCCCAGCGAACTTTCAAGCAAAAGAACAATAGATAAGTCAAGGAAGGCAAAACCAAGTCTGTTGACCGCTCCCGGTCGATTACCTCATTCGAGAGCGCAAAGCTCCTTCTTTGTTTATTGTATTCTCACGACGAAGAAGTCGCTTTGCTTGGTTGAAGGAGTCGCAATGCTCGGATTAGTTAGTTTCCCGTGGTTGGTGACATTGAAGGATGCACTAACCCTCTAGGCTCCGTCAAAGCCCTCAACTGCATCATCGTCAGCATTTTAATTTCGTTCGTCCAGTATTAAAAAAATCGAGTTCCTCCTGCCATTCGATAACACTGACCACAAACCAAACCGATCTTCATCCTCGCGCTTCACGATGGTCAACGTTTTTACCGTCACCCTGTTGGCCGGGCTTTGCGCCTCTGCAGCGATAAAGGAGACTCCTAAACGAGAGGTGTCGTCCGAGGGATGTAGCAAAGAGCTGCCAAGTGACCGGGAACCCGGAAACGAGTACAACATACCCTACACGGACGACGAAGGACGGGACCGAAACTATCTGTTATTCATTCCGCCTGGGTACAAAACAAACAGCCCGAACCCGGTTATTTTCTCGTACCACGGCGGAACAAGAACCCCAGGAAGCCAGAGAAATTTGGATCGGTTAGAAAAGCCGGAATTCAACACCGATCATATCGTGGTGTATCTCCGAGGCTACGAGGTAATGCAGAAAAGAATGATAATCGCCGAAAGACCGACTAACCTGTCTGCAGGAACGATGGGAGAGTGTCCCCAACATCACAAAGCGTAATGACGTGCTTTACACCAACACCGTCCTCGACGACTTGGAGTCCACCTACTGCATCGACAAGAGTCGCGTATTCATGACCGGAAAGTCCAATGGTGGTGGCTTCACCAACTTCGCCGCATGCCACCAACAACTATCGACCCGCTTCGCAGCTTTTGCTCCGGTGTCCGGCTCTTACTACATCGAAGGTGTAGACGATTGCCAGCCTAAGACGGTCGAGATTCCTTGCACTCCAGGGCGATCCGATGTTCCTATTATCGAGTTCCATGGTGGAAGTGACGGAACTATCCCATACGCGGGCGGCGACCGGCGTGGTGCGTGCTTGCCGGATGTTTTCCACTGGATTACGGAGTGGGCAGTCCGTGACGGGCTTGGAGAGACGCCGGCTGTGACCAACATCGCATCTCGGGCGCAGCTGTATGAATGGGGCTCTGGTGCTAAGAAGGGGTTGGTTTCTCATGTCTTCGAGCAGGATGTGGACCACAGCTGGCCTTACACGGGCAAGAATACTGATAATGAGGACCATGGCGACGGACCGGCGTCTTACAATGCCTCGAGCTATATCATGGACTTCTTCAGCAAGCATTCGCTCACCAGCTGTTCATAATCAGAGCATCAGCGTTCTTGAACAGGACAGTTAGAAACATGTTTTTAGCCCTGAATGACTCCTTGAATCGAGAAACTATTAACTACATGTCTCTTCTCTCTACATCTTCTTGGAAACTACGTGAGGACCACAATTGTACCAATCTCTCAACTTCCTCCATCTCCCCCTCCTCCTCCACCTCCTCCATCACCGCCACAACCTCCATCCCCTCCACCAGACCCGCTATCGAAACCACCTCCATCAAATGAGACATAGACACCCTCAAACACACAGTATTGTCCTCTCGTTCTCCTTTTCCATTCCTTCACCGGGTTCATACCACCCAGAATGTAGCGCGCCTTCGCCCGAGCCGGATGTCCTACAGGAACCACCGCAGCATCTGGGAAATACCCGTCCAAATCACTCTCATGCAGTGAATACTGCTCGTCGTACCCAGACTCGTTTTGTCTTTTCCATTCCTTCTGAGTTTCGTTCAGAATTTGTTTCGCCGTCAGGGCAGAACGACTCGGCATGTAGTCAATGAGCCCGCCCGCAGTGTTGAAGCTCCAGACCCAGTAGCTTGCTGGGTATAGTCGGTGGGTGTGCCATATGAGGTCGATGGTCAGGTTAGGCGGCACAAATTCTCGGTTCCTCACGCCCAGTTTGACGTCGCGCTGTGCTGGTATCGCGTCCATGTCAACTCTCCACACGCCGCTTTGTGGTGTCTTCTTCAGGGGCGGAGGTTGCCCGAGGAGTTTGATGAATCGTTCATAGTCAATGAGATCTTTTTGTAGGGCGCTCTTCGAAGCGTAATTCGGGTTGGAATCGCGAGCGCTGATCACCGTCTTCCAGAAAATATACTGCCGGCTGAGAACTTGTTGAAGTTGTTGCACCTTGGACCATGGTCTCAGCTGACAGCGATCTCCGCGCTGGGAATGCCGTGCGCGGTAGACGCAATGGATTGGGTTCTCGCGTGTCCTCCAACGTGTGTAGCCGGGTAGTCCGATGCTCATCGGGCCATTTGGCCGACACAATGTTCCGAAGAAGTGCACCTGCAGCTCTTCCTCGACCTCCTTCTCCTCCCTCTGATCTGACGAAGACTTGCGAAAAATCCGGGAGAGCAAGTTTGACTTCTGCGGGGGTGTCTCCCACGGCGCGAAGGGCCATAGTTGAAATGGAAGGTTGGGGCTGCGGTTCTTCTCCTGGCGGTTCCAGTCATCCCACTTCTTCTGCGCTTTGCGGTCAGACCATTTTCCGGACTTGTACAGACTCAGCAGCTTCTGCAAGGGGAACTGGTGATGATTCAAGCCGAAAGACAGGTGATTGCTGTCCCATAGGTGGCGATGGAACGAGTATGGCGAGAGGAGGTGGCAGTACCAAATGATTGCGACGTCCCTTGCAAGTCTGTTAGTGTTTTCTTCAAATTCGTGGCAGAATCGGGAGAAATTGATACCATGGTGGTGGGCAGTCATTGGGAGCCACTCCGTGGATGCTGAGAAACCTCAAGTAGTTGACGTAGCGCCATTCCATGTAGACGAGGGTCTCTACATGAATCTCATTTTCTTCGTTCTTTCGCATGTACGGCATGAGCCTGAGGAAAATTTCCATGAGTTCGAGGTGCCTCTTATGTGATGTTAGCAACGGATGGTTTCTTGAGAATCGATATGGGAACACTGACAATCGTGGCAATCTCAAGGAAGATGTGGTCCTTGCGTGCGGGCCATGGGTTTTCGAACACAGTGATTAGATCCATCTTTTCAGTTTCGATAGTCATTTTGATATTTAATTGTTGTCCTGAGCTAGATGACTGGAAGTTGGTGTCCTTCTCAACTTGTAATATAGTCGGCAGGTCAAGGTCTGGTCGAACGATGTCTCGGAGAGGTATGCCAAGTCGCTTGCACGGGTTGACAGCGGCGCCCTTCCGCATCCCGCACCGCTCACCGTGAGTCTGCCTAACAAAATTGCCGCATTCATTTGCATTCAGCTGATAGGATGCCCAGCAGAATCGCGTGGTTGGTTTTACCAGATGCAGTTGGTGTTGTGAGAAACAGGTTTAGCGTCCCGACCCCGGAGTGAGATGCTAGTGCCCGACTCGAGCGGTCGGTGATCATGCGCCCTTAATTGTTAAGCATCACCAGGCAGATTCTTCCGCCCTGTTCTCGCTGTCTGGAGGTGTTTTCTCCTCTTCTGTGAGCCCTGGTGCAGAGCTGCGCCTCGCTGAGCTGTGCAGCAGTCCGCTCCCATCATCGCACTCATTACCGCATTTGACAGCTCCCAACAGCTAGGTTCTTGACATTTCCTTGGCTAGTTATGATAAGAATGCGAAATTATTACAGCATGAATGAGTTGAACACGTCTCATAGCCATCTTGATAACCTTTCAGATGGTGATCCGCAGCGCCTCAAATGGTATGATGCTCACGGCGCCCACCAGTCCGTTCTCAGTCTTTGGAATCTCAACACCAAGTGTATCACCAATCGGGCTCAGACCTCCGTTGTCGATATCGGGGAGAATGCTGCGCACGTAGTTCCACATCGTGCTAGGAACTATCGCAACCACGTGGTTTTGTCCATTGACCAGTTGCTCCGTAATATCAGCAACAGGATCGGTCGGATCCAAGTGATGCAGACGCACTTCGTTGACTTCCAGTGTAATCGCATTCAAAGCCGGCGAGAACTGGATATATGCGCCAAGTGTTGCATTGTTGGCGACTGCTGAGGCAGGTGGCCAGGTGAAGTTCGCAGAGTAGTAGCCAATGCCAGAAGTGTTTGTCGCGGCTGGGATCTCTGTCCATGAGATCAAGTCTTCTAGCTCATGGGTTGTGTTGCGCTTAATGGCGACCGTCGCAGCATCTGTCATGTCCTCTGGAGCCTCCCAGTGTTCGAGCACAAGCTGCCATGAGTTCAGGTTGAACGCATTAGGAGCCGCGCTTTGATGGCATACCTTTCTGCCGGACGACAGAACAATTGTCGATGACGCTGAGGCAGCGACATGGAAGATGATGGCATCCTTCTCCGCCCTCTGTCCCAAAACATCTGCTGAAAGTTCTGTAGCGTAGAGTCCTGGCGTCTGAACCTCTTCAAGCGCATCATCAAGAAAGCCGATGATCTTGGTCTGGTTGCCAGTGAGTCCTAGCGGGATAACCGTCGACAGCCCTTCAGTTCTGTAGTGCAAAACCGGCTCCTGAGTACCGGTCCAAGGATCTAGGAAATGAGGGGCCCCAAGAGACTGGACGATGATCTCCCCAGAAGCCGGACGGGTATCTCCAAAAACATAAGCATAAGCTGCTCCCCTGGTTGGCTCCTCTCTCCAGGTGGTGTACCAGGTGCCATTTGTTCGAACACCCACGCGTGGTTGTAAACCAAGTGAGCCAAGTTTGGCGGCAATATCCCCTTCATCAACTTGATAAACGTTCTCTAGAAGAATGAATTTTTTCATCGCCGCATCGAAGGAGCTGGTTTGGTTGGCCGTCTTGCTTCCAGAGAGATATTGAACAGGGGTGCCGCCAGCTAGGATGATTGGCAACCCAGCTTTGGAAAACTCGGTGATCTCCAAAAGAGATGGGTAAGTAAGGTTTTGAGACCCAAGTACTACCATTGCTTTGAATCGTGCGTCGTCTGGAGCGAGCAGTCCGTCGCGAACGTGCGCTTGAGGCAGGGCGAAATTATCAGGAGACAAGTACGTGTACGACCATCCTGATCAACTCGTCAGATAGTAAACGACTTATCAATGACATCTGAACTTACCTTGGGAAACCAAATCTTCTTCGTGGTATATAGTTGCTGCATTTGGATCCGATACACTTTGCTTGTTGTAGAAAGCAACATCAGTACGCGGAATCCCCTTCTGCTGGATATGCTGGACCCGAGCCATGTAGTTCAAGGCGGCCTTCAGCCCATTGTCCCAGTCAGGTCGCTTCGGTGAATACAGGTCAGAAACATAGTATCTAAACGCAGTATACCCGGGCCAAGTTGTCTGCGGGTAGTTGCCCGAGTAGGCCTGTCCATGTATCACAAACTGGTTGACGCCACCTGACACAGCTCGGTTCATCATGAAGAGGAGTTCCGGGATGGCAAGACTGTATGGGCGGCCAAAAACGGCACCGAGCTCGTTTGAGATGACGTTTCTCCTCGCCAAGTTCGCCGGTCCCGAGAACTGTCGGTATCCATCGACGTTGTCGCGCCACTGTAAGCTCTCGCACTCGGGGGCGTCGGCGAAGGGGATCGACGCTTCCATATCCATGGGCATGTTGTACGAAACCTGTGCGGACAATTCGAGGCCGAGAGTATGAAGCCATTCTGACAGAGTAGCCAGGTACTCTTGGTATCCTTCGGCAAGTGCAGCTCGGTAGTCGTTGACATAACCTTGGCCTCTATCTTCGGTGTCTAGGAAACATCGGGTATGACCAGGCTCCGAACTCTGGAGGTTGATGTTGTTGTTGGCAAACATAATGAGAGGCAGATAGGGCTGCATTCGATATCCAAACTTCTTGAGGAATCTCTCAGGCAGAGTGCGAGTCCATGATATGTTGGAACGAATCTCCATGCTGTCTTCCCATCCTGGAGAATCAGGTCAGTCATGAACAATCGCAGTACCAACTACTTTCCTGCAACGACTTACCATAGTGGCCTACTTCCATCAACAGATCTTTGATATTGTCGACGAACATGTGCTGCTCCCAGAAATCCCTAACAGTCAGGGCACCCGCGGCGCTGAAGTGATCCACGACATAAGAGCCGTTATCCCATATCGTGTCTGTTTCGTTCGACTCAGACTCAAACTCAAGGTTCTTGTTGCCTGAAAGCTTTTGATAGAAGAAGAACAATTCTTGATCCGGCTCGCCAGACGAGGCGTTCAGAAAACTAGCATTCATCTCTCCGGTAGGGGAGATCGAAGGAGTGATGTCGCGGAGAGAGTTGCTCTTGAGCACCAGCTCTTCCCACCAGATTTGCTGCATACCAATGGCTGATGTGACATTCTGAGTCACGTTCGTTCGAGCTAAGACGACAGCAGAAACTGCAGCAACAAGCTCGCCGGTTCCCCAGCCTGGAATGGTCCCGTTCAAGTCGTTTCCACCCGCAATGGTCCTCGTCTCAGCAAACTAAAATGTCTTTTGATTAGCACTCTAGGTCTCAGAGATTTCGAGGATTTATGTTAACTTTAACATCGACACTGACCAGATCCCATTGAAGCCCCTCATCGCTTGGATGAGCGGGTACGCCCTGTCCTTGGTTGGGACCAAATGAGAAGTCCATTCTCAAGCCCGCTTCTTGGTGGGCTTCCAGAGCGGCAAGAAACAATTTGACATGTGCCGGGGTCCCAAAGCCAGCTGTAGACCAGTCGACTCCTTCAGGCGGTGGGCCAAGTGAGCCACCGTAGTTGTAGAAAGGGAGGAATTCGACACCTCCAGATCCGATGCTCCCCGCAGATGTGATGTCCGACTTGACTGCCTCGACATCAATACTTCCGTCCGGAAGCCAGTACCTGAACCTTGGCCTTTGGGTAGAAGGAGGATCGACAAAGTCATCGTGAACCTGCGAGTGAGAACGAGCCTGGCAACTGCTTGCCAGCAGTTCGAGGATGCCGAGCAAGAAACCTATGTGACGCATTGCTTCAATAACGAAACGAGTAGCATAAAATACTCAGAAACTTGACACTGATTAAGGCTAATGGATCAAGCCTTAGAGTGTTTGCTGCATGATGGCGATGGAGCTGCTTAAGAACGTTCAGGTTGTCATCCATGTTAGTCTTGCCTCTTGGATGCCTGAAAGAGGGGCTATTTGGTATTCTCGTCGCCTCGGTCGAAATACTGGCGAGCCACTCGAATAATTTCAAGGATACTGCCGCACCTCGGTATTTGCTGGACGGGTTGACAACTCTCCAGCTAGTGGGTGAGGGGCAAGTTGCGTACGAATACGCGTATAAGATGGATTTTTTGAAGTAACACGGCTATGCTGCCCATACGGCCGGTCACGTCGATCACTGCCAACAATGTATGCATTGATGCGGGGAAATGCAAGATCTCAACATACGCGGAGAAGCGCATGCATGATAATATCGGAAATTTTCAGTCGGTAGTTGGCTTTGCTGCGGTGAGCGAACTATTCGAAATCACCCAATACCTACAACGGCAATTTCCTGCGTAATGTAAGACAGCATTTATTTTTTTTTCTTTACGCTCTATTGGAAAAATCACAAAATATCATTGATCTGAAAACAATGAGACTAATCCTCAATAATCTTCCAAGTATCCGTCGTAGCCCCCGTGAATAGCCTCACCCTCGCAAGGTCGAGACCTTAACAAGAGATACTGCTATATGTTAAACCATGCAAGGCAAGATACCTATCGCCCACTCCAAACCGTCTGGAGAAGTCCACAACGTAAGCGGGGGGTGGACACTGTGGCGCCAGCATGACCTTAATTCCCATTAACTCTAGCTCCTTCTTGAGGCTCAGGCTCATATTCGCCTCGCAAACCTCGATAATGACTTCCTTCAGGTTCGGCAACTTGACTTCTCTTTCTTTCACATAGCCTTCAAAGAAGACCTGCAAACATTTTCTGAGTTTGAAGACACCGTCCGGGGTGGGCTTCATGCCTTGAAACTGGAAATGGACCTTCTCGAGGGAGGTTGGGAAAAGGTCAAGCGCTCGTACGTTTACGGCTTCTCTGATACCTGATGCAGAACGATGATAAAAGTTGTAGGGTGATCTGAAGTTTGAGCCCAAGAGCATGAATCCGTCAATATGTAATGACTTTAGCTTCTTGAAGCCTTTCATGTTTGTGGGCACCTGTCCTGCTGTGTCCCAGTTCTTCATCATCCATAAAGACAGATCTTGCAGGGTATCGCCAGCGCATTCCATAATTGTGTTGATCATACTCCAAGAGTTGAGATTGATGCCCCAATCATCGAACTTGGGATCGTGGGCATAGTGAAAATATTTGAGCTTGGGCATACGAGACAGAAGCTCCCGCATTTCTCTGGAGCCGAATGAGCAGCACAAAAGCTCCAGTCTCTCTAAGAGAGGGCTATGCTCAGTATATTCGGAATGAAAAGGAAACCCGGTCTCGGTCATGAGGCTAAGACAGCTGCTAACGAACGCCTCACGAAGCGAGCCGATGGCAAGAATGGGTGTCTTATCCGTCATCGCTTTGCGGCTGTATTTTCCAGGTCCCGAAGGCAGAAGAGTTTCCAGTCGAGACAGACTGGCATCTGCGATAGTCGAGTCATTAGCCCGTCGCACGATTGCGTCAAAGACAGGCCAGATGCAACGTTTTGCATAATAATACCGGGCGTTGTCGTTGGTCTCAAATCTCGGATAAACAGACAAGTTATCTGGTAGCGCCACTTCCCGCACGTTTGGGAGTAGAGTAAGCAGGAAAACGTCTCCATAGTTGCCTACATTCCAGAGCATTGCACGCAACCACAAGCTCGGATCTTGGCCGGCTTCGATGATATATGGAGAATTATGCAACAAGTCTCGCATGCCACTGATGGTGTCGTCGTGCTTGATGAAGGGAAAGTGAGGCTCGCCGTGATCACGATAGTCCGCAGGTTCGGCGTCAACTTCACGCGGGACATTCTCCCAGGCATCGTTATGCCTCAGGTCCGCCTTTATGATGTACCGAGAGATGATCGGATTGCGTACAATTTCCCCAATCAAATCGAGCGTACTTGTCACTTGGATGCCAGTTTCCGTCGTGACCGGATCCCAATGACGCTCACCGGGCCCCCTGAGCCAAATGCCAAGGTTAGCATCTCGAAACTGGCTGCATGAAGAAAAGAAAAGAAAAACAAATCTTACCAAGGGTCATCCACCCTTGTGTACCGCGAGAATTCAAAGCGCCGATATCGCTTGCGAAGATGATTGTGGCCTTTAAGAAAAGGCTTGCTTGCAGCGTACAACGCTCTGCATGCGAGTGCGACACTTTCGATGGACTCCGGGATGGTCCCCTGGATAATGAACTCCACAACTTCGAGAGGGAGATCAAGTAAAGCCATATTGCTTCGAATTTCTTTCCAAACTCGATCAAGAATCGGTTCTCTGCCGAACGGGCTTTTGCCGATGTAAAGACTGGAGGGAAACTCTCATTAATGCTGGGTTAGATGTGTCCTCCACCCCGATAGATATATCCCATTGAAACACCCTGATAGATCGTGCCCCAAGCGACGAAAAGGGTTGATACGGTGGCAACAACCTCTTTTGCCTCGAACGCCACGACTGCCTGGAATCTTATTTGAGCAAAGTTTTAGACCTCAAAAGCAGCAGCTTTCCAGGTGTTCACAGGCAGAAGTAGATCAAAACCTCCATCTCTCAGCACCATGCTTCTTAGGCAAATACCGAAAGACCTGTCGTTCGTAAGAGCGGTACATGTATTTGGTCACATCTTGCTACTAGCACGTTGACATCATTTTAACCTTGCCTCAAAAAGCCCTCAAGCTCTTGTCCAACACGTTTCAATCATCCCCCGTACGGACAACTACCGAGCGAGGCTTCTGAATAGGAAAGAGCTCAATAGATAACAAAAGCCGAGTTAGGGAGCAATCTTGGCATCATGGTTATCGTATCTCACTGTGGATCGATCCATTCATGGACAGGAAAGGGGCTCAAAATGGTTGAGTTGTATTGAGCAGTATGGAGAAAGGGGCTCGGATTTCTAAACATGCGCAAGCTTTCGTTTTCTTTTGACCTAATTCGCGTATTTTGCAAGGCTGCGCAACTCCTGCAATTATGTCTAGCCACTTACAACCCTTTACTCTCCTTAGATTCAAAAGATTACTGAGAAAACACCTCAGAGCCCGTTATTATTCTGGCTGCATAGCCCAAGCCGCCCAAAGCGATTGCATAGCAGGTTCATAGAAGCCCCATAGCCGCACTTGGAAGTACTCTCACGTGTACAGCATCTTTGGCCTTGACCGTAATGATGCTACACCAGGGAATTCATACGCGATTGCATGCATGTTGTGGACGAATGAAATTCTTCACGAATACTTAACTCACCTCAGTTTGAGTCAACGCAGGAGGCTCTATCATCCAGCAAGACCACGGAAACCGCGGAGACCATAGCCAATGTCCGAAGAAAGCGAGGTTTCAGTGACGTTTTCGTCATAATTGCGGGCTCACATGCCTTTCACTTCGCAACTTTCTTCATCGTCTCGAAATAAATAGCCTGTGTCCCGGTTTTGAATAGAAAAAACACCTACCAACAACAACTTACCAAGTTCTTCGCGCATCCACCAAGAATAGCGACACTTGAGCTAAAAAGAATTCAATCTGCGACGGGCGCCCGTCTTTGCGGTTCATTTTGCCAAGTCGTGGATGTTGCGGGGGATGAAACCTGCGCAAGGACGACTGCAGAGTGCCATCGCTTCGACCGAAAACCAGGGCATCAGGTCACATTTAAATCACAGGGCGGATTTAACCTTCTGGAAGGTGCTGACGGAGTCTCCTTGTGCCTAATAATTGCTGAGAATCCACCTGGAAATCCTTGATTCCACGGGACAGGTCGTGCGTGAGTGGGCAAGCGGTCGGGTACCTGGACTAGATTCGTAGATCAATATGTTGCTCCCCTGGCCAGGTTTCATTAGTGTGGACACAAGCAATACCGCCTTGCCCACACCCACGGTTTGATCTTTGAAGATGACAGCAGGCAGTTGGTCGGTCGCTTGTCAGTCCAGACCGCTTGGCAGCGGACATGAGATTGCAGTTGCCTTCTTCGCCATGGTCGTCCGCTATTCGCTTTCCTCATTCGCACAAAGAAGGATGAACATGCGTCTCGGTCGGTGAGGCATCGGTCTGAACTCGGGACTTTGGAGGGGACGGTCGCGGGAAATTCCCGTGGCCCACAACCGTCCCGGGCATCATGTCCGATGAAGGAGCGTTATCCACCGGATCCGTCGACTGCCATCGTGGTCCGAAAGGCGCTTTGGGGGCTTCGGGCGATCGGCGGTCGACCGAGATCGATTCGGGCTCGCTAGGCGTTATCTCTCGGTTGTCCGCCCGTTCGGAGCTGTGAATGGAATCAGAATAGTACTCCGTACCGATAGATGTTGCAACGAAAAGATGGGCTTGCCGATTGAGTGCAACTATAGACATGGAAGTGAAAAGAGCTCCGGGCGGGATATCCAATTCCGAGCCACAAAGTTGGATCGCACGCCTGGAAGTATGGATCTTGCGATAGAAGCGATGGGTCTGGCGATCCCGACGCACTCCCACCTTCCAAAAGAATTGCTCACCGCACGGTGATAATCCGGGTTGAGCAATATATGCATGGGCTATGAGCAATATGTCACCTTGATTGTCTTTCATATGCGTAGGGCGTCGGGGATGATTGACAAATAGCGCTTGACTGCAAAATCGACCAGCACTACTGCAGAGTTGTGGTTCTGCTTTGAAGATCATCGGAGAAGGGTGATGTTAGTTCTTTGGTACGGAACGGGAATGGAACTTGACAGAGACTTCGAGCTTCTCTCTCCAGTTAGGCACTGATGACTCGAGACAACATAACGAATAAGACATAAACATCAGGCGGTAACACAGAAAACAATAGTCGTTGTCTGTCTTGCGCTGATCTTTGTCATCAAGATCCGCAAGGCGAGTCAATCCCCTCGTTCTCGGTTGGGGTAAAGAGAAGAGCGGAAAAGCTTGGCTGGCTGCCTCAACGCGACTACGTCGCAGCAGTCGGCTGCCACGGAACTCGATGTCACTTGGCAAATGGCAGTGCCTCACGTGGCCTTCGGATTTTCTAAGACTTCTCTCTTAGACAAAGTCTTGTCTCTCAGCTCAGCCACGATGTTGTGTCGCGTCCCGGTCGCCACCTCTGCCCAACGGAAACAAACTGGATCCGGAAGGTCGTGGACGGTGAACTTCATCGTGCGCGGTGAGCTAGCTGGACCGCGATAAGTCCGGACTGTCAACACCTTTCGGAGTAGCACCCATGTCGAGGATCGGGAGAATTCGCGATAGAATGAGCGGGATTTGGTCAATATGACCCAGCAGAGAATTCTTTTTGATCATTTTTCCACGCTCGGAAAAGCCCCCAGTGAGGGAAAAGGATGGAGTTGTCAAGCCAAATTTCGCTTTGGAGATACGTCATTACTGATTAGGTAGGTAACATTGGAATCGGGCGGAAATGTGACCTACTTCTTGTGTCTGTGTCTCGGGTGAGGCATATCCCTGTTCGTGAAAAGAAACTTCAGAAATGTTTTCAGACACCGGACGATTCAAGCATGATTTTCACTCAACAACAAACAGAAAACAAACAATTAGGGGGAGCAGAGGGATGAACGACAAAGCCCAATAGACCGGACCTTGGGACTTTCGGAATAGAGCTACACGTGGGTTGCTTGACATGAGCAATAGGAGGACAAGTTGGGATTCTCTTGCTTCGTTCTGCATGGCAACGGAACTCGACCGAGCTGTCGAGGCCCAGATCATTTTCAATCGGGGCAGCAGTTTGTCCGTGACGTGGGATTCTTCAAGGACCGGGCCAACAGTCTCATCCAGACTTCCGGGACGAGATTGGCAGAGCCACAACCAACAACGCTCAATGTCACCACCCGCGCGCTTGTCCACAGCGGAGTCCATTCCTCCCTCGCGTAGCCCAGAGGGCGGGCTGTCACGACTTGGCTCATTACTTGGCTGAATTATTATTCAGCCACAGCAGCCCGTTATTAAGCTCGCAGGTCTCCTGCCAGGGCGAGTCAGTTCCCCGTCCCATCCCTGCGTCAGAATGTCAGGGGAAGACCAGAAGACCAGGAACTCACAGTTAAAAAACGTGAAACTGGCTCCATCCCGTCTTGCGTCCATCAATTTGATACGTCAGTTCAGGGATCGAAGACGGTACTTGACGGTCCACCACCTCAGATCTGATAACGGTCTTCACCCCGGATTAGGAGACACTGTTTAAACCGTCACACTTGGCAGCGGGCCAGCGTCGTCTATCTGAGTTCGAGCCATCGCTGCAATCCCTCCGTCACTCTCTCGTGACAAGACACTCAAGCTTCCGCATTGGGTCCCTGGAGCGACCCGCCCGTCCAAGTTTGCTTAGACTACTGCGTACCGAGTACCACCCCGACATGTCCGAAAAAAATTCAAGACAGCCCGCTTGCCAAGAGCTGTCTTCCCTGGATGCAGACTGCTCGGGTCTTCATGCGATGGGAACATGCTCTCATCCCAACTGGCAACATTAGACGGGGCTTCCGCGCGCGCATGTGTCCACTGCTCAACAACACAACACCCATGGCGCACGTCATGGAGCTGGGGACTTGGGTGCAGACGCTTGTCCCGCTGCTCTGCCCGAATGCGGACGCGAGCCAGGACTGGAGCTTCGGAGTGATGCCAAGGTCATGAGAATTATAGTAAGGGGAGGGGGGCTGAAAAGCTCGACGTAGTCGTGTTATGCTTGGGTGATAAATAGCCTCGTAGGGCCGCGCTGTCTTGCTGATCCGAAGATCTCCTTCATCGCATCCGTGCTAACTGTCACTACTCACCACTATTCACTCTTTGTCAGACAACATGCGCGCTGCTATCATTACCGCTCTGGCGTCCGGCGCCATCGCCGCCCGCCCGTTCCTCAACGAGCCGGATACCGGTATCGATGGCGTTCTGCCCGACCTGAAGGTCGGCACTCTGCCCGAGCTCGCCGACATGGTCGGCCTCCCCGACTTCGACTTCGCTGCTCGCAACTACCTCCCCCTCCAGAACTACACCTACTACCGCAACGGTGCCGCTGGCGAGTGGTCGTACCGCAACAACCTCGAGGTCTACAACCGTTACCGCCTCCGCCCCCGTGTCATGGTTGACATCACCAACATCGAGTCTTCCCTGAAGTAAGTCTGAGCTTTTCCGAGCACTTGGGACGAACTGTTTCCACGGCTGCGCATATCGTCATATCAAAGACTTACATGCTGACTCGCGCAGCACCACCATCCTGGGACACAACTTCTCTGCCCCCTTCTTCATCAGCCCCTGCGCTCGTGCTGGCTACGCCCACCCCGATGGCGAGCTCAACCTGATGAAGGCCGCCGGCGCTGAGAACATCCTGTACATGCCCTCTCTGTACGCCTCCAAGACCATTGAGGAGATCGCCGCCGTCAAGAAGGAGGGTCAGGTCGCTTTCCAGCAGATTTACCTGACTGCCAACGACACCGAGACCCAGGCTCTCTTCAAGCAGATCGAGGACTCCGGTGCTCAGGGTGTTGTCTACACCGTCGACTCCGCCGCCGATGGCAACCGTCACCGTGCCGCCCGCTTCGGTGTTGGCTCCGCCGACTCCTCCTACTCCTATATCACCTGGGACGAGTACCACCGCCTCGCCAACATGACCAAGCTCCCCTTCATCATCAAGGGAATCATGAGCGTCGAGGATGCCGAGGCCGCCATTGAGAACAACGTCCCCGCCATCATGCTCTCCAACCACGGCGGTCGCCAGCTCGACGGCTCCCCTTCCTCCCTCGAGGTCGCTCTTGAGATCTACGAGAAGGACCCCGAGATCTTCAACAAGATCGAGATCTACGCCGACGGTGGTGTCCGCTACGGTGTTGATGCCATCAAGCTCCTCGCCCTCGGTGTCAAGGCGGTCGGTCTCGGCCGCCCTTTCATGTTCGCCAACGTCTACGGTGAGGAGGGTGTCACCAAGGCCATCCAGATGATGAAGCACGAGCTTGCCATTGACGCTGCCAACCTTGGTGTCCCGGACCTCAAGAAGATCGACGCCAGCTACGTCAAGTGGACCCCTAACAACTGGTACTCTTAGATGTACCGGGAAGACGGGAGATATTGAGGAGATTTGGCCATGGGATTCGCATGACATACAATGATACCACTTGAGTGCTGTACATACATTTCCTTTCTAGCTGCACATAGCTTTTACCCGCAAATGGACACTCCTCAAATCAAAATTTCTTTGTTCAACTTCGAATGTCATTGACTAGCGGACTACACCTTGTGACTTGAATGACGTTGGCGAAGTTATTAAATGTTTCTATTGTCTGTTCAATGAGAGAGTTTTGTTCTCAGACTCTTTCACTGATCGTAAAGAACAACATCTTTGGTCGCTTTACTTATAAATGAGCCTGCGATGCTTCCCTCGACTCAACTTCAGCCATCATCTCTAGCAGACAACCACCGACTCGATCAAGCCAAAACATCCATTGAAACAAAAACCACTACCAAACACCTCATTCCCATCAAAATGTGCACCACTACAGTTATCCTTCACACTTGTGCCAATTGCGGCAAAGAGATCTGCCGCCGTCTGGATCGACTTACTACTTGTCCGTTCCGCATGCTCCCCCACCCTAGCTGCACTCACCACGACACCAAGTACCGCACTTACACCAAGCTCTGCTCTCGATGCCACCCTGCTTGTGCCTGCTTCACTGACGAGGAGCTCGCCAAGATCCTCGGCACCGATGTGCAGACTTGTGATCTTGCCAAGTGCCGTTGCGTCAAGAATGTCCAGAAGACTAACAAAGATGAGAAGCAGTAGCAGGATAGTAATGATGGTTCTTGGTGATGTTTTGGTAAGTTGGAATTGAGTTGTTCCTGGAGTCTGGGGATTGGGGGCGTTTCTTGTCTCTGCTGTAGTTGAATAAATCGTCACCGTGTTACAACATTGAATGGTTACACCTCTCCAGATTTCGACTGATTCCCGCGAGTCAGAGCGGCTCTTCTAATTAGGCCACTACATGTAATTATCTTTACCATGTGTTCAACAAGTGGTCTTCTCCATATGCAAGCGGGTGGACCCACGAGACAACTCGGAACCCTAGGTCTGGCCTGTCTGCATCTTAAGCGAAACTCACGACACCTTAAAATCACCAAGGGCCCTATGGCGCAACGGTAGCGCGTTCGACTCCAGATCGAAAGGTAAGCGTCTTATCCACACCACTTTCCAATGTCAGGCAACTAACCAAAATCCGCCGAGTAGGTTATCCGTTCAAATCGGGTTGGGGTCATACAAAAGGGCTTCGGCGCATATCTTTTGCTCTTTTTGAAGTTGGTGGTGAGTTCTGTTAAGATGTTGAACCTTGGACCACGATACCTAGTTCATGTTGCGAGCGTGGGCGAACAGGGCAAAAGAGGAGGATGGTGTTCATAAAAGCTATCTGGGCTTGATATAATAAAATCAAGTGATTGATGAAAAGCGCCAAGAAAGAAAAAGATATGGAATCTCTCATTTCGAGTCGTTGATTTGACTGCATTTGGTACCGGATGATCACGCCCAGTTCCACGAAAGCTTCAAGGATGCAGAACTGGAAAGAAATCGAAAACGCATCTCTAGATCACCCACTTAACAAGTGCGTTCTGAGGACATTCATGATGGAATTTCCGTTGGGTTCAGACCAGTATTTATAAGTCCAGTCATCACAGCTGGTCCATTTTCCCGCGCGATGCCTCAACACATCTCTATGGACCCTAAGCATCTTTCGATCACCGTAGAAGTCTACTAAATCTGAGAAATGCCTCCACTGCGTCATGCCTCCGGCGTATCTTCCGTCTTCTGCTCGACCTCAATTGGTTTGCGCGCGAAGACGGCATCCCTACTCGAGTTAGTGCTGTAGTGGAACAATACATCCGAGAAACTTACATGTAGTAATACGGCTGGATCTTGTAATCTCTGAAAGCAGCCCTCACTTCGCTGATAGTAACGTGGGTCTCTTCAGTGGTAAATCCCAAAACCTCTTTCAGGATATAAAGCATGAAGCCTTCCAACGACTTCTCCATGAACTCGAGATTGCAGTACCCCAGCCTCTTCATCTCAGGCTTAGCCGGCCATGTGCCCACCGGAACCTTCCATCTCTTCTCCACGAGGTCAGTGAAGCCAGCATCAAGAAGTGCCTGCTTGAATCTTCCTGAAGCCACGTTGCCTTGAGGTTTGCCCATTTTAGCCTGGCCCTCGACAATCCAGTTGTACCACTGGTTGAAGATGTGCTTGTCGTCCAGCTCAACATTCTGCGAGCGAGCCCGGGTATCAAATTCAATGATTTCGAAGTAGCCGCCAGGCTTCGTGTGGTCATACAGCTCTTTGCAGAAGGCAGGAAGGTCTGCGAAGCAGCCCTCCAGGTTGCGAGCATGAACGTAATCGAAGTGGTCTTGCGGCCAGCTCCACTCTTTCTCAAAATCGTCGATGAGAAATTGAACGTTCGGAGGAACCCATGCAGGTTGCGTTGGCGAGAGATCGATGCCGATAACCTCAGCTGATGGGAACAGGTCGGCGAATTCCCTTGAAGTAAGATATCATGTCAGTCATGAAGATTCAGTGGATTCTGGAGGAATGACTCACATGGCCCAGATGCCCGTGCCCGTACCGAGATCAAGGACTCTCTATATGTCGGATGAGTAACAGCATTCTGTGTCGATGGTATTTTGATATGCACACCTGAGGGCTGTCGCCAATCGGAGCTAAGGTAAGCTTGTCGTCGAACAGTTCGGTGATCCAAAAGTGGCTGAGATTTCACAAGTCAGCATTGTTTCGTTGATACGTTGAGATAAGGGGACCGTCTCCCCGATTTCAGCAATGTATTATCACAAGAGGTGGGCTCACTTAAAGTCCAGAGCGTCATTGTGCTTCTCATCATTTGGGCCCCAGTATTCAGTCTTTTGGGTGAAGGTGCGGCCATGAATCTCGCGGTACTCCTTAATGCTCTCCGTCAAAGAGGCTGTAGACGACGAGTAAAGGCTGCGTGGAAATTATTGTTCAGTTACCTGGTCTCTCTACTCCGATCAACGTGTGATTGTACCTCTCATTGTCGGTCTGGTCATTCTCCGACTCGGCTTCCACGCGAGGGTCCTATCGAGAGGGTGAGCCTTTACGACTGCGCCAGGTGGGCAAATCTCGTTGGTTCGCTAGGTACGCAATGTTGGCATGGGACTTACCACCGCAATGGGCGGAGCCACCGGCTCGGCGGAGTCGTTGCACATGTTGTTGGAAGGCGTTCTTCACAGGCAGTAGTATTCTGGAGTGAAAGCAATGTCGGAACAGGGAATCTGGTCTTATCCAAGTTTTCGATCAGCAATGAAGATAGGTATGCGAGAAGGAGAGCTTGGCCAACGGCGCTGGGGAAGACCCCTCTTTTGTAATGTTCGCTTGCGCTGGAGACTACTGCAATTGCTGCGCCTGTATGCATGCCTGCTGCAGAAATAGTCAGGGGTCGGCATCATCCGTCCGCCGCCCGACCCAATCAGATTCTGAAAGAATGAGAAAAACTCGGGATAACGTCTTAATGGGAACGAAGACAGGATGAGTATCGGGCGAGAATTCTGAATCTGTACAAATAAGGCTAGACTAGTCCACGCCGAAAGATCTTTCGCACCTGCGTGCTGGCCAGGATCCGGCGACAGCAGCAGCTTTGTCTGCGATCGTCTGCCGAGTCAAGATGCCTTCATGTTTGTCGGTCATCTCGTGATTGCTTGCGCTGTTGCTGATTCTAAATACATATGTCCCATTGCTCGTAACCAAACCGAAGCGCCGCTCGCAATGCATAATGCGGTCCATGAAAATCTGGCCAGAATTCAGGTCTGAATCGTCGAAGTTCATTCTTCCACGTCAACTGGCTTTTCTGGCTTGCGGGCGTAGATTATATGCCTAAATGCCACTCATTATTAGCTTTTGATGCGTTATCTTCGTGTAACAGGGTGGAAGAGCACTTGCATATGATAATAGGGTTGAAGCCTCGGGTCGCCCATCGCAGCTTTGTACTCAGTGAACAACTCCTGGGTTTTCTCGTATGTGAAGCCGAGAACTTCCGTAAACAAATAAAGCCCAAAGCCCTCTAAAGCGTTGTTAAGGAAATCTAGATTAGCCCATCCGAGACTTTTGAGCTTGCGATCTAGACACCATCCCCCAATCGGGATTCTCCATTGAAGTCTCGTGATATTGACATAGCCAGCCTGTTCGAGCGCACTCTGGAACGCACCAGAGCTGACATTTTCGCCTGGTTTGCCCATGATTCTCGCAGCTCTCATGATATGCTCGTAGGATCTCTTGAACACATGGTCCTCAGGCAATTCCTGTGACTGAGATCGAGTCTGTGAGTCAAATTCCAAGAACTCAATATAGCCTCCTGGTTTGGTATGCTTGAACGCTTCTTTCATCGTCGCTGGCAAGTGAGCGAAACAAGCCTCCAGATTCCGTCCGTGGTTGTAGTCGAAGTGCTCGTCTGGCCACCTCCATTCCAGTTCGAAGTCGTCCATGTGAAACCTGCAGTTAGGCGGCGTCCACTCTGGTTGTGTTGGTGATAAATCTGTCCCAATCACTTCCGCTGACGGAAATTCATCCGCCATGTCGCTATGGGGGTTTAGTAATTGGCTCAACTATGCTGCGGGTAACTTACATAGCCCATATTCCAGTACCAGTGCCTAAGTCGAGTATTTTCTGTAGTGCAGGTCAGCTGAATGATCGTGAAAGATGATGCGGCAAGCCCATGGCCGTACCTGAGGATGCTCGCTGATCGGAGCTAGAAATAACCTGCCTCCCAAGAACTCGGTGATCCAGCAATGACTTTCGCGGGCTGTTCAGTAATTTCTCCATTTTGAAGCACGAAACGCTGTTTTCCTGTGCGAGGTATACATACTTGAAGTCAATCAATTCGTTCTGAATCTCATCGTTGGGGCCCCAGTATGCTGTCATCCGCGTATAAGTCCGTCCGTGAATTTCGCGATATTGTCGGATGCTGTCGCTGAGTGAAACTGAAGATCCGGCGTATATGCTATTTCCAGTGAGTCTGAGACTCTGTGCATATCTAGGAGTCCTGAGTTCCGTGCAGGGAAGATTCTCACCTGATGGCCTCATCGGTATCATCGTCAATGATGGGATCCTACACATTGCATGATCAGCAAATTTTTCAGGGGTGATCAGTTTGTGGAATATGTGTATTACTGCAGGGATCGCGCCGCCGTTTGGTGTCGGGCGTTGATTGTCCATTTTGCGTGTTCTGAGTGGGTAGCTCACTCTCCTGAAAGATCACCCATCTTGGCCAGCAGTAATGGAAACGACGGTAGAAAACCAAGACTTAAATGGAAGAAAAATTGGTTGGGACAGACCCCATTTATAGGATTCGCTGTTGGTTGTCAACCGCTACGCTAAATTCTGCAGATTTGTCCGCAGATTGCATGCATGTTTGCCGAACAAGCCAATCAAGGTCGTCGCCCGTTGGCTGACAGCGAATGTGATCTTTCATGCAGCAGAAGGCAAGGATTTACCCAAATATTTTATTCACCTCTTTCCCATATGCGGAGAGTCCAGATAACAGCATTCAAAACTTGATTCGTGTGGTTAACGGAAGCCAGACTACAAAGATATTTCCAAACGACAATCACATAAGTCCAGGCCTTAGTGAAGAACTTGTCCATACGTAAAGGTCAAGAATTGATATACTAGTAAGGCAGGATGTCTCCAGCATGACCGTCGTATGATAATTCCGTGTCATCTTCAAAAGCGAAGTATGTAGCCCGGTGTGACTAGGACTTCACATGAGACCCTACTCATGTTTTTAATTAACCCAATCTAACGTGAGATATGTGGTGTTACTATGCTAAGTCTGCCCATGAGGCTTAATTCAAGATCAGGCAGTGGGTGCGACCGGGTTGGTGGAAGGCCCAGCAGCCGTTTCTTCGGTTTCTTCCGGCTTCCTCCCGTAAACCAGATGACTTATTGCTGTTAGTGACCAAAGCGAAGGCAATTTCCGGTCTTTGGAAGATTGAGACTTACAGGTGATAAAACACTTGGTTCTTTGGGTTGCGAAGCTCTTTTCGCATTTCAGCAACGAAAACCATGATCTCAGTGTACTCCCATCCAAGCACCTCCTTCAGCAGGTAAAGCGCAAAAGACTCCAGCATGGAATCGTTGTATTCCAGAGTGCAGGCCCCCAGTCTCTTCAGCGCAGGATCTTTGCTCCAGCCGCCTATCGGAATCTTCCAGACCTTCTCTTCCTCAACCACGAACCCGGCTTCCGTGATGCCCTTAGCAATGCCGTGGTTGTCGACGTTCTTGAGTGTCTTTCCCATCTTGTCGGTGGACTCGGTCATCGCCTTGTACCATCTTCGGAAAATATGCTCTTCTGTAACTTCCACTGATTGCGAATGATACTCGATGTCGATTTGCTTCACTTCGATGTAGCTACCTGGTTTGGTAGCCTTAAAAGCCTGTCTGTACAGCCTGGGCCAATCGGAAACGCCAGCTTCAAGGTTGCGGATGTGGATCAAGTCGAACTGGTGGGAAAACGTCCAGTCCAGCTCGAAGTCGTCTATCTGGAACTTGCAGTTCGGCGGTACCCAGCCAGGCTGAATAGGGGAGATATCGATACCGATAACTTCGGCTGTGGGGTATTTGTCGGCAAAGTCGCTGAGTGAAGGATGAGTTGGACGTTCCTTTAACATTTGAAGATTGGACACAATGCTTACGTTGCCCAAATTCCGGTACCGGTGCCCAGATCAAGGACATTCTGAGATCAATGTCAGCGTGATCAAAGGTCTGTAGGAATGGTCAAGCCACAAACTTGGGGATTGTCGCCAATGGGTGCGAGGGTCAACTTCTGACCAAGTAAGTCGGTCATCCAGTAGTGGCTTTTGAAAGTGTCAGATCAGAGCGAATGGCGTCTAAGATGAGTGTGCAACGAACTTGAAGTCAAGGGCATCTTGCTCTCTTTCATCATTCGGCGCCCAGTACTCAGTCTTCTGCGAGAATGTTCGACCATGGAGCTCCTTGTATTCGCGCACGCTCTCAGACAGGGACGTCGTGGACGAAGTACGAATGCTGAATTTCACAACCAAATTAGTTATGTCGGGTCATTTGGACGTGAAAAGACGTGCCTCGATGTCTCAGTCTGCGAATCTTCGTTATCTCCAGCCGCTACGGCAGTATCCTGTGAAAAACATTTAGTAGGCTCGATCATTCTATAGCACTATATCACTTACCACAGGGATATCCTGCAGAGAATTTGGGTTCAGCATATTGTCAGAATACCGGAGACGAGGGTCTTCTGCTCGCTCATGTGACAAAACTTAGAAGAACACCAATTTCAACGGATGCAACGGGGAAGAACCCCTCCTTTGTATTGTCTGGATTATGCTGTTGGTCCTAATTATGCACGTCGTTTCTTGCAGGCTAGGTATGAAGCGCCAGGGGGAGAGGGGTTCATCCGCCTCCCCGGGCCAATGATGGTATCAGCTGTCCAGACTACTCCACGGTCTAGACTGTTTAAGGCAGGCTGGGAGGTCGGGTGAGTATCCGCCGGGCACAAACAACAGGAACAACATACGACGCTGAGCGCTTGGCTATTTCTTCACAATTGGCCTGGGTTCAAACTGGAGGCGGGAGGAGAATGCGCCCCGGCTAACTTTCCCCCTCACCATGCGACCGAGACACGTTTTTCTTCAGATCTCGCTTCTCAACCAATTGTGCTGCCGGATTTAAATCCCAAAACGGTAGAGAATTCTTCACAATCTTCGCGTTCACTGGCACGCAAACATGCTACGTGCATGTTGATTCACCGGAAACCCCGGAGAATATGCCAGACAGGGTGAAAGTGCCCGGAATCTGGTGGTTATGGCAGGGAATAGCAAAACATCGGTCGCTTTCCGGATATTTACAATTGCTACGTATTTCCCAGGCACAATCTGCCATTTGTTTCTCGCAAGCATTATTTCAGCACAAGACCATCCCCAGAGCCCAGCTCAGCAAACTCGTATTCCGGGGCTTTTCCCTCAAACCGCTTTTCTTCGGCTTCCACTGCGTCTTTGAGAGTATAAGTCGTTCTCATGAGTAATGGCGCAATGAACCCGCCGCCCTTCTTCACCTCGTCATGCGTCGCGATCCAGTAGCGCGCACCGCTTTCACCTACCGCCTTGATGCCGTTCAAAGCTCCCAAGTTCAACTGTTTCGTCATCCAGATGCGAACATCATGCAGGCCATGAAGCAGGGCCAGAGTCGAAATCCCCGAGTCTCTAATGGGAGTCAGATCGGACGCCTGAATTCCATGCGGCGAATACAAAATCGTCTCTGGTTTTCCAAGATCGAAGACGATCATGACGGCCGAGTGGTAATACAGCGCGTTGCCTGCAGTGATGACACGGCCAATGCCGACCCAGGACGGCAATCCCGCGGTGCTCAGAGCCTCTTTCCAGTCTTCGGTCGACGCGGAGAATCCTGGAGTTGTCGTGACATTGTCGAAATAGTTCCAAGAGCGGATCAGGTCGGCCGCTTTATCAGTTGCGAACACTGGCGTTGAAGTCGGAAGTTCTTCGAGGGTTGCCTGATGACAGTGATCGGTGAACTCATGTGAAATGGCGACGGCGTCGATGTACGACACATCTGTCTCTTCTGAAACTTCAGATCCACTCTCAAGCCCTGCAAGAAGAGCGTTCAGCTCCGTCATAGTCTTCACACTTGGCTCGATGGCGTGCCACTGGGTGGAAAACCAAGAAGCGACGTCGGATTGCGGGCCTTGCAGCCACGGGTCGAGGAGAATGTTGAATCGTTTTCGATTAGGAGGAGGAGTTTTCGAGGATGGGTATGGAAGCTGAATAAGCCATGTTGTGTCGGCGTTGAGATGAATGAGAATGGGTCGGTCGGTCTTGAGCGCCTCCAGCCATGAACTCCGGTCGCTGACCTTGATCTTGATTACTGGGGTGGCTGGGAGCTTCTTGTCAACAGCCATGGCAACTGAACGGTTGTTGGTATTTGGAGATTTCTTGATGCCAATAATGAGTACTTTCCGACATACAAAATTCGTAAGTGATGTGATGAAGTTGCGAAGATGTGGGATGAAGTCGGAATCGGATCCGAAAGTCTGTGACGTCGTCGCTATGACACAGCCGCTCGTCAATGACACCCTGGTCCTTGCCACACCAACTTCACCAACGGTTAAATTCTGGGGTAGGTGGGGGATTTGACATCGATCGCAATGAGCAATCACACTGCACCTAGGTATTCTCCGCTGCGCTAACTACTTCGACGCTTTACCTTCTTTGTCACAAGTTTGAGTCTTCATCGATGCGCAAGTTCGTGGTACCTGGCTGTTAGTTTATTAGTACTATTTAATCGCCAGTGCGTCCTACTATCAGGCAGAGGGCGTCCGCGTCGACCTACAACTTCCTAATATGTGACGTGACATACATAGAAGCAAATAGATACAGAAGCATACAAGCTTCAACTCCTCTACGTTCCCTCTTCTCTATTACTCTATTCCGTGCTTAGTGATATGCCTAAGCAAAATTACCTATGTTTTTCGTGATGTGTATGCCATGCTCCCAGTGCACAACGCAGGGGCATCACCGTCTTCGTGGTGCCGGGCATCACATTAAAAAGCATTTGTGCGATGTTTCAATCCTCTGCGATACTGGAACTAAAGTCTCACCGAGCGAATCCCGTTGCAGCCAGCTCTGTGGGATGTCGGATATGAAAGCAGAAAAAAACGGTCAATTCGGTCGACTTGGGGTTTGTGAATAGCTTCATCTCTGGTCATGCTGCAGACCTGGAGTCAAAGCTACTACAGCATGGGCTTTCATTTAGTATTGAAAACTACCAGTGATTTGCCAAGCTTCCATGTCGTCAATGTCTAGTGCGAGAACAAAATCTCACATGTAACTTTGCCAATCTGTTCTCCTGACATCGTTGTTGTCGTTACCTCTAGGCTGAGAAGAGACATAAGAAGTCAATTCTAGGTGTAAAATGCCGTGATCGAATGGAACGATTCGCCGCATTGGTGGGAGATGACCATGTCAGCAGAATGCCTCGATAACTGAGCCACGAATCGTGGCTGGTGAGCTGAAAGAGTGACTGCGTGAGAAAATCGCCAAGCACACCTCTCAGTCTGCCCTACACATCCCAAGGCTCCAAGGATTGCATCATTAGTGGGACAAGAAGAGATTGGCACACGTAGTGCCGCCATGTCTATATCTTCCGGGCGCAGGCGAGTGACGATCAGCTGAATCTTAGGATTGCGAAACTTGTACACAGTCTCACTATCAGCGGTATAAGTATTCCGGTATTCGCCAGCAGACCCGAGGGACTTGCGGAGCCTGTCATACTTTGGAGTAAGATTTACCTGACATCAAAGCTAGACAATGAAGTTGCAAGTCGCCATGACCCTCGGAGCTCAAGCAGCGTCTGCAGCGCTCTTTTCCAACTGGCCAGCAATATCCGCCGGCCCTTTCGGTTCCGACGTAGATTTCCGACATAATCAGTCAGACGAGATCTACCGGAAAGCTATCACCAGCCCGAATGCGACGCGATCAGTCAAATTTCACCCTTTCTCCAACAGCCTCAGGGGTGCAGATGGCGAGCCTGCGGAATGGACGTGGAGTAAGTCTCTCTGGACCATGAGACATGATGTTATGGGATTATGACTCCAGTGCTAACTTATGGGCAGGAGTTAACATCACGGAGTTTTCCCTGCCTGCCGGCATCAACATCACGGATATAGCCAGCGAAAACGCAACCTACATCGAGAACCCCACGCATGTCAGTACAACTTACGACTTCCAATGGCCTGGTGGAGGAACCCTGTCGAAAGCACTGGGCGACTCTTCGGCACCGTTCTGCATCTCCATCTCCAATACCATAATGTACCCCGCAAACGTCACGAACCTGTATACGGACGAAGACACCTCGAGCACGGATTGCGAGCCCGTTCTAGGGGCCGACTGCGTCCGCGCGATCTTGACTAAAGGTGATAACTTCGTGGGCAGCTCCAAAACCAAGTGCAACGGTATTGGAACTGCATGGAGCTCCCTGCCCGAGTGCAGCGGGACATTGGGATACGCCGTGAGAGAGAACCTGGACGAGAAGGTTCTCAAACTCAGCAATAGCCAAGGCATCCTGACCGTAAACATCAACACCAACTCTGACAACGCCCCGAAGGCAGATTCGTCAGCGGAAATGAACCAGACGTATGGCATCACGAGTGGAAAGGGGTTCTCGGGCTTTCACAGCGGAGTGGTTTCAGCGTCTGAGGCCGCCAGCATTTACGAGGCGTCTGAGAACTCGTTGCAGATTCTTATGATCAGCCACGGCTTTAACTCGACTGGGGAGGCTGGAAAGGAATTGCTTTGCATGAGGGTGAACACGTCGAGGGTGGCGGACGAGAACGGTGACGGGCAGAATGCGGGCGTCAGGTCAGAATGCCATGTTGCCTGGACTATGGCGATTGCAGGGTTGACAGTTCTCTTCGCTTGCCTTATATGAGCTAAGAGAGGATTCAGTAAATCAGTAATTGTCTGTCTTGTTATCTTGAACGTACAGAGCTATGAATATTGTAGTCACAGAAGCAGCCAAGTCGAGAGAAGAGAAACCATGGCGCTCTTTGCAGCCTCGGAACATTCGCATGAAAATTCGCCATATTTCGGATCGTGCAAGCCTCTAAAACAACGCTGTCAGTCTGGTTCCAATGCCATCAAGACTACCAACACGTGCACGACGTTGCGAATGAGTTTAATGTTATGGGCTAGTCTTGAGGTATCTTCATATTGTCACTATGCTAATTCAAGTGGAAGACAACATGTTCGTGGAGACTATGGAAATGTGCTAGATGAAAGATGAAATGCAGTCCAGGAATACAGTGTTGAGATCGGGTATCGTTCTAATAACCCATGAACAAACTAGTAGCTACAAGTACAATAACATCATAGGCAGCGAGCTCAGTGGTTGGGAGACACGAGCACACAGCTGCCCTACGCGAGACCATTTGAAAAAGGCAAAAAAAAAAAGTAAAAGAAAATAGAGAACCATGCGCCCCGAGATCCTGTGGCACTGGGCTTGTGAGGGCCAGTCCGAGTGGAGGAGAGAGTTCCCTGACCACGAAAGGGTGTCGAGATCCGAACGGCACGCGGAGATCTCTTCTGCGGACCTGCTACGAGCCGTCACCCAGCACCATCCAGGCATCATCGAAGACATCCTGGTTCGAACCATCGCTCCAATCCCTCGGATGGTTGGTCGTACACTGATCGTAATTGGTAAAAGAACTAAGAGAACTTTGGGAGTCGAAATCGGATTCGGAGGTTAAGTCAGGAGTCTCGCCGCAGAGTGATTCGGGAGGAGTGATGAGCCCAGTCGCAGGATGCAAACGCTCAAGTGTAGACTCGTCGTCGGAAGGAGGCTCGTCCAAATCGGGAGAAAGAAGGTACCGCGCAAAAGACTCATCGCGACCAAGCTCGGCGAGAGAAATATCCAACGTCAGCTGCAGATCATCCTCGTAAGACCGTCGCTGAGACCTCGTTCTGCGCGCCCGCTTAGCAGGGCGCATGGCGAACTCAGGCTCATCATGCACGATCGAACCCAGCTCAAAACCTTCCCCACGAAGATATTCATCGTCATAAAGAAGGCCAAGACGATACAGCTCGGCGACATCTCTCTGTTCCTGATCCATCTGACCTTTGGTGGTACCGGGAAGCCGGAAGGCACCCTGCCGTTCCAGCGACGGGGTACGGCGGAGTTGTGGGGCCTCGCCCGGAACTCTAACACCGCTGAGGGCCGCGATCGCGCGGCCCTCGGCGGTCTCGTCGGAGCGCCATTGCGAAACGGTGCGATTGTTTTGAGGGCGTCGACACGTTCGCCGACGCCGTTGTACTCGGTTCTGGTGATTTGCGTGTAGGACGAGGTCGAGAAGGTGAAGTCTTTGGTCGGCGTACTCCCGATTTAATGAGAGGGAGCCGTCGGCGCGGAGGAAAGCGCCCCTGTAATGTGCCCGGGGGCGCGGGCGGGTGGTGACCTGCGAGGGGCCCTGGGAAAGAGATTCTAGCGCATTGCTGCTGTTATGAAGAGCGAGGCCCATGACGGCGACTTTGCGATGTCTTATGTACTTTTGTGTGAAGTCTCGGTGTAAGTGCAGACGTGTTCTGAGACACGGGTTGAGTCTTCGCCGCCGGGGGGTGTTCGAGACGGAAGGGCGCGCGTGGCTTGATGTCGTTCTTCGCAGTGTGCGTGTCCAGGCTGATGGAAAGTCGGCGAAGGAGGCAGATATATATCGTAGACACGCTGCCTAGTGTTGGGCTGACGGATGTTGGTGATGTTGCGCCTGTGAAATGATCCATTGGGCATGGCGTAGGCTGTTGTCGCAGGCGGCCACCGAATCCTTGTAAGTTAGCGCCCGAAGGCTCGCCTCAGGACCGCGAAGTGCTCCTGTTAGGGGCCATTTGGGGGTCATTTGGGGTCGGTCAGGGGGGGTCGCCTTGGTCAATGATTGGGGACCGCTCCGATGGTTGATAGTGAGTCATGCTTGGCGATGATGAGGCGAAGTGCGCGTTGGTTACCTGGCAGGCAAGCGGACGAGGCCTCTGACTTGAACCAGGGTCGAGAGAGGCCAGATGCTTGTTCGGAGCCGAGAGGCATACACGTTGCGGCCAGTTTCCCTCATGAAACTGCCGTGAAGAAGACAGAAGTTGGCAATAAACATGAACGGGTAGCTTCGGCGGCAACCCCGGAGAAGAGTCCCGGAGGAGTCACGGGCGAGTTATTTCCGCTGCTAGTCTGGCATCATGTGCTGGATTTCCCTCACAAATAAGCGCTTACAACGGGAACCAAGGTCAGTGAACTGTCGATGTTATTGCTTCACTGAGCAGCAGGATCTAGTGAATCATCCCGGACTTGAGATACCGCTGCAACATTCCCCTCTCTCACGGGAGAGCCCTCGCGCTGTCCGATTTCATGCACGCTTCACGCATCCTTGAATGGCCCGAGAAACCGGTTTGAGTCACGGCTCAGTGCTTTTAGCGCTTCGTTGGCCCCCTAAGTATGCCTCGATACCCGATGTCTGACGCAGCACTGCCCTGTGACTCCTAACATCCTTGTTTGAATTGACTGCTGTGAGTGGCATTCAATCGGCAAGTTTCAATTCAGATCGTTCATTGGTCAATTGCAGCGTAGATTAACAAGAAACTCATTCAGCACGTAGCATTACGGTATCTGCCGTAGTTGGTGACGGAATGGGCATGCGTAGATGTTGACGTCCGCAGGTCAGTTGAGTATGGCCGTGGCTGTTGGAGGTGGGTGGGAAATGTTACACTTCACGGCATCACATATCAGAGTCATCGAGATGAAGAATATACAAGTGCCGCCAACTGTAAGTGCGCACACATCAATGTATTGAACGATCTATCATTTCATGTTTTAACAATCTACATCCACCACACCCTCAGTCGAAGCCCCGAGGCGAAAGACTTGCTTCCGAGGCTGCTATCGTCGTGTCTGTTCCGATCGTCATGTGGGTGTCCCGAAATGACTTGTTGGGTTTCTCGTGGTACACTTGTGACACTGATACCCTGGTGCGGCTGTTTGATAATGATGAGCCCACTGCGGATGCCATGTTCGTTGAAAGCTGGACAACCTTGGAAGGGAGGGTCTGGAGAAGTTGGCGCACGTTTGGCATGCATGCAACGATGACACCGACACCGAGTTCGACGTAGGCCCAGAGAACAACGGCAACAGAGTCGGCTGTTCACGATTAGTCTAACGTATCGTGATAAAAAGCATCTTGGGAATGACTTACCGGTAGTGTTCAGTGACGTCGCGAATACAATCAAAGTCTTGATGCGTAGTATGCTCACAACCGTCAAACTGTGCCTCTCATTAGCGTCGTTCAGTATGGGAGTAATTGGCTTTCGCCCGCCATATGATACGGCGAAAATTCAAATCAAGCGGTATGGGAGTACTGCGGCACAATACTCACAAGACACCGACAAGAAACATGGCAATAACGCCAAGCTTCTTCCGCTTATCCATCTTGAGGTTGTAGATCTGAGTAATGGGAAGGATAAGCATCACAATATCCAGCGTGATGTTCAAAGCGACATGGCTGAGGCCGATACGGTTGAGATCAAGACATGTGCCCTGGTTCTCTCCACTCCAGCCATCCCAAAAGTGAGATAGTGGCTGGCATTCTGCAAAACAGAGAATGACGAATGACAATCCGACAAGCGCGCTGAGAAGTTGCATGACCCAGAGCACTTTGCGGAAGCCTTTGCTCGGAAAGATCTTGAGGAACAAAAAGAGAATGGATGCCTTGATCGAGGCGAGGCCGATGAAGTAGAAGAACTCGAGAGCGAAGAGGAGCTATTTGAGCGTTGGATGGCATCCTTTACTTCGCAATGGGAATGGTCATGTTGCTTATGTTGCTTACCTTCAGGAAATACGTGATTTCGTAGTCGTGAAGCGTCCAGATATCCTTCCCAAGACCTGCTCTTACAACTAGCATGAGTTAGAAACCATCCACGGTGTAATTCGGTTGAACGTGCTCACAGTAGAATAGTTCGACATAAAATCCGATGAACAAAGCCTGTTCATAAAGTCAGCATTGCGCTCGAGGAACACCGTCAAGGGCCATCAGACGTACGAATGCAATGACGATAGCGGTGTCATCGGCACCCCAGGTTGACAGCTTCATGGCTTTGGAAACAAGTCGCATCACCATGAAGGCAACCGTGATGAAGGTAACAACCCCGCCAATCCAGTGAATCTTCGCCGTCTGGTCTGTCAGTGGGAAGTTGCATTGTGACCACGTCGCGTTGGTAATGACTTGAAGAGGGTTAGCATTATGGCCAGTCAGTGAACCGCATTTACCTACTCAAGCTCTCCTTGATCGTGCACGTCTGTTGAATGCAGGGTTGCACAGCTGCGTTGAACTTGGGGTCCACGCATAGGCATGTTTGGTCGGTGGCTGCGCATGTCGACTGGGGAAGCGCCTTGATCATACAACTGACCTGGAGAACACCCGAGTTAGCTCTAAATCATGGCAAGTGGGCAGATGAATACTCACAGCACAGCTAGGGATGCCATCTAAGTTGAGCGCCGCCGAGGCGAGGCCCAAGAAGCCGACGAGGAGAAGGGCGAAGGCGAAGACACGCATCTTGGCTGCTGTGGTCGAGATCGCAATCCTTGGTGTTTTGACGTTGGATATGGCGTGCGGCTGGATTCAGGGTCCTTATCCTCCAACGGCATTCCTGGCAGGCGAAAGCAACGCGATGTGAGGCCAAGGAAGGGCCGTCTTCATAAAGGCAGAAGCAAACATGAAGAAAAAGGGGCCATCAAAACACACATGACGAAGCCACACCTCCGCGATCTCCTACCAAGACAACTACCGATCAGAAGGTCGCATTAACTACCGCGGGGCAAATGCAGGGGCCATAGTGCAGCGGAAGCTCCTTGGACCGGCTCGTCGTGGCTTCCGTTTCCTTGTCCTCCGCGGTAGCTCGAGCTTCGCTAGTGGTCGATCGACGCGCCTACTTCACTACTTGGATTTCTTCAGCTCCGGATCGGGAATGGTCCGCGGGCCGGCGCCGTGTCTTAATGCGCCGTGGCTTGGCTCCGTCTTGAAGCATTGGCCTCTGGAGATGAAGTCGATGAAGTTGATTGGGGAACAGATCTTCACAAGGGGCTGGAACTGCCATCTATCGACAGCTAACGGAGAAGGCCCGGAGCACTTTCAACGGAAATAGTGTGAGACGCGACTGCTAGAGGCCGTGGCTTGACAGCGCTAAGGTCCCAGGTCAAGGGTTTGGCAGATGTCCATGCTCATGGTGCAATATTATCGAGATTGGACTACGGGAAACTCGATCATTGAACTTGGTCGACGGCTTTGAGCTCCGGGCTCTGCCTTCCGGGGGCGAACGTTGCCGGTTGGCTGGGAGAGACTGGTGCCCACGAGGAATCCATTCCATAACAATAAGAGCCGCTTTCGGCTTCATTCCAACGGGCGGTGCAACATGAATGGCACGAAAGCAGAAACATGGGTAATGAATGACGCTGTACAATGCTGTGCCTGTAGAAAATGGTTCGATAGACACGAGTCTGGACCTTCTAGAAGACATCAATCCAAATCCCAATGTTCTTCGGTTGAGTATGTCAAAGACTGCGATGTAGCCTGCCTTAGTGGTATGCGAAAGCGAGTCGGTTACCTTCTCGGACCCGAGCTCAGGTCCTCCTGCTTAGTATGGACTATTCGTCTGCAAATTCAAGCCACTCGTAGAATCTGAGGCGGCCTCTTGCAGACTACTGTGTTGCGCCTGAATCACGTCAATCGTATCCTGTGACAACCATCACAGTGATGGGATGGCATCACCCAAAGCGAAGCCACAGTTGATTAGCCGTAGTTCTGTGACGAAGAGCGAGCTGAGGCTTTCTACGAATGACAACATATCTTGCCAATGAAAGCTCTCCCAAGAAAGCTACTTCTAAAGTCGTTGAACATGAACATAGCTAAGTGGCGATGAAGCAGTGCAGCTTCAGTGATTGACAAATTGACAATGAAATCGCCAACCTGCTACATATCTGAGATGTTCAATCGTTTCGTGACCACGCAACGACTGACGTCTATCTGCAGAGTTCGGAGGACCGGTATACCAAACATAATGAGGGACCTCGAATAAGAATACTTCATAGCTATTTCTTCTGAATGAGAGGCTCTCACACGGTCCAATTTCGTGATCAACGTGACCTTCAAGTCTTTGCTCTTTAGGTGAAGCACATGTACTTGACGGCATTGCTATTGTATACTGGCCATTGTCTGTTGCGATTCTCAAAGAGCATAACTCTCTCTATAGTCTCGATTGATCAGTTTTGAGAAATTCATGGCGGTTTTGCTGTACTCAATAGCGTAGGGGGTCACGTTGTGCCATTCACGAATCACGTCGCGATCTGGAAGCTGGTCGCGTGCTGAGTCTGTGATATTGAAGCTTGGTAAACATGCGACATCCGGTAAATTCAAAATTCGGAAGATTGCGAGCGACCGGATCTATGCTGCGAGGTTCTCGGAGTACTCGACAGGTTCATCTGATGATGCGGTTAGCGATGCGAGCATGGCCCCTTGCCTGATCCCATGCATCCCCGCACGACATCGAACTTTGATTGAGCTGCAGATACCAACATTAGGCGACCGGCATTGTCCCACATCTCATCCCCAATGATATGATCGTCGTTGCGGTGACGTTACTCCAGCACAGCATCCATCGTTACATTCAAATCTCGTTGTGCGGGGTACGGCTTATCTACGTATGTCGTATCAGTCGAGGTGGAAAGACATGCAGATAGGCGTGGCTGGGAGTGGTATTACAAGTAGAGATTTCCTGTCGGCGGTGCAATCTCAGCACAGTCCGTTCAGACAAGTTGAATACCGACGATTAGGTCGCAGCGAAGCCGGTATCAGATCTCATGGCTCTTCTCCGAGTAGCGACGCTGCTGTTTGCCCCTGCTTTAGCGTGGGGGCTCCAGCTTCTACCACCCCCGGTTCAAGTTTCCGGAACTTCAAACGGCTCTGTTTGGCAAGTTGCGTCAACTCAGAAGATCATCTACATCGAAAGCGGCCTGGCGGACAAAGTCGACACAGACGGGTTGACGCTCATTCCCCCTAGCGGCAACGACTTCGCTGTACTATTCCAAGCAGATATCAGTCAACTCACCGGCGCAAATTGGACTCTCCAAAAAGTTGACCGACTTCCATGTCTCTCTACTACCAGCGGAATTCTTCTCGGTTCGTTTTCCGGCAATGGCTCTTCTATCACATGCGAGAACGGTCAACCCACGTCGGAGGGTTATGAGCTCAAGATATCACCCAAAGGCGCGTTCATCGGCGGCACAGGAGCCCGTGGGATGTGGTGGGGGACAAGAACATTGCTCCAAGCCCTGTTGACAACCAACGGGTCTCTTCCCGTGGGACGCGCCGTTGATGCTCCGGCTTACGAAACCCGAGGCTTCATGCTTGATGCGGGACGAAAGTGGTATGCACCAGGGTTTCTGAAAGAGCTCTGCAGCTATGCTTCCTTCTTCAAGATGAGCGAGTTCCATTATCACCTGAGCGATAACTACCCCCTCAACCGTGGACGCAACGAGTCGTGGCAGGACGTTTACTCTCACTTCTCGCTTCGGCCCGAAGACGAGTCTTTGCTACCGATCTTACATGGCCGGGAGAATGAGACCCTCACCCGGGAGGACTTCGCCGATCTTCAGAGCCACTGCGCGGCACGAGGCGTAACGGTCATTCCTGAGATCGAGGCTCCTGGTCATTGCTTGTACCTGACTAAGTGGAAGCCTGAGCTGTCTCTACCGAAGCGGGACTTGCTTAATCTTTCGCACCCTGATACGATACCAACAGTGAAGCGCATCTGGTCGGAGTTTCTTCCCTGGTTTGAGACGAAGGAGGTGCATGTCGGAGCCGATGAGTACGACTCAACACTGGCTGATGTGTACATCGGCTTCGTCAACGACATGTCCGACTTCATCAACTCAACAACCGGCAAGAGACTTCGCATCTGGGGAACCGACGAGCCCTCTGACAACTTCACCATCTCAAAGGATGTCATCATCCAACACTGGCAGTATGGGCAATCGGATCCCGTGCTTCTCGCGAACAGCGGTTACGACATCATCAACTCGGAGGACTGGTGGGCGTACATGTCTCTCAAAAATGACCATATGCCCATTCTACCGGCTAGATACCCCCAGTTCTTCGACGAAAGCCGGGTTCTCAACTTCGCCGACGAGTCCGGATGGCAGTGGACGCCTGCGGATTACAACCCATTCAACACGACCGAGCAGATTCCTCACGGGTCACCGTCGAACAAAGGCGCCATCCTTGCGGCATGGAACGACAACGGACCGGACGCTTCAACACAGCTTGAAGCGTACTACGCCATGCGTCGCGGCATAGCGCTTGTGGGGGCCCGAGCATGGAGCGGCAGTCGGGGACCGGTGCTTTCCGAGGACGACGTTGCGCCGAGCATCGACTTCTTCTCGCCCATTGCTCCTGGGCAGAACCTTGACCGTGTGCTTTCTTCCAGCAACTCATCAGACTCTTCGTACTCCTGGAAGCGATCCAACGACGACGGAGAAACGGTAAAGCTCGGACAGGGTAGTAAGGGTCTCAATTCCACCCTGAAACTGTCAGCCACGGGACCATTCACTCTGGCTAGCCCTGACAACACGTTATCTCTCGACAGTACCGGCAGTCTGATATTCAATGCCGATGGATATTTGTACCCCTTGCGAGAAGTTAGTCAGCTAGACGCCTTGCAGCTTGACCCAGGCCACCCAGGAAGAATTTGGGTGAACGTGTCCACGTCAACCCATGAAGAGGTGAAGGTGCCTTTACCAGCAAACATCACCATCGAGACGGATGCATTACATGGAAGTATGGCTTGGGTGAATGGAGAGTTCGCGGGAAGATTTGAGGTGTTTGTCTACGGCGGTCGGAACACCCAGTTCAGCTGGAGTCAAATGGCGTTTACCGCACCACTGGAAAGTGTCACTGGACGGGGACTCCAAGGTTTGGTCGTTGAAGAACTTGAGGCAGGGGAGTAGATATTGAATGAAAGTAAAGACTAGAGATCTTTCGTTTTCTCTTCTAGTGAAAGAAGTCCCCACTGGTTCATGAGTTTGACCGCCGACCTTTGGCTAAAGGATCTACGATACTGATGGAATCCGTATCATGAGTTCCAGTAAGATGACTTGGCACTAGGCAAAAGTCTACTCGCTCAGAGTGACGTCGCAACGGTGACCAATAGGTTGGATGATGAAGAAGTTCTCCAAACTCATTATATCATCAGTCATAGTGCTAGACAGCCGAAGTCCAGCGCACTTCCGGAACAGCAAAGCAGCAGCCATCCGGATCTCCATTTTAGCCAGGTGAAGTCCGATGCAGACACGAGTACCTGCACCGAAAGGGTTGAAGGTACTCTTCTGCAGAGGTGTCAAACCAGCTGGGTCCAACCAGCGCGTCTCGTCGAACCTTTACGAAGTCAGATATCTGGACAATAGCAGGTGATGTTGGGCATACTTCAGAGGGTTAGGCCAGACTTCGGGGTTCCGGTGGAGAGTGTATGCCTGTGTCTCAACTTCCAGGCCAGCAGGAATGAAGTAGCCTCCAAGCGTGACTCCTTTGGAAGGGACAACCCGGGGCAAACTGCTCGGCACGCCGGTGTAAAGTCTCAGAGTCTCCTCGACCACGGCATTCAGTATCGGTAGGGTTTCCAAGAATGCGTCGTCGAGAAGAGCCGACTCGTCAACGGCAGCGAGTTCCGCTTCCAGCCGTGCTTGGAGTGCGGGATTCTTCAGAACAGCCCATACAAGATACGTGAGAGTAGACGCGGTCGTGTCGGCGCCGGCAAAGATGAAGTTGTTGGCCTCGATCCGGATGTCCTGCGGCGTGAGATCGACTTTCTCGTTGGCGTCGCATTCTGCGAGCATGGTCGCGAAGACGTTGGCCTTATTGTCTCTGTGGTTCATGAGGTTTGACACGGCCTTGCCTCCGTAGTCGCTTACTCGCTGGCCCGCCGTGAGAAGGTTCTGTATAGATTTGACCGGGATGTAAGCAGATATCTTGTAAAGCAAAGGTAGCTCGTAGCTCAAGGTGGCGCTGATTGCGGTGGCTTGGAGTGTCTCGATATACTCGCTTTTCTATGAAGTGTTAGTTGTAAGCTTAAGATTCCGAAAGATGGACCATGCGGGGGATCGCGAAGAATTTTCAATGCTTTTGACTCACCTTGCCAGCCTCGAGAAGCTCAAAGGACTCCCCAAACGACAACTGCCCAATAACGTCCGAAGCCATGAGCAGCCACCAATTGAGGACATCAGTAGACCCATTGAGCGTCTCGGCCTTGATCCGATCTATCGCCATGACAACCTTCTCTCTCACAACAGATTGACAGTTATCGCGGATGTTGTTAGTAGACAAAGCCCGCGCGAACAGCTTCCGCCGAGCCGCGTGCCTCTTCGGGTCCGTCATGGCGAAGACACCGCTTCCGATGCCAGACCCGCCGGCGAAGTCCTCGTACCATTGCGACTTCAGGAAGCCAGAACCGATTCGGTGGATCGTGGTGAATTCCTCGGGGTCGGCGACGGCGACCTGGAACGGCGAGACCCGGACGATGGGACCGTATTGGGTGTGGAGGTCGTGGACGTAGTGTATCCGTCGGCCGGTCATGGTCTGGTATTTGAGGACATAATGCGTGAAGCGGGTGTACCACGGCCCTGGGACATGGCTCAATGGGTTTCTCAGGCCGAGAAAGAGTAGCTTGAGTAGATGTTAGACTTCACTATTCCCTCACATAAATGCTGGAATGAGCACCCACACGAACTATCGCGAAGGCTGAAAAGGCAACGCCAGCCCACAAGAGGATGGTTGGTTCGGCGAGAAACATCGTGATGTTCTCAGACTGGTGTGCTAGGGTTCAGTGAGACAGTGAATGTGAAAGTATCGGGAGGACGTAGGCTCGGAAGAAGATAGTTAAAGTAGGGAGTTTGATTTAGCCGCCCGAGCACGCCAGATGAATCAGGCGCCGCGCCGGCGCCGGACCTGTGTAAGAGGCCGGTGGCCGAGATCTACCGTACAGAGCTGTCTAGTCCGGCCTGGGGGTTGAGCTCCGCTCGCGACGCGAAGGACGTTGAGATTGACTCAAGTTTGAGTTGTTTTTAATCCCCGAATTGTAACTCGTCGGTGGTAAGCCGAATTTCATCACACCACATGCAAGTACGGTTGGTTCGCGGGGTACATCCAATCATTACCCCTTTAGCCTGGACATCATACAGCCAAGACGTCCCTACATTCGGACTGCATGGGAGAAAGTGGGTTCAGTATTACCAGAAGAGTTCCGGACACAGTGCTGTGTCCGGAATTCGGCTTTTGCGATCCATAGCCGGTGGGAGCGAGCTGTCGCTATATCAAGAGGGCGCCAACCCGTCCAACGCCACCTGGACTTTCTACGGATTCTAGTCTCCCACAATACACGAATAGGAGTCTATCAGAAAAGCATCTACTCCATCTTCTAATGTTTGACAGTACAAAAGACTTTGATTCAGCCTTCCTGTATTTTCTCTTCGTCTACGTGGCACATCCCATCGGCCGCTAGGCCGCCCACCGAACGAACGACCGGATTATCTGTCACAGGACCAGCCACTTTTTCCGTGGAAGTCACTTGCAAATTCATGTTTCGGATGAATACGGACGGAATCGGCCACCTCACCGAAGCCGGACTTTTGGATCGTGGCTTTCTTCAACCCATTTGCCTGAAATACGAGGATAAGAGAGACAGATTGCAGGATATTAGCGGCAACATGGTCATGTAGAAATACATCCCCCATAAGAAGCCGATCAGATTCTCATGCAATCACATCCATCATGCGAGAGGCATATTGTGACGCGACAAACTTGATGACTTTATCTCAAGTGGACTCAATACGAAACATGAGCGTACACTTCCTAGCCTACGAGATGATTTCAATCTCACTCTCTCATCATCTCCCTCAACTCATCAACCAACGAAGTCCCACATCTAACAACCCCTTCTCCGTCGCCATAGTCCTGCGCTATCACTCCTCCCGGCAAAACAGCAGTGATGAACTGCACAAACTCCGGCACATACGCCTCCGGAATCTGCTCCGACCAGTACCCCGCAAGCCCATCTTTCGGAATGACAACAAGCTCGCCTTTCTTGCCTGTGACCTGCTCCAGCGCCTCCTTCACATCGAGCGGACTGTAGTGCCGAGGGCCGAATAGCCTCACATCTCTCTTGCTAGGGTCGATCCTATCCGCGAGGAGGGTCTTGGCGCAGTATTCGCCGATGTCCTTGGTGCTCAGCTACAGAAGTGTCAACGGAGCTTCGTCGCAAGATTAGGTTACTGATGGAGATGCTCTTACCATGGGCATTTTGAAGTCCGCGGGTGAAAACGGGGACTCGAATCTAGGCGGGTCTTCTTGCATAGTCTTGAGAGCCTGAGACCAGACGTGGAAGTAGTACCCCGGCCTGACGATGACGACCTCGGGAGCAGCATCCTTGAGGATGTTATCGGTGATGTTGTTGAGTTTCAAAGTACCCTATCATCGATCGCCCATCATTAGCATCAAACTCGTAGACGGTTACGGATGTCTACTCACAATCTTGTCGGGGTCATGCTGAGCCCCCAAAGCCGACTGAATGACCAGCCTCTTCACACTCGACGCCTTTTTAAGAGCCGCAGCAACATAATTCGCCGTCCTCTTTGAGAACTCCGTCAGGTCCGTACCATCCCATACTGGCGGTGGCACGTACAGCACCGCGTCGGAGCCCTCGAAGTCGAGACCAGTCCCGGCTGCGATGTCGCCTTTCACAGCCTCGAAGTTGGCATGGCTGGTGAATTCCGGTGGTGCTTTGAATGGATCTCGGTAGATCCCTCGCACTACTAGTTTATCTCCGGAGTTGAGCAGAAATCGGATGGTCTCTTTGCCTGCTTGGGTTGAGGCCGGAAGGACTGTGATGTGGGAGGGCATGGTTGCTGAAGTAAATGATATCCTGACTTTCGATATCTTGTAGGACCTCAGACAATATTGACATCCGCTCTGGATGACAACGACACATACTTATACTCGTTCGCCAGCAGTAATGTCTCGATATATTTGTTGGCTGTTGGCTTGGCATGTAAGCCGCCGCTTAGAAATCTGTGGCTGTTTCATAAGCCGCCAAGGCGCCGTTGCGTAGTCTGATGTGGTGATGCAGATCCTGCGCCGCGCTTGAACATGAATTGAGATCGTTGGCTGTCTAGTCGGCGAGCGCGGATGGCTTAGTCTCTGCTTGGCGGTTGTAAATCCATGCGGAATACATAAGCCGCATCGAAGGCATCATTGCATCACACGTGAAACTATCACGTGGAAGATGATCTTGAGATCGAATAACAGAAAGTTCTAATTACAATGTCTAGTGTTCTATCGACAAAATCATCTAAAATCTCAAACGCTTGCCATCTCAATGCCTCACATACACCCTCATCTAGGCACCCAAATGCCTCCGTTCCCATAGGCCCGATCCCGCAACGCCGCCCCCTCCGTCCTCACTCCGGCAAGGTGCACCGGGATCCGATCAACCTGCTTCTGCACCCTCTCCCTCGTCTCCATATACCTGTCACTCAAACTCATCTCGCTCCTCATAGTCCTCATCCTCTCCCGCGTCTCCACGGGTCCCCAGTTCTCCCGACTCAGACTCGCCACCGCCAACAACACATCCGTCCCGTACGCCGCGAGCGCCGCCTCCGACCCGACCGCCGGCGTCGAAAGCCGCAGCTGTCCCATCACCAGCACCTTCAGCCGCGTCTCCAGGAACAGGGCACCGCCGAACTCGTGGATCAGGTGCACCGTCGCCACGTTCTTCGCCGCGACCCGCGGCGTCGCGTACGGCGCGGGGCCGACGGTGATGATGCTCTCGTGCCACTCCGTCGACACGTGCTCCAGCCCGCTCCGCGGCACCACGCGCGCCCACCCGAAGTAGACGCCCCGCATCCGCATCCTCACGTCCTCCGGCACGTCGGCCAGGTTCGCCGTCGGGATCCCGAGCTCCATCCCGCCCCGCCCCGTCCCGCGGACGATCCTCCCGTCGAACTTGATCGGGAACGGATCCACCGGCCCGTCGTCCGGTCCGACGACCTCCGGCGGCGCCTCCTCGAACCCGACCTCGCCGGCGCCGTCCTCCTGCCACGGCGCGTACCCGGCGCCCCTCGTCGTGGCGTACTGCTCCTCGTACGCCGTCACCGTCGTCTTGATCCCGGACTTGTCGATCCCGGACTTGGCCGTGGCGATGTGCGTCGCGTGCTTGGTCACGAACTTGGCCGTCTGCAGCTTCTTCGTCCGCGCCTGCACGACGGCGGCCGCGGGGCCGATGTACCGGTTCGCGACGGTCGTGGCGACGATCGAGCCGGCCTTGATGCCCAGCTCGATCGGCATGCTCGCGAAGCTCGCCCCGCGCACGACGCTCGCGTCCGTGGAGGTGCTCGCGATGCGGAAGACGGGGCTCGGGCAGAGGACTTTCCTCTTGCCCTTCCCTGCGTCGCCGCCGCCGCCCGTGCAGAGGACGAGACGGAAGTAGCCGTCGTCGGCGGCGGCGGGGATGCGGACGACGTGGGTTTCGCGGGGGAGGTGTTTGCTCAGGTTCTTGGGGGCTTTCTTGAGGAACTTCTTGATGTCGCGCTGGCAGCCCCTCTCGTCGCCGTCGGGCATGTCAGAGGGTGTGGCCTGCGCGGAGGGCGTGACGTCGAGCCAGGAATCGTTGGCGCCGACGAGGGACTTGAGGTTCATGCCCATGTTTCCCGAGAAGCCTTTACGCTGGAGCCAGAGGGTGCGGGTGGGCGGCAGCGGCGCGTCGGAGAAGATGGTGACGGTGACGGAGGTGGAGGGGCCGCGGTACCACACCAGAGCGGTGGAGTGGCGGAGGATGGCGTGGTGTTTTGTGTATTCGAAGGGGTGGCTGATGAGGCCGCCTGCGAAGTACTTGGTCTCGTCCAGGGCGGTTTGCCAGAACGTCTTTTCTTTTGTTTGAGAGTCTGCTGAGGGCGCTTCTGAGGGCGCGTAGACTGGTGACACTGGCGGGCGAGGTCCGGAGAGGGGAAATGTTTCTGATGCCGGTGGGCCTGCGAATCCCGGCGAAGGTGAGGGCACGTAGTGAGCCGCTACTGGGAAAGTCGCAGCATTCTGCGGCGGAGGAAAAGGTGGCGGCGGCGGAATCTTCTGGTGAGTCCCTACAGAAAAGGTTTCTGACTTTTGAGGAGGGAAAGAAGGCGGCGGCGGAACATGTTGCTGAGACGTAGCATAAGAGCTCTCTGACTTGGACGGAGGCGGCGGAACAGAAGACATCGGCGAAACAGGCGATACCGGGGACGCCGGCGGACGATACGGTCGATACCTCGGCTCATTGAACGTCTCAGCACACGCAGGCGGCCCAGGAAACACCGGTCCCGGGCTAGGCGGCGCCGGCGAAGGGAGTCTTCCGGGACTGGGCGGAATGATGTTCAGACGGCCGCTGGAGTTGACGCCGGGAAACTCCTCATAAGCCGGCGGCGGGTCGTAGACGGACGGCACCGCGGAGTCCCTCAGGTTCGGCGTCGATCGCGCGCCGCGGAGGACCGGCCTGCGGCTCGGAAAGGGGTCGAAGTCGGGTGGCGGCGGCATCGGCGGCGGGCCGGGTAGCTGGCCCGGCAGGGGCTTGCGCCTCACGGCGGCCGCGATTGGGGCCTCCATGACTCTTGCTGCAGGACGCTCTGGTGGGTGTCTCTTTTCGCCTCCCGACTCGCTGCGTCCGTCGCGTGAAAAGGTATTTCAGATTGAGCAAAAAGAAGATGTCTCCGGGACAGACTGGAAACCTTTGTTGAGATGAGATACTCGTATTCCAGAATTGCGAGCCCCTGAACTGAGATGAATCTGGAAGTGTCTCATCACGTGTCGCCAAGTCGTTAAAGAGCGGTGGTGAACGGTGGCGGGCATGGGTCTGTCGCGGTGATAATGTAAGCAGCATTCTCGACGGGTGGTTCGGCAGGAGATGAACTGGCCAAAGCGCCGGTTTCTCAAACGCTTGGTGAGATGGTTGAATTGAGATGAGGGAATGGTTTGGCTGTGATGACTTTCATGAGAGAGAATTGGGTGATGGTGAGTATCTGACATCAAATAAGCAGCGCGCTACCGACCGTAATACAGCATCATCACAGAGTGCTTAGGTGGTGACCCCTGCATCCACTAGGCTGCCAGGTAAACGGATTTTCGCATACGAGGGAGCGTCATCAACTCATCGCAGAGTTACAGATAAGGAATAGAAAATCAAACATTACGGAGAACTTACCGCATGTACCGATTTCCAGCTCATTCGGGACCTTCGGACCCGATGGTGCCGGTCCGGTAACCAAAACCTCCTCCGTCTCTGTCAGCCATCTAAGCCCGGGGGCGTTCATCACTCTAACACTGAATGAGATCTCACAATCAAGCTGAACAATAATCTGAAAGGTGTATTATCGACAACGAAACAAGTAATCGCCCAGTCCTGAGATTGAGCGGCCCATTCACAGCACTGATTCCCAGCGCAAATCCCAAGCGCCGATATTCAGATGAGCCACCCAAACTCATCACGCCTCACCCCTCTCACTCACAAGTCTCATATCTCATCAACTCTCACCTCCCGTACCTCATCCAAACAGCAGCCCCGCCAACAAACACAATCCCCATCAGGATCAAGTTCGTCAGCGCTCCCTCGATCCACCTCTTAATCGCCATCTCCTCCCTCATCTTCCACCCTCCGCCGGACCCGGTCGCGTTCGCGTGAGGAAACGGCGTCTTCGGGACCTCCTTGCCGAGAAACGCGCAAAGCGGCTCCCAGCCCTCGTCGACGGACCACTCGAGCAGCCGCTCTGGCGGGACGAGGCCGCGGATCATGTCGCAGTGTTCTGTGTCGCCTGTCAGCTCTCATATCATCCCAGAGAAGAAGAAGAAAAAAGAAAAGGCAGACTCACCCCGATATATCCACTTCCCATTCCTCTTGATAGCCCCCGCCATATCCCCGTCAGGCGCCCGGAAGAACAGCGCCCACAGAAACCTCTCATACACGTGCCACGCCCAGAACGCCTCGCGGTCCAACAGGCTCGCGACCCAGAAGCTCCAGCTCTCGTTGACGTGCACCAGCGTCTTGACCGCGCTCTCGTGCCACCTGTCCAGGTCCCTCCTCACGTTCAGCACCACCTTGGCGTCCGGGTACGCTCGGATCATCTCCGCCGCAAAACAGCTCGCCGCCGCGTCCGTGACCGCCGTGCAGTGCCCGATCAGCTCGTCGAACTCGTCCGCCGTGATGCTGCAGTCGCCCTGGCCGTTTTTGCCCGACCCGTACCACTTCTTCCGTGCGAGCTTCACCCAGCCCGGTGCCGGGATCGGGGGGTCCTCATAGACGATGTCCCAGCCGTGGTACGTGTGATCGTAGCCGAGTGTGAGAAGGGCCTTCTGGAGGGATTCTGTGCCGCTGCGCGGTGGTCCCACGCAGAGCACCTCCATCGGCTTTGTGCGTTTGCGAGGTGTCGAGGGCGGGATGGCGTAGATGTGGTTTTCGAGTATGTGCCACCACCAGGCGTTCATACTCGACAGCGGCGTGAACATTATCGCCGATTCTCTGCGGTCGCAGATGTCACCCTCGTGTGAGAATACCTCTTTGATTCCTCGATACCTTCTAGAATGCGCCCCGCGGACGTCTGAAGGATCCTACCCGTGAGCTAGCGACGGTTGAGCTGCAGACACAAACCGAGCTTACATACGTCCGTCCGTCTGCCCCCGAACCTCAGCTGACAGGAAACGAAAATATTTATACGGGGACCCGAGCCTCAAAACAATCCACGATTCCCCATCGAAAGAAACATGTTGATTCGAAACGAAAAGCGGCCGGAAGACCGTGTCGTCATCGCACCATATGCAACGTATGCAACAAGTAAGCCGCATGAACCATCCCTACCGACACACAAAACCCCGCGAAGACGACTCACTGCGTTGCAATGTGGCATGTCAGAGGAGGTGGAGGGCGACGGGGGCCAGGCATGAATGATGAAGAGACAGCCAAACGCGCCTGTAACGGGGTTTCGGCCGCGGCGGGTTCCCTGCCAGCTGTCTCCCCACCTTCGTTTCTCCTCACCACGAATGGCCAGCGGTTGCGAGGAGTTTGGCTGCTTAAAGTGCCAGAGTCCACTGATCGGGTGTTGGCACGCGAGGCACACGGTTCGTTTTGGAAGTCAAAATGCCTTTAAAAGGATGTTGATTTTGGCCGCAACGGGGGCGTGCTCCGGCGGGGTTTAGTACACAAACCGGGGCCTGTCAACGAACCGACCAGTCCCCGAGGTAGACATCGTGGCGATCAGCCAAACTTGCATACCCAGTATCCTGCCCTTGGGTCGTCCTCGGTCGCCAGAGACCGCCAGAATTTAGTCCAGCCGGGCCGTCCGTCGTTCCTGAGATGCTCGACTTCCTCGACTTCCTCGCCTCTCTGCTTCGCTTCTGCTGCTAGCAATGCAGTGTAGAGTGATTGATAGAACAGCACCTGCTTCTCAATACCCCTCGGTAGATTGTCGATGGGATCCAGGACTAATCCTGATAGCTCATCCGCGTTGACCTCGCCAAGTGTGGAGATGAGCAGAGTCGTCACGTTGGGCCTTGGAACCGGGACTCGCCGGACTGATCCCTCGAAAGAGATGTGCAGACGCCGTAGTGCTGGGAAGGTGGGCGCGATCTGGTTGATGATCTGCAGATACTGGTCGCGAGGACTCAAGGCGCGAAGTTCGGTAATGAGAGGAGCGCTCTTGGACGGACGCGGGGCGTTGTCGAGGGAGCGATCAATGAGAGACTCGTCGCGGTCGGGTATGCGAATCTCCAGCGACGTGATCCAGTTCAGTTGGGGTGTGGAAATGGCATAGGGAAAGTACATCGCCTCAAGCCTCTGCTCGAATTTGAACGTGTTGCTGGCGTACAAGACCTTGATCGTCTCTTCGTAGCTGTGACCTTGTTAGCATTCTCGTCTGATGTTATACAGTCTCACGTCAGACTCGTTCGTGGGTACTCACGCCCGACGGCAAGTTAACAACCAAGGCAAGACTTCCAGATACGTCTCCTTAGGCCCGCACGTCTGGAAGAACCCCCTAGGACATTGATCTCCCAGCTTCGTCTCAAGCCTCCGGTCTTCCGGGCCGCAGACGCAACTCCACCAGTACCACTGCGGCGTCATGCTCGCGTCCACGAACGGCGGATCCATTGGGGAGACACCGGGCGAGTGAGGGTACCAGGCCGGCACGGGTTGGTGGCCTTTCCTCCATCTCACGTCGGGCTGGAGGCTGCGTCGGTACAAGAGGTAGAGATGAAGGATCTTCCCGCCAAAAGCCAGCTGGTAGATTTGGTAGCGTAAGTCGAATGTCAGGACCTCGAAGAAAGGACCTAATGAGATGTCATCGCCGTTGACGGGAGTCTCTTCGGCCAGCGGTCGTGACCGAATGGCCAGGATCGAAGACTGAGCCGCGCCGTCATCCGTACCGCTTAGCTCGTCGTTCTGGATTGCCGTTGCCGAGATGGTTGCGTCCGCATCCGGAGCGGTGGGAGGCGCGTCACGCGGCGGCAGATGTGAGTCGCGACTCGGGCTCTGGGCGCCGAGAGGCGGTTCCGACATGGCTGCAGGGCTTCGCGGGGCAGCGGTTGATCGACCGGAGAGGTGGTGATCAACAGTACTGCATCGGTTGTGTCTTCCGCAGGTATCGCAGTGCTCTTTGAGAGTTCGTCTCTGAAGAGAGAAGCGAGTCTGTTGGGGAGAAGACAGGCGGATGATTTTGTGGCCAGGTACAAATGTTTCTAAGCCGGGAACGACACCGAGCGAGTACCGAATCGGTGCGACTTCCCTGAAATTGGTGATAACGCTGAGGGTACGTACCCCGGGATGTCAGACTCAGACTTTGGTCTCAGGTGGGGCCCTTGACGCCGTGCGAGTTCAGCATCAATGGACGCAATTATCACCAAAAATAGACCAGATTGCCGCTGGACACAGGCCTGCAGCGGGTATTGGGCACAGTAAAGGAACTGTACCCCTGGACTCACCCGCCGAGCGAGGGAATAACGACCACGGCAACCGGAGATGCGCATCGTGTCTGACCGACGACATTGCTCGTCTTCCCGCAGCTGATGGATCGATCCTCGAGCACTGTTTGGTCTCCGGGGCAACATCGGCGTGGAATATGCGCTGTCAGACGCTGAAGAATATGGTCATCACGTCAATTAGCAACAGCGGATGAGACGTATGGTTATCTCTTGTTCTCGAAATGTCCGAGACGGCAACTATTCTCTACAGCATTTGCGTACAGCTTCTCCCAGCATGATGCGTTCAGGCAGAACTTGAATGATTGACAGGTTTCTGACCTCCAAAATGTTCCAAAAAAAAGTAAAAGTAGAAAGACACCATCATCTGACTTTGCCTTCAATCAGTTATCCTCCACGTCAAATTCCGACAGCAACGAAGGCCATCGCCATGACGCCAGCCATGCCGGCGTTAATACGGTGAGCTTGAGCCGTGGTGACGACGGCGGGAACGATCTCGGTCGCCGTACCAGCGGGATCCTCCGGCAAGATGGTACGGAACATCGGGCCATCGGGGCTGGTCGTGATGGTGGCGTTGCTCGGAACAAGGCCGGAGCCAACTGGAACAGGAACAGGCGGGTCTCCGTATGGCATCAACGAGATGCTGCTCAGACTCTTGGTGACCGTCTGAGGAGGCCACAAGGTTGACTCAGCTGGTGTCTGTGTCGCAACAGAAGGGTCTGCCTGGAGACTGCCGGATGCTGTCTGAGGAGGCCACAAAGTCGTTTCGGCGGGCGGCTGGGGAGCCACAGTGGGATCGGACTGAAGATTGTCGCAGTTCTGAGATCCAGCAGAGCTCTTCGGCGGCATGTGGACGTAGACTGTCTGGACGACAACGATCGGGGCCGTGGGCACTCCGCTGATAGCAGGGAGGGAAGGAGCAGGAGTATGATCGTCGTCCAAGGTGCAGGAGCTTGACTGACCTCCCGCCGCAACAGTATGGACCACAAGAGTAGACCTGGTAGCCAACTTCAGGGTGCGAGTGATAGTCGGGAGCTTCACGGTAGAGTATGTGATGAGGGGAGAGGCCGGAGACGCGGCGGGGTCCGTGGCCAGGGTGTAAGAAGCAGGAGGATTGGAAGCAGGGAGCGTGGGAGCAGACGGGAACTCGTCGCAAGCCTGGTACACATTGGCGTAGCTGCAAGTTGCGCTGTTGAAGCCGCAGAAGCCGAAGTTGGCATTGCCGTTGCAGGGGTTGGCACAGAAGGACTCGTCGACCTTGGCGAGGTTCTCGAGGTTGCGTCCACAGCGACAGCCACTGGAAAGAACATAAGATGTCAGCGAGTGTTGTACGTCGATGATGTCGAAGACTTACTCGGCAAAGGCAGCGGCCTGGTCAAATCCCATGCAGGCAGACTGGCACTGCTCCGGAGTAAAGGCCGAGGGGAAGCCGACGAAGGCGACGAAGTTAGCTGCAGAGGCGTTGACGCAGCCGAAGTACTCGAAGCCGTGGATGACGTGATTAGCCTGGGCGGCGACCATGGAGGCCATGAGGATGATAGATAGAAGGAACGACATGTTGGAGAGACGTGAGAAGTGAACGAAGGTGACTCTTGGCTGGTTGAAAGGGGGGAACGGTCCAGAGTCTGGGCGGCGCGAGAAATGAGTGATTGGATGCTAGTCGCCTGAGTGGATGGCGATGGTGATGATTCCACGAAATAGTACCTAGGAGGAAGAAGTGAGTGAAGAGTTTTATAGCAAGAAGTCCATGGCTATAGATGGAAGGTTCTGCTTCCGGGAAGGAAAGAGCTGAGGTGACAGGAGGGAAGGCACCTTCTTGATCGTGCCTTCATCGGTAGGACTGTTGAGGGTAAGAGCGGAAGGAGTAACGTTTTCCATGAGGCATCGCACCTTCCTCTAGAGTAAAGGCAGGTTTACGTCACTATTCACGACCACGACATGTCAACGGCGAGAAGGACAGCTTGTTGGCGAAGTACACGCTTTTGGTATTCTGCTGGGTCCAGATGAGGCGAGGTGTCATGGTATCTAAGCTATGCATCAACATCAACCACCTCCGATACACCACCGCAGCAGAGATCGCAATCGTCAGGGCTCTCTTTGATCATCATGTTGCCAAACAGGCTGTCTAGAGCCATTTGCGACAAGCCAACAGCGGTTACGCAAGAGTGCGAAACACAGCATGTCGACAGTCTATGGCCGATCGAGTCTCATCATCCGATTGCAAGCGTGTCCTCCGTCCCAAGGCCTCATTAGGCAGCGTGGTGACTGAAGGTAGCTAGCTTAGTGCTTCTTCCTAGACGACGCCGAGACCAGCTTCTTCTTTACGCTCTTCGGAATCTTCTCCTTGCGCTTCTCGCGCTTGGCCTCCTTGACCGCTGCCTTGTGCGCCTGGCATTCGTTAGTCTGGATTCCTCAACAGCGGCGACATGATGCTTACCTTCTTCTCGTCCTTATCCTCATGCTTACGCCCCCTAGGCCTGCCCTTGTCGAACTTGGAATCCCCCTCGTCGTCATCGCTTCCGAGAGATGCTCCACTTCCCGACTCGTCTTCGGACTCGTCATCCTCCTCTTCCTCATTCTCCTTGACGACAGTATCGGCAAGCAGGTTCTTGTACACAAGCTTGTCACCCTCGCCCTGTCCAATCTTGGCACCGTCCTTCTCGATGTCGTAGACCTGCTCGAGAGTCTGGGGGATGTACTGCTTGCGGAAGACCTCGTTGTCGACCTCGACCTCAGCAGCAGCTTCGTCCTCATCGGCGGGTCTGCTTTCGTAGAGCTTCTCGAGGGCATCCTTCATGGCCGGCTCCTCCACCGGGCCCTGCGTCGCTGAGATGAAATCGAAAACGGCACGGTCAGACAGGGTGTCGACGCCCTTCCGCCTGAAGAAGTCGCCCACGTTCTTGATATCCATGCGCAGGAACTCCAACGCGCGAGGGTGGTCAGGCTCGACACTCTGAGAGACGTCGATGATGTACAGCTTCTTGTCGTTGTACAGGATGTTGTACTCGCTCAAATCGGCGTGGACAAGTCTGCAAACCTGGTATATCCTGCGGTACAGACCGAGCAACTGGACGTACAAGTCCCTCCACTGCTCGTCAACATCGTCTCCAGCCAGCTTGGCATCCCTCAGACGGGGGTACGCCCAGCCCTTGCGGTCACCCAGGAAACCCATAGCCAAAACATGAAGCTTGAGGCTGATGGGCTCAGGGCAGGGGATGCCAGCAGCGTGTATCCTCCTCAAGTTACGGAACTCCTTCTCGGCCCAGAGCTTGACCATACTCCTGTTGCTGCTCTTGTCGAAACCCTTCTGGAAACGGTGCTCGCCCGTGATATACCTCTCGCGGTCCTTGAAGACCAGGATCGACGTCTTGTACACCTTGATGGCTCGCTGGACGGTCGGCGCATCGCCCTCGGGATGCAGCACGGCATGGTAGACGTTGGCCTCCTTGCCGGTACTGATGGCACCGTGAATCTCGCTGACGACGCCACGGTTGATCATCTGCAGCAGGATCATGCGCGTGCGCTGATCCAGTACCTGCTCGCTCGTGGCGCGGTCCGCCTTATCCTTTGTCTTCTCGTCATCGTCGCGACCCTTGACGCTGTCGAGCCTGATCTTGGCAGCGTGCTTGGAGAGGGCGGTGATCTGGTCGTCAACACTGGCGAAAGTGTTTGCAGTCGGTCGTTGCGCGTTGGAGCGAGGGAGGGCAGCGCCGCCGTCGCTGTTGCTGTTGCTGTTGAACATGCGCTGGCGGTTGTACGACTTGGTCAAGTCGCCCGAGTCGCCGGCCCATTCGTCGTCGGGGACGTCGTCGTCCTCGCCGAAGATATCTTCCATGTCATCCTCGGCATCGTCCTCGAGGGCGGGGGTATCACGGGGCACGTTCTTCAGCTCGGCCGGTACCTCCTCGGTCTGTTCGTAGCCCTGGTTCGCGCGGTATGTGTATGGTGGCTCGTGGGGAGCGGCGGGAGACTCGTTGGAAGCCATGATGCAGGCAATCGAAGTTGTGCGGAATTCTCTGTGTCTTCTCCTACTGTGCAGTGTCTGGGTCTGGCGTGGACTTTGTCGGCTTGGAATTTGCACGAGTGTGCTCGAGATGTTGTTTACCCCTCTGCCCCTCCATCATCGCAGCCGGGATTTTCGAAATTTTTATCTTATCAGTTGGTGGCGGGGTTATCGACTCACCGGCCAGAGGAGAGGACCGTGCACCGAGGATGGTGAGTCAACAGTGGCCATCATTAGGGATTTTTTAGTGATACAGAATGAATCACAGCTGCTGTATGGTGAGACGGGCACTAAAAACACGCGCTAAAAGCTGCTCGCTTAGCTTTAGTCAGCTATTCCAGGGGCAGATTTGTGGAGCCACTCACTGTCCAATGGGGCGAATTGAGAGCCTGCACCTTGACAGTCACCCAATTTCAACATGAATGAGAGTATTGATTCATCTCTCAAGTGAGCATCATGCAAACACCACTCAGAGATCATCACACCTTATGGTCGACTCTGCTACGTCTATACGTTTGACTCCCAACGTTTCTTGATATCGTCCTAGGCAGGAAACACGTTCGTCTTCGAGTCGACTCCTGGATCCCAAGTGTTGGGCGTCGGGTCATTGCTTGATGTTGAAGTCATCGCGGCGCACCTCGGCTTTCGACCTTGGGGTAAAGACCGGCTATTATTCAGATTGACATAACAGCATTCAGATTGAAGCCTAAAGAGCGGCTCGATCGGTCTGAGCTTTGCCCTCTTCGGGCGCGCTCTTCGGCAGAATATCTGTGACTCACTCTCTTGGACTAGGTCAATCACCTTGGCACGTCTTACTGACACCTAAATGACGAGAAGGCCGTTCAGAATGAGAGCGCTAGCTTGACCTCGTGTGGCAATCAGCTCAAGTATGCGCTCGGGCGCCACTTCTTCTGGAAATCTTCCTCGCATTGAGGTCCGGGACATGTCATCTGCTCTGACCCGAGCTGGCGTCGTCCGTTGAAATGCCGACTTCAACGGCATGCACAAGTCTCATGGTGACTCTTTGCCAGCCTTCATCTCTTCTACTTCATTGGCATTACTTAATCTTTTCAATTTTCCTGGTTTATTCCGGTGGAGCGGGCGTTCAGATGAGCATGGCTCGCGACCAAGCGTGAAAATTTTAACGGCGGACGAGCCAGGCTCGAATTTGATAACGAATGCCGTTCATCGGGAAAGGTTGTTGGTCTAATGGCGTCATTCCCTTCATGGCCTTCACTGAAGTGAGGAAGGTGAACTTGAGATTGCCGAATTTCTATCCCAAGTTTATCACCTGTCTGCACATATGTTGATGCCTCCAGCTCTACCATACGCGTCGCAACCAAGATCAACCTCATCTCTGCTGATATCAACGCCTAGCTTCATTAGCCTCGCTCTCCTTCCGTCTTCCAGGGACATAACCGCATCTAATGCCCGGAAGTCGACGGAGCCGCCGATGAGCTCATGAAGCCCTCATTCAACTTCGGCCGAAAACGACGAACCTTGCTAGTCATGAAGACGGGCCATGCGCCGTCCCGCAGCGTTGACGTCCAGGATGCGTGGAGACAGGATAGCTCCCGTTCAGGCACGGCCCTGCTTCCACTCGATCAAGAACCTTCCCGCACACTCCCCGAGCTGGCCATGGCCAATGGCCCGCGAGCCTCGTCTGTAGCTTCCACCTGCTTCTTGACGGGATCATCCCACCCATCAATGCACAAATAACCTCTGTCTCACCACTATAAGGTGGTGCCCTATAGTTTGTACTTGGGCTGTCGATGAAACCAGGCGTTGCCATGGATCTGCGCTTCCGTATGAGTGGTTGAGGTTGAGGCCCTCGTTTATATCGTGCCTGGACCCTGAGAGCCAAGCTTGAAAGCTCTTGAGCCCTAGTAGGTCTTATTCTGTCATTAAACATAGGAATCTCTCGTTCTTACAACGTCGGCACGGCATCATGGCTCACGTCTGGCGCGGGACGTGGATCCTCTGGCTCCTCTACGCTCTCTCTGCTCTTCTGATTTTGGTACAAGCACATCATTGGAAACGCCCTTACCATCAACCGCCGATATTACCATCACCGCAGCCATCACCGCAGCCAGCACCGCAGCCAGCACCACAGCCAGTACCACAGCCAGTACCACAGCCAGCACCACAGCCAGCACCACAGCCAGCACCAAAGCCATCAACACAGCCAGCACTCCAAAACGATATTGACAGCGGGAAAGCCTTGTCAGAGCTCAACCAGAAGGCACTAGATAATTTCCGTCGGCTTAACCATCGACCATCGTTCAAGAACTCCACAAGCGCCTGTTATGGGAACCAGACGTTGATGAGAAAGGAATGGTGAGTCTGGTGGACGACCGAAACGTTGTGATCACTACACTAACACATGGCTGAATAGGAGGACCCTCTCAGTCCCGGAACGCAAGTCATTCATCGCAGCTGTCCAGTGTATCATGAAGAAGCCAGTGTTATCAGATCGCAAGAGGGTCCCCATGGCGAAGTCGCTCTACGATGACTTTGTGGCTGTTCACTACACCAGCTTCAGGAATACTCATCTGACGGTATGATCTAGACACTCCTAGTATTCTGTGGGGGACCTGTTCAGCGCCAACTAACGTCGTCGACAGGCCTCGTTCTTTGCTTGGCATCGATATTACCTGGGCACCTTCGAGCAGAAGCTGCGTGCCGACTGCGGGTACAAAGGAGCCCTCCCATATTGGGAATGGGGTCTCGACATCAAGAACCCAGCTGCGTCGCCAGTTTTCGACGGGTCCGACACATCCCTCGGGAGCGACGGCGCCTTTATTCCACACGACGGACTTCGTCTACGTCAACCATTCTCCAACAATCTCATCGTTCTCGAACCCGGCTCAGGTGGCGGTTGTGTCAAATCAGGGCCTTTCGCCAACATGACAGTCCACATCGGCCCGGCGGCTCTGGCGCAGTACGGCACCGACAAGCCCTTTAACGTCTCGAAACCCCTCGAAGACCTCCCACGGTGTCTGAAGAGGGATTTGAACAGTTTCGTGGCATCCAAGTACTGCTCGTTTCGCAACACAACCACGCTCATCACGGAGCAGAAGACCATCGAGAAGTTTTCGGCGCTACTTCAGGGCGACGACAGATTCTTCCCGAACACCCTAGGTGTTCATGGCGGAGGCCACTTTATCATCGGCGGAGACCCCGGGGCGGATGGATTAATAGCCCCTGGCGACCCGGCGTTCTGGGTCCATCAAGCGCAGGTCGATCGCGTGTATTGGATCTGGCAGAACCTGGACTTTGCTAATCGGCAGGGCGTGTTCGGGACATTCACGTTGCAGGACAACCCACCAAGTCCCAATGGTAGTGTTGACGACCTGATCGACCTCACTCCGATCAACACGCCTGTCAAGATTAAAGACCTTATGAACACAGGAGCAGGAACGCCGTTGTGCTACTTGTACTTATAGATAATTATGACCTAGCTACAAATAATGTTTAGACTGATACCCAAGCCTACCCTCAACTCTTAGTTCTCAACCTGCCATTGCTGGTCTATGGGCCATCATGCCTCTTTACTAAAAGCCACTGGGAAAATGAACTCACGGCCAAGAGCCAATGGGTTTCACACAGCCAAGCCAAGAAAACCGTAAACGGGGCATTCTCACGTTAGTTTCCAGCTGAGAAGTCTACTGACAACTTCAAAGTTTTGTTCAGCGCTCAGTCATTGGGACGCCATTTGCAGTAGAGAATCAGCCTGCGAACTGGGATGATTAGCTCCTCGCATCGTCTATCACCACAACTCTCAATCTCTTCACTTCTTGGAGCTTTCCAGAGGGAGGGAGGCGGGAGGCGGCATAACCGAGGTGCAAGTCCGAACTCTGCAGGCTACAGTGATTGCCACCTTCACATCGGTGTGCCATGCGGGCGACGAATGCCCGCCTGCAAAGAAGAGGCAAGAAACTCAAGAGAACCCGCGATGCTTCGCCAGAGTCACGACGTAGCGGCGAGGCCAATCCCAATGGTCAGCCAAAAATACTATTCCAGGCTGATCCCATCATCGATCAGGTTAGACCAGGAATGTCCCAACCTACTTCATGAGACAAGCTTTGTGGAATTGAGACGGATGCGCCAACCAGGCCGCACACTTGTCCAAGCTAGGTTCTAGCTCGCCGAGCCTCTTTTATCCTTGCCACCACCTGCGTGCTCGGTCGATTGCGGTCTATCAAAGCGCACTCAACATTCCCCACGTTCGCCGGGCACAAGCCACGGGCGTGCCCAAAACGCGTGTCTTTGGCGGGTTGAAACATCTGGCCATCCTTGCAAGCGGTCTGTATTTAGCGCCGCCGCTTACGAGCCGAGAAATGAGTGAGTGATGACGTTGCCTGGTTATTTAGTTTTCGAGTCTAGCTGACTATGCTGTAGTTAGGACTTTTCGCATTCGCCATTCAAAAGTCGAGGAGGGGAAGCGAGGGCCGGGCGCGAGGTCTTGTACTCGGTTCGTCTCGTCCTCGAGAATTTTGCACAATGTTGTTATCCAAAGAATTCGCCCAGCGACGTCTCATGAACTCGCGATGAGCCACGTATGTTCAGATGTGGGTAACTCAGTAAGACCCGACGATGAATGAATGCGCCACATGAGATTACGACACCGCGTCTACGAAATCCAATAGAAGGAAGCGTTTGTCTGTCGTGGAACTTGGGGAAGCACGAACGGGTCATTGTGTGGGTGGGCGAAAGCAAGAAGCATCGAGAGGTGAATGGATGTTTGGTCCTTCCCGTCGACAAACACACAAACGCCAGCATTGTGGAAGCAGCAACCCGAGTTGCGTCTCCCTTCGTGACACCATCAATACCGTCGGTTGCTCAAATCCAGTCCTGGTGCCTAAAGGAGGGCAAACGAAACTGCAAACAACTTTATTTGTTCTCGACCGGCTCCCATCGATTATCGCCAACATCACCTCGACATTCCTAAGCCTCACCGAAGATCGCCACCGATATAATCAGTTTCTCCTCTACCTAAAACGAATATGATATCGATAGCAGCTCCGCGGCTGCTATCGACGCGGTCGCGGCAGCCGTTTACCTATATCTACGTTGCCCTCTCGATATGCCTTCTCTACGTCTTTCTTCGCACCGATCTCGGTAACACCGTTGTCACAAGAGTAGCAGACATCAGACCCGGAGCTGGCAAGTCTTCGAATGGGCTGCCTAAGACGCCCACATACAAACCGCAACCGACATGGACACCGCCTCCCGTCAAAGACCCGTTTCCCCTTCTCATGACCTCGAACCCCCCTCCGATTCCTTCTTGGAATATACCTAAGAAGCCGAACGTCTACACCAAATACGATCTGCCCATCGCTCCACCGCTGCTCATCGGCTTCACGCGCAGCTGGCCGTTGCTACTGCAAACTGTTGTCGGATACGTCACGGCAGGATGGCCGGCGGAACAGATATACGTGGTGGAGAATACGGGAGTGCATGAGTCCAACGCGATGGGCCGACTCGGCTTGCAGAACCCACTGTACCTGAACCACACACAGCTTCACATGCTCGGAGTCCACGTGATTCGCACGCCTGTGCTGCTCAACTTTGCTCAGCTGCAAAACTACTTTGTTTCCCTGAGTAAAGACAAAAAGTGGCCATACTACTTTTGGAGCCACATGGACTCGTTTGTCATGTCTCTGGAAGAGGGCGCCGAGGGCCTTTCGGGACCGGTCAATACGCCCGAGTATCAGACAATCTACGACCTCGCAGTGCGGGAGGTAAATCACACGTTGAGGACTGACCCGAAATGGGGAGCGAGGTTCTTCGCGTACGACCACCTGGCGCTGGTGAACCCGAAGGCGTACGAAAGCGTTGGTGGTTTCGACACCTTCATCCCATACTACATGACGGACTGCGATATGCATTGGCGTCTTGAAGAGGCTGGTTGGAGCATGAACGAGTCCAGGGCGGGAATCATCCAGGATGTTGCTACGGTGCTTCAGGACCTGAGGATGTTCTACCGCGAGGGAGATGTACCGGAAGGGTTCAGCTTCACAGACCCGAATCCACCTCCTGCGAAGGTCTCCAGAGACCTTTCGAAGGAGACACCGGAGAAGCGCGGACTGGAGGAGAGCCTCGCGCATCTTCCCCCGGCAGGCGACGCTGCTGCTGTGGATGGCAAAGGTGTCACGACGACGATACTTGACCCTCTCATATCCTTCAAGAAGCTATTCCGCATCAGCCAGGACATGTTTAATCACAAACACGCCGATCGAGACAGGAACACGTGGCAACTGGGACAAAGGGGCGGAGATCCAAGTGAGCCGTACTACTACGATGCTCTTGGGTTCCAGACCGGCATCGACGTGATGACAGAGGCTGGCAGGGAGGTCTTCAGGAGAAAATGGGGCCATAGAGGGTGTGACTTCGCTGCTGCCGGCTTGCATCCTGACGATGCTTGGAAAGTCGAGAAGGACTGGGATTAGTACGAATGGCCCTTTGGATATCGAGCACGCTTTGGAGTATACGGCGTTATGGGGTAGAAGCTTCATCTTGAGAATAGTAATGTCTAGAGTAGACGGTTCGAAGTCATCGTCCTAAGGATCATAAGCGTTTTCTGGTAAACTCAAGAGCTTGTGAAGAAGATATCTACCACACTCGCATCCAGTTCGCAAACGTTGAGTCGGGCTCCAAGTGTTGGGATATCATGAATGAGTCAGTCATTTCGCTTGAAGCTCATAGTAGAGGTTGGGAAGGTAACGCTTCAGAATCCGACAAGTTTGAGTACCTCCTTGCAGCCGTGAAGACTGCTCAACGAGTGCTCTATGGACCCGGCCCTTGCGGTTGTAAGACCTAAGACACACAATTCTTGCTAGAGATTTGATCGACATATGCTTTCAGTGATCATAACTGAGGGCAATGTCAGCCGCTAGTCGAACTGACTATTGCTCGGCTTGTCCGGCATGTTAGCAACGGCGAGCAACAAGTTCACGTCCGAAGCGGAATGGCACCCTACACAGCCCCATCTTGCAACTGAACCCTTGAAATGTGAAAAACGATTGCTCGTCCGATCGCCAGAAACAAGCTTTCAAAAGGGGCGCATGATTGGGATAACTGACAGGGACAGCCCGTGTCGTCGCAATAAATTCATAGCTATCTTTCCCCACACGAAAAAGCTTACCACACGATGTTCAACTCCATTCGTTGCTATTATTCAGGGGCACAACCATCAATCTTGAGCATTCATGCCTCCAGACCCTCCGCGTCGAACGACAGAGGTGGCTGCTGAACGGTAACATAACTCAGTGATATTAATAGCCCTGCCTCGTCACACAGCAACAGCGTGAAGACAGTTCGGAAAACGAGTCTAGCACCCCGCTAGTTTGCCGTTCATCCGATCTTACACAGCGATCATCATGGTTTCCGAGCCATCGTGGATCCTTCGCACTTCCAGCAGATCCGGGGATCTGCACATGGAGCAACATAAATACGACCCTGTTCGTCCTTGAGACGGTTCGATACCATCATCAACAGTTGCAGACACATTCAAGAAAGATTCTTCTCTGACTTCTATCCAACGTTCGCTTATCCCAATCATGTCGACTTACATCAAACTCGCCGTCTTGGCTATTGCAAGTCTGAGCATGGCCAGCCCCATGCCAGACCCAACCACAAAGGCAGTAGCCGGCGACTGCACCACCACTGTCACGCACCTGGATCACGGATTTACCGGCGACTTCAAGCCTACCAGTACCATTACGCTCTACAACAGCACAGTCACTGTACCCAGTCCCACAGACTGCCATGGTTGCAGTCATGTTACTACGACGGAAGCGCGGGCACCGTTCTGGGGAGGTCATGGACCTCAAGTTGAGAAGGTCGTCTATGTTTACGCTTCAACGCCAACAACTATCTCGACACCTGTTTGCGCAACGGCGACGAAAGCCGTCTAGACGAAGATGCGAAGACGGAGGTGGAAGGGTTGAGCCAAATTTGGTAGCAAAGAGACGCTGGGGCTTTATTCTTAAGTAATAGGAGATATTTTCTTAGATATCAAATATATACACGTGAATCACTTGAGCTGGGTCAAGGACTCTCACGTATGAGGAATATCAGATCACTTCATCTTGTCTACTTGTCATTTTGCAAACATTTCTACACCGAAACGTGCATGAGCTGTGATCAGACACATCGCAGACCATGGGCACGTAAAACAGCTTCAGCGCCTTGATAGCTTCAGTCGATGCAGACATGAACTCCTTTAATTATTTACAACATATAACCAGTTTTCTTACCTAATTGGACGATTCTCATATTCTTCAACTCAACTGAGGTACTTCATAAAACCACGCAATCTACAATTACCTAATCAGGCAACAAGTGAGGCTATTCAGAGGCCCTACGGACAGAGCCCTCACACGCAGAGCCCTCATGTGGATCTCTGTCAAGAGGACGTGAAGAATGTGAGGGGCAGGAGGGGCAGGAGGGAGAGGATGGCGCATGGGAAAGGGTGGCTGGATAGGAATGGGGGGCTGTATTCAATCCCTAGCATTATGAGCTAGGTAACACTGTTTCAAGTATTCCAAGGAGCTCAGTGAAGGGCGAGCTCGTCGCCTTGCTCAATTGGAGGCTAGGGGTGGCCTCGAAATGCTCAATTGAGTTGATTTACAAAGTGAATAAGTTGGAGGCAATAAATAGACAGCGTGCACACCTTTCTTTACTTATTCGTAGGCAGGTCGCAGGGAAGGTTGCATACACTGAATACAACACTGGCATAACTTTGAATCAGTTTACTTGTAGCTTAGTGTGATCAGAGTTCCTGAATGCCTATCCGTAGGAGCATTCGATCGACTTGCACCACCTTTGACCGCACTAAATATGGTTTCTTTTTGTGATTGCTGCAAGACGCAAACTTACGAATGTCGGCTTATCCGCACTTTGATGCGATTGCTGCGTGGCGGCGGTGGGTGTCTACATATTCCCATTGGTGGTTGGATATGAGACATCCATCCATGATACGACCATACCTTATGAAGGCGAGACGGAAAAAGAAAATTCACAGAACGGCCTATACAAATGCAGGGATTACGAAGGAGTCGTAGGTGTATTCAGGGATTTACTGCACTGAATACCACAGCAGAGATGTTGATCACACAACGTCCCCGTGTCTATCCATAGGCAGCAAAGGTGGGTGGAACAAGCAGGCTGAACATAAAATTGAGTCCGAATGCCCACCTTTCTGAGGAGATGGAATCACCCATTACTTGGAAGTCTCTTATTTGAGTCTCACGGAGCCTTCCTGTCAAGATGGGCCGACCAGCGCTGGACCAACTTCCTACTGATCTCCTGAACGAGATCACCTTGTTGATCTTTCGGGGACCCGACAGACTCAAGAACTTGATCAAATTCTCGCAAACGTCGAAGCGCGTCCGCAGTCACTGCATCCAGATTTTGTTCAAAGACGTCGGTATATGTGGTCGTGGTTTGCCTTCACCGCCGCTACAGGAATGCATCGAGCTCCTGAACCGGGTTGTGAGCAATCCGGACATTGCTTCAGCGGTCCAACATTTCATCGCCATTCCGTGGGAGGATTACAAATCGGGAATCTCCCCTCGCACCTTGTTCCTTGGAGTCGACATTCCGGCGTTCCTGTGCTCAAACGCACCCGAAACCGAGGCAGACCGAAAGCCGTTCGACTTGGAAGGCTACATGAAAGGAACCGAAGCGGAGGTCACGCAGTCTCTGATGGAGATGATCTTAGCCCACACCACGAACATTCGCTCCATAGACAGCTGCTCGTACAACTCACCCACTGCCTTCGACACCCTCCCGACAGCTTCCACTGCGTTGCACCGGCCTCTCCTGTTCCCCCAGCTCACCAAAATCCTCCACGACGACGTCGTTTGGCAAAAGGTGCAGCATTGGGCTGAGTGGGCGCCTCATCTGGAGTCTCTCCGGCTTCGCAGGGTTTGTGGTCCTGTCAACAGAGCGCAGTTCGACAATGTCATAAGACTGCATCTCGTAGACGCCACATTTACTGGAAGTGAAATCAAGGAGCTGATGAGCGGCTTCCCGAACGTCACGAACTTCAGCTTCTCTTGGCCATCCGAGAAGACCAAGCAACAGTGCCTTCCCCAAGACGTGGTTGAAGCTCTAGAACCATTATGCACAAAGCTGAGGCTCTTGAGGTTGCATATGGCGCAGGTGAGGATCTCACATGATGAGGACTCATCAAACGAGCTCTTCACCCAGCTCGGAGGTGTGTTCCCTGCGTGGCAAATTGAGAAGATGATGCAGTGGCGTCATTTGAATCTTGGGGCCCGAACAACCAAGGTCTCGGGTTTGATCACGTCGTTGAAGCAATTTCAAGTGCTTGAGGAACTTCGTATCGATGCGAACGTTTTATTTGACACAGGACTAGACGAGTCGGAAGACAGATACCCCATGAGCCGATTTGGAAAGCTTCTCCCAGAGAGTCTGAAGAGACTGGGCTTGGGACATTTCACAAAAGAGTTCAGTCACAATGACTTGCGCGCATTTGCATCGGAGGCGGAGGTGTACTGCCCAAGCTTAGTGTCAATTGGTATCGAGGTGGCGGATATCAGCCAAACATATATGTTGGATAAGGAGTGGGATAAACTTTATGATTTATACTTAGATAAATACAATACGCTACGCAATATAATATAGCTACCCTTATAATCTAGCTATTAATATTATCTTATTATACCTAATAAGTATATATTTAATATTTAATATTCTAAAAGAATAAAACTCTATCTTAATAAGCTTTATAATATATATAGTAATATATAAATAGCTTTACTTAAGGTTAAAGAGAATAAAACCTTAATAAGGGATATTAATCTATAAGAAATTATCTTTTTTATTAAAATTATATTATAACTTTTATTTTTTTATTTTTTATTTTATTTATTTAAAATATCTTTTTTTTATATTTTTAGCTTTATATTAATTAATATTAATATTTTTATTAATATAATTATTAACTTTAATTATTAGCTTTAATTTTTAAATACTATTAAGAATAACTATCCCTCTTACTTAAAATATATTAAAAAGTATTTAAAGATATATTATATTAAAAATATTATAATAAATATTATTTTATTAAAAGAATAAATAATTAAAAAATATTATATTATTTATATAATACTATAAAGGTATTTAGATTAATATATAGCTTAAATAGTAATTAAAATAGAGAAGAAGCTATTAATAATACTCTATATATTATAATATAGTAAGTTATATAATAACTTTAAGCTTAATCTATTTAATACCCTAATAATAATAAGATAATATATAGAAGTATTAGTTAGGATCTAGATATATTAGATATAAAGTTAGTAGTTTCTATAGATATATTAAATATAATTAGGCTTAAATTAATCCTTATTATTAAATAATAGCGCTAATATAGGAAAGGTAATATATAAATAATTTATACTTAGACTCTACTATTAATTTCTATACGTTGGATCTTCTCGACTTTAACTTTTAGGGGAGGATTATATACTTGTTTTTATCAGTGCGCCTCAATACATAATATGCTTACATCAACATCCATTAGCACAGGAAACCCCATCACTCAAAGATCTCGTCGTACTTTGTATCATTAAACTCTTGACTGGCGTCCTCCAATTCAGGGAGCTCATGAGCCTGTACTATTTCTAGGCATGCAGCCAAGGTTCTTGGCACTTTATCACCAGCGTGTTTTGACTCAATCATTGCAACAAGCGATACCACTTGAGTCTTGCCTGGATAAGCCTCAGTTGTAGCTGATTGTGATCTTATGTTTCCTCGTGGAGATCACATGTTTGGCAACCATATTCTCCCGCTAGAAAAAACCTGTGCTTCCAACCTTCAGTGTTGGCGTTCTGTCACTGAATAGGTGGAGGTCTCTGGCGAGGCCCTTGGCCAGAGAAGTGCACCAAAACAGGTTAAAATCGCCGCGTAAGGTTGCATTGAAGGGCTCGGCAACAGCCCTCAACAAGTTCTCGCAGATCGGCTCGTTCCATTAGTCCAGCCACCACATCAACTCCATCCAGGAAGCTTTTAAGCTTAAACCTTCTAGGCAGGTGAGAAGAAACGGATGGGTTGCGTGCTCGAAGCCTTCACGGCGAAGGTATTCAAATCAGCATCTATCAATGCCGCCTTCCATATTCGTCTCTGCGAGGAAGCCGCTTATGATTTGCGATATGTCACGATGGGCGGCAATTTTGGTGTCGCCAATGTTGGCTGTTTTGTTTTAGGAAGGTCACGAGCTGCTTAGCACAGCTATTGATTCATTATCCAAAGAGTTCAACATCTTGTTACGCGAGCTCTCGGGGTTGAGCACGGAAGGGCACATGAGGCGTATGTACTCACTCCCAGTGCTGAACATCAGTCTCTACCAGTATCATAGACCTAATAATGTGATTTCGCGGCTTCAGAAGAATCAACAATACTCACGACGGATATCTCGCTAGCTTCATAGCACATGTAAGAGCATGAAGACTAGGTACTTAATCTTGTATGCTTCGATGCTGTTTGACCCGAACGGTGGCTTTGGAGAGCATACCTGTCTGACAAGCACAGCTTCAACAGCTTCTAGATCCATCGTCGTTCTTCCTTGCGTATATCTCCGCTCGGCAGCAGCTGGCTTACCCCGGCCAGCCAGCATTGCCCCGCAACGGGCCAAGCTGCCGCATTCAAGAGAGTGACGCACGACTGTGCAGGCTCTCATCGCCCAACCTTTGCAACTTGTGAGCCATTTTAAGGATCTGTGGTAAAGCCGAACAGGAAGTTCAACGTTCAGATGAATATTTGAGCCACCGAACAATTTATGTTCAGACCGAGTGTCCTCAGAGAAAAGGTCTCCGTTGAGCTTTAAGGAAGCTAGAGTACAATTTCTCCCTCATCGTCGAATCTATTCAGGACTGTAGAGTTACAGGAGCGGGGCCCAGCTCAGTAAGTATGGCTTTGTGCCACGCGGGGTTTCCACATCAACCCCAGCTTGATTCTTATCAAACGGTGCAGCCACAAATCACACCTACCATATTCTGCAAAGGAGGGTCGGTCACACAATTCCGAGTGGTGACACCTCTGTCTTGGCTAGTCAACAATCACGCATTGTTGATCTATTCGTCCTGTCTTCATAAAAGGCCGGGTGATCGCCTTCGCCGGTTGGGTCGTGTTTCCAGTCCTCCATCTCAAGCCCGAATCAGAGTGTGCCAGCAACCATGAAGTTCCTTTCAGGTCTCGCCCTTGTGCTTCCGCTAGCATCTGCTGCAGCAATCACCCCGCTCGAGAAGAGGATCACCTACGACGGGTTCAAGGCGTTCCGGATCGCTACTCACAATGATCCCGCCTCGATCAAGGCTAAGATCGCCAACATCGCTGCCATCCCCTTTAACCTTGACAACAGCGAGCACTTGGACGTAGCCATCCCTGCTGAGGACGTCTCAAAGTTCGAGAAACTTGGACTTGAGACTCAGATCTTGCATGAGGACCTTGGTGCCGATATCGCCGAGGAGGGCGTATTCGCTCCTTACGAGAGTAGGTCGCTCGACAGGACCCGATTCAACAAAAGTCCCTAACGTCAATAGGTAATGGCGATGCCATCATTCAGGCTTTGCCTAGCCTGACGTGGTTCAACTCGTACCACTCCTTCGCGGATCACCAGCAGTTCATTCGTGACCTGCAGTCCAACTTCCCTTCCAACTCGGAGATTATCAATGCTGGTAACTCTTATGGTGGACGATCCTTACTGGGTATTCACCTCTGGGGCAGCGGTGGTAAGGGTTCCAAACCCGCCATCTACTGGCACGGAACTGTTCACGCTCGCGAGTGGATTACCACAATGGTCAGTCTAGTAAATCTTTGAATTACTCGAATGACGGAGACTGATGCTTTATAGGTTGTTGAGTACCTGACGTACCAACTCATTGATGGTTACCAGAAGAACGATGCGGCGGTGAAGGCCATCCTCGACAAGTACGACTTCTACATTCTGCCCATCGTTAATCCCGATGTAAGTAGAACCCTTGATTAAGCATGCTTGAAAACGAAACTAACGCATTCAGGGTTTTGCGTACAGTCAAACCAACGACCGTCTGTGGCGTAAGAACCGTCTGCCCAGATCTGGAAGCACTTGCATCGGCACTGACATCAACAGGTATGAGAACGCATGAGTAGCCCCGTAATATTTGACACTAACACCTCTCAGAAACTGGCCTTTCAACTGGCAACTTCCCGGAGGTGCCTCCACAAGCCCTTGCTCCGAGACATACAAGGGCCAGGCTGCCGGTGACACTCCCGAGATGGTCGCTCTGAAGGCGTATACCGACCGTCTCGCAGCTGGAAACGGCATCAAGCTGTTCATCGACTGGCACAGCTACGGCCAGTACATTCTGTTGCCTTATGGATATGACTGCAATGCCCGCGCTGCCAACCATGCCCGACAGATGACTCTTGCCGGCAACACGGCCACCACAGTTGCGCAGGCGTATGGTACGCGGTTTACGTACGGCCCGAGTTGCTCCACGCTGTATGCCACAACTGGCAGTGCTCCTGACTACCTTACCGGTGCTGCTGGTGCCGAGGTTGCATGGACGATTGAGCTCAGGCCCTCGGGTAGTGCTGGCGGTGGTTTCGTTCTGCCTGCTGCGCAGATTCTGCCCAGTGCTATTGAGCAGTGGAACGGTATGAAGTACCTGCTTGCTAATGTCTGAGATGGGCAAAAAGTGCACCCCGTCTTTCCGAAGACAAGCTGGGAGTTTTGTTATACTTGCCATTATACTTGGATCCCGGTCAACATACCAACATTGCTCGTCTCATTCATGCCCCGTGATGACTCTCAATGCTATGCGTGGTGATGACCAAGTATCACGTGAAGTGGTATAATCATAACATCAATAGGGTTTTGATTCAACCGACTAGTCTTTCATGCAAAGCTTTGATGTTGATCAGCTATGATACTCTTAACTTCAAGCCCAAGCCATCGTCGTTGTCGCGGAGTACGACTTTCTTGTGATCACCTGACTTTTTCATCCAGGCCAGATTGGTGCTGGCACGTCCATGGTCAAGAGCCGGGCTCTCGAGTCCGTGGTAGAGTAATGGTAGGAGGGAAGTCTTCCATGTCGGTTCGTTCCATGAACGCCATATGGTGTACGCCAGGAGATACGTACTGAAAACCAGCAGGAGTCCTGGGTACAGAACGTAAAGTGTATCGATCTTAAAGAATTGGCCGTAAAGGCCGACCTGTCCGGAAATTGTGTTGTTTGAAAGACATCGGATATTATAGCTTATCATCTTGGACACATTGTTGCTGTATATCTGCATGGTTTTGTTCAGTGGTGTCGGTTCAGAATTATCCGCTTGAACTCTCCTCCAAGTCCATTGAAAAAGATCAATCGCTGTGGTGTTGGGTCGGTACACCGTCTCGCCATTCTGCTCTTCTCGGACGACTTGCCCAGGGAGGAACTTAATGAGGAGTTCCCGAACCCCCGCATGTGCATCGAGAGTGACCGCGTAGGTGCAGTTGTCGATGCCGGAGACATCCATGCTGGTCTGGTCTTTGATCGTATTGTCATTGCAGTGGCCCTCGAATACCAGACTACTTCTGTTGTTCACCAGACCAATTTCTGGCCTGCTGTTATCGTAGTCCTCATTTTTCTCGAGGGATTGGTTGACGGCGTGATAGACGACGTTAGTCATCCGTTTCACTCTCCAGTAAAAGACGCACTCGGCTGCTTCGAACTGCTGGTCACCTACTTCAGCGATTCCTGCCAAGTGAAGAATCAACCCCGGATTGTCGGAGAAGGCTGGATGAAAAGTGCTATCACTTGGGACTTTGTGACTCGCTTTCAGACGGATCTGGGCAGACGTAAAATTTGACATGCCGTTGGGCCCGGTAATTCCCACACGACTCGTGATGTTGGCTTGGTTTGAGTAACCGAAGTTGTCGTCATCCATATCTGTAGGTGCGCTCCTGCATTGGTAGTCGATGTCGAGGCTGGTGATCTTTTGCCATTGGCATTTGGTCTCGGAACAGAAAAGTGGAATCCGGGCAGTTGTGATATCTGGCGAACTTTCGGCGAACGACCAGGCAAAGTACAGAGACGATCGGATTTCTCGGTAGGCAATGACATTTTGTTCCTCTGTACGTGTGGTCGTTGTGATATTCTGAATCGTAGCGTTGAAGAAGTGATTGTACGGGAAGGTTGCGTTGACATCAGAGTCTTCCCAATGGAGGTCGGAGGTCTGATCTATGGCGCTCGATGTTATCATTTGCAACCCGAGTGTGCCGAGGAGCAGGATACACCCAAAAGAAATGTGTAAGGAATATCTGCATCAAAGTCAGTGATGGTATTCTGAGCTCCCTATTGCTAGGCAATAGTCGAAATCATGTTACTTGCAATGCCGCTTTTGACACCAAAAGATTGATGGATCCTGGTGCTCCACGGGTTGCTGCATCAAACGCCTGCAGACTAGCAATAGGTCTAGGTGTAGACTGCCTGAGATGATGCCATTTAAGCTGTCCCATTGCCGCAGCAACAAACGAGGTCATGAATACCCGGAACGTAGTCATTGTGGCTGCGGCTATAGATGGCATAGAGGTTGGAATACCGAAGACGACGAATTGCCATTGAGACACAAGCTTTCCGTTGCTACTGACGAGGATTGCCCAGAAAATGGCAAAGAGCGCGATGGAGAGCCATAAGGAGATCAGTTCCAGCATCCAAGTCCCCGTAATGAGTTTTGCGACGGCCGATGGTTGTTCAGTTGTTGGAGACACGGCTTCTGGTACCGGGCAACTTTGAATTTCGGTCTTCATAGAGGGCTTTTCAAACTCGACGTTGGACTCGACTAGGGCCTCCAAAGAAATAACTGCATGCGGGTTCCGATTTGACATGGACTCGGCAACCGTTTTGCGACTTGTAATAACACCATGGTGTAGTGATGCCATGTTCACGATCAGCGCTTGAGGGACGGATTGCTTAGCTTGGTGTGAGGATGGACGACTGGAGGGCTGCAATATGAGGGCCCCAAAGTAATATACAATGCCGACCACTGCTTCCCAGTAAAAGCCACCGTCAACGTAGCCGCAAGTACGTAAATGGTCCATAAAAGTGGCAAGCCCTCTTGGCACGATGGTAGACCTAAAATGCCGAGCCATAGGCAGGCAATAGCCAGATTCACCATACGTCACAAACTTCATCACCGTGTCAGCTGGGCTTAGAAAGTAATCCCTGTGGCCGGGATGGCCCATTCGCTTTGCCGGAGAGATGGACCTCAACAGGCATTTCGATGGTTGCTTCAGAAGTGGCTGCAAGACATCTTTTTCGTTCCGGACAAAGGCGTCACTCGAATAAAAGCAACTAGTCGTTTTTAGTATAGCAATATCAACTTGTATTCGATGGCTTTTCCGCGAGCAGCTTGCAGAAGCACTAGAGCTCATCTGTCTCAGACAGTTGCGGAAGCGATCTAGCCAGGCTGAACCCGATCCTGATTTCCGGACTCTTTCACACGTAGAAAGCACAATGAACGGGATGAGCGTCGAGTTCGTTCGCCGCAGTTTTATAGTTTTCAGACCTATGACCAGCAAAGTCCACTGAATCTTATGTGTTTCCTCTCTCTAATATTAGTAGATCTAGTTATATAACACACTAAATAAATATAATATACTATATAATATAATATAGCTACCCTTATAATTTAGCTATTAATATTATTTTACTATACCTAATAAGTATATATTTAATATTTAATATTCTAAAAGAATAAAACTCTATCTTAATAAGCTTTATAATATATATAGTAATATATAAATAGCTTTATTTAAGGTTAAAGGGGGTAAAACCTTAATAAGAGATATTAATCTATAAGAGATTATTCTTTTTATTAAAACTATATTATAACTTTTATTTTTTTATTTTTTATTTTATTTACTTAAAATATCTTTTTTTTATATCTTTAGCTTTATATTAATTAATATTAATATTTTTATTAATATAATTATTAACTCTAACTATTAGCTTTAACCCCTAAATACTATTAAGAATAATTATCTTTTTTATTTAAAGTATATTAAAAAGTATCTAAAGATATATTATATTAAAAATATTATAATAGATATTATTTTATTAAAAAAATAAGTAATTTAAAAATATTATATTATTTATATAATATTATAAAAATATTAAAATTAATATATAGCTTAAATAGTAATTAAAATAGAGAAAAAGCTATTAATAATACTTTATATATTATAATATAATAAACTATATAATAACTTTAAGCTTAATTTATTTAATACCTTAATAATAATAAAATAATATATAGAGGTATTAGTTAGGATCTAAACGTATTAGATATAAGATTAATAGTTTCTACTTTAAATATATTAAATATAATTAGGCTTAAATTAATCCTTATTATTAAATAATAGCGCTAATATAGGAAAGTGTTACGGCCAGCTAACTGACAGTGGGGTTTATATTAATAGTAAGTTAGGCAATAACAATAGTAACAGTCATTTGTCGTTCCGTAGGTCTAGTCGAGTAATCGTAGGTCTTCAAAGGGCTTAGTGATCAGTCAAGTCCTCAACAAGAGTCATAGAGTAATCGTCACTTAGGTATAGCTGAAAGTCTCAGGTGAGAATCACAAGGTTGATTGCTGAAGAGCTATGGAAGTTTGTCCTCGAGCGGGCTCGAGTCCATCCTATATACAGGTCCTGGGTAGTCCTATTGCTGGGTGCCGTACATGCCCTGTACGGCTCCCGTATCCTTGGCATACGGCTTCCGTCTTTCTGGAATACGGATGCCGTATCTTGATCATACGGATCTAATCTTTTATCTTATCGTCACGTGACCTGTACCATAGTTCTTCCGTTCCTGAGGGATCCTTGCGTGTTCCCGTGATCCTGCATACAAATGTGTTGTCATAACCGCCCAGTATCCTAGTGGGGCGTCCTTCGTTGGTTATGCCTAATGGGTCGTAACACGTCGTTAAAACTTTGTGTTAATGCATTTGGGCAACACGAGATCTTGGGTATCAATTACCACATCAGCCCTCAAAAGACTAGAATGGTTGAAAGATGACATTGCCGGTTCTTACGGACCTTTGGACTAGATATACAGCTACTTAGGATACAAAATAGCCTATCAGCTGCGTATGAGTTCAGTGAGTCTACCACCTAAAGACTAGGTGTCTTGGGTATCTACCTCACACCACAGGTCAAGCAACTAGACTCCATGGGATCTCTAGACAGAAAGTCGTCACCGATCTAAGTGCTAATATATATATCAAACATCAAGAGATTCACGTATTGTCATTTGAAAGAACATACAAAATCCAACTGTCCACACCAGACGCCCACAAGATTGAAGCCGTGCATAACAAAGGACCCCATTCCAACTCCGCGCGAATCTATTTGCCGGGGCATCCGCGACCCTTCTTAGTAGAGACCGAGCAGCAATCAGCGGCCTAAGACGCGGTTAGATACTTCACGGAGTATGCAAATGCTTAGTAACTTACACAATCGGTCCACGAGACGCCATAGTCAGGGCACATGTCGAAGCCTACGTTGCATTGAAGCCAGCTCTCGATAATTCCGTTGGATTGGCGCTGGCAAGCGCCCTTTGTCGAAAGACAACAGTCATTTGCAATTTTGCACTGATTTGCGTGTTACTTTTATAGCGCATACTTGATGTGAAGACGACGTACCGAATCAATGACACTGCGCTTCTGCTCTTTGGGGGCGGTAAGCCTCATGTCGAGCTTAGCCGCGGTGGCTGTACCAACGGATAGTGCTGAAACAAAGCCAACGAGGAGGACAGAGAACTGCATTTTGTAATCGTGAATGAAAATTTCGAAGTATCGAACTGGAAACTGGTAGAGACTGATATCGATGAATGAGAGTTGTAAGATGGATGAGAGTGATGTAGAACAAAAGATGAACCAACAGATGGAATTGGCGACTATTTATGTTCCTGATAATACTCTTCTCGAGTCAAGTTTTGTCTTGGTAGAGTAAACCAACGCATTCACACTCACAAGATATGCGCGTGTGCTTCCCAGGCAGAATTTGTTGTTTAATTGAGACATTCACCAGTCCCTTTGAGGACGTATTCATCAGGTTTTCATTTTTTCAGATAAAAAGCCAAGAAGTTGCCTCACTCACTGAGCTTAGTTTGCCCAAGTTCTCGGTAATCTCTGCCGAGTCTTGGCTTTTAATCGTGCTTCAACAACGTACTCAGTGATTCCAAGCACCTCGTTGCGTTCAGGGGGATCAAGATGGATTGTATCATTTACAGAGACAGCACGGCCCTTCCTGGTAGCCTTGCGTGCATGGCAGAGTTACTCCTGCTGGGATCACCTACCGGAAGATCTCCGATCTGACTCAAATGATTGCCGAGATCCGCTCCGCCTCTGCCTCGGATCGTCAATTAAGGTTTGCGAAAGCGAAACTACAATACCAGGCTCATCTTTCTTCCTTCGTTTACTACAGACTTAGGTAGATGCCAATATTCATGCCATGCAGTGATATACCGGTTCGTCTGATGCTAGTCTCAACTGATGGGGCAAGAACGGCCACTGCCAATGCGTGACCGATCCATCCGAGTAAGTATCAATACGGCGAGTACCCTGGACCCTTAACACGTATGGATGGAACCTAGAGAAGACCTCGACTTAACCAAGTGCAAATTTGCGGTCAAGATGGGAAAATGGCCGTGTCACAGCAGTGACCTATTATTCGATACAAGAACAGCCAACTTTTAGTCAGGGTATTTCTGGCCATATCGAAGACTTTACCAAACATCTATGTCCATAACATTTACCATCCAGACCCCCGAATCCAGACATCCACAATACCATTTGGATCAGGTCTATCTGAATCAACTACCAAATACCAGCCATAAAGTGCCCCCGTCACACAAGCGTGGTTTGGGTAGATCCTAACGGTCTGGCCAACTTCCAGGGGGATAGCGGCTGTCTCTCGCTCGTGTCTAGGACCATCTGCCCAGGATATGACAGAATGCTCTTGGCTGATTCTATCCACAACAAGGCTCCTTCCGCGATCGAGCCCTGCGTATGGATAAGGTGCCGTGATGCCCCAGCCGCTGTAGGACGGGCAAGACTCTCTTCCTAAGCCTAGTGTGCCCACGGCCACCAGAGCTTCCGACTTCTGCCGCTCACCGTGGTTGTAGACGCTGCACACTTCGGCAACCACTGAAATGGCGACCTCGTCCACGAAGCTCCCCAGTGCCTGCCGCGACCGAGTAGACATTTGTTGCATGTCAAGAACCGCGTAGACACCGGCATGCAATTCTAGGGTTGTTCTGAAACCCGATTTCAGGCCTTCCCGGACCTTCTGGATTGCTGCTCGTAGGCGGTTAGTTACTACTTGGTGAGTAGAAACCAGTGGTCAGGTTTTCGACCGAAGTAACCTGCGGAGATGCGCCAACACTGATAACCATCTCTCTTCTGCTGAAATGAAGCTTCTCGTGCGCGTTGAAAGCTTCAATGCAGCCTTCAATTTCGGCAGCCAAGTTGTTCATTGCCTGGTCAGCACTCGAATCTTGGTAACTCAAACTGCTGTGGGAATAAATTCCCACCAGTCTTGCTTTGTTCTCGTCTTCTAGTTGGTTAAGTTTGTCTAGCAGGCCGTCCTTGTCGAGGAAGGATACAGGAAGACCTGCACGATGATAGCCGGTATCGATTTTGAGGAAGACGCCCACAGGAAGTTTACTCAATTGGTAAAGTCGCATAAGAGACTCGATGTGCGAAGGATGATCAATCATGACAGAGATGCTACCGGGGCCAAGTTCCCTGTTGAGATTTGCGAGACGGGAAACCTGAGAGCTCAATAGAGGTACCCCGTACAAAACATTGGTATGGCGGCTGTCTTGCTGGAGTGCCTTCAATGTAGGAAGAAGATGCTCAATCTCTGACACAGTTGAGACAATAAAGTTGGCATCTTGCGTTTTGTCTCCGACCTGCAGACGGGCAATCTGCTCAGTCTGTTTCTTGTGTTAGCTTTGGGGTGGTGCCAGACGAGGAGACATTGACCTTATGCGTTTTCACATGGGCTCTGAAGTCCACGCCCAAGGCCTTGACAGCATCTAGCATTGACTGACAGTGCCTTCGTATCTTGGCAGAGTCCAGCACAACTGCCGGTTTAGGCACTGTTCTGACATCTTTGCCCACGTAGAATTGCCTGAGTTCCTCGAGATCAGGTCTAGGACGTTGTGGAATGGCCATAGTCTGGCAGATTTGAGGTAAAGAAATTGCTGGAATTTGTGACCTTTCAAGACCGGCGCCGAGGGTTCAATCAAACTGCAAGGTTTAGTGGCTTTTGTTTATGGTTAAATAATTACGCATGGGGTCAGTAAGAAAGAGACGATTCAACGCGTCTAAGTTTCTTCCCGCCTTCATCGCCTCCAACGGGGCTCGAAGGCGAGTTTTGCCCTTTGACAACGAATTTAGTCGAGATTTGGAGACGAAACTAGCGACACAAGTAGAAATACATCCAAATTATGTTGCCTAAAAATGTTTAGCGCAGCTGCAATGCCGACATTCCGTCTGTTGTTGGTTGTTCTCCAACCTCGCATGGAGATTTGGAAGGCGGGGCTCCTCTTTAGGAAATACCGCTCGTTGCTTGGGACTTGCGAACTACTCCAAGAATTCCAAGTGTCCTATCAAAACTCCAATTTTCCAAACTCCATCTACAATATGATGGCCATATGTTACAAGATGGGCCAGACTTAGTCAAGTCGAGACGCCGTTGAAGTGACATGCGCCCCGAGTTTCTCAAAGCTGGGTCGCCGAGTCTCCAAGTCGTTGGAGCCGCGAAGATGCCCCCAAAAGAAGGATCTCTTACGTGCCCTTCGGTATCATATGCTCGGTATCCTTGAGTCTAGGAGTTATAAATACCAACTCTTCACCGATATCTGTTGTCTTCAGTCCAAGTCCAATATACCACCGACACTTCGCCAGATATCCGAGATAGTCATGCCAGCCCTCAAGAAAGTCGAGGTCATTACCGACGGTGCCCCGGCCCCATTGCCGTTTTATTCACAGGGTGTGAAGGTTGGAGATATGGTCTATGTATCCGGAAGCCTGGGCATTGATCCTTCCACAGGAAAGTTCGTTGAGGGCACTGTGGCGGACCGTACTGTAAGTTACTGGAGGCTTTTGACGATAAACCTGTTCAAATTCAGACTTTCTGACAATAGGCAGACTCAAATTCTGAAAAACATTTCAAACATTCTTGAAGCTGCAGGCACAAGCCTCCACAACGCTGTAAGTATTGAGACAGGTAGCAGCATGCCAATTCCTATCGCTAACGCTTTGATGTGCTCTTCAGGTTAAACTCAATGTGTTCCTTACGGACATGGAAAATTTTAGTATCCTCAATGAGGCATATGAGAAGTTCTTTACGCAGGGCGTGCGCCCGATCAGGACTTGTGTTGCTGTCAAGCAACTCCCGTTTGGCACCGATGTTGAGATCGAGGCATCCGCGCATTTGTAGCACGCTGGTCAATCCTTGCAGGTCACTCTAAGCGATTGTACCTCCCCTTTAGACTAGAAGCCGCTAGAAAAAACATATCAAACACCTGTCATTGTTCCACATGAAGATTATCTATCCAGTGACACTAGAACTTGGGCAGCATCTCGTGGTCGAAATTCCACATAAGGGGGGGAACCGCTCACATGGGTTTTGAAATGATGTTTTAGGGTCAAATCCTGCAGATTTCGTTAATGCTGGCCATAATCACGTCGTTGACGCTCGTATGCAGTTATGCTTCTGGTGAACAAAAAGCGTCCGAAGCGGAGATCCCAAAGAGGCAACGCCGTCCGTTATGGAATCCACTCTTTGGGGTATGGCCCCAACTCTCGCGAGTTGGAGTCGATGACATTGTCGGAGTAAGATAGCTAAGACGCAATGTCCAGTTGCATGATGAAGTTTGAATATTGGAGTATCTTCAGTGGTGTAGATTGTTCTTGATTGTGGGTTGACCATACCCGCACCGACTTAATTGCGCGGTTGTCAACACGAAGCTAGTTCCACAGAGGACAACCAACATTTGAAGCTGGGAACCTACAAGTCTTGCCATTCGATAGTCTTTGAAGACAGAACTTGAGGGGATTCTGTACATGAACCAATGTCTCACAAAACGTCTGGAGAAGTCTAACAACCTTCTACTGCTTGCTGATTACCTGTCCATCTAGCTGTTGAGACGTTTCTCTTGAGTGAGAGAAATTTGACTAGGTAATTCGAAAGGAAGAACTTCGGCATGTCAACGCACGCGATCAAACTTCGACCAATCATCGTCAGGTGTTTCGGTTCTCTTGCCGTGTTTCCTATTGCCGTCCATCCTCAAAGGATCAGATGCATAATCTTACCATCAACCGACATGACTGATGAGATCCAGACTGCCATCGGAAATTCACATTTCCGCCTTGGCACGCATCTAGTCCTTGTAATCGAAGTGGTTGGTCTTATTTACTCGTCTTCCGACCACGCGATGAGGTGCATGCGGGGTGTGGGGTTGACTAGGGGTTGAGTCTAGGCGCCTCTCGAAGTGATTTCCGTTGGCTGCATCCTTTCCCAATATGGTGGATTCATTGGACGAAGTTCCGTGAGACCGTCTCGGCGTTGGATGGGACCTTTTGTCGGCAGAGCATATAAAGATTGCGGGGAAGGACATCGTATCATGTCGGCTGCAGTGCTTCGAACATCGACAGGTCTGTGAAACTGCACTCGCCATGGAGAAGCAAACTTCAGCTGCCGAGCATCGCATCGAGGCGACCACGTCCGCGATGGACGGAGAAAAGGGGGATAGTCTTACCAATCGCCATGTGAAGCAAGTCAACGTGCAGTCGGTTGCTCTCGCAGATGCTATCGCCAAAGACAAGCCCGACTACAGGTCGGCCACACAGATGACTCTGTATGCTATGATGGCTTTGTGTGTTCTCAGTAAGTCTCAAATTCAGAAGGCCTTCGGGATCACATGAACTGACAACTTGGTTACAGATGGCGTGATGAACGGGTATGACGGTTCCGTCATGAGCGCAATCAGGTGAGTTTAACATGCCCATCCCACCACATTTCCAGATTAATTAACATCTGGTTCAGCAAGTTTCTCCGTTCCCAGCCATGATTTATCACGGCAAATTTTGCTAATACAGCAACCACATAGATGCCATGGATCCGTTCCAGGACCGTTTCAAGATCGGCCTGACTGGTGAGCTCAACGGTGCTGTTTTCTCCATCTATACCGTTGGAAACATCGTCGGCAGCTTAGCCTGCGGTTACATCATGGACCGATGGGGGCGCCGAGCCTGCATGTTTTCTGGTGCGAATGCGATCATTCTCGGCTCCGTTCTTCAAGCCAGTAGCTTCAAGCTACCTCAGTTCTTCATTGGGCGTTTCATCGTGGGTGTTGGAACACCCATGTGCGCCACTTCAGCACCCGTTTTCCTCGTTGAGATCGCCTACCCAACCTGGAGAGGTCTGGCGGGCGGCCTCTACAACGTTCTAGGTTGGTATATCGGCGCGAACAGTAAGTGTTCATACTAACTAAAAGCCAGTAGATTTCAAACTAACAGATGCTCAGTCGCTGCATGGACCTGCTACGGCACCAACTTCATTCCGAACGACTGGTCTTGGCGCATCCCCTACATTGTTCAACTTACACCTGCTGCTATTGTAGTTTCAATGGCTTGGTTTTTACCCGAGAGCCCACGGTGGCTTTGGTCTCAAGGAAAGACTGAGAGAGCCACAGAGATTCTGATAACGTACCACGGCAACAGAAACCCGAACTCCGCTCTTGTGAAGCTCGAGATTGACGAAATCCAAGAGTCTCTGGAAGCGGAACAGGAGTTGAACAACCACAACTGGAACTACAAGATCCTCATCAACAATCGACCAAACAGATATCGCATGTGGCTCGTCATGCTCGTCGCTGTGTTTGCCCAGTTCATCGGAGGAGCCGTTATTTCGTAAGCTTTACCGGGATGTGACACAAAACCTATGGCTAATAAACGTTCCAGGTACTACCTTCCCGCCATGGTCAGAGGCATTGGTATCACCGACTCTCGTCGTCAACTGCTTCTCAATGGTCTCAATACCGTGACTTCGTTCATCGGTGGCCTTTGTGGCTCTTTCTTTGTTGACAAAGTTGGTCGCCGTCCTCTGTTCCTTTGGGGTACTTTCCTTACCGGCCTCGTTTATATCCCGATCAATGTGCTCGCAGCCAGGGCGGAGAACAGCGCAGACGGAACGATCCCCACATCGCAGGCCTATTCGTTTATTGCCATGATCTTTCTGTACGGCATTTTTTGGTCCTTCTGCTGGACCCCTCTGCAAGCCCTTTACCCTTCCGAAATCCTCAACAATGAGATTCGTGCCAAGGGCATGGGAGCGAAGGGGTTCATTTCAGGAGTCGCCTCCTTTATCAACACCTATGGAACGTCTGTATCCCTGAAGCATATCGGCTGGAAGACCTACACCATCTTCCTAGTTCTTCACTTTGTCCATCTGGTTCTGATGTATATGGCTTGCGTGGAGACGAAGGAGCGGACCCTGGAAGAGATCGAGGAGATTTTCAACGATCCTCACCCGGTGAAGAGAAGTTTGATGAAGACTCGGGTTATTGTGGACGACAGTGGTGTCAAGGTCAAGGATGAGGTCTGAACTGGGATTTGAAGTCGCATCAACACATCTGTACCTACGATTTCAATGGCCATCATGATAGCATGAAAGGTGTTTTCAACATGAGGTTTATACAGCTAATCAGATTATCGAGAAAGTCTTCATTGGCCTTGAGGCGTCTCATGCTCTACAATCATACACATTGCCAGCTGTCGGCGTTGGCCGGGTCTCCCTTGCCTGTGAAGACATTACGAGCTGGGTATTTGCAATGCTTCCTCTGCAAGTCAACCTCCCCGGATGCTGTCAGTCGGCTACCGAGTATGTAGTCAGGTGCAACTCCTTCCTCAACCCATCGAACAATTGCAGCCAGAACATTGGCGTCCGAGTGGTAAGACGCAAAGCTTTCGGGGTTGCCACCGATCATACTGGCACCGGTTCCACCCCGGCAATGAGCCATGCCAGAGATGCGGAAATACCGATAGAATTCGTCGAGCTCTGTTGACGAAAGGCTCATCGTGCGTGAGACATAGTCGTAGTACCGCTCAGAGTTATCACTGCTGATCGCGTTGTCCTGTAGACCGTGATAGTGCAGGATCTTAACTCCACGCTCCTTTGCTGCCGACAAGTCACCTTCCCAAGTTGCCACATTCCACGGGTTTTGTTTCGAAGCAACGGCATAGTCTTGAGGGCCGAGAGTCGCAGGGTCCCATTCAGTATCGTTGTAAACGACATATCGCCACCAATCACTGGGGTACTGATGAGGTTGTCCGTTGAGGAGTCTTTCGGTGGCATTTGAGCCTGGCTGAAGCCTTGGGTAGATGAACTGCCCATCCAGACCGTAAACTGGGGAGAAGATGGCTCGAACCGTCGCTGCTTGTTCCCCGGTCAAGCAGTCTGTTTGTCCCTCGGAGCAGATGAGTCCCTCTGGCCGGTATTGACAAAGGCTAGGATCCTCGAGAATACCATCTTCAAGACCATCCAAGCCGTCGCATTGCTTTAGGATATCCGCGTTGACCAGCTCCCATTGAGCCGGCGTGAGGAACCTTGAAGTCTCATTCGATCCAGTCTTGATGAATAGTTGGCCGGTCCAGTACATGAGTGAAATGAGATCAAAGGCTGGCGCCCCAGCGACGATTCCGTCAAAGTCCTCGGGGAACGTCTGGGCTTCTTTGAAGCCCTGCCTTCCACCGGTGGAACAGCCCAAGTAGTAAGATTTGGTATGCTTCTTGCCGTAGAATTCTTCGGCAATAGCTTTACCGAGCTCGGCTTCAAGATGGACAGCGCGGTATACATAGTCCTCGATGACGCCGGGGTTGTTCAGGAACGGGGCGCCGGAGATACCGTCGTGGCCGTTATTGGTGCCGATAGTCGCGAATTGGTGCGTTGCGCCGTAGTTCAGGTCCCCGTATTTGATGCAACCGTTCATACCGCCATTTCCTGTGCCCAAGAAACGCCCGCTCCACTCGAGAGGCAGCCAAGCTTCGAGGGAAATATTGCTTGTTGGCCCGGTGGTTGTAAGAAACACGACGCGACAGATGTTGACATCAGAAACTTGGTAGGGAATGGCGCAAGATGGGTGATTGTCCGGAAGCGAGATATTCGTTCCAGCTGATATGAAGGTTGTTTCGTGAATTGTCGAGTCTGGGAGGTTTAGACGGCTTGCCAAGGAGCTGCAGTCTTCGGCAGTCAAGCCGTGGACAGCTCCAAAAGAGGAGAAGCCTTGCAGAGCTAATGGATGAGAAACTCTCATGACTGCTGGTTGCACAAACAAAGCCCTTGCGCGTTCGAGCAACATTTTGACAGTACCGAATGTCAACGTATTTGTATTGATTCGAGTTGACTGGTCTCCGTACTCAATTACCGTGATCTTCTACCGCGCTTATCCGCAACCTGTGATGGAATCCGCAATATTGCTTATGACCTAGTACTTGGTAACAGAATCCCCGCAGGCGGATTAAGAGCTGGTTGGTCCCTTAGTCGCAGATTGCACTGCCGGAAGCTGCCTTCACAAAGATACGTGAGTGAATTCTGGCGGTGTCGATGCTACCCAGTCGATCACCTGCCGGACAAGGGATAGAGGAGTCTGGGGTAAGTGTGCGGGGAGCGTCGTTATTTCAGAGGGGCTTCTGTCGCTTCTGCCAGATTGTCAGGTCGTACGCGGGGTAGGTCCACTGGTGAGAAATGACGAGGTGCAACATGAAGTTTTGACGATGCCTCCATTCACTCTTGTTGTTTGATTATCGGCCCGAGGTCCGAGAGCGGTGGGGTTTTGGATTGGTAATGAAACTGCCTGCAGATGTGGACTGTACAATTGAGAATCAGCGTGACTTACAAGCGATGGTATCCATTCAGCTGGGAGCGTGTCGATCCAGACCAACAGGCCGCTCAACAGTAATGCGTTCGAGGTCTTGTGGGTAACTGACCCCCCAGCAACCTACCAGTCTTCTGGTGGTTTTGCCCGTAATGACGAGATACTCAACTCGGTTCAATTAAGAAGTATCCTCCAAAACAAAAATTCGTATTATTTATTCTTCTGTTTGAGTAGTAATATTATGCAGACCGTCTGTTCTTCTTGGTTATTTCCGTCTTATGGCCCCTAAGAAAGACCCTGGGCCATCGTCTACCGCAGAAGACACCACCGACAAGCGTTTTGACACGTTCTGGTCTTCTTTGAACTTTTGTGCCGCCGCTGCAGCTGTCTCTTCGCTCACGACTACCTGATATGTCGGTCTAGACAGATCGCCAAGGGTTGCGGCACCTCCGCCAGGCCCGTGAATGGCAGCCGCGCGCAACGAAGAGACCACGGTCGTCATCAGTTTGTTGCGGCGTAGACGGCGAATGTGCTCGTTGTTCCAGTTGGACTTGTGCTGATGTTAGCAAGTATCCAGTCAGAAGAGTTGTAAGGCTCAGACGTACCTTGTGCTCGGCCTCAACGTAAATCTCAAGCTTGCTCATGTCACCAATGGACATAAGCTCGACATCAACATCCTCCCGGAAGTCGCGACGGTTCTCGGGTGCTCTGACCTCGTCACGAATTTTCCTTCTCAGTCTCTCGATGTCGTCGAAGCTTGTGTCGGCCGCGATCTGAATGGTGATGCGCTCTCGCATAGCCCCGCTTCGTGAGACGTTGTCTACCCACATGCTGTTCAAGTTGATGTTGGGCACTTGGGTCGTTTTGTTGGAGTTGACCTTGCGGAATACAGAGTACAGCAAGGAAATCTTTTCAACGGTCATCTCGTGGCTGTCAATCATGACACGGTCGCCAACGTCGAAAGGGTGTTTCACGAAGATAAAGATGCATGAACCCAAGAACTCCTGCACCGTTCCAGATATGGCGAAGGAGACGGCCGCAAGCTGTGTGCCGATGGTGGCGAGGTATGTGGAGAAAGAGTTGCTGAAGAAGGCGGCATAAATGAGAGCTGTGCCAACGAGAATGAAAACTTGAAGGAAGCGATCGAGAACTCGCACCGCTGACTTGATGTCGTGAGTACTTTTCCAAATGGCAATACGTTCTTGGCCGATGCGGACGACTGTCGATATCATCTCTTCCAAGCTAACGTCCCCATTTTGGTCCACGTCTAGCAAAGCGAAGAGCTCCTCGACGTCACGAAGTTGATCCGCCGAGAAGGCCTTCTCCAAATCCTTTTGCGTGAGAGCATCTTCTTTCTCGGAGGCAAATGACTTCCAGATGCGTCGGCCTAGAGCTTCCGATGACGTTGTGGCTTCCAGTGCCTCTGTGACGATCGTGTGGGCTGCCTGGGTATTGAAGAGGGAATCGTTTCCAGAGATGTCGGCCGTCATCTGTCCAAATGCCTGGGCTACTTCGCGGCCAGCCATTCGCATATTGGCTAGCAGCTTGCTTGGCGAACTGTCTTTCTGCTCGATCTCCCCAGTGATAATGGTATAATCTTCCTGGGCAAAACGGTCGCAGAAAGGAGGATACATGCGTGTTGAAGATATGTAAAGCGTGTCGAGCATGGCGATTTGGCGTTTGGATTCCTTGATGCGTGTTGTGAACTGCGTAGCCGAGTAGGTGATATTGATAAGCTGAATGATAAAGCGTTGAACCAGAACCATGGCAGCGACGGCGATGGAAGCCAGGGCGACCTTCTGCAAGATGTACACCCAGTTGGGGACGGCTAAACCAGCATCAAACGCCATGCAGACAGGAACAACTGTAGCATATGCTATGATGGTCCAGAAAACAAGGGAGATGGAAGTCTCGATGCCTCGAACAACAGGATGGTACTTTCGTGTGCCGGAGTTGACAATACCACAGACGAAAACGTATGCCGTCGGCATGAGCATCGCGATGAGCTTCGAAAGCCACAGGCTTCCCCAAACGACTTCCAGCCAAACGAAAAGACCCAACAGTCTGATACCGGCAGCACGCCGATCTTCGTAGACGGTAGCTAGTAGTGCAACAGGGATGCCCAGCAGAGCGGCTACCGGGATGAAGTGACGCGCCCAACGGAGGAGAGCCTTGAAGCTCCATATTCTCTCGTACATGCAACCGAGACTCTCGCGAGTTCCAGCGTTTCCATCCAAGCCCAGCATCTCTGTCTCATTGATGCTGAACTTGCTGCTCTGCACGGCACCAGGTCGAGTGTTATCGATAGAAGATCTTGTTGAAGGGGCAGGGATGGTTGCCACCCTCACCCGGTGGTCAGTCGGGGAAGGTGCTGCCACCTTTTCGATGTCGATTGTCATGCTATTGCGTGCCATGTTTAGTCAAAAGATGATTTCGAGAGTACTGCGCGGCATGGCCGACGGGGGACCGAGGAGAACATAGCTTCAATATGAAGAGATAACCAGGCGACTCGGACAACGCCAACTCACCCGAAAGGACATTTACCGAGACTACCACGAGAATGTCCAGATTTCCGTGGCAAACTAACATGGAGCTATCACAATGGCTGGCCCGGTCGATGTTCTCGCGGACTCCGTGTTGCAGGTGGTCATCGACAGATGTGCACATTCGAGTAGCCGATGGCGTCTATGTTCTTCCTCGCTTAGACCAGCTCTTCAAACATTGGTTCCAACTAACAATAGCTTGCTACCGGTCGACTTGGATTGTCTTCGCAACTACCAATCACAGACCTTTCCATCCCTTATTGGTAAGGCCAGCACATCTTAATCCAGTCAGGGCTTGGGCCGGCACGTGGAACAGGCAAGCTATCATGGTGTGGCTGGCTCATGCTGAGCTAGAGTGCGGCTGAATGGCGCGTTTTCATTGTCCGAGTGTGAGGGGAAAGAATCGAGACCCTTTGTGATAAAGAGACTAAAGCTGCCGGCGCTAGACATTGTCCGAGCACAATGGCTTTGACAAAAGCTTATCAATTAGGCGCCGTTCTATCGGTACTTACGTTGTTCTTAGATGGGTTATCACTGGTATCGACGAGTCGTGTAAGTTGAGTCTATAATACAAATCGAACAGGTGTGTCTGGCTCATCACCAAGCTGAGGTCATCTCCCTTTCAATTTCCCATCACTCTTCCTGGCTATTGCCAAATCTTTCCAAATGGCTTCTGAGAAGGTTGAGCTTCCTGTCGCTGAAAGGCCCGTTGAGGAGCCGACTCCAAGTCCCTCCACGGAAGAGCACGAACAGCCCCAGAAAAAGTCTTCTCCCCTCGAGAAAATTACCTCTTTGTTCGATAACTGGTACTACGCCTGGGAGATTCTGGGTATCTTCCTGTCAGGAGCTGCCATCATTGCAATCTGCATAGTGGTTTACCACTTTGACGGCAATGAAGTCCCAAATTGGACAGCATATGCGCCTGGCAGAGCAAAGCCCTTCCGGCTGACCATCAACTCGCTGCTTTCCATCCTCTCAGTTCTGGGCTCCACATGCGCCATGATTCCTGTCACCAAGGGTCTTGGGCAGTTGAAGTACCTCTGGTTCATGGAGCAAGGGCGCAAACTGGCCGACTTGGAGGTGTTCGATTCAGCCTCTCGGGGAAAGGTTGGCAGCGCCCAACTCATCTGGAAACTTAGGTTCAAGTAAGTGCACTATAGATGACTGAACATGATTATCTTACCAGCATCTGACTGATGTCCATTCAGGCACTTGGCAGTCCTGGGAGGGTTGGCTTCATTGTTGGCTTTAGCCTACGGGCCTTTCGTCCAGAACCTTTTGGTCGTTGAGATCCAATATCACCGAGCAGACAACAATGCCCTTCTCTCCTATACGTTCAGTTACTTTTACGAACCTATCAACGTCACAGGTGTGTTTCCTCTACCCAATCTGATCATCTCGACGTGGCACTAACTAGGATGATGAAGGGACCGACAGCGCGCTCAGATTTTCCGTTGAACAGGCCTTGAAGGATACGTCCGCAGAGTGGGCAACTCCTGCGAACAAGTGCAAGACGGGGGAGTGCGTCTGGGAAGACTACTACACACTTGCGGCCTGCAGTCGCTGCACCGACATCAGTCACCTGTTGAAGCGAACCTGCACGCCAGTGGTCACCAGCAGCGATGGCTTCAGTGATACCGGTGGATGCAATTTGGCCTTGCCCAACGGCCTTTCCTTCAACAGCACCGACTTGGCCGGGCAGCATTCCAATCCACACAGGACTACTATGGTGATGAACACCACGATGCATCCCCTGGTTCATAATTACACGGCGCCGCTAGCCTTCGTCCAGTCCATCATTGGGTACCCTCACGGTGACTCTGTCTCAAACACATCGAAGCCGTTCATCATCACGCAGGATTCTCCAGTCTCTGCTCATGAATGCGCCATCATTCCCTGTGTTCAGAGGCAAAGTCTCACACTCACCCGCTTCACGGAGGGAACCGAAGTCAACCCGAACCTCCCCGCTACTGATGACATCATTCCTCTGATGGATATCATTGAGACGTTTGACAACTACACGGCACGCGAAGACGGCTACGTTACTGTCGACTTCAAAGACCCGAGTGAGAACAAGCACATCAGTGAACAGCAGAAAGACAAGTATTCGCAACCTACTATCTTGCCGAGTACATATGCCGGTATGAGAAACTACTTCGACACGATCCTCAACGGATATGTGTGGAGCTCGCCAGATGCTACAGCATACAGCATCTCCTCCCTCGGTTCAGCGGTTCCCTCTATCCACGAGCACACACTGAACCATACCTGGTCGCCATTCTACTGTGAGGGAAATGAGACGTCGCAAGAGGGCGTGCCGTGCGGTATGAACAAGATCGCCGCAGGGCTAACGAACGCTTTCCGACTCTGGGCATGGCAGATAGAGGATGAAGGCAGCCGTTCGGTTCTCAACGGAACCACAAAACAAGCCGAACAAATATGCACGGCCCAGTGGCAATACGTCTCCGCGCCCGTGGCCGTCTGGGTCCTTGGACTGGCGCTTTTTATCGGCGTCGTGATCAAGACTCGACGTGCAAATATCATGGCGTGGCGAACCAGTCCCCTGGCCACGCTGCTGTTGAGGCTCGATCCGGATAGTCGGGAGCACCTGAAGGACTGGCAGCATATGGGAGACGCGGAGCTCAAGGCAATGGCGCAGGAACTAAGACTGCGGCTTCAGATCGATGAGAGCGGACCACGATTTGTTAGGGAGACTACGTAGTAGGCCTGATGCGCGACCTTATTCATAACTATCATAGATATTCTCTCTCACATCTTATGCCAGGCGTATTGGGGGAGTAACCTTTGCAAAGTTTCAGTCCGCAAAATGAATACCACCTTCGTTCATGCAGTCCTCGTCTTTTCCTTGAAGCCTAGCCCAGCCAGGAACGACACCCTAGCAACCGTGACCCCAACAGTGATGATGATTCCCACCCAATCCCCGGCCTGCCACGACGTAGGTGAAAGCCGACCTTGGTATCCAAACACCTCGACCATACCCGCCAAAAGAGACAAGTCAATGGCCAGGATAGCCGCCTGCGCAAACTTCCAGACGCCGATGTCCTGTGTGTATCGCAGCAGCAGCCCATTCAATATCGCGCAGCCGACCAGTGCGCCGCCTCCTTGGTAGAGAAGCATATCATGGGCGGCATCGCGCGTCCCGGCGTGGCTTTCGAGGAAGAACTGGTCGAGCATCCACCCGCGAGTGAAGTAGGACATGAAGGCACCCCATAGGGCGCAGGGAGGGTCCCAGTACAGAAACACGGCCTTGTAGATTGAGGGGATTTGGGTCGTCATATTGTTGTTGCGGAGGGGGAGACAGAGGTTCGATGTGAAGGTGTGTTTTGATTGATATGTAGTTGATGGACAATGTTCAAAGTTCGGTGCGGAAGAGAAAGATGAGTGTGGATTTAAAGCTTCTGGGCCGCCACAAGATTGTAAGCCAAGTTTTAGTGCTGACGTTATGACAGGACGGCTGCTACTTTTCACGGTTTGGGAATGATTGGCACTTACTTTATTGGTCTCCAATGTTGACAGGATCGTCGGCTAAATGCCGATGATATACGACGAGGTGATTTGCCCTTTGGTCTTGTCGTCCTCTGTCGTCTCCATCATCCCTATCGTTTCTATCATCCCTATCGTTTCTATCATCCCCGTCGCCTCTGTTGTCCCCATTGTCCTTCATCTGCCCTCTTCGTCCCTCGATTATTCTTGTCGTCCCTATCATTACTATCGTCTCTGTAATCACCATCAGCTGGTTCATTTCCTCGGGACCCATATACGAAGCTCCCTTCAAATACTTAAAGGCTGTTCAGATTCGCGTCTCAATGTCAGCCTTAGGGACTTGGGTAGATCATGTCTAAGAGCTGGGCATCAGGAGCTCAATGAATATTGCCATTGAATATGTAGAAAACATTTCGTAATACCAGCGCAAACTTGACCTCCCTAAACGTCATCTCAAAGTTTGCTTATAACATGAACCTCCTTCTCCCCATCCTCGCTTGGGAAAGTGGGAGGATGAAGATCCACCGGCCCCTGAAGCCAACGGATGAGGCGTTTTGTAGCCTTTCGGGGGTTCATTCCATCAGCTAAAACATAGAAGATGTTAGTTTCCATCAAATTTACATGCCTCTCTCCTGCTTTGAGGCCACTTACCAAATCCGACAAACGGAATCGACGAGCGATATCCCATCATATCAACAATCTTCTTCGGAATCTCCCCAGAAAGCGCGCGTCTAGGATCGATCCCAATCATCAAGTTCTCCAAAGGCCTGATATACGGCTGGCAATACTGGATCGTCGCCGCATACCTCGGCTTCTCATTCCGGTTCGCGCCTCCGGAGTGCCACGTCGTGCCCAGGAAGTAAATCACACTTCCCCTCGGACACACAGCAGGGATCGCCTCGTTCTCTTCCCCAATCCTGTCACTGCCCCAGAGATGCGAGCCCGGGATAATCCGAGTCGCCCCGTTGGTCTCGGTGTAATCGTCCAGCACGATCATGGTCGCGGCGGTGACGGGTGGGCGCGGTCGGGGTAGGTGCGTGACCCCGTCGTCGTGGTGGAGGACTTGGTTCTTCTCGCCTGGGTTGATGACGATGGTCTCCATGATGTAGAGGAGGTAGTCTTCGTCTAGGAAGTAGTCGTTCAAGGCAAGGACTTGCGGTAGGAGAACGAACTTGTCGAAGCAGCGCGTCTTTCCCAGGAGGGATAGGATTCGGTTGGTCTTGAAGCCGTCGAAGGCATGCATGCCCGCCTTTGGATTCTTTCCGTGGAGGCGATCGATCTCTGCGATGGCCTCGATGGCCTCTGCATCGGTGAAGGCGTTTGGGATTATGACATATCCATTCTCGAGAACAGTCTGGACATGGGCCCTGGTCGTCGGGTCTGTTGGCAAGGGCTTTTGTCTTCGTACATAGTAGTCTCTGGGTACGGCATCCGCTGCCTGAGGGTCGTTCTTCGGCGTTGAAGGAGCCATGAGGGATGGTTTCGGGTACACCAAGGACAAGGCGCTGTCGATCAGCAGGGAAACAGTGGGAAGAGGGAAGTCCATTTTATGATTTTTGGGACTTTCGTTGTGAATGGTATCTTCTTTTGAGTATCCGGGTCAAGGTTGTAGTAAGTGTGCACGAACGCGTATGCTGTCATCGCGCGAATCAGCTTGTGGCGTTTTTCCCCGGAAAGGAGGACTTGCCCAATTCGAGTCATCGTAAGCTGATGTCAGACTCTTTCACTACTTCGTTGACCCGGTAAGCTGGCCAGAGTCTAGCCTACGCTTGTAAGTGGTTGGGACGAAAATAGCATTTCTTCATAATGCTGGTCATCAGGTTGTACGACGCATTAAGATCGATAATCTACAGCCAATGCTTTTGTGTTGGATAGATAACACACGGCGGACTAGTAGGCTATGATGTCTTGAGGTTCCTTGCATTATGTTCTGTGAGCTGTCATTAACACGAGCATTTCCACGGGATTGCGGAGCTCTAATAACTAAAACTCAATCGCTGTTTGGGCTATCTGTTGCTAACTATGTAATTATCTATCGCCCTTGTTCCAAGAAAAGATTCATACTTCACCTTTCTCCAAATTCGCATGTGCTCAGTTAACCAAGGGCTGCGCCAGCTCCAGGACGATTACCATTGACTCCTTGAAGGCGGCCTCCTCGCGACGCGCCGACTCTTCGCGCTTCGCAAGAGCCAAGGTGTAGTCACTGCGCATAGTCTGGATGATCTTTCCGACTTCAGTTTTGAGCTTCTCACTGACCATTCTCTCGGCATTTGAAAGAACGTCCTTAGGCTCCTCGGCGGCGCTGGTAAACATCTCGTCTTTGCAGTCGTCGACATGATCCGTGATTTTCATCTGCATTCGGCTTACTGCGCCTTTTCCTATATTACAAGAAAATATAAGCCTATGCCACAGAAGTCTCAGATAAGTAGTTGACAGAGAATCTTACCTGACTGCGAATTGCATTCCTCGTACCCAGGCGTCATGCGAGTCAAGACGATGCGCTGCGGCTCTCGGTTGGCCTGCTTCTGGGCTTTATTGAAGTCGTTTTTGCACTCAACAATGAGACGTCTCAATGACTGCTGATGCAGAATGATCTGTTCACGCAGCTGCGTAGTAGCTTGAGGCTCATCGTCCTCGCCACCTCCAAGTTGACTCAAGACGCTTTGATGGAATTGCTCGAGCATTGGCTGAACCGCAAAAAGGAACTCATCAAAATGTTTCGGAATATCCATCTGGAAGGTCTCGACCCAGGGATCGTGAATTTGCGACTGAAATTCCTCAAGTAGCTGTTCGTTGAAGTTGAGATCCCTCCAAGTGCCATTGCGAGCGAAGGTTGCCTTGAGAGTCGAATGGTAGATACCACCTTTCTTGGGTGCGGCGCACCACTTCTTTGCCGTCTCGGCAGCTTTGAGATTGGCCGCAGTTGCGAAGGTGTCCATCCTGTTGAAGAGTGTCTCCATGCTCCCCTGCAGGCTTTGGACGCACCGTCCTGTCATCGCCACCGTGTCCTAGTATTGTCAGTGCCTGGACATGTTGAAGTGGAAACGAGTTGATACTCACCTGCTCGAATGTCGTCAGAATCGAGCTGAGCGTCTTTATGTCTAAGGCAGCAGCAAAGTCAAGCGTGTCTTGCGTCCAGAGAGCAACTGAGTTGAGTAGCCGGCAAATGCCAGTCAGCACTTCCTTGTTCTTGGCTATCCGAAGCTCTTCCGTCAATTTCTGCGCATGTTGTTGCAACTGAGGTACTTCCGTATCAGTCACGTCCGTGAAGCCCATGGTCGAATCGCTGGCCCCTTCAAGGCCTTCGAATGCTTGGAATGCATGACTACTGATGCAGAAGACTGGAAGATGGTCGGATATCTCTTCGCTGTCCAGAACATCGGGCTGCTTGCTATTGTCGTTTGTTCTAGCTGCAAGTTGCTGCTGTCGAGTCCTATTTCGCGTTAGTCCGGATCTTTGCCAAACTGAGATGTTGTCATACTCCAAAACAACGCGAGAAAAGTAGTCTTTCAATGTCTCGCGCGAAATTTGGTTTCGCAGCTGAATACAGTCCGCTTGGACCATGTGGAGAAGGTCGTCTTTCCTGAGTTTGCACTCCTCCAATTCTTTTGACTTTGCATCACTGTCGTTGGTCTTCATTCTCTTGTTAGCCCTGCCATCGTTGGAGTCGTTGGAGTCGTCTCGCCGCTGGGGAGTCTTCATTCTGTTGTTTCGAAGCTTCTTGACTTCATTCTCCAACGTCCTGATGCGCTGGGTATACTGTCGAGCTTCAGCCCAAGCTTTGTGGGTTTTTGGCGCCAGTTTCCGCTTGAGATTCTTGATTGCATCGTTGGCTGTCAACTCATCTGTCTTAGAGCAGATGAAGGTGACTGAAGAGAATGCCTGATCTAGGTCCAGCTGACGCTTGAAGGAGTCGCTCATGAGATCTTTAGCTGTCTTGTTGTCGACAGCTCGGTGAATGGGCGCCACGATCCAAATACCAGTACACGCCTTCATGTAATCGCTTGCAATAGCAGTTCTTGCTGCGTCTGAGTCTTGCAGCCCGGGCTAGGTAGGTCATGTTAGTTGAGATACCATGGGAATCATGTATGTCTTACCAAATCCACAATTCTCACACCGTTGGAGAGTGCCTCGGCCTTTGTAAAGATTCTCACCCCCTTGACCATAGGCCAATATGAGACCGCCTCGTCGTCATCCTTGTCACTGGAGTCGACGTAAGGCTCAATCAGTGACCGAAGTTCTTCTGCAGTTTTTGCCTTGAGTGTTTGGGTAGTGCCGAGAAACGGGTAAACATTCGGGTGGCGAATGAGATCAAACACGGAACTTGCTAGCAGGACCTCATGGTCAATGTTTGCCTAGACTGCCCTGGCCTTTGCAACAGCTTTGGCTGCCTCGCTGTCAGGCTCATTCTCGTCCCAATCAAACTCTCCATCTTGGGCTTGAACTTCTGCAAGAAAGTTCTTGATATCGCGCATCCATTGATCAGAAGATACGAAGTCAATCTCTGCTCGGTAGGGAAAGCTAATGTCCGGGTCATTGTTGTAAGAAATCTCGGTGATAGAAGCTGTGCAGGCACGCATGCAGTTGGTTGGAAGCAAGCTGTGAACAGTCAGCTAAGGGCCACGCTGTCAGCGATCAAAAGCTACTTACTCGCTCTCGCCCAGTAGAGCGTTGATTGTTGACGACTTTCCATCGCCAGTGTTCCCAAACACGCCGATGATGATGTTGTTTGTTTGGGTTGCACGCTCTCGGGCGTTCGCGATCTGTTTAATCCAGTGGCTTGCAGCGGCCTGGATCTCCGGGTTGAGCTTGGAACAGAAAGCGATCCGTTTGCAGATTGGTTCAAGTTGGTCCAGGATCGGAAGTGCTTTTGCAACGTGTGCCTCCCAGACTTTGGGGTTCATCTCTGCCTTCAAGTTCTGGAGGACTGAGAACACCATGTTCAGCTTGGGGATGTGCGCAGGCTGTTCGAGGTACTGGCGGTGGCGGCTGTGACTGGGCGTGTCCTGCCTGCCCAAGGAGCGGCTGCGTTCGGTCTTCATTCTGCCGACGTGAATTTGCGGCCGCGAGTCAAGCTGAAAGACCAGATTTGAAGAAAGATGATGACTATGGTGTTGATGACTTGAGAAGTTGACTTGTTTCAGTGTTCAGTTGAAGGAGAACTGATGAGGGAATTAAATGAGACCGATGATCAAGTGTGTTGTGCGAAGATGAAAAAAGTAAAGGAAGAAGATTGATGCCACTCAAGATCTCATGCTACTTTGGTAAATTACCTCAAGTATGTGGGATCTTTAAGTACATGTGCAAGGGGCAGAATGGGAAGTTGTGATTTGTGAAGTGGTGAAGTGGTGAAGTGGTGATGTTGTGGTGTGGAAGTGAAGAGTTCAAGTGGTGAGAGAGGCTCACTCGACCGCGTTAAATAGACCAGAAAACAAACCAAGTGGGTCTGCAAAGTCAGACGATGCTTGATGAGCTGAGGAAGGAATTATCAGGTTCACGGCAAGTTGATCTTGGTTGATCAGTCAAGACTTTTGAGCCGAGGAAGGTACTCGCGGTTGACGGAGGAAAGAAGGGCGAGGGCGGTGATATCAAGATTTGAGGTGATACAAAGAAATCACTACATACATAGAAATATGTAGCTTCATCCTGAGAGACATACAGATATTTCTCGTACTCTTATCACCATCATGAGATTCGCATTGGGTCAGTCTTTCCCTCAATGTTTAGAGAATGAGCGAGTGATCCTTTCCGAGAATTCACACGTATATCCATCTGCCTTCACTTTCACTACCTTCATGTTGATCACATGGAGAATCCAGTCAAAAAGTAAGGCACACTCAGCTCCTGCCTCGGAACCCTCAGGTCGGAGCCGATACATCTCACCGAAGCCTTCACCTGAATCTCACCGACACCCCCGGTATAAAACGGTCACTCACCTTCACACCGAAGATGGCGGCCGAAAACCGCCACCAAGCAAAAGGGCCGATCTTATCAGATCAACCAGCGGCCCCGTCACATCCCACTTTAGACCCCCGCGGTTCCGCAGTCGCAGTCACACCCGACCCGCGCGAGTCGCTCCTACCTTACCTCACCTTACCCCTCCATCCCTCCCCATTAATCGCGAGTGTTATCCCCTCAGAACACATCACCTCATCTCCAAACTCGACTCACGATACTTTGCAGATCCTGCTGCGCCGCATCCTCGGTACTTGCCGATCTCAACATTCCTCCTGTTTTTACAACGCTGTTCTGTTCATTTGACTACGAGTGATCACGCGACCAAAATGGCAAGCGCGGGCGACCTCTTCGTCAACGGGCGCATCTTCCTCCACAATGGCGACGTCGGCCTGGACACCCAGCCCTCCTTCGCGGAGAGCATGTTCGTCGCGGACGGCGTGATCGAGGACATCGGCGCCGCGGCGGACCTCACATCCAAACACGCCCCTTCAAATCCCACAACTCACGACCTCAAGGGCCGGACGCTCCTGCCGGGCTTCATCGACGGACACATGCACCTGCTCCTCCTCGGCCAGGGCCTGCGCAAGCTGTCGCTGGAGGACTGCAACTCCCTCGAAGAGATCCGTGGGGCTATCAAGGCCTTCGCGGCGGCGAACCCAGAGCTCCCGAGGATCATGTGCAAGTTGTGGACGCAGCATGTCACGCCGGGCGGGGTGGACCGGAGTATGCTGGATGATATCGACCCAAGGCCTATCTTCATCGATACCAAGGATCTGCATTCTACGTGGTGCAATACGGCGGCGGTGAAGGAGCTGGGGATCGAGAGTATGAAGGATCCCGTCGGTGGAAAGATTCATCGCGACGCAGAGGGGAAGGCGACGGGGTTACTGAGCGAGGCTGCCGTCTTGACGCTTATCTGGCCTCATCTGGCCCAGGTCGCACCAAAGCGGGATAGAATCGAAGCAATCAAGGCGGCGGTAGAGTCGTACAATGCCTCGGGTTACACAGGACTCATCGAGATGGCGATGGACGAGCCGGCGTGGGATGCGGTATGTACGCTCCGCGCAGAGGAGCCCGACTTGCCGATGAGGATTCACGCGTACTGGCTCATCAAGCCATCCGAGACCGAGGAGGAAAGATTCAAGCAGGTGGACAGGGCGATCGAACTTCACAACGAACTCAACAAGACCACCTCGCCGGACTTGCGCATCGTCGGTATCAAAGTCATCACGGACGGCATCATCGACGCGTGCACAGCCTACCTATCCGAGCCCTACGCCACAGCCGGCGCGCCTCCTCCCTTCTGGAACGCAGAGGACCTCGGCCCCGTCGTGAAGAAGGCGGACTCGGCCGGCCTGCAGATCGCGCTGCACGCGATTGGCGACGCAGCAATCAAGATGGCGGTCGACGCGCTCGCGACGCACGCGACGCCGGGCCGCCGCCACCGCCTCGAGCACATCGAGATGTCGTCCCCCGAAGACGCGCGACGGCTGGGCGAGCTTGGGCTCACTGCCTCGGTCCAGCCAGTCCACGCGGACCCCGCGATCCTCAAGGCGTGGCCTCGGCTCATAGGCACCCACCGGTGCGAGAGGGCGTTCGCGTACCGCGAGTTCGCGGACCACGGGGCCCTGCTCGCACTCGGATCCGACGGTCCCACGGCGCCCTGGGCGCCGCTGCAGAACGCCTACGTCGCGACGACGAGGAGGTCGGCCAGGGACCCGGGCTACGACGTGGTCGTGAACGAGCATTTCAAATTGGGCGTGTGTGAGGCCATCACGGCTGGCGCATTCGGCACGGCCAAGAGCGTTTTTGCAGAAGATCGGATCGGGAGTCTGCAGGTCGGCAAGCTGGCTGACTTTGTGGTTGCAGATATGGAGTGGTCGCCTCAGGGTTTGTTGAAGGGCGAGATCAAGGCCACCTGGTTCGCGGGCAGGAGGGTTTGGGCGTCTTCAGACTACGCATGAAATGATAGCCTATTGGTCGGTGGTGTTTGGGGGGGAGTATTTGTCGGCTCCCACATGTGTTGGGCTATTTGTAAACGAACTGCGTGGTAGTGTTGTGGTTTCATCCCATCTCGACGGTGTTTCCGGGTTCGCGGCAGCGCATGGCACTGTCCGCCCCGTCAAGTCTCGACGTCGGGAGGTCAGCTCTCTGACATTGCCTGATTAGGCAAGGGTCGCAGATCTCCCCAAGTCTGGGCAAAGTCGCGCTCGTCTTGGATGCGAGCGATTCGGATCTCGAGGTTCTCTCCCTCTGAAGGTTCCTCGTCATCGCCTCGGGAGGGCCAACTTTCGCCGCAGAGCCACGGAAGCCACCGTCCAGGAAACCTTTCAGACCTGTTGGATATTAGATGTGTACTGGCCGGATCAACCGAGAATAGAGTGAAGAGAAGAAGTCTTGCTGCATTGTACTGCGCGGCGTGTGAGCGATTCGGTGCTCGAGCCATCTGACAGGAACATGTCAAGGCCTGGAATGGCGAGAGAAGATTGGATAGAAACGGGATGCCGAATTCCAAAACCAACAGCATGAGACCCTGAAGTTTCCCACACCTGGTGGAGCCCGCCCCGATGTGAGATCAATGATGCCGAAATAAGGTGCGCTGCCAAATCGACCCTCGCTCTCGCACCACACCCACACCCACATGGGGGGGCTCCAATAACCACAGATGCCGCGGCTGTGTCATGGATGTCGTCCCAAGGGTCTGGACGGTGTCTGGTTCCAATACAAGAAGGCCGTCGAGGACCCCGTGAGATGAGAAGTTTTGCACACCAGGCTCAGTCATCCTTCACAAGTCCACCATCTCGGAAAAGCCCTCAGCAATACCCGGACATCCGTCTTCCTCTCGTTAATAATCCTCCATCCACAAAGATGCATCACCACATGAGCCTGTCGGCCCTCGCGTGCCTGGTCCCCCTGGCGCTCGCCCTGCCGCAGATGCAGCAGGCGCCGTGCGCGCCGGTGCAAATCATCGTGGCGCGCGGCAGTCTCGAGGCCCAGGGCGCCGGCCTGCTCGGCAACATCGCCAACAAGTCGGCGATGCAGATTCCGGGGTCGGTGGTGATGCCGCTGGTGTACCCGGCGCAGCTGGACCCCTACCCGCCGTCGGTGTCGGCCGGCGTGACCAACATGACGAACCTGCTCAACCAGCAGGCGCAGGCGTGCCCGAACAGCAGGTTCGTGTTGATGGGGTACTCGCAGGGCGCGCAGGTCTCGTTGGACACGCTCTGCGGGACGAGCGACGGGCCGAACTTCAACGCGACGCAGGCCCAGGCGCCCATGATTGGTAACAAGAGTAAGTGTTGTGACTTCCGAGGAGGTGTGTTCGATGTCTGACAGGTTGAATAGTTGCCGCGGTCGTCCTCTTCGGTGACCCGACCAGCGTCGCGACGCAGCCCTTCCAGAAGGGAACCGCCAAGAAGAATGGCGTGAGTATTCTCCCGTCGTCGATGTTCGCTCAGCCAACTGACACACGATCCAGATCTTCCCCCGCCAGGACTTCTCCGCCTGCAACGGCCTCATCAACAAGGTTGCCTCCTTCTGCGACGAGACGGATCTCTTCTGCGCCTCGGGCCAGAACCTGACCGTCCACCTGGGCTACTTCCAGAACCAGAAGTACATCGACCAAGCTTCGTCCTTCATCGTTCAGAACACCCGGTAAAAGGGGGTTTGAAGGTGTCGATTTTTCGTCCGAGAGCTGGAAGCTCGGCGAGGAGCGGAGTGTCGTGGAGCAGCGTCATGAATCGTTTTCTATCGCGATCGTCGGAGGGTAATCTTATTTCATCGTAAAAGAGCATTCGGTCTTGACGATCGACGCGCGGAGTTTGTGGGAAAGATACAATGGATGTAGCGATTGAATCTTCGTGGCCTCTGAACGTAAAGAGGAGGCGAAGAGAGATAATTTCACACAGATGAAAGATTTGGTGACCTACCGATCTGAATTGGTGATTACGTAACATGCATGGAACTATCGCCAGATGCCTTGCAACTACTTTGCTACTTCTATGCCTATCTTTGCTGCTATTAGTTCCGGTACTGCGCTTGTTATCTGTTGTTACTGCATAAGTATTCGACCTGAAATCATACCCGGGACGTAATCTGTTAAACCCAAATATGGGAAAGGGGGTAACGATACATATTCAAGCCTAGCCACATGGCTGCAATGATGGACATGGTCTTCCTGCAGCACCTACAACTGTCGGAGACTCAGAAGAAAGTAGCAATATTTTGGCATCGATTCAGACCGATTGTTCTCATCGAGGATACACCAAAAGCCTTGCCCCGTCCTCACTGGCAAGTACCTAATGCTGACTGGGACTCTAACCGTCCACCAATCAGTCCAGGCTGGCTTATTCTTTCTCTGATTTGAAGTCCGCAGCACTGTCTGAAAGTTGGTGATTATGTAAGATGGGAGTCCGTGGGTGTAGACATGCGCATCGCCGTTGGTTCATTGACCAGTTTATCTGAAGTGCGCGATCCCCAGGGAATAGAGGCAATAATTAGGTTAAACAGTTTTGAGCCAACTTCAGTTTGACTGACGTATTGTCGAATTTGATGCGGTATGTTACAGATTCGCTGAGCTGGGGGGCGGAACCTCACACCGGTGAGTCCCGGGTGTCTACTATGAAGTATGGTAACACGGAGACAAGGATCTATACCCCTGTTGCTTAGGTACCTGTGACCCAATGGCGTGCCTCAACCGCCAATCCGTGTGGTAGCAATCCGGTTTGCGGTCAGATTAGCTAGGCCGGGCAAAATCGACGGGAAGAGGCTCTGTGCGGCAGCAGGTCGTGGCGGTCGGTGCCTTCGTCTTGTATTTTGTATTTAAGTGAATGAGTGCATCGACTCAGCTCATGCCATAATCTGTATTCTCTTAATACCAACTACCTATCCATTGACAATTCCGCCTCACTGACTATGGACAACGCCGACACGACTAGCACCATCGTTGTTGGAGTCCTAGGCTTAACAGTTGCCATCGCGACATTATGGATCAGCTTCAAAATGTGGAAAGGTCAGAGGAGGGCCGCTCCCCAGATTACCCGGGGGCCAGCAATAGGAGAAGCGGAGGTACCCCTGTTACCAGTCCACCGCGACCCTGAACCTCTTCAGCGGCTTCCTTCGCAGGCTTTAGGCGTAAATCTGCAGCTCTTCTGGGGGGATTCTCATTTACAGTTACCCACTGGGATGAACATCCATCAACATCCGTCTCTCTATCAGCAGCATCAACAGCAACACGCTCGCCCAAGTGGTCCGACTTCACATCAACCCGCTCTCCCTGACCCTGTTTCTGACGGACATGATCCCGAATCTCTGCGATCATCTGTGACACCTGGAATGGCCCCTTTGGTTGTTGAAGAGAGCATGGGGTCAACAGATGTATTGAGCAACACTGCAGCACAGCCACCCCTGCCAAGTGGTAAAGCGCCCCATATTTGCTAGTTCTCTCTAGGTACTTCCTTCTGGCGTTCTTGTCGCTAATTTACCCTTGTCTTCAGTACCCTCACCACCCTCCCTTCCTAGCAGCTAGCGGATAGGGCCGAGACGACAACTTCGAATTGAAGGGACCGGCGAACGCTATTTTTCGTAGGTATTGAAGGAAATGTAGTTGGAGAGCGATTCTTCTTCAAGCGGAATTAGATTCACGGAGGTCGTCCAGGCGTTGGAGCATTTGGGTACAACATTCACGTCGCATAAAAGGTCAAAGCTACAGCGAATTCGTTTTCAAGCTCAGGCGGAGATATCCCTAGCGTTTTTTTTCCCCCTATTTTTTAGATATATTGTCATTTCATGTATTATCTTGCTGTCGAATACGATCTATTACCCGAAAACCTCTCCATCGTCTCTTCCCGATCTGCCGCTCTCATTTGTCAGGAACGACCAAAATATCGTCGACGTTAACGACCTGTCCCGTCGCAATGGATCGGTTCGCCGCAATACCCGTCAAAATGGACGCGGCGCCGTCAACATGGCTGGCCGCTCTCGTGTACTCGTCTGACACCGGCTCGCCAAACAAGTCCCTCAGCAAGACGAGGTCACCACCGCCATGTGCACCCTTGGCCTCACCCAGGTCGATTTCTTGAGGAGGTCCAAATAGCGGCCGCAACAGCATCGTCCTCTTTTCAATGGCACCTTCCAACGCTTGGCTTCCGCCAGAGTTGACATAACTCTTCTCCACAACCTCAACCTCGAGTCGTCCGCCGGTACCGTTGAAGTTGACGCGGAATCCCTCCCATGGGGCATACGCCGTCAGCGAGTACGTCATTACGGCGCCGTTCCGGTACCGAATGAGCAGGTTCATCGTATCCTCAATACTGATACCATCCCCAAACACACTCTGGTCGCGGTAATACGCGTCCTCATGCTCAGCGTCGAGGTACATTGCCTTCAGTTGCGGGTTCTGGTCCAACTGTAACGCAAACGGATCATCCTTCGCCGCCTCGCTTCCGTGGGCACGAGAGTAAAACTTCGTTACGCCTCTCTTCTCCGCGTTCTCTCGACCGTAGAACTTGAGATCTCCCTGAGCATATACCGTTTGCGGTCTCGTCTGCAGCCAGAAGTTCACAAGATCAAAATGATGCGTCGACTTATGCACCAGCAGACCGCCCGAGTTGCGCTTATCCCGATGCCACCTCCGGAAATAGTCCGCACCATGATTCTCGTTGAGCATCCACTCGAAATGCACACTCGTCACATTCCCAATCTTTCCCGACTTGATAATCTCAAAGATCTTGGTGTTATGCGGCGCGTAGCGGTAGTTGAACGTCACCCTGACGTTCTTCCCCGTGCGCTCGACCGCCGAGAAGATCTCGCGGCACCGCGGCGCGTCGATGGTCATGGGCTTCTCGGTGACGACGTTGCACCCGAGCTCGAGGGCGCGGACGATGTAGATGTTGTGCGTGCGGTCGACGGTCGTGACGATGACCTCGTCCGGCTTCGTTTCGGCGATCATCTTGTCGAAGGAGGCGGCGGGGTAGGTCGGCACGGCGCCATGGCCGAGGGACTCGAGACGGGAGTTGGCATAGTTCATGCGCGTCTGGTTGACGTCGCAGAGGCCCACGATTTCGGATGTGCTGCTGTAATCTTGCGCGATTGCGGTGTAGAAGAAGCTGGAACGCCCGCCGGTGCCGACGATGGCGTAACGCTTCTTCTTGTTGGTGAGGTCGCCCATCGTGGGTATCGTAAGTTGTGGTGAGGGGGAGATGACTCTTGGCAACTCTGGGAAGATGAAATTGGGCAGAGGTTCGTCGAAACCAGAGTCTGGGGACTGAGGAGGGCACAGTGAAGTTATTGAGGAGTAACGATCCTTCTCAAACACGTCACGACTCCGATTAAGGGCACCAAAATCCTACGCAAAATGCGGCACCCGGCACGACGACACCCTCATCTCGGGGCCATCTCTCCCAACTCCCGAGTTTAGCCAGAATAAGACCACGCTTCTGGGCCGCGGCAGTTTGAACACCCGAACCCAAATCCCCACACGATGCGGGGGTGGTGCGATGGGCAAACTTCGGGGGCGCGGGGGTGGATGTTTTTATGTGGACATTTCACAAATCTCGGCGGGGATGTCGGGGGTTACGAGAATGCGGAGAGAGTTTGGGGTTCACGACGTTCGACTGCAACGTCAGCCCAGCTCGCCCAGGCCGCGACGCCCAGAAAACCGTTGCCAGCCACCCGCTCCCCCAAGACTCGTAGATCTCCGTCCAGCCAAGACCAAGGAATGCTTCTCACGACTCGCCGTAGTCACGCGTCGGAGCGCGGACATGATTCGACCACGATCCCTGAACTCGCCGTCTCGCATTCAGGCTGAAGTTTTCCCTCCAATGGGGTCTTTTATATTGGCCGGGGGTGACCGCTGTCGCCGCCTCATCTCTTGGGAGTTGGTTCAAGCAACGGAGCCAAGGGCTTGGGAGGGGATTAATATCCGGTGGTTACGTTGACCGTATCCGTCGACCCAGGGTTGTACGACAGTAGACACCTGTGCGCGACATTCAGAAGTCAGGTGTTCTGGGCCGATATCCATAATATTTGCCCACATTATCCCCGGCTTCTCCAGGTTCGGGTAGGGGTTACGTGTCGGACGAGAGGGGACCGAATGTTGGGGTAGAGTCTGGGGATGTGGGCTGGCGTGACTTGATAAGATGAACGGGTCCCAGAGTCTGACAGGTTGAGACGTTAGGTTTCGTTTGACACCCCTTCGGTCCTCATCTCTGCGGTGTTGCGTGATTTCTCATCGACTGCGTTCCATCATCAACAGCATCCGCAAAGGATCTCGGCTTCATTTCCACTCCTTAGGGCGATCACCGAGACGATAGTCGACATCATGGCGAGTGTACCGCCCCCGAACCCGGTCAGCGTGCCACCTGTTCCCGCATCCGATCAGATTGAGCCGGTCCGTCCACAGACCGCGAATGGCGATACCCTTCACGAGAAGGCAGCAAAGTTCCTGGCGGAGCATGGAGGAGGCGACGCTGCCTTCACCTATGAGGAGGAAAGGGCCGTTTTGAAGAGAATCAACTTCCGTCTCCTACCTCTCCTGCTAGGCGCATACTTCTTTCAGCAACTAGACAAGAGTACTCTTAGGTGCGATTCATCAATGTCAACAACACACTCATCAAAGTAGGCTAATCTAAATCATCCAACAGTTATGTCTCCGTATTCGGCATCACAGAAGACGCCGGCCTGGTCGGGCGCCAATACTCATGGCTCGGCTCCATCCTCTACATCGCCCAACTTGTATGGCAGCCCGCTGCCGCGTTTATCCTCGTCAAGTTCCCCAACGGAAAGGTCATCGCCGCCGCCATCTTCCTCTGGGGCTCAATGCTCGCCATCATGACCTCCTGCACCAACTTCGGCTCGCTTCTCGGTATGCGATTCATGCTCGGCACGTTCGAGGCCATGATCGCGCCGTCTTGCTTGTCAGTGACGACGATGTGGTGGAGACGCAGTGAGCAGACGCTCGTCACGAGTTCCTGGAACGCTATGAACGGTGTCACTTTCATCGTGGGCAGTCTGGCGACATATGGTTTGGGACACATCAAGAGCGATACGCTGTTCTCATACCAGATCATCTTCCTGTAGGTCATGATGCTCATGATTATCGCTGGTGATGTGACTGACTCTACGGTCGTAGGTTCTGCGGCCTCCTCACCGTGTCATACTCCTTCATCGTCCTCATCCTTATGCCCGACTCGCCCATGTCGGCGAAGTACCTCACGGAGAGGGAAAAGGTCATCGCCGTCGAACGTCTGCGTGCCAACCAGATGGGTATGCAGTCCGGTCACTGGCGCTGGGACCACGTTTGGGAGACCTTCATGGACTTGAAGACGTGGTGCTGGTTCATCCTCATCATCGCCATCTCGTAAGTCCACTGCCTTCAATCCACTATCCTGAACAGAGGATCTAACATCCATCACAGCATTGCTAGCGGCGGTATCTCCACCTTCGGCAACCTCATCGTCAAGTCATTCGGCTACGACAGCTTCACCACCATCCTCTTCAACATCCCCTTCGGCGCCATCCAGATCTTCGCCATCATGGGCAGCGGTTGGCTCGCGACGCGTATCAAGAGGAAGGGTGTTGTCATTGCTATGCTCGCCATCCCTCCCTCCATCGGCTCCATCCTCATGCTCACCATCCCCCGTGACCAGAAGGGCGTCTTGCTCTTTGGCTACTACCTCGTCTCCTTCCTCGCTGCCATCACGCCCATCATCTTCACCTGGCAGGTGCAGAACACCGCCGGAGACACCAAGAAGAAGACCACCTCAGCCATGGTCTTCATCGGCATGTGTGTCGGCAACATCGTTGGGCCGTTGTTATACTCGGTTGATGATGCGCCGCTGTACCGACCGGGCTTGATCTCAAACCTGGTCATGTTTGTCCTCGTGGGCATCTTGGGACTGTATGTTACATCCACCTCATCATTCAAGAAAGCGAGTACTGACTTCTTCTTTCTTAGGCTTATCCCCATCTACCTCAAGTTCCTCAACAACAAGCACGCCAAGCGCCGTGAGGAGCTCGGCAAGAGCGCTCAGATTCTCGACGAGTCCATGTTGCGCAATAAGGAGGCGGAGACCAGCAAGGCGGTTGAGCTTGAGGGCGACGTGACGCACCAGCAGCACAGGGCTATTGAGGAGGACAATGGTCTGCAGGACATGACTGACCTCAAGAACGAGGACTTTATCTACGTCTACTAATGACATCATTTACGCTGAGTAGAGTAATAATTGGTGGTTAACTAGCATTATACTAAATGAACCTTTTCTGTCAAGTCTCGTTTCACCAAACCCAAGCTGTGATCATCATAATAGCGCTTAGTGCACGCAATGATGTCACCAATTGCATTATTCGGCGCAGGCCAATGCAATAAATCTTACTCTCATGCTCTATCCGACATCTCGCTGTACTCAGCGGGTACATATTTTCACGTTCAATATTCCCTTCTCAGTAAATAACGTTGGCGAAGGAAAAGCAACACATAAGGACGAAGAATGTCATGATTTTGCAGCTCGGAGAAGAGTCTTCTTTTGGAGAATCTGAGGTAATGCAACATTTGTCGTTGTTCTATAGACGTTTTACGCGTTGTGTTTTAATCCTATGATATTTTCTTTTTTTTTTGAATCATATTCCAAGCAAATTCTATTTGTCTCCCACACATACAACTGACTCAGGTAGCCCTAAGATTTCTCAATGCGGCTGTCGACTTTATAACCGCTGTTGTCGGTATGCCCCATTTTAAAGTTCGAAGCTTTCGCGGCGCAGGAAATGTGATTCCAAGGGTCATTGTTGGGACTCTGCACTATCCAGTTGGCGAGCATCGGTGATTCGTCGCCTTTGTCATGGCCTGTCGATGATTTGTCAGTCCAGGTCCTCAGGTAAGATCCAACTTCATCTGAATTGCTTACTCTTAACGTGTCTCGAAAGAGTTTCCAAATCAGCTTTGCTAGACATTGCGAGTGATGGAAGAAATCGCGAACAGTAAATCCCCTCTGCTTATTGAAGGAGTAGGTATGTATTCAGATTATTTGGGTGAATAGGCTGAAGATGGTGAAGGATACGAGGGATGTTGAACAACAGACTCAACAATGGCATAGGATGGGACGGACAGTCATGTTAAATAGAAATACCAGCATGGGAATCAGAGGGAAGGTGTACCGAGAAGAGCCTCACCACTTCCCATCAACATGTGTAAACTACATGTTAATAGCATCGTGTATACGTGTACGTTTCCCTGAGAAGTAGAAATAGGTTGATCAACTACGAAGATGATCCAATCATATTAATGGCCCTGCTCCTTCACAACCCCTTTCGGGTTCACCGGGTTGTAGCTGTTCTAGGCAGGGCGAAATGAATTCGTCACCCGGAAGGATAATGACTAAAGGTGCTATATTCGTTCTCTTGATCAGGCCGGGCATGAAATAAAAGTAGCCAATCCGACAAATGGCCGTTCTCCGGAGAACCAGGTTGATACCATGTAGACGAACGGGAGATCGAACGTGTAAGTGTGGTGTGCTACCAGTACAATATGTTGGCTCAAAGCGTCCAATGAAGTGACTGGCCGTTTGAGAAACCGGTGGCGGCCGATCGGTCTAGCTCAGGTTGCCTGCATGGAGAGAACCACTAGTATGCTGTGAAAGCGAGATCCCGGCGCCAATCCAGGTACGATTGGCTCTGGATGGTTGGCTCTAGGTAAGTGGTGTAGTTGGGTATCAACAAGGCTGAGTGAGGTCAATGGCATATCGGTACACTTGTGTGTCGCCGCAAGAATTCACGTGATAGAGCCAGTCCTGTACCCGACCATGTGTTGAGGCGGTGGCTGAACGTGATGCAGGTGACCTGATAGAACGGGAATAGTCAGACATTTTCCCAACGTCTGTCTCGCAGATTACGGGTGTGATGGCCAGCGAAAAGACAACACGAGGGTCGTCGTAATTTTACCCAGTAAGAAAACTGGCCGCCACACCTCTTGGACAGGTAGGCCAATGATAATACAGGAATTTGGTTTATAATATAAGCCAATGATAAATATGGCCGCAATACTCCGAATACTATTCAGCAAATGGAAACGCTGGAATTTACGCCAATTGAAGTGGTGGCCGCCAGTTCTCAGCTAAGCCTGGCAAAGCGGGCGCAGTAGGCGTTCTCGATTGCAATGAAATGACGTGCCGGTTGCCTGACATCTCAATAGGCGTTCTGGCGCCCCGCGCCCGCTGGTTGATAAGGCTGTTGGTCCCTTGTCCGGACAAAACTGGGTATGCTTCCTCGTACCTCTCAGCAGCAGGCGCGCCTGGTGGTGTCTTTCTCATCTCATCTTGGCTTCGGCCTGCGTCCCGATCATCCTCACAGAAACTGCGGAAGCACACTCACCACCATGTCTGACACCAACTAGAGATTGTTGGTGTCTCTTTCGAGCGACATCAAGGCGATCAAGCTATTCTCAGGCACCATCCTGAAGCTTTTCTTGAGCCGAATCATTCAACATAAGACCCGTTTGCGTTTCTCCCTCTGTTTTCCACATCACATTGTCACCGTTAGTCGACTTTCCTCGTCTTTGAGATCGTCACTCTGTCTTTCATCCCTTTCCTTTACATCTGAGCTTCTGCATCAACCTCCAGGTAGGCCATGTGCTCTCAAAGTCAGTTCCAGGCTGACGAACCATTCAGAAGAGCACTGGGGAAGGCCCCCGAAGCCCCTGAAGGGCCGCCTTAGCGGGCAACCGCCGACGAGACATCGTCGACCAAATCTCTTCGGTAGTGTTCGCTCGCGGAGGTTCACCTCCGCGCGGACGCTATTTGCCTGTCCGAAAATGATCATCACAAAGTACTAAATGGAGACGCACTCGAAGATTTAATATGGCAAACCAGATCCGCTTCTACATTTGATGGGAGGAATTGCGCGGTGGATCATCTGTGTGAGGCGTCGGCAATATGTGGCGACTGGTGCCAAGAGAGACCAGTTGCTACCGACGTTCACGGTTTGAGCCGTACATCCGAAGTGCCTGCCTTTGGTCACGAGAATCCATCATTATCTCGCGAGAAGATTGAGATTCCGGACTCAATTGGTTCGAGCACAGTACGACCAGCCGTAAATGTTTACGACGTCGATTTGAATCCGCAAGATTCCTTTGGTTCCCATTCACATTCACCTCCCAACCCCAACGATCCCTCTTCTTACCTCTCGGACGCGACTCCGGCTGCTTCTCGAAGCCCCGGAAACTTTTCAACACCCGGTACTCAGTGGACGCCTCAATCGACTCCCGAACCTCCGATCTCAAGGTCTGTCACCGAGAGTCCCCAGTTACCTCTATCTTCGCCGTCTCAGAACAATGCTTCGCTGAGTGGTGGCTTCCTTGTGTTCTGCCCTGATTGTTTCAGGCTCGGAGGGGATATCAATCTCCTGCGGTAAGCGTTTCCTGTTCTGAAATGCGACTCTCCTGGTCCCCCAATGACTGACTTCGAGAGCAGGAAACACATTGAGAAGTACCATTCCTGCCAATGCCCTTGCGATGCCTGCTTGAGTGGACGTGGCCCTTGTTTGAGGCCACTCCCTAAGTTTGTGTGTCCTTGCGGTGAGAACTGGCGACCCAACAGCGTCACTGCACGAGCGTTCAGAGAACATCGCAGAGACCTTACACGTCGACAGATTAGGTGTAGCTGTGGTATCCTGGTGTCTGAGAAACACTTCAAGGATCATTTTCCCTCAAGATGCTCGGGTGGAAAATCAACATTCATCTGCATTCGACCGGGCCAATCTCATTACTTTGAGTTTGAATCCCCAGAAGAATTCTTGGAGCACTTCAACAATGCCTGCAAAGGTAGAAGACTTGGACGTCCGGCCGAAGGGTGAAAGTCGATCGTTGAGACTTGGGAGACAGCCTGTCTGCGCGGCAGATGGCTTATTGGAGGAACATTCCATTTCTAGCAGTGGTTGGGTTGCCATATTTCTGATTCAGTGAGTTAACAAGACGTTTCTTGGATGATCTTCGGACCATCTGTCGGCCGCAGCGACTCTTTCACCATGTGGTCGAATATGCCCTCGCGCTGGGGCCGACGGATCATTGCCTGACGCAAGGCCGACATAGCAAGCGGCCATGCTCCTGCAGGACTTGGACATATCTGAGTGCGATGGGTGGAAGGATATGGAAGTTGAACTATCTTTTCATCGTTGTATATAAGTAAAGTGATTGTTTTGAAGTGGGTTTGATTTAGCAGGAAGTTGTAGTGCAAACACAACTGGGGATTTGAGCTTGAGTTGGGACGGGGACGAAGCCACAGAGCGATACCTGGCTTTTGCCAACGGGATATCATGCCAACCGACGAAGTCATGGCTTTGAAGTTACTTGAGGTGCTTCAGCTCATGGGGGTATTGGGCCACAAAGAACACGGGATGCTCTTAAAATTGTTGTATTGTAACTGAAACCAAATAAAAGCATAGGCTGGCGCCTACTGGTATGCACCAAAGTAGAAATAAAGCGAGAATCTAACTAGCGGCCAAACTACGAAGAATAGCAAGAGCATGGGTAGTCCTCCGCGAGCAACGTATGTCTCGGTTATGTACCGTCTTACTTTTGATGCCGCCGTATCATCATGCGTATGGTTCATGTCGGTTCGGGACCAATCATTCTTGGGATACGTGGAAGAAGATTCCGTCTTCCGGCCATCCATACCCATGAATCTAGCATGGTAGTATGCGTCTCCCAACTCGGGGTAGATATCATCACTTCTGAGGTGATTTTCTACCCGAACCCTTATTGCTGCCCCATCATAAGAATCAAAAGAAGCTGGCAGTGTCAGGGGCGTCTTTGACAACTTCGATGTTTCTAAAAGCTTCAAGTTCTCAACCTTTCTCCTTCCGTAGTCGTTGACTTCGCCTTTTCTATCGCCGTTATCATTATTATCCTTGCTGTCGTCGGTGTTATAATCCTTGTTGAAATCCTTATTGTTACACTTGTTGTTGTCTTCGGTCTTGCCATCGTCGTCGTTGTTCTTCTTATTATCGTCCTTGTTGTCGTCCTTGTTATCAAGAAGCTGGCGCTTATGGTCCGTGTTGGCGCTGCACTTGTTCTTGTTTGTCTTGTCTTTATTGTTTTCCTCGTGTTCCGTTTTATCTTTCTTGTTGTTCTCATCTCTGTCTTTCTTATCCCTGTTGTCCTTGTTCTTGCTGCCCTCTTCGTGATCTCCCTTGTTGTTATCAACTTTGACACTGCCACCCTTGCTAGCATCGCACTTCTTGATGCTGTTATTGTAGTTGATGTTGGCGTCTGAAATTGAAGTTTTCAGCTTAATCTGACCGCTCTGCGATGACTCGTCTGTTCTGTACACCACGACTGCCATCTTTTGACTCTTCACTATCGATGTCTCGAGTCGTCGACCCGAGAGACGTTTGATCTTTCTCAGTCTGTAGGCACGGATGCGTGGATGAAGACCAGAATTCAAATCGAGGTTGAAAATCTGGGCTTCCAGTCGGTAGTTCGTGGAATTGAGATCTGTGATGTTTCCGCCCTGGTCCACATGCGTGTGATTGATCGGAACATAATGGAGCGAAACAACGTCGCAGTGTTGCTCACGTCTGATACACCGGCCAAGTTTGTATGTCGCTGATGAAGCTGCATTGGTTGGCTTGTCGTAGAAGACTTGAAAGTTGTCGACTATGAGTTCAGATAGAGCAGGCGGATTGCGTAATATCTTCATATTGCTCGCGATGCGGTAATATTGTGTCACGATGACTCCCGGTAGAAGATGAAGACTAGATATTTGAGTGAAGAAGGACGTTTCTCCCCCCTTACCACAAGCGCGGAGGCCATATTTCTTATTGGTCAAGCATGCCATTGAGCGATCAACAGCTGATTGGCCTTTGCTGTTTCTCGAGTGAGCTGGCGCCGAAAAATGGAAAAAGGCAACCATTTGCCTAGGTCGTATTCAGGCATGTCTCACTCTCGAAGGCGCAGTCTCAAACCATGCAGTCTAATAGAGAACAAATTTATTTCTCTGCGATCATAGGCTGTTTTCCCCAAGTGGCTTGTCAGCTCATGATGCGACTTGATTCAGCTGTGGCTAACTAGTCCATTTATTATGTGTAGCACAGACTTCGCCAGAGCTCTGGTTCGCCATTTGAAGTTTCGGTGTTGCTGGCATTCCCGACCTCTTAGTTTCCACTCAGCATCCCCTCCCCTGTTGCTCCGTTCGACAGCCTCTTATTCTGCTCGAGTTGCTATTAATAGTGTCTAGTAGGTTGGATAATATTTTGTCTCTTACTGAAGAAATGAATATCGAAATCCGTCCGCCCACATTCGACTTTGCATTTTTTAGCACTTGTCTCTGCCTTGGGGCAAGTGGACAGCCAAAAAAAAAACCAATTTAAATCTCACTGACGTTCATCTCATCTCATTGCAAGTATCTTCACTGAACTGGCGCTTTTTCCCGGTTACTCTCATAACTGCTGTGTACCCTCTACATCACTATGCTAACTCACACTCTATGAGACTCTCAACACCGTTGCCCACATCAAAGATCTGAACGATTCGGAGCCCCGACCTCTCCAGCAACACCTTCCACTCAGCCCTGGTTCGTTCCTTGCTGCTGACCAAGGTCAACATCATGATATCTTGCCCCGTGTTTTGCCAATCAGCTCCAGTGTCCGGAATGCAGTTTTCGTTCACGAGTAACTTGCTGTATCCTGGCCTCATCGCTGCTGTCGTGCGGGCAAGAATCTCCTCGCACTTGGCGTCGGGCCAGTCGTGAAGAACCGAATGCATGTAGTAAGCTCGTGCACCTATAAACTCTTGTCAGCTAACACGATTTCTTCGCCCTGGGATATGTCATTTCGAATGGCATACCTTTGATTGGCTGCTCGTTGAAGAAGTCGTGACCCATACGCTCAATCTCCCCATCCAACTTGTCGATCTGGTCGATAACACTGGGAAGGTCCTGCACCACAAGTCTACCAGGCGCCTTGGGATGTTTTCGTCGAAACTCATCGATGTCATGACCAAAGCTTCCGCCGACATCTACCAGAAGCACTTCATTTTTGGAGCTGTCAAATCCATCTAGTAGACGCTCCTGGACAGGATAGAACCCGTCATCCATCCAGCTTGGCCTCCCCTGACGATATGCCCCCATATGCTGTGCGAACTGCATGTCGTACGGCGAGTTGGCAGCGAAGTGGCTGAAACAGTCCAGCTTGGTCTTGTATCCGTACTGCAAAGGGCTGTTGAAGACGTCGTGAGGCTCCCGATAGTTGGTCTTCTTGGCGAACTCGTGAAACTTTGCAAGAGCCTCCATGCAAGCACCAGCACTAAAGGTCTGTCAGCGCAATTAAATTGCACAGGTTTGCACGCGGCGAGGAGTCCTATCCTAACCCGCAGAACTACCTCAGGTGGATTCAAAGTCTTCCCGTCGGGAATTCCAACATGTCGAACATTTACTTACACGCATGGATATCCTGCCCCCATAATGGTGATTGTGAGGGCTCTAGAGAAGTTCGTTGCTTTGTATTCGTCCGGACCAGTTTCGACGATATACTGCATGGCCCCAAGATGTCGCATAATTCTCCCTAATGGTCATGAGAACATGTTGAGACTTCAGACTGAGGAGTCTTACCAAGAAGCGCAGGGTCATGACCTAATGTCGCAGCAAGGTCCGTCACCTTATGCGGCCCGTCATGCTGGGCCATTGATGTGAAAAGACCAGAGTCGACGGCGTATGTCAAAGCCGCAAAAGCAGCTGGCTTCAGTGTTGCTGTTAGGCTGAGCTAACCTAGTTCCCTTCAGGCAAGTACTTACTTGTGCCCAGCAATGCTTGATCATAGTTTCTCGTGGTGTCTCAAGAGCGTGGACCAGTGACCGGGCACTTGCCAGCATGCTGAGTCTGGCGGCATCGTCTCCAAGTGTGATATTATCGTTCAGAACAGCAATTCTCTTCACGTGTTGATTGACACCAGGGAGATCGCAGGCTTTGAGGGCGACAGAGATGTCAATCTCTTTGGGTTCGGTGGGGATTGATCCCATGTTGGGTTGGAGTATCAAGTAGCCAAAGGGACAGCAGCCAGGCAGAAGTCAAAAGATTGACGCTAGAACGTAGAGAGCGCGAAACAGCGAAAGAGCTGTGTAATCTGGGAAGCAAGGGAAACGAATGCTGTTATAGACAAAACCGTCAAGCAGAAGACATGCCACAGTCCACCCAAGTGGATCGCTCGTGAAATTCGCCTTCTATACATGTACATGGCATGGGAATCGTGCATCCATGTCAGGGCCCCAACGACAGTGTGAAAGTTTGGCTTAACTGCATTAGTGAAATGGTCACGTCCAACACGGAGTCAGCTCGCTTTCAGAGAAGTAGAATGGTTGTTCTCAAGCCGGAGATACTGCTCCTTGGACCCATACATGGGTTCGAGGCCATCCTCATCGGGATGTGGCGGTTGAATCGGCACCATATTAGGCCATATTCAAGACATACACGCGATGCTTTGCTCTCATCAGTGTTGGACTTGGACCTTGAGCAATCCATGCGCTACCCTTCTTCCCATGGATTCGCCTCCCCGTCTCCAGGACCGATTTGTCTAGTCCCGACGCTCTGGATCAGGGGCTACCAACGTGCTTTTCAAGGATGATGTTACTGCGCCAATATCTTTTGCATGTGATGGGTCGATTTTCATGTTGTTGGTTCACAAAGTTACAGCTCCATTTAGTTTATTACGTAGCTTATACTTCATATAGCTCTTATATCTACCTAATATAAAAAGTAGTAAAATATAAGGTATTAATAGTATCTCTAACCTATATTAATATATAGTATTATATAATAATAAGTAGAATCTCTATAGCTACTAAATAGATTATTAAATAGTAATATTAATAGTAATAACTTTAGCTAATAGAGTACTTAACTATTAAGGTTAATAAATACTCTATAATATAAGTTATACTAAATAGATAATAGCTTTAGCTAATAAGGTATTTAACTACTAAAGTTATTAAAAGCTCTATAGTATAATTGTTATAGCTAGCTAACTGATAGTGGGTTTGTATTAGCAGTAAGTTAGGGATTAAGAACTATAAATAGTAATTAGTTGTTTTATAGGTCTAGTTAAGTAATTATAGGTCTTTAAAGGTCTTAGTGATTAGTTAAGGCCTTAATAAGAGTTATAGAGTAATTATTACTTAGGTATAGCTAAAAGTATTATAAGTAATAATTATAAGTTAATTACTAAAGAGCTATAGAAGTTTATCCTTAAGCGGACTTAAGTCCATCCTATATATAGGTCCTGGGTAGTCCTATTGCTGGGTGCCGTATATGCCCTGTACGGCTCCCGTATCCTTGGCATACGGCTTCCATCTCCTTGGCATACGGCTTCCGTCTTTCTGGAATATGGATGCTATATCTTGATTATATGGATCTAATCTCTTATCTTATTGTTACGTAACCTATACTATAGTTCTTTTGTTCCTAAGGGATCCTTATGTATTCCTATGATCCTATATATAAATATATTATTATAACTGCCTAATATCTTAGTAGGGTATCCTTTATTAGTTATACCTAATAGGTTATAATATTAGGTCCCCTCTTTAAAGGTCTAGTCCCTTAGATTAATATAAGTAAGTAGTATCTCTTAGGTTGGGGAGGTATTAATTATACTTCTTAATCTCTATAATACTAATACTATATTAGGTTATATTTAAAAATTAAAAGATTTAAAATCTATTCTTTATTCTACTTATAATAACGTATTTAAGCGCTTTAGTTCTTCTAACGTTATACCCTATACTTACTATTTCTAGGTAAAGCGTCCTTATTATATAGTAGAGGGTTTAAAAGTCTATTATAGGTATAAGAATTTAAAGCGTCCTTATAATAAACTAGTTATTGCGTTAAGCTATAAGTCCTATTATATCTTTCTTTATAGGCTGCTTCTAACTTATTATAGTGAAGCATCTTAGTGACTAGCATTAAGAGTAGGAGGAAAAGGAGGAGTAAGCTAGTAATGCTCTATTAGCGCTCTATAAGAAGCTTATTTAGGTATAATTAGAGGTAGCTAATATAGCTAGTTATTTAGCTTATATTTATATAACTTAGAAGTTAATTAAGGAGCGTTATATAGAGACGTTTACTTAGGGGATATAGGAACTTGAGGAGGCTAATAACGTTCTTCCTATATTGGATGCTTATAAGCGATACGTTGTGGAGGATCTTTAGGCTAGAGGTGTTAAGAATAACCCTTCCTAGACTGAGTTTGGGATTAGGGAGGAGTTTATAGACTTAGGTCCCTTGCTTGGTGATACTCCTGTAGTAGCTGCTGGGAGTGCTGGAGGTTCTTGATGGGTTCCTATGAGTTGTCTTTATATCTATACCCCTTCCATTTAATGAGGTATTCTATATTTCTGTTGTTTTTATAGTAGTTAATAATTTATTTGACTTTATATTCTGGTTCTAGTGGTTCTATAATGATATAGTCTTCTATATGTGAACCTATTAGTGCTTTTTTGAGAAGTAAAATATAAAAGACTAGATAATACTTTATAGTGTCTAGTAGTATAAGTTTAAAGTTAACGTTAGATACCTTCTTTATAATCTTAAAAGGTCTAAGTTTCTTAAAGTCTAACTTATTGCTTAGTTGTTTTATCTTAATGTTTTAGTGGAGAAGGTATATACTATCTCCCTCCTATAGAGTTAGTCCCTTAACTCTTAAGGTATTAGCGTATTTATATATTTATTTATATATAAATTTAAGTTCTTTAGGTAGCTCTTATTAGATTTCCTTAAGTTTATTAATATCTACTATAGCTTTTAGAGCTACTAGGCCTTATTATAGTTCTCTATAGGCTATTAGGTTAAATCTATAGTTTAGATAGAATAGTAATTCTTTTATACTTTCTCCTACTGCGCTATTATAGGCAAACTGGGCCATAGGTAGTAGTTAAACCTAATTATCTTATTAGTAGTTGATATAGTAGCGTAGATAGGTTTCTATAATCTAATTGATTTATTCTATTTAGCTATTAGTTTATAGATAAAAAGCAGTAGATATTTTATAATTAGATCTAAGCTATGAGATTAGGGATCTCTAAAACTTAGAAGTAAATAACTTATCTCTATTAGATATAATTTCCTTTGGCGTTCTATGTTAGCTGATAATTATCTATAGAAACTTATAGGTA